CTTATTGCTGCTGTTTTGGATCGGTCACGATCCTGGTGCAAAGTTTTACACCGCTTGTATTCCTCCGAGTTCTTGCAAACCCGGGCTCATAACCAGTTGAAAAGTATCGCCTGATTGTCGGAAGGTAGAACTACCGGAGGAATAGGTATCAAGGGGTGGAACCAATACGTGTGTGTTGATTGAGTTGGTTAACTACTGTTGCAATCCGAAAGCTCTTGTGTTGCGGATTCTCCGCATCACCTGACTTCCTCCTGCTACATCTGTCACCCTGACTGCCATATTGTAACAGAAGGAATCTATTATAGAATAATATTAATTTCCTTTTTTCTTATCTATTCTAATTTAGTAATTACTTACTAGATAATATATTACCCTAATATTATCTTTAGGTTTATAACTACTTATATTATAGCTTAGTCATCTATAAGGATTATTATCCTATTATACTATTTAAGCTTTTATTTAATCTAAAAAGTAAGTTCTATTTCTACTAATTTAGCTAAGTATATAGTAGATTTAGTATTATTACCTATATATTTTATCCTTACTCTCTTTATATCTAGGTACTAGGTAGTAATACCTACTTATCCCTAAATCTTACTTCTATTAATATATATAATAGTATAGTAGTAGTTCTACTTTACCTATCTTACTATACTTTAATATAGCTAGATAGCTCCTTTTTTTAAGCTTATAATATAGCTTTCTAGAGGTATCTACTATAGGCTAGCTATATTAGTTATAATTAGTTTAATTGTTTCTAGTTCTTATTCTATAATTCTATTTCTCTCTATATACTACTATTTAAGGGCTTATAAAGGTATTATCCCTTTCTAGTTATAGGTTCTTAGCTTTCTTACTTATAGGATTACTTAGTATATATTACTACTTCTAATCCTATATAGAGTATTTATATTCTATTATTAAATATAGAGTATAATTAGTATAACATTTATCTTAACTTCTAGGGTAGCTAGAGCTATAGTACACTATACTTCTATTACCTATCTAAGGGCTACTTTCTAGGCTAACTCTAGGATCCTAGTAATATTAGCTATACTTATTTTATTTCTATATCCTAGATCTAATCTATACTATACTATACTTATATATGTAAGCTTTAGGAGTAAGACTACTTTATATAGTTATATGCCTTACTATATTATTATCTTCTAGATAGATCCTAATATCGCTTAGAATCCCTTTATAGATATTACTATACTCTTATAGAGGTATTATATATAGTATAAGCTAGTAAGTTACTTATTAAGTACTACTTCTAGTAGCTTTATAGTTTAGCTTAGTTATATAGTTACCTTAAGAAGGATAAGTAGGGCTTCTATTTCTATATCTACCTTGTTTTTTATAAAATGTATTAGGACATATTTTTAGGGTATAAACACTAACCTAGTCCTTTCTACCTATTCTATTACTCTCCTATATATAGTAGCTAGAGTAGAGGCATTGCTAGCCTTTATATTCCCTATTACTAGTATACTTATATTGTTAATATACCCTATAACCATGTTCTCTAGATCTTTAATGTTAAGTAGGTCTATATTATAGAATAGGTATAATATCGGGGATAGCGGCGATCCCTATGGTATCCCTGTGCTTATAGGGATTAGGCTAGAGGTGCCCTCCTTTAGCCTGATCTCCGTTGTTCTTCCGTCTAGGTAACTTGCTAACCACCCCACTAGTTGTGGGTGGATGTGTCGCTTCCGTAGGTTGTGGAGTAGCCTCCGGTGCGATACATCCTGTCCGAGAGCTTCCCCACATTCTCCCACCTTCAAAAGTCGCAGCGCCACAACCTTTCGTCACTTTCAAACACATATTCAATCACAAAACTTTCAAATCAATCAAAACCTGCGCAACCACCATTGCTTTCTATACTGGAACTGTTAAAGCCACACAAACAGTTGTACATCCACACAACTCCACAACAAACACAATGGCTGAACGCAAAGGCGCCTACGGCGGCGCCCCCGCCAGCGACACCTCATTCCGCAAAACCTGGGATCGAGAGGAATACGCCCAAAAAGCCGCCGAAAGAGAACAACGCCTCAAAGACGAAGGACGCGCAAAATACGAAGCCGCGGCTGCGGGCAAAAAGTTCCATCGACGGGCTAGCACACCACCCGATGCTCGCGATACCGAAGCACGAAAAGCACGACTAGATGTGTCGGCGCAGATTGGCAAGACCATGCTAGTGCCTGCGGGGTCTGCAGTTGGCAAAAGAGGAAAAGGCGCTGGTTTCTATTGCGATGCTTGTGATTTGACATTCAAGGATAATTTACAATTTGTGGAGCATTTGAATAGCAAACAGCATTTGTATGCTACAGGACAAAGTGGAGAAGTCAAGAGAGCGACGTTGGAAGATGTTGTTGAGAGGCTGGAGTGGTTGAAGAGGAAGAGGGAAGAGGAAAAGGCAAAAGAGACTGTGGATTTGGGGACGAGGTTGGAGGTTGCGAGGGAAGAGGAGGAGAGGGAGAGGGCGGAGAAGAGGAGGAGGAGGAATGAGAAGAGGAGGAAGAATAAAGGGGATGATGGGGAGAGGGAAGTTAAGGTTGAGGTTGAGAATGATGGGGTTATCTGTTGATTGGACTTTTGCTGGAACGATTTGCAGCAGCATGCATCACACAGATGGACAGATTGCGCTAGCGACGACGTGGCTCTGGAAGACGACTTCAACAAGACTTGCGCTACGTCTACACCAGATGGCCATCTCAAAACCATATCAATACGACCCACAGCATCCATTGGACGCCATGAAGCTGTACACGAAGCATCTCTAAATTTCCATCCGCACGACTCTGCTTCAGTTCACGACTTTCTGCAATATGAGAATCGATGCTGAACAAGAGCAGTTTACCACGAGGATGGGGCCAGAGTGGGCTCAACTCGGAGTCGTTTCCTTTCCAAGGAGAGGCGAGCTATCAGATGTGGTCACATCCAGCAGCAAAAGCTAGATGAGAAGGCATGAAGTCAAACGACGAGGAAGCAAGCGATCAAGCATTTAACAATCGAGGAGTATCGAACAAGTCTAGCGATACATATGAAATGATGCTCCAGTGAAAGCATTTATCAGGTTGCCATTCAGCAAGTCAATATTGTTGTATCTGATGCAGTGCTTGTCTGTTCTACTCGTAATGATGCAGACGCGACTTTTCGTGTGATGGTCGTGAATTGATGATGCCAAGGCCGTGTGGATTTGCAGGGACGGGTGTTTTGGTGTGGAGTAAACAAAACAGTTTGGCTGCTGCAGCTTGCACATGCGATTCTTGTCGTGATTGCCCCTTCGAGTCTTTTCTTTCTTTTCATCCAACGACTCATACGCCCAGCGACTTTAGACGACTAGAGTGAAGGACTTGTCGCAAACTTCACTCATCCATGACTCTTGACTGAATACTGTAATCTGTACAAGCCCAATAGCCGGCGCAATCATGGACGACTCAATGGCAGAGTCCGACTTTGCCATGGATGCCAGCAGTGACTTTGAGCTTCCCAAGAAAGCTCCTGCCGTAACTATTGTCTTTTCTGCTTTTATTCACTCTCACTCTGACGACATTCACAGAAGAAGGCTCCTGCAAAGAAGGCTGCCGCTGCACCCAAACCCAAAGCAGCCCCCAAGAAACAAACCACTCTCAAGACCACCAAGACAAAGAAGCCACCGACACCAGTAAGCGACGGCGAGAACTCAGACGCCGACGTTCACTTCGACAACGACGACGACAGCCTGCTCGCAGACACTCCTCCCAAGAAGGCCGCCCCCAAGAAGGCTCCTGCGAAAAAGGCTGCAGCAAAGCCGCTACAAGAGATCGATAACGAGAGTTTCGCAGCCGAAGGCGCAGACATGGACGCTTCCGACAACGACAAGATGGTTCAGCCCAAGCCCAAGAAGGGCAGCGCCACCTCGCAATACCAAAAACTCACCCAGCTCGAGCACATCATCAAGCGCCCCGATACATACATCGGCTCCGTCGAACGCCTGGAGAAGCAAATGTGGGTCTACAACTCCGAGAATGAAGCCATCGAGAGCCGCGAGATCAGCTACGTCCCCGGTCTATACAAGATTTTCGACGAAATCCTGGTCAACGCCGCCGACAACAAGCAGCGCGACAAGAACATGAACGAAATCAAGGTCTGGATCGATCGAGAGAAGGGTGAAATCTCGGTGCGCAACAACGGTCGTGGTATTCCTATTGAGATGCACGAAAAGGAGGGCATCTACATTCCTGAGATGATTTTCGGTCACCTCCTGACATCCTCAAACTACGACGACGACGAGCAAAAGGTCACTGGTGGAAGAAACGGTTACGGTGCAAAGCTTTGTAACGTCTTCAGTACAAAATTCATCCTCGAGACGGTCGACTCAAAACAAGGAAAGAAGTACTCTCAGACATGGCACGACAACATGACAAAGAGGGACAAGGCCAAGATCACTTCGGCCAAGGGCGACGACTACACAAAAATTACCTTCTACCCAGACTTCTCAAAATTCAATATGGACAAGATGGACGATGATTTCGAGGCTCTGGCCAAGCGTCGTGTTTACGACATGGCTGGAACATGTCCTGGCGTCAAGGTCTTCCTGAACGATACCCGTATCAAAATCAACAAGTTCAAGCAGTACATGGAAATGTACACCAAGGCCATCAAGACCGAGAGCTTGATCAACGAAGGAGTCAACAACCAAGTCATTCTGACTGACAACCCCAACGAGCGCTGGGAAGTCGGTTTTGCTGTTTCCGATGGCTCTTTCCAGCAAGTTTCTTTCGTCAACTCTATCGCGACTACTTCAGGAGGAACCCATGTCAACTACGTCGCCGATCAGATCGTCAACAAGTTGCTCGAAATTGTCAAGAAGAAGAACAAGGGTGGTGTAGCGCTCAAGCCTGCTCAGATCCGTAACCACATCTTCCTTTTCGTCAACTGCTTGATTGTCAACCCAGCCTTCAACTCTCAAACGAAGGAGCAACTTACAACAAAGTCTTCACAGTTCGGCAGCAAGTGTGTGCTCAGCGACAAGTTCCTCAAGGATATCGCCAAGACGGAGGCCGTCAACAACATCATGCACTTCGCCCAGCAGAAGGCCGATCAGGTGTTGAAGAAGTCAGATGGCAATCGCCGTACCCGTATGAGCAACACCAAACTCACAGATGCCAACAAAGCTGGTACCAAGGACGGTTACAAGTGTACTTTGATCTTGACAGAAGGTGACTCGGCCGCCATGCTTGCCCTAGCAGGTCGTGCTGTAGTCAATCAAGATCTTTTCGGTGTCTTCCCTCTGCGTGGTAAGATGTTGAACGTACGTGATGCATCTATCGACCAAATCTCGAAGAACCAGGAAATTCAGAACATCAAGCAGTTCATGGGACTGCAGCACAAGAAGGAATACACCGACACCAAGAGTCTTCGTTATGGCCACTTGATGATCATGACCGATCAGGATCACGATGGCAGTCACATTAAGGGTCTTCTTATCAACTTCCTGCAAGTTCAGTTCCCCAGCTTGCTTAAAATTCCTGGTTTCCTTCTGGAGTTCATCACACCTATCGTCAAGGTATGGAAGGGTGATCCAAAGTTCCCCAAGGCGAAGAAGGACTTCTTTACAATGCCCGAGTACGAGGCATGGAGACAAGAGCCTGGCCACGACAAGGGTTGGGACCACAAGTACTACAAGGGTCTGGGTACCTCAGACACCAGAGATGCCGAGATCTACTTTAGTGATCTAGACAAGCATCTCAAGGAGTTTCACACCATGCAAGAGCATGAGAAGCAGTTGATCGACCTGGCTTTCAGCAAGAAAAAGGCCGACGACCGTAAGATGTGGCTCCAGAACTTTGTTCCCGGAACTTATCTCGACATGTCTGGCAAGGAGAAGATTACCTACGACGATTTCATCAACAAAGAGCTCATTCTCTTCAGTATGGCTGACAACTTCCGTTCCATTCCTTCGCTGGTCGATGGTTTCAAGCCTGGTCAACGCAAGATCTTGTACACAGCTCTCAGGAGAAATCTGAAGAAGGATGTCAAGGTCGTTGAGCTTGCTGGTTCAGTCTCAGGTTTGACCGCATACTCATATGGTGAAGCATCCTTGCAACAAACCATCATTGGTCTCGCTCAGACTTTCGTTGGATCCAATAACATCAACGTGCTCGAACCCAGTGGTAACTTTGGTAGTCGTCTTCAAGGTGGTAGCGACGCAGCCAGCGCTCGTTACATTTACACACGTCTGTCACCTTTCGCTCGTCGCATTTTCAATGCTCACGATGAGCCTCTTCTCACATACAATACCGACGATGGCAAGACAATTGAGCCGGAGACCTACATTCCCATCGTACCAATGGTATTGATCAACGGTGCTGATGGTATCGGTACTGGTTGGTCAACTTCTATTCCCAATTACAACCCTGCAGACGTCATTGAGAATATCAAACTCAGAATGGCAGGAAGCTCAAAGGCAGACATGAGACCCATGCAACCTTGGTTCCGTGGCTGGAAGGGAGATGTTGAAGATATCGGCAATGGTCGTTTCAAGTTCACTGGTACCATTGAGCACAAGGACAACAACACGGTCGAGGTCACTGAATTGCCTGTCCGCTTTTGGACTCAGGACTTCAAGGCTCATCTTGAAGAGATCATCAAAGCTGAGAAGACGCCTTCGTTCATCAAGGATTACAGCGAGTACAATACACCTGAAAAGGTTCACTTCATCATCACGCTTGATGACAAGGGTATGAAGGTGGCACTCGACAAGGGCTTGGAAGACCAATTCAAGCTCAGCAGAACCATGGCAACCACCAACTTAGTCGCTTTTGACGGTCAAGGTCGCATTCACAAGTATGAGACACCTCTTGATATCATGGAAGAGTTCTACCACATCCGTCTTGCATTCTACGAGAAGAGAAAGCAGTACCTTCTCAACGAAATGCAAAAGGAACTTGACAAGCTGAGCAATCAGTCTCGCTTTGTTCAGATGATCATTGATGGCAAGCTCGTTGTATCCAAGAAGAAGAAGTCTGTTCTCGTTGCCGAGCTTCACAAACTCAACTTCAAGCCCATTCCCAAGCTGGCCGATGCAAAGAAGCAGGGCGAGTTTGAGGAAGTCGTTGAGGAGGAAGATGATGCTGAGGATGCTGCACCTGGTCTCAATGACTTTGATTACCTCCTTGGTATGGCCATTTGGTCTCTGACCCAAGAACGTGTCGAGAAGTTGCTCAAGCAAATTGGAGACAAGGAGACCGAAGTTGATGCTCTTATCAAGCTCTCACCCAAGGATCTCTGGACCAAGGACTTGGATGAGCTTCTCGAGGAGTGGCACACTCAATTGGAGGTTGAGGAGACCCGTGCTAAGAAGTCGAAGAGCAAGGGCCGCCGCACATCTCACAAGCTCGGTCTCTTGGGAAACAGCAAGAAGCGCAAGTCAGAAGATAGCGACGATGATGACGATGATGACTTCGTTGTTTCTAAGAAATCGAAAACCGCCGCTAAATCATCTGCTGCTTCGAGAACTGCTCCGCCAGCAAGGTCTAAGGTCTCGAAGGGAGCGACGAGCCTGCTTGATAACTTCCTTACCAGACCGGCCGCCAGCAAGCCACCTGGTGTATTCCCTGTCGTTGATGGTATTGAACAACAACCTGTTGAACAACCTCCGGCAGTCAAGGCAGGTCTCATCCCACCTTCAGATATCACCAAGCCACTGGTGAAGAGAAAGATGACCAAGCTTGAAGACTCGGACGACGACATTGAGATGGTGTCTGAGCCGGTTGCCAAAGCTCCAGTCAGGAGAATTAAGACTTCTCTGGACACCGACGATGAGGATGAAGTCAAACCAGTTGCTAAGGCTGCGGCAAAGCCTGCTGCTAAGCCTGCTGCCAGAAAGAAACCCGTCATCGAGTCTGACTCGGGGGAAGATGATGTCGAGATGTTCGACGCTGCAAAGATGAAGCCCGCAGCTCAGCCTGCTACCGCATCTCGTGCTGGACGTGCTGCCGCAAAGAAGCCCGTCAAGTATGCCGCCGACTCAGATGAAGACATGTCTGACGACGACCTCGGCGACATCGGTAAAATGGTCAAGGAGATCCCCAGCGCAGTGGCTGGCCGCTCCCTCCTCAGCAACTCTGCTCATCGTACTGGTGCAAGCCACAACATCAAAACTTCACATGGCAGAAAAGAGAGTGTCGAGCCTGTCGACGACACAGACTGGGCAGAACTCGCCAAGGGCACTCCTGCGAAACCCATCGCTCAAGCCACAGCAGCAGCAAACTTCTCCGACGATGAAGACGTAAACATGGATGATGACAGCATTCTTCTCTCCACTCGCAAACCCCAGCCCCTCAAGACTATCTCCAAGACTGCGACGAAACCTACTGCCTCCACCACTGCCAAAGCAAAGAAACCAGCAGTGGCACCAGCAAAAACACTTTCTCCCGCTGCGAAAGCGTACGCAGCTAAACAGTCCAAAGCCGCCGCTGCAACTGCCAAACCCACCGCCAAAACATCTCGCAAAAAGACTTCTCTAGACAGCGAAGACGAAGACGATGATCTCGCTAATGATATCTTGAGTGATGATAAGGAAGAGGCTACTCCTGCTAAGCCTGCGGCTAGACCTTCGAGGAGAGCTGCTGCTGCTAAACCCAAGGGTAAATATGTCCTTGATGATGAAGATGAGGAGAGCGAGGAAGAAGATGATTTCGAGGAAGAGGATGATGGGGAGGAAGAGACGTTTAATGATGATAGCGAGTAAAAGGTGTGTGCGTGGTGGTCAAAGGGGGTTGCTTCAAGGACATCTCTGATGAGTGTTAGCTGGTCTTATTTCGTATCTTCTGGCTTTTCTTTTTCTCGCATGCATGGGTTCTGGGGTCATTTCGATGGGATGGCAAGAGGCGTTAGTAAGGAGGCATGATCCCATGGTGGCTAGCTTTTCTTTCTTCTTTCTTCCAATGCAAAAATTTCCTTTTGCTATGTTCTGTACTGCCCCACAATTCGCGTCGTTGAAGTCCCGTCTCCCGTGTGTGTCTGTATTGCATGCTTGACACAGCTGATGGGTGGACATATCCACAAGAGTTTCGACGTTGATTTACTGCGGTGGGATATGTGAAACATGCTTGTTTCCTTGACCTTTTTTTTTGGGAGAATCTGTTTGCATTTCGTTGACTTGATTTGCTTTGATTTGCTTTGCTAAAATCCAAGTACTATCTGCGCTGCGCTATGCTATGCCTTTATGCTAAGAATACAACTTCCGCATCTCTTTTCCTTTGTGTTTCTTTTATCAATCTCACCCAGTTTTCATACCTCCACCACACCAACACCTTCCTTCTCCTTCTTTTTCCACTTGTACAACCACATGCATGTTTAATTGCAAAAAGTAAGTTACGACTCTTTCTCGCACGTCTTCTGGGTCTGCTGCTCGGGCGCAAAACACGTGGATGACGCCTAGGATTTTTTTCTTCGGTTCTTCGTGGGCGTGGTGGTCGTGGTTATGATCGTGATCGTGAGGGTGAGAATGGTCATGGTCGTGATGATGATGATCATGGTCGTGAGAGTGAGAATGGTGGTCGTGTCCGTGATGATGTGCATGATCTTCTCCAACATCATCTTCGACCCAAAATCTCGGCACCGCATAACCCGTAACACCCCTCAAACCACTGAGTTCCTGCAACGCATTCTTGAGTCCATATTCCAGATCATCAGGAATAACAAGCAACAATTTGCCGCCCGAGTCTCTGACCAAAGGTACTGCAGCAAGGAAGATAAGAATGGCGATGACGATGGTGGCTAGAGGATCCCACAGGTACCAAGGCTTCCAGAGTGTGAGGATTGTACTGAGGATTACGGCGAGAGAACCTCCTGCGTCAGCGGCGACGTGGAGGTAGATGCCGTGCATGTTCTCGTTGCCGTGGCCGTGAGAGTGATCGTGTCCGTGATCGTGACCGTGATGGGCGTGGCCAAAAGCGAATAGTCCGACCATATTGACTAGAAAACCGAGTGTACTAACCACCAGCAACTCTTCCACATGGCGCAGTTCAGTGCCTTCCATAATGCCTTCAACTGCTTCCCAGACAAACTCCACACTAACCAGCATGAGGAAGATGCCATTTCCAAACCCGGCAAGCACGTTCAGTTTGCCCCATCCAAAAGGCATTTCGGGGCTGGTAGGCCATTTGCTGGCAACGGCTGCACCAAGACCAATGACCAAAGCCAAACAATCGAAAAACATGTGGACGGTATCGCTGAGAAGACCAAGCGAGCCACTGACCCATCCGTAAAAGGCCTGTACAAGCATGAATCCAAAGTTGAGGCAGGTAAAGTAAGCAATACGGCGAGAATCTCGCTCGCAAAGGATGCTGTGGTAGAGAGAGCCCGGTCGGCAGCGGGACAGGAGGAAAGAGGTAAGTAGTGATGTTTCGGCGTGCATGTGATGTTGGTGACCATGGTGGTGGTTGCAGTGTGTATGTGCAGAAGCATGAGCGTGAGTATGGGCAGCGTCATGGGCATGGGAATGGTCGTGAGAATGTGCGTGAGAGTTTGAAGTGTCGTAGAGAACGCCAACGTAAGACAAGGCAGCGATAGCACCATTGCAAAAAGTGCCAGGCCAGGTGCTAGGCGAGAAGAGGAAAGATGAAGTGGCACACAAAAGACATCCCAAAGCAAGACCGAGTTTTCTGGTGGTTCGAAGGTGTGTTGGGCGAGCAAAGAGGACCAGAGCTGCAGTGATGGCCATGGAGAATGTAGTAAAGGTGATAGAAAGAGGGGTGACCGTGGGAGCGAGAGAGAAGACAATGGACGCGGCGATGGTGAGGACCGAGAGGATGGCACCTGAATACAGAGTCGTGGTGATGTCCGATGGAGTGGCGATGAGAGGAGAGGTAGATGAGCCATTTGCTGGCAGTGGCGGGTGTAACAAGAAGACGGACATGAGAAGAGCTGTGTAGCCGGTAGCAAGATGATACATGTCAGCATATATGGTCAAGCCAAGCGCATCACCCAAGAAGCAAAGCAGAAGTGCAGCTAGAGTCGCTGGTCGAGCGGAGAAAGACGCAAAGAAGGACTTGGAGTGCCTGTCAAAGCAGGATAAGCCCGAGGCAAGCGCAATCAACAAGACCAAGCCAACTCGCAGGCCACCAATCTGTATAGCAGCGTAATACGGAAGACCGACTCTGAGGGTACTGGTGACCATTGCAGTTACTGACTGCAGGGTCAGCGGCCCAGGATTTGTGAGACCAGCATTTGAGCCTTTTCGCTTGTCCAAGCCTCTTTCTGAAGCGCGAATGTTTGCTAGTATGGCAATGAGGAGGAGAGTGCCAGACGTCAATGTACATGCTTGTAATAGACTCGAGGCATGATGTGCGTTGTTGTAGTCTTGAATGTTCTTGCCCGCTGGTACAGCCTGCTGCAAGCGCGCATAAGCGGATAGAGGTGGAAAATCGGGATTGGGAGTCGAGTAGGCGGCGGATGCGAGGAGATAGGGGAGGGGTATGAGGATGCCGGTCAAGAGTTCGGGTATCCTGCATCAGTCAGCAAAAGGAGCCCAAGGTTCAGAGTCGATATGACGAACCTTGAGGCGGCGTGTGGAGGTGTTGAAGATGTCGCGTGAAGAGGCGCATGGTCATGGGAATGGTCATGACTGGGAGTGTGGGTATGCGCATGGTCATGCGAGTGGTTGTGAGCGTGGCCATTAGATTGTGTGCAGACGCTGTAATTGCTATGGGTGCTGTGGGTGCTGTGGCTATGGCTGTGGCCGCGGACAGGAGTCGAGTCGTGTGTGTGGTCGAGGATGTGGTCAGGAAAGGCAGCCGAGACTGGCGAGAGAGCGTAGCCAGAGCCTTGACGGAGGTGGCTCTTGAATGCAAGCTTCACAGGTGTGCGTATGGGCGACTTTGGACCAGCGAATGAATATGTTCTGGTGTGGCCTCCATGAGCCAGGCCATTGGGGTTGAATTGGTCCGTCTCTTCAAAGTCGAGGCCGCTGTCGAATGCTTGGGCGGCAGTCGCTTGGTCGTCGTCGAAGGGGCTGTCGTTTAATGCCCATGACGGGCCCTGGCTCATTGAGAGTGGTCGACCTGTCGTCATGGTTGTTTTCCAGTCGTGTTTCTATTGAGCCTCCATGTCCAGATAAGATGTCCAGTCGTAGTTTCTGTGTGTCTTGAAGCTGGAAGAAACTCTGTTGTAGAAAGAAGGAATGGGATAAAGGAACCTTCAAAAGGTACTGCGGCTTATCGCACTGTATGTCATGGACGTTACGACTTGTTCTTCGTGGGTCAGTCTGTCGGGTTCAGGGGTTGGTCTAAACTTTGATCTGAATCAGGGTTTCCCTCCCGCCTCCAGATCAACATTCCGCCCGCCGCTCACCGCCCTGTCCCACATGTCCGCCCTCCTTGGCAAAGACCCGCATCCTGAAACACAGCCACCTTCTGCCAGCTTTCTATCGTGAGTGACGTCGACATTGTCATAAAATCGTCGTATTGTGACCTTGCTCCTTCTTGTCAATCTCCCCAAGGAAAAGGTCGCCGGACATGGACGAATTACCATTCATCGAAAGTGGTGGCCATCCTGCTCGCTCGTGGCTCTCATCCCTATTCTGGACTATTCTCCTGCCCATTGCTGTCACCTTGTCAACTCTGGTCACTGCCTTTATTCTCACCCTACCTTCCCCTTATGATCCACAACATAACTATCCAGTAGATGAAGCTTCTTTTTCCGACGAGGATAGACAAAATGAGCACTCTGGATATGCTTACTACAAAAAGAATCCTGGTGCAACAAATGATGCTTCCGTCACGGTCCTGGTACTAGGTGATATTGGAAGAAGTCCGCGCATGCAATATCACGTTGCCAGTATAGCTGCTCATGGAGGTCGTGTCAGTCTCATCGGCTATCTGGAATCTGAGCTTCTGCCTGAAATCAGAAACAACCGCTTTGTCACTGTCATTCCTCTGGCTCCTCCGCCGGAAGCCCTTCGCAACGCCAACAAGATGCTCTTCCCTATCATTGCCCCTTTGAAGGTCCTCTGGCAGATTGGAACCGTCTGGCATGCCTGTGGTTATCGCACAAAAGCCACAAAGTGGATGTTGGTCCAGAATCCTCCTTCAATCCCTACTCTGGCAATCGCACAGGCTATGTGCTTCATTCGTCATACACGTCTGATTATCGATTGGCACAACTTTGGCTACACCATCCTTGCCCTCAAACTAGGAAATAAGCACCCTCTGGTCCAAGTCTCGGAAATGTATGAACGCTACGTCGCTCGCGCTGCAAATGCTCACTTTAGTGTTACCAACGCTATGGCCAGAGTGCTCAAGCAGCGATTTGGCGTTGAAGCTACACCCCTGCACGACAGACCAGCTGCTCAATTCCAGCCATTGAGTCCAGCACAACGTTCTGAGTTCCTACACAGATGCCCGGAAACAGCACATTACGCCAAACACCTCGATCACGGTAGTTACAAACTACTCGTCAGCTCTACTTCCTGGACAGCAGATGAAGACTTTTCAATTCTTCTTGACGCCCTAGTAGCCTATTCCGCAACCGTCTCCATGGCCACCCAACACTCCTACCCAAAAATCCTCGCCATTATAACGGGAAAAGGTCCTTTGAAAGATCATTATCTCAACAAAATCTCCACCTTGACCAAGGAAAAGAAACTCACCAATGTCAAGATTGCAACCGCATGGTTGAGCAATGAAGACTATGCCTCCCTGCTCGCCTCCGCAGACCTCGGTGTCTCGTTACACACCTCATCTTCAGGTGTAGATTTACCCATGAAAGTAGTCGATATGTTTGGAACAGGGTTACCAGTAGTGGGATGGTCGCGCTTCGAAGCCTGGAAAGAACTTGTCCACGAAGGCGTAAACGGATTTGGCTTTTCTAGCGCTGACGGTTTGGAAACACTGCTGGAAGAACTGTTTGGAAGCAAAGGTGCGAGAACATTGGCGGCGGTACGGAAAGGTGCTATGCAGGAGTGTGCAAGGAGGTGGGAGGATGAGTGGTTCCCTGTTGCTGGAAAGCTTCTGGGGCTTGAGGCAAAGGCCAATGTCGACGCCAAAGCGGTTTGATGGAAAAGTTTGTGTGGATTTTGTCTGGACAAAAAAGGTCTTGTTGCACTTGAGAACCCCAAAAAAGCTACCATGTTTTTTTCTTTGTATATAAGCAAGAAGCAGATATGAGAGATGAATACGACATCATTGCATTGATCCCATGATCAACTTAACCTCATCTTCATCCCTCAGATCCGGATAGATGACCAAGAAAGCCTCCAACTCCCCTCTCACATCTTTCCCTCTCGCACCTCGAAACCTCCGATCCTCTTCCACAAACGCTTTATGCACATCTCGGCAATTAATCGCTGACTGGAAGATCTGCCGCTCCCGGGCGCTAGCCAGTAAATTGGTCAGCCTATCGCTCTTGTTGGCAGACATCTCTGCAGCTCGCAAGGCTTGGACCAGATAATCTCTGCTGTGGTGGAAGGTTTCTCCTGGCTTTGTGCCTTCGTTATGCCAGCCTGGTACATCAGCCAGAAACCATGGGAATTGAACGATTGCGGGTAGAGGAGCCGTAAATGTCCAATCCCAGTCAACAACACTAGTGTCGGTAAGCCTCAGTGGAAAGAGAGTTGTGATGATCGATGTAGGATGGAATTTGTTCCGACACATACCCACTCAGTTCTAGTCTCTCATCCACCATGATGTTAAGCGCATGCATATCGCCATGTGCGATTCCGTACTCGGTGATATGGTCATGCGGAGAAGCGTAATAGCTGATCAAACTCCTCATAACCAAGTAATCGCGCGTGGTGCCCCATCTGCTATCGCCAGTTATGCATCTCCTAATCGCCTTGTCAATCATGTTTTCCAACCATTGCGAGTAGAGCAAAGCAGGCACTTCTGTTTCAATAGTCCCCGAAGTTGGAATTGACCACAACTCAACCAAAAACCTCGCCAGCGAATCCAAAAAACACATCTGCTGCGATTGTGGAATCAACTCATTCCAACTTCCTAAAGGCTTTCCAGGAATCAAGTCTTGCAAAACAATCGTAAACTCCCGCGGTGTTTGCTCTTGCTTCGAGTCAAGGTTATGCCACAGCACCTTAGGAACTTTCAGTTCTGGACGCAAAGAGGTAATGTGGTTGAGCATATCGACTCCATTACGCTCGAGGCTGTCGAAATTGTGCGATTTCGCCACGCGAGCGATGATGTGCGAGGAATCTGCGAGAGTCACGATGAAGATGTTGTGGGAACAGCCTTCTTGTGAAGAGTTGCCGGGTGAGAGGGTTACGGGGCCTGTGCCGGGGCGAAGGAGCCGGGCTTGAGGTAGGATGATGGCTTCGAGGGAAGTTATTCGATCCATTTTGGTCTCTGTTGTTGGATTCGAGTACATGTTTGAGTTGGGATTAGCAGATTTGATGGAGAAAGGGAGCAGTCTCTGGTCTGGGATGGGCATCTATGACTGTAGCTAATGTTACACCGCAGCAAGCTACAGGGCGGCTTCGATGGCCATTGGCTAGCAGCTTCATCTTTCGAGCCTGAAGCAGCGAATCGCGAGTCTTGCCAAATTTCAGAGCATGCAGTCTCCGCCATCCGCCCGTATTCATCAATGGCAAGTGAACACAAACACGGATCTTTCAGAAAGTGGTGAGACGTCAAGGAGATGGATGCAAAACAGAAAAAAATATCCCTGAACGCTCAGGCGGGATACAAAATGTAACATAAAAAAAAGAAGTGGTGTAGAGAAAAACACATATTTTGGTAAAACCCACCCGAAGATTTATTTTCCAACCTCGCATCGCTTTTTCGTTCTTTCTCGCTCTCTAGCCTCTCTTTTCCTTTTGCAATCTTTCGAATCATATCTTTTTTTTCAAAACATAACTTTTGAAAACGCTGGTCAGAGGAGAGGAGCAAGCTTGATGGTCGCAACACTGTTCTACGACGAAGTCTCGTCAAGCTTGGTCTTCTCGAGGTCAGCAGCAACACCGTCGGCAGAGTTACCGTTGGTGTTTGTGCCATTCTCAGCGCTCTCAGCCTCGAGGCGCTCAATCTCCTTCTTGGCCTTGTCAATGTTCTGAGACGAATGTTAGCACGCTTGCATTGCAAATCATTTTCAAAAGTCGATTCTTACCTCCTGAGTCTTGCGAGCCTGGTCCTTTTGCCAGTTCTCGAGCTTGGCCTTGATCTGCTCAACAACACCAGCAACAGCGGCTTGCGATGATGGAGGCTGGACATCAATCTTGGCGAGTTGCTCAATGACACCGAAAGACAGGTTGAACTTTCCAGCAGCGGCTTCAGGGGCGGGAGAGGCGTTCTGGTTCTTGCGGTTCTTCTTGCCCTTCTTGCCGCCGTTTCCGGCCATGTAGTCCTCGTCAGCTTCACCCTTGCGGGGAAGAGCAGTTCCCTTGATGCCAGTGGCTTCGACGGTACGGCTGGCCTGAGCGGCGAACTTGCCGGGGCCGGCGGCAGCCTTGGCTTCTTGCGATGAAGGGTCGAAGTAGCGGATAAGGGATTGAGCGGTCTGGATCTCGTCGCCGTATGCAGGGGCGCTGGCCTCCTCGAGCTTGGCCTCGGCGACTTGCTTGCGCTTGCCGGCCTCGTAGGCATCACGCTCGGCCTTTTGGCGCTCTCTACGCACACGGTATGCCTCCTTCTCGTATTCGGCGTAGGCACGCTTGGCTTGCCAGTACTTGTCCTTGATGTCCTTGAGGTTGGTGTAAGCGACCTGTTGGGCCTCGTTTGCGCGGGTACGCTCGTCACGGAGCTGGTTCAAGTTCTTGAAGACCTCATCCTGCTTGGCCTTGATCTCGTCGAGCTCGGAGGTGATCTTTGTGTACTCGTCGGAAAGAGCCTTGCTTGCCGGGTCATCCATGGACTTCTTAATCTCAGCAATCTGAGCCTTGATGTCGTCAATCTGCTTCTGGGCCTGCTCGAAACCGGCGAAACCCTTCTTCTGCTTGTTCAAGGCGGTGATCTCGGCGAGGTTCTTCTTCTCATCGACAATCTTCATGGTACCGGTCTCGACCTGGGCTTGCAGACGATTGATCTCGTTCTGGATTTCATCGACGGAGCGGAAAGCGACACGGCTACGGGCAGTCTTCTGCTCGTTGATGCGCGACTTGAGCTGTTCGTCGAGACGCTGGATCTGGCCGAGTTGCTGGGCGCGGCTCGACTTGCCCGACTTTTGTGCCTCGCGGATCTCGTTCAGTCTTGCGCGCAGCTCCTGCTGTCTCTTGGCCTCGGGGGACTCCTTGTTGTTGGGACGCGAGTCGAGCTTGGCCTTGATCGACTTCTGTGAGGAGGTGTTAGTACCTTGTACGAATAGTAGGAAACTCGCAGAATTGCAACTTGCCTGTCTCTCAACAGCAGCATCGAGGGCCTTTTGTGCTTCGGCGAGGGTCTTCTCGTACTCGGCCTGGTCAGGCTTCTCAGGCTTGGTGAAGGCGGGCTTCTGAGCACCGGCATCGATGGTGCTCATGGTGGCAGCAGACGGTGTTGCAAGATCAGCCATTGTGATTGTGTATTGCTGAGAAAGACGAGAAAGGGAGAAAGAAGCCAGCGTTACCAAATCCCAAGCCGTGCACGTCTCTCTCGAGTCTCGACGACGGGTGAATTTTAGACTCAATCTCGCCTTTTTGCGGAGAAGTTGCCGCTTTCCAGCCAATCACACCACAAAGGGGTACTGTGACTTCCACGACACTTCCGAATGCTTCTATATCGCTGCTTATTGACTCATCACAGCGAATTTATGTTGGGAAGTGTTGGAGTGGCACAGTACGTTTTGGATTTTGTTTTGGTTCGTCAATGGACGTCCCTGTAGCTGCCAATGTGCTCGGTACTCTCGGAGCTGTATGTCCTTGATTATCTCAAATGACTTCCACAATTAATTCAACCTCGTGATATACAGGTATGTTGGTCTGTCCAGGTATGCCGACTTTTTTTCCCATGTTCATGCCATTCGTCTAAGCACCATAGTCTGGATCTCAGCTCGTTTCCTCCTCATACCCCACTCCTTGGACGAGACAACCCATAATTGCGATAAGAAAGGAAAGAGCAAAGTTGACACTATCCAAAGCTCATCCCTCAAATCATCATAAATTACCGTCGCCACAATGCCACCGGCCTCCAACCCTCCATGATGATGTTCTGGGCCTGGGCAGGCGTGCCCCTCGGCGTCTACAACATAACCTCCGCCTTCAACATCGCCCTGCGCGTTCAACCCCAAATCCTTTCGTGTCTGTCCCTAATCACCTGGATTCAGGTCTACTACTACGAGAAAAAGTGGTCTGTATACCGCAGTCTGCTGGTTGTGGTGCCTATTGCTTGTTGTATGGCTGGCATTGAATTAGGTCTGATATTTGCTTTGCGGCATGGTAAAGAAAAAGGAATCGACTGGCCGCAAACATTGATGGCGGTGCTTGCAGCTGTGTTTCTTGCTTGTGGTGTTTTGGCACATTATTGGGATATTTACACTCACAAAACGGTCAGAAATATCTCGTTTACGTTTTGCTTTATCGATGCCATGGGAGACTTGACATCCCTGATTTCGGTGTTTTTCCAGCCGAGGCTGGATGTTTTGGGTATTGTGATCTATGGTGTTGAGTTGGTGCTTTGGTTGGGGATTTTTGCTTGTGGGGGATATTACAATCTGAGACCTTGGTTGAGCGAGAAGAGGTCGTCGGCAACACGGCACGGTTCTGAGAACACAAGGGAAGGTACTGGAGAGGGTGTTCCGTTGCACGACATGCCGTCTTCTACTTCGGCGTTCAGCACTTCTTCTGCGAACATGGAGGCAAGTGGCTTGCGTGATAGACACACCGCTACAAGCTCGCAAGCATAAGAATACTTGCTTCGATGGATGCAAAACCGATAGAAACGTAGAGAAGCAAAGGAACTTCTCATACACGTAATTTCAGAGCCCGCTTTTGGCAACAAGATGGCGTGTCGAATAGTCTTTTGACAACGTCTTGGATGTGGTTGTATGGAACAGACAAGTCTATGATCTATGTTCTATATTCTACATTTCTATACAAACAACCTCTAGTATCCCAACAAAAACGCCAAAGTCTATGCTCTATGCTCGCTAGACATACTCATCCTCTTGCCCGCCTGCAAGCTCATCTCCAAGTTCTCCTCTTGCAGTTCCAACATCAATTGCGGCTGTGCCTTTCTCACCGGTTTAATCTCAAACAGTCTGTCCATCTTATCAAGTGGTACTGATTTGGTCTCTGGAAGCAGGTACCACACAAACCCTAGACTCAACGTCGACATGCCTGCAAAGAAAAAGTACATCCCGCAGCCATCAGGCCCCATGCTAGAGATCATGTCTGGAGTGAAGCGAGCGATAATGAATGTCCAGAGCCAATTCGACATTGATGCAGATACCTGACCCACATTACGAGATGCGGTGGTGAACATTTCGGCATTAATTACCCAAGGTGTTCCGTTCCACGAAGGTATGTAGATCGTGGTCCACAGGTATACCATAACGATTGTTGCAATGCCTTGAGAAGACAAGTGGTCTGAAGTGGTAGTAGTGCCACTACTGTTACTGACTTTGGAAGTGATCAGTGCGCCGATGATGTACATGCAGGAGGCGCCGGCGATAGATCCATAGACGAGGAGTTGGCGGCGGCCCCACTTGTCGACAAGGACAGTGAGCCAGAGAACAGTCATGACAGTTTTTAGGACGCCGAAGATACCGGTCATGAGGTCGACGGTGTAATTACTGTTGATGCCCATGGTTCTGAAAATGGTAGGGGAGTAGTAATTCTTCGCATATGTGTCAGTGCAATGCTAGCAGAAAAGAAAAACTTGTACGAAGACAAGAGACACTTACAATAGCGTTGATACCAGAGAAGTTCTGCAGGACGAACAGCATATGACCGAGGAACAGACGCCAAAGGATCTTATTATTGGTCAAAGCAAGCTTGATAGGCTGGAAGAAGCCCTTTGGTATCTCATCGTTCGCGGACTCCATCATTTCAACTTCTTCAATGATGTACTGATCGGTAGGTTCGAGATTGCGAATCCAGCAGAGGTTTTTAATGGCCTTTTCGCGATGACCTTTGCTGAAAAGCCAACGTGGTGTTTCCTTAAGCATCACGCTGCCGATCAATACCATACCGGCTGGTACAAGCTGCACGGCGAAAGGAACCAGGAATTGGTTTCTTCCGGTTAAGGGCGATGATCCTTCTGAGACTCCAAAGATGATCCAAAAGCCGACGAGGCCGCCGGTCTGCCATCCGAGTTCGTACAAGCCAACGAGTCTGCCTCGAATGGCAGGAGGGGCGATCTCGGACAGGAAGATGGGAACCTGTAGAAGGTCAAATTAGTCGTCTTTCTCACTGACGCTGCTCCCAACATCAGGATGGCGGAGAGAATTGGTAGAAAGTTGATTGGAAAGCAGGAGGTGGACATGTATTGAGCCGACATTCTTGAGATGGATTGACTTACCACCATAGTACAACCACCTACACCAAAACCAGAGATGACACGTCCGGCATACAGAGGACCAAGACTGTGGCTTGGACTCAAGGTGATGCCAGCACCCACGAGAAAGGTGGTGATGAAGATCCATATGCTCGCTCTCCTGCCAAGGAAATACGATGTCGTATAGGCAAAAATACTGCCAAAGAAAGCACCAGCCTGGAACAGAGAAACAATGTTGGCTGAAATGAAGCTAGCCTTTGAGTCACTCAATTTATCAAGGCCATAGTATTCTTGAAAAGAGTCCAGTGCGACTGTGGTACCAATGAACGAAGTAGTATAGCCGATCATGCAAGAAGAAAAAGCTGCGACAATGGCCGAAAGATAGACACGCCAGTTGTAAACGCATGGCGGTGTAGGTCTATCTTCGATTTTGGCAAGGACACCCATTTTCGCAAACTTGGAAGGAGGAAGTTGCAAAGACGAGGATGAAGAACAAGGCTCTTTTGACACATCATTCAGGGCTTGTTCTCTCCGGGTCGCCATCATCCACTGTATCCGACGTCAATCGGCACCGGTTTACCGTGCGCAGATATTCAAGGGCCGATCCTGACCCGGAGGTGGTGACTGATCTGCATGGTTCGAATTTCTCACCCACTTGGCGGATCCTCTCTTTGACCAACCAAAATTTTTGCAATTCCTGGCTGAACCCCACAGACCAGGGCAGCTTGTGGATTCGCAATGCGACACTTCTGGAGTTATGGAGTCACTCCGTGGGGATCCTCCAATTGGTCAACACGATTGGGTCGAGGGAACAACTTGAGGGCATTCGTGTTGAACGACATGACGCGGATCGGGTTGCCGAACGCTGCTTTCGATTTCAAGCCCTATCAGGCCGAGCAGTTAATGGTCCCTACCTTCAGTGTCTTCGCGCACATTCTAGATGTTCTCGCATGCACAAGTCTGCTCTCCTACGGTCCAGAATCGATTTCGTGGATAGCCCAGCTGTTTGCTTTCTAGAGTCCGGAATCCACAGGATATCCGTGTCGAGTCACATTGTCGTATCCGAAGGCCTCGTGAAACTCTCTGAATTCAGTAGAGCGCCCAACCAGATGCAAGATTCGGTCAGCATTGACAGTCTCTCAACGTCGAGTTATGAGGTCGTTGTGGGTCTTGGAGACCAAGTCCGGATCGCAATGTGGTAGTCGGAGGGTGTGGGGAGAGGTGGGAAGCAGTCACGGCAGTTTGGGGCTTTATATGGATGAGACCTTTTCCGAGCAGCTCTTGGCTCACCTTGCACCTCGGATATTGGAAGGTCAAGCGGAGAACAACAACGTCAGATTCAATTAGATACTGTGATTGCCTGATTGCTGCGAATAGTCTATTTCAAATCCTATAATCGTATGCTGCATATGAACCATTTTAATACCTAATACCTTAAAAGAGTTCCACCTTACAAGGACTGAGATTGACAAAGCTTGAAGTACACCCCTTGTTGCTGTATCAATTCATGGTGGTTTCCTTGCTCGACCACGGTACCGTGGCTCAACACAAAGATCTTATCTGCATCTTTGATCGTCGAAAGTCGATGGGCAATGGCGATGGCAGTCCGACCACTCGAAGCCTGAGCAATTGAAGCCTGAACTAATTTTTCCGACTCCGTATCTAGTGCCGAAGTTGCTTCGTCGAGCAATAGCACTTTGGGTTGGCGAACAAGTGCTCTTGCGATTGATATACGCTGCCTTTGACCACCAGATAAGCGTGTACCTCCAACTCCGCAACCAGTCTCTAACCCTTCGGGAAGAGAAGAAACAAAGTCCCAGATGTTGGCTTGACGACAGGCTGCTTCGACTTCGTCGTCTGTGGCTGAGTCGATCGCTCCGAGAAGGATGTTGTCGCGAACGCTTGTGTCGAACAGACTTGGCTCTTGTTGCACATACGCGATACCATCTCTGTACTTTCTGGGACAGTATTCTCTGAGCTCTTTGCCGTGGTGCTTGATTTGGCCAGCAGATGGCTCGTAAAATCGTTCTAGGAGCGATACCACAGTCGACTTGCCACACCCTGATGCACCAACGAATGCGACAAATTCACCTGGGTGCACCACGATGTCAAGACCCTGGATGATCTTGGTTTCAGGCCGGGTGCTGTACGCAAATTCAACCCTCTCCAGCTCGAAAGACATGGAGTTGTGTGGCTCCTTCTCATTCACCAGTATCTGGTGGCATTGGTTGTGTATGCCTATGCGTGGATGTTGAGCTCGAAGCCAGAGAATCTCATTCGCGCCAGCGCGTGCTTTCGAAAGCGACGTACTGTAAGCGATCATCTGTACCGAACCTTCGGCAGCAAAAACAACTGCGGTAAATACCGTGAAAAATTGGGTCGTGCTGTACTCGCCATAAGACATTAAACGTGCCCCATACCACAGAGTCAATGCCATTGCAGCAAACTCGACAGCCTGTGCCACAGCAAAGAACAAATTGGCCGTGAGCAACATGTTACTGGACCTCTTCGTAATGTTCCTGAGCTGTGCTTGATAGCGTTCGATGACATGCTTCTCAAGGGCAAGCGAAGCCACAGTTCTGATTGCCGAGACTGCTTCTGAGGCAGTCGCTGCGCTGTCAGAGAAGAGTCTCTCTGTGGCCTCCTCGAGTTTTATTTCCATTCTGAGACGACAGTATCCCATGCTGACTACTGGTACCATGATAGCGAAAATAGCGACCAGTGCCAGTTTCCACCCAAAGATAATGGCCGTAATGGCGGAGGATATTAGCATGACCAACACGATGAAAAGTAGTGCAGAGTTGAGGCCGATGAATTCGAGTAGGTTGGCTGGCGCTTGTGATAAGCGTGATACAATGGCCCCAGTGCCGTTCTCGGGTTGATCGAAGTATTCCATGTCTTGATATATGATGTTGTTGAACATGTCTTCGCGATATTGTCTCGAGATAACCTGCTAGCGTGTTAGTCTCTGGGGAGGACGGCTCCACGGAAATCTGGTCTTTGACCGTATGGCACTTCTATGGACATATACGGAAGTCTAACTTACCTGACATACGACATTCGAAACATATCCAGCAATGAAGTACAATATGCCATTGATGAGTGCAACAATGAAAAGCATGAGCGCGTAGAAGTCTCCTCGATTCGTCAATTCAGAGCCTTGTAGTTGAAAGGTAGTGATAAGTCTGCTGATCAAGATAGCCAGAGCTGGGTAGGTCAGGCCACCGATGACACAGACTACGGCGATAATCAACAAGTTAATCCAGCAGTCTCGACGTTCCTTGACGAAGATGATAAAGCACTTCGACAGACTGTAGTTGAGAGTGCGGGCGCTTTCGTTCACAGTTCTGTCAAGCTCCTTTCCGATACCATGAGACTCCTTGTCCGCCAAACTGTGACTAATGTCTGTGTCCGTGGCTTCGGGGTCTTCTTTGGCAGTTTGATCGTCATTTCCCAGATCTTGTGCCATCACAAGACGATAATAGGCGCCTTTCTGGCTCAGAAGCTCCGCATGAGTTCCCTGCTCCTTGATCACACCTTTGTCAAGCACGACAATTCGATCGGCATTCTTGACAGTCGAAAGCTTGTGAGCAATGACAACTGTAGTCCTCGAGCCTTGCAGTCTATCAAGAGCACTCTGTACTTGTTTCTCTGCTTCGGGGTCCAGAGCACTGGTCGCTTCGTCCAGGAGAAGGATCTTGGGGTTCGATATGATGCTTCGAGCGATCGCGATCCGCTGTTTCTGGCCTCCTGAAAGCATACTAGCTCGTTCGCCGACCACAGTCTGATAGCCATCGGGAAGGTTCCTGATGAAGTCGTCTGCGTTTGCATCTCGACAAGCTTGTACCACCCTGGCTTCAATTTCTTGCTCCGGCAGATCTGCTGCTCCAACAAGACCTAGTCGTACATTCTGATAGATTGTTGTGTTGAAAAGCACCGGCTCTTGTTGGACGAACCTGACCTGTGTGCGAAGCCACTGAACGTCAAGTTCACGGACGTCTCGCCCATCGATTTTGATGGTTCCAGACTCTGGTTCATACCAACGCTCCATCAAGCCTACGATAGTAGATTTGCCAGATCCCGATGCGCCAACCAAGGCGGTTGTGCTGTTTGCTGGAACTCTCAATGAGAAATCGTCGAGGACTCGAATATCGGGTCTAGCGGGATAAGAAAAATTCAAAGCAGTAAGCTCTATTTCTCCTTGGATCGACTGCGGACACTGCCCTTTATTGTCCAGCGGATCCAGAAGAGACTGCCTGTCAATCACCTCGAGGAGTTCCTCAGCGCTACTTGCCGCTTTTGCTATTGCACCAGTTAGCATAATGGTAGCGACTGAAATTGATGAGTCATGTCATTGAAAAGAAAGCTTCTGGCTTGAATAGGAGAGTAGAGATGTGCTTCTAAGATACATTTTCACACAAGCACACGAAGTTGTCTTGGTTGTACGTACCAATAACTTGCATCTGGGGAGCGACTTGAGTCACAGATTGCGCGGCGACAAGGACAGCGAATATAACTCTGTAATCGATCAGTAAGTAGCACGTTCCAAGGACAAGAGCTTGCAATACGTTATGATTTTGCCGGGGGCTTCGATTTCGCCCCTAGCATACATATGAATGCCTTGCCAGAAGGCCAAACCATAGCCAGCAAATACGAAGAAAAACTCGTTGGCGTACAGCAAGCCCCAATTTAATGACTTCCGCATGCCTTGCTTTTGCGCATCGTCCAGAATCTGGTTGTGTCTCTCGATCATCCTGGGCTGGGACCAATAAGCGTGAACTACACGAATGCTCGAAAATGTTTCCGTGGCAAGAGAACCTGCTTTGCCGTACAGCTTCATACATCTGTTTTCCTGCGAGGCATCAATAGCAATACCAATGCCGGTCGTGATGACGATGGCTGGTATGATGCAGATTGTGATAAGAGCAAGCTTCCATTGTACTGCAAGAGCCACAACAAAAGCTGTAATCAACGCACTGATGGCTTGGACTATTAACCCCAGCTTTTCTGCCATTCCTTGCTGTATATGACTCGAATTTGTGCTCAAGCGGACAGCAATAGCGCCAGTGTTGCCATTGTCGAAGAAAGCAACCTCTTGCCTCAGGGTTCTGTTGATACAGTCAATGCGCAATGCTCTGACTGTTCGCATTGCAGCGAATGAGAAAGCGATCGTTCCGACATAGAATACAACCAATTTTGCAATCGCCAGGTAGACAAGATACAGACTGTGATATAAGTCAGTTCTCAATCCTGTTGCTACTCTTTACATGGAGAACCACTCTGTCAAGCTATGTTAGTGCACAGTCGCTTGACAAGTTAGAGACACAGCCATAGAGATAGCTCAAGATGACACCTCTCCGTGGTAATCCCGTTTCTACAGCGAAAGTGTGACAGGGTCCAGTACTCCTAGAGGTCTTTCAGATAATCATACCTAGCTTGTGCGATTTCAGCGCGAAAGTGGCCGACAGAGATATTGCCAACCGCAAAGTCGTTGAAGGTATTGACAAATTGACCAAAAATAAGATCAAGTAGTGGTAAGGCGGTCCCCGAAGCTGCCATACAAATCATTCCAACTGTATACAGCGCAATACCTGGCCGATCGGCGTAATGGAACATTCGCTTCAAGTTGTCAGTCAAAACGTGTCAAGAATAACTTTCTACATACAAGATAGGCAGCCCATCCTTGGGTCTTTACTGCTTCATCTGTCGTGTCAGGGTTCGATGTCTTTTTACTATCTGGCATCGTATGGAGAAAAGATTCTGCGTGTGGACATTGTGAATACTACGCTGCAGTCACCGTGTTATATTCCAGAAAAATGCTGTCATCAAAGAAAGTCGTTCAAGCTCGCTGTCGATCGAAGGTTCGCTCGCAGCGCGCGGGAGCCGCGTCGTTAGAGGAAGAGCTTGGAGAACGCAACTATAGCCCTAACGTTCTCTACTTCACAGCTTGGCGCCACAAGCACCTTCCAAAAGATACAGCGACGGGCTCTACACAAGTGTATAGACGTTCGAAGAAAGCTCGCTGTCCGCGGACGCCCGAAGGAGCGACCAAGCTACCCATTTGTCTATACGATGTCTACAACAGCGTCGCAATATGCCAAATTTATCTCTTCTGCCTACGAAAAATCTCAGACTGACGCGTGCCCAGTCTTGGCTCACACAATATAATCGCTGAGGGCTCTATCTGGTGGTCCCACAAGACGTTGCTGGGCAGGAGCATCATCAAATACAAGCTTCCAATCATACCAAGCTCGGTGTCCGCGCCTTCTCGGGGTCCGGTATTGCAGAATTCTAGGGCTACTAGTTGCTGTTGATACCGAACGCAGAATGACAGACTCTGAAGATGGAGCGACCGCATTCAGCAGGTCATTGCCAAGAGCAGTATGTATGTCGGCTCTACATACCTTAACAACGTTGACATATTTATAGTGTGATGTTTGTCGAGTGCGGAAGATACGATGCGACAAGACCACACCCTGCTCTAATTGCAAGACTGCTGGAGTGATATGCAAGATCACTAGTAGAAGCAATGACATTACTAAACCACGATCTAGGGTGCTCATCTCTAACCAATAGTAAGCGATCAATTCAGGCTAGACTTGGAGCACAAACCCCCTTAGAGGATCTGTCTAACTCGATGTAGTGAACAGAAAATTGATCGCATGGAACAACGCCTTGAGAGCATCGAAAAGTTGCTACAGGTGTTGGCCTCGGGAACAAGGACCCCTTCGGAATGCAAGCAACCCGAATCTGGATCCTCTTCAGTGACCTTTACACCCACGCCGAGTAGTTCTTTGCCGATTCGTACTCCTCAAGTTGAGCAATTCGAAGGAGAGTCTTCCCTGGTCGCACATTCGAGGCAAGCCCATGAAGCCTTGCAACACCTACTGGAAGCAGCACCAATGACTATTCGCAATGATCCCAACACAGTCAATGCCCTTGCATCTCTACGATACTTGCTAGAAAAGCACCGCTCCGAACCTCCTAGCATCACTTTGCTCTCCCGGATGGGTTCGCTAAGTGACCTTCAGCATTCGGAATTACCTCCACGGGATGAGGTGCTGAGACTTTTTACGTATGTCGAAGGTATGCAAGCTGAATTATTGCAAGCCCTGTTCAATGCTGAGATTTTTGATAGCGGATGATTTGAATGACATGTTTACCTGGTGGCTCTTTGACGATGTCGAGGACTTTTACCGAATGTACGATGAGTTCTGTCGCTCGCCATCAACATGCCCACTTGCAACCTCAGTTTTGGTGTATTGCGCGCTGTGCTGGCTCTTAGAAGGGAATCCGATTATGCAAAGAGCTGGAGTGGACATGTCAAAGTATGCTGATTATGTCCCGGTTTGTTACAAACATCTGGCCACGTGCATATCATCTTATAATCTCTTTGTGGAGCCCACCGATGACAACATAGCAGCTCTCTCTTCTGCCGTAAGTAATCCTTCATCACTGTTGGCTCAGATCCTCTGTTGACACTGTTTAGGCTGCATTCGCCATCTACACCGCCGACATCAACGCAGCTTGGACACTGACGAGCACTGCAGCGCGTTTATGTCAATCTTTGGGCTACCATCGTTTGATCCCCAGTCGGAGTAGCGATGGTGGGGTATACGTTAAACGATCTATGCTATTCTGGTCGGTTTACTTTATCGACAAATCGCTGTCACTTCGACTTGGTCGAGCATCCGCACTTCAAGACTTTGATATCTCAACCTCTCCGAAAGATGTCATTAATATCTGGAAAGATCAAGGGCCTGGCCCTTTTGACTACAAGCATGATAAATTGATGGAGTGGTTGGCACTTTCGCTCGAGATGGCGAAAATACAGGTAGGTGAATAGTTTCATCCAAAGCCAGCAATTGCTTACAAGCATAGGGAGCTATTTATGATAGATTGTACGCTCCCGGAGGTATCAAGTCTCTGTCTGAGCGACAACGACAAGGCCAAGAATTTATCATCAAGATCCACGAAGTGTTGGCGATGAACCAAAAGGTTAGTGTTTTTCAATCTGGGCGTCAAACTACATGACTGATCAAATCTCGTTTTTAGTGCTTTGAAGAGCCAGGCTGGCTTCAAGAGTACACATCCTTCTACAAGGAAAGCAGTGATGTTATTCTCTACAGCTTATTCACGCTTGTCTATAGAGCCATGCCTGAAGCTGCCAACGCTCAACAGCTTTCCTTGCAAGCTGCAAGATCAACTATGCAAGTCCATTATAGTTGCAGCAAAAAAGCAGAATTCATGGGTTCAGAATTCAAGCTCGAATACATGACCTGGTAAGTCAATCGAAAATCCTTCTTATGAACAGCTTCACTGACCTATCCTAGGTCCATCATGTTATGTCCCTTTACATCCTTCATCGTCCTCTTCCGCAACGTCATCACAGACCTCAACATCTCCGACCTAAAACTCCTCGAAGACTTTGTCGCATCCATCGAATGGCTGAACGACAAATCCCAACGCGAACCCCTGCAACGCTTCCAACAACTCTGCCATGCCTTCTACAATCTCGCAAAACACTTTGTAGCTGCTCGATTGCGTGCAGATAATGAGCACAACGTTCCGACGGACGCAAGTCAGATGCTAGTCATGGATACCATGCAACAAACTAGTGGGTATGATGCATCGCTAAACGACTTGGCGTTTCCAGAGGACTTTCAGACTTGGATGGATACGAATATGGACTTTATGAATGATAATTGGTTGGCTTTTGGGACGCTTTGATGGTTACTCGATAGCCATCTTAAAAACTTCTTTTACAGCAAATCAGCCAAGTCGGTTGTGGTCACCTCCGCTGTTCCATGTCTGCGAACGGCATTACGGCTGGAGACTGGTCCTCGTCAAAGTCAACAAATTCTCACGTTACCGAATGCAGTTGACATTGCGAATACCCCATCAAGGCTCTTGGTTACGGAACTCGGACACGGACTCAACAGAAACTCTATGCTTCTCAGAGAAACATCACTAATATCGTCTGCATCGACTGCGAATATCACGACAGGGTTGCATACTCAACAAAGAAGAAACCGCAATATTTCATCAATTCAACTATAGCAACGGTTTGAATTATTGTTTGTTGTCTCTTGTCATAACTGTCATGATAGTGCATTGTATATAGATTTGAGCTCTAACTCTTGGAGGTCGTTGTGCCTGTTTTGTAGTCATATAAAGATTGTGAATTCCAAGCCTGTCGTAGTGATCGCCTTTCCCTGCTCGGCGTCACGATAACATAGACACACAAACATGGTTCTCTGCTTTACCACCATGCAGTACACTATCAAGTAAAAAATACAGAGATGACAAGACACATTTAGTCGTCTCATTCCCACGTCTCTTCAACCAAAATCCACCTCAGGCAACCCCCTAGCAACAATAGCATCCTGAACGCCATTCCTGACTTCCAAACAAGCTTGCCCCCACCCCTCTTTGACATCCTCTCCAATCTCCTTTTGCAAAACCTCTTGTTCAACCATCAACCCTAGCCATTTGGCAACCTTGACAGCTTTATCGACATCCCTCTCTTGCTTAACCACAGCCACCAGATACGTCACCAAAGAAGCCGTATCTTCCGCATACGGCGCCTCATCCCAAAACTCCTTGACCCATTCTCTGACTGCTTTTCTCAAATCCGGAAGTTCTGTCAGCTTATTCGAGGTGAAAGTCGGTTTCTGTGGTCGAGGAGGCAACTGGAAAAATCGTTCTATCGTATTGGCAGGTGTTTCTTGTCGTTTTCCTGTTCGTGATTTTGTGGCTTCGATGCCGCCAGAACGTCGGAGTTGTGCTGATCTTCGTTCGTCCAAGACCTCTTTTCTGATTTCGGGAGGTAGGGCTGCGAGAAAGTCTTCGTCGATTTCCTCTGCGGCGCTCATGTCGTCTGTATCCGTATCTCCGGCGACGAAGTTGGCTTGTGTGAGTGTGGAGTTGCCGTTGCTGGCTCTGGCCCTGGCAAACAAACCTCCACCGCGAGGTTTCCTTCCACCCAGCTTCTTGACTGGAGGGATAATGCGATTTTTGCGTGGTGATTGTGGAAGAATTGTTTGATCTTGTCCCTTACGTGGTGATGTTGTTGTGGTCTGGTACATTGCCATGACATCTCGACGGACATCTTCAGGCAACGAGTTCAAAATCTCTGGATCAAGTTGCGATTGATTGGGTAAAGTTATCGCTGCTGGAGCTACGCGAGGAGGGTTCTTCGCTGGCGTTGGACTTTTACGGCCATCAACTTGATTATCCGGGATCTGCTTTGGACGTGAATGTCTGATAAGTCTGGCTCGAATCTCTTCTGGCAGCTCAGCGAGTACACTAGGATCGACTTGGGTTGGAAGCGCAAATTGCGTGCCGTAGATATTTAGGGGTCTTTTGCTCGGTGATTGGTCGATGGCAATGTTGTTTAGAAAGCTTGAGCCGCAAACGTCTCGTACTTTGTTCCTCTTTGGCGTCTTGATGTCGTCTGTGATAGGATCTTCAGTCTGCTCGGCCTCAAAAGTAGTATCCGACTTCGGTCGGGTGGTTTGAGCTGTCTTGAATTGCAAGCGCGGTTGGCTGCTGTCAGCGCGACCATCCGTTCCAGCTTTGAGAGGCTCCAGCTTGGTCATCTGAATTCCTATTCCGCGAAGTTCCCCAGGACTGAAACCGAAACTGCGCATCACTGTCAAGACCTCTTTGGTCATAATGGCACTGTCGTTGGTTGCGACGCCAAGTTGGATACTCTTATTGTAAGTGTCGCACTTGCCGTGGCCAAGATGCTTTGGAGGATCGAGAGGAGCATCAGGAGACCGTCGCATGACTTTGACAGTCAACTGTCTGCCCTTTACATTCTCCTTGATCAGTCGTTTTTGCAGCTCCCCGCAGAGACTGACCATGAACTCATCAACTTGCTCTTGATTCTCGAAGCGGACGCCCCAGTTCACATCCGCGGACACTGATTTGCGAACAACTTGTTCGCCAACCTCAGCTCTGTCGATGCCTCGGCTGTACTCCCAGATCTTCTCGCCCGTCTTTGGACCAAGCGTATTGACTAGTTTTTCTTTTGAGAGCTCACGAATGTCTTTGACGTACTTGACGCCAACCTCCTCCAGCTTGCCGCCAATACTATAAGCGACACCTGGTAGACTCTGAACTTCGAGAGCGCCAATGAAGTCGAGAACATCCTCAGGTTTGAGCTGAAATTGTCCCGCTGGCTTTGCTTTTCGAAGGGCAATTTTGGCGAGCAATATGTTGCCTCCGATGCCGATTGACACATTGCATCCAGTTCGCTTTAGTACTTCCTCTCGAAGCTCTCGGCCAATGCGGTCTGCCTCAGACTGCTCACGGTAGTTGCTACCCTCGGATCGACGAACGCCATCAGTGCCGCCGACGGCTATACATTGAATGCTGATATCAATGAGCGCTTCGTCTACACTTACACTTTGCACCAGACCCCCTGTTTCCAGGATAGCGGAGTAGAACTGTCTGCTTGACTCTTCATAGGCTGGAAAGTCGTACGGAAGAACTTTGAGATCAGGGCACAGTTCCTGAGCTCTCTTCATCCACCTGCAAATATATTAGCTTTGATTTTTGGCGAGCAGTCAGCATGTGACTTGCATTCCATTCTTGACACCATACTCTCTTGCTGGATAATTGCAAGATGCGATCTCAGATCCGTTGCCACCAGCAGAGCCGGTACCGTGAGCAACCACACAAGGCTTGTCTTTGAGGTGCGGATGCTTTTTCAACGAAACAGCGGCGAAGAAGCTGTCGAAATCAACGTGCATGATATAACGACGAGCACCGACAGGACGCTTCGGACGGGTCTTCTGAGAGGCAGACTTTTCGGCTGTGAGCGCCTGAAGTTGTGACTTCAGATCTGCTTTCCAGGTTGACAGATGATGCAACCGTGATTCTCGGTAATACTGTTGAAGGAATTCTGGATTGACAACTGTCGATTTGCGGAGACGCGGATCAGCCAGGAGAATGGCGTTGTGCTCTTCGGCAGTCAACTCCGTAGCTTTCTGCTGAGGTTCTGCTTCCGGCATGGTTGTCTGTTTCGTGCTGTCTGCTGATGAAGCATCCTGACCATACGGTGACGTAGAATGAGGCGGTATCGAATCTGGCTCGAGATTCCCTTCTGCAGAGCTAGTACGTGGAGGAGTATGCGGTTCTTGGTCGAGTGGTTTCCGTTCAAGAGCAGATTCCACATAGTCTGACGCATCTTCCTTGTCCTCGTCCAGCGCCTCGAAATCCGAATCATGTATATCATCGTATTCAGGCGTCACTGTCGGAGGATTGGTGGGCGCTGGCGGACCTTTGAGAAAAGAAGGTCTTTGTGAAGATGTCTGGCTAGGAGCACCTGTTTGCAAACCTTTGAGCTGGCTAGTATACCAGCTGTTGTCGGTTTGGTCTCTGTAGCCTCTTACTTGTCTATTAACCTGACTCGACATTTGACCATTGTTGAAAGCAAGCACTTTCTGACCAACACCTTCGTCGACAACGCGATAGTTGTCCCATGGGAGACACTTTGCAGCTGCGATACTATCGACGATCCAAGCAGGTTTGACGATTCTATATCGTTTGAACTCGACAGCTTTCTTGGGCGTAAGGCTGCTGGCGACGATGTGTGTCACAAAAGTCTTGCCATCCAGGTATTGCGCAAAGCCGCCACCATGAGCGACGATCATGGTGTGAAGGTCATTTAGTGAAGGTTGGGTGTAGCCGTTAACGTAAACCACAATGCCCTTGAAAATGGGTGGATTATCAGATCGAGCGCGCAATTCCGAGTCCAAGTTTTGCAACTTGATCCTCTTCCGGCGCAGATACTCTCTGTGGCCACCAAATTTTGAAGCTTCGTACTCGTCGCCGGCTTCATCTTCAAAGGTATGGTTCTCGATGCGTTTGCGCGTTTGCGCGGATCGTGTATCAAGGCGGGAATTCATGCCGCATGTTCACCAGTGTTATAATGGTCGCATTGCACGTCGTGGGTCAAGATCTGATGTAATACAAGATTCCGTCGAGAGTGGCATTGTTCATGGTGGCTTGCTCGAGACAAAGGATGCTAAAGTGGGACGCGAGACACGCGCCGCCACTCGTTCGTGGAGAATTCGATGTCGAGCGTATGCCAAGAGATGACCCTGATTATCTAGATGCAGGACTACTCTCACTCAGAGACGCGTTCATCAAGACAAGTATACAGTTTTTGATTTATGAAGTGGATGGGCTACAGTATATGCTTGTATATAGTATTGGTATGAAATTCGAGTTGTGGCAAGTGATGGAAGCCAACGATCTTCACCATGAGCTTCCTGGGCCTTCGATGCGATGAAAGTCTGCGTTGCCAGGCAAGCAGGTGGTCCGTGCACAAAATTTTCAAAGCTGTCTCTCATCAACGCTGCGCTGCTCTTCTTGTCTTCACTCTTTCATCTCTCTTTTTTTCTTCAATCAATTCATATCAAATCTATCACAATGGGTGTCCTTCCTATGGCTGTTTTCGGACTCGAGGTCCCTGCCGGCGGCATGCCCGTCGCTGCCAGCGGTGAAATCCCTGCTGCTGTAAGTTTTCCCAGCGAACCATTCTCTACTAAGACAGCAATGCTTACGCGCATATCAGTTCCGCCTGACCATGGCTGCCATCGACCCCAGCGCCGAGCCCGAGTTCGACGAGGACACCAAGGGCAAAAAGCCCCGTGCCACCCTCAAGATCATCCGCGCTCCTCTCCAGATGGAGGACGAGGACGACTCCGACTTCGACCCCGAGGAGATGGACATGATGCTCGCCTCTGACGACGATGAGGAGGATGATGAGTCTGACGACGAGGCCGGTCCCAGCGACCCTGCCAAGTCTAAGAAGGCTCGCAAGGCTGCCGCCGCTAAGCAGCTCAAGGCAGAGCTCGAGAGCATGGATGTTGACTCGCCCAAGGTCAAGGGCAAGGGCAAGGTCCAGGCTGACGACGACGAGGAGTCTGACGAGGACGATGAGGATGACGAGGATGATGAGGAGTTCGAGCCCGAGGAGTTCGTTCTCTGCACTCTCGACCCCGAGAACGTAAGTTACCACGCTGGTCAATCCATTTTTTTTGTCTCGCGAACGTTACTGACAAAGTCCAAACAGCACTACCAGCAGACTCTTGACATCACTGTCGGTGACGACGAGCGTGTTTGGTTCATGGTTACTGGTACCCACGACGTCTACCTTACCGGTAACTACGTTGAGCCCGACCACACCCACGGACCCGAGGAGGACTACGACTCTGAGGACGAGGATGAGGACGAGTACGACCTCTCCCCTGATGAGGATGAGCTTTACGGCGACGAGGACTCTGAGGATGAGCTCGACGACATGGAGGACCCCCGTATCATGGAGATCGAGGATGACGAGGCTCCCGCTCTTGTCCCTGCTAAGGCTGAGAAGAAGGCCGACAAGAAGGGCAAGAAGCGTGCCGCTGAGGACGAGGCCGAGACTCTCGACGACTTGATCTCCAAGGCCAAGCCCGCTGAGAAGAACGCAAAGAAGGTCAAGACCAACGAGGGCAAGGCCGTTCCCGCCGACGAGGCCGCCAAGAAGCTCGAGACTCCCGCTGCAAAGTCAGACAAGAAGGTACAATTCTCTAAGAACCTCGAGCTGGGTCCCACCGGCTCGAGCTCCCCCGCTGTCGCAAAGGGTGCTGAGAAGTCCAAGGCTCCCGCCGTCAAGACCGTCAACGGTGTCACCATCGACGACAAGAAGATCGGCTCCGGCCCTGCCGCAAAGAAGGGTGACCGCATCGGTATGCGCTACATTGGCAAGCTCCAGAACGGCAAGGTCTTCGACTCCAACAAGAAGGGCAAGCCTTTCAGCTTCAAGCTCGGTACCGGTGAGGTCATCAAGGGCTGGGACATTGGTATTGCCGGCATCCAGGTTGGTGGTGAGAGACGTATCACCGTCCCTGCCCACCACGCCTACGGCTCCCAGTCCCTCCCTGGCATCCCCAAGAACTCCACCTTGATCTTCGACGTCAAGTGTGTCGAGATCAAGTAAATTCGGAACCGCCGCGACGACACAACAAGCACAATACCCGGGCCCGACATGGTCCAACCTTTAGAAGATACCCAACTTGCATCTCCTCGACATTAGAGGTGACGATTACGAACAAGACCTATTAGGGGCGAAAGAGCACGCGATGATATGTAACAACGTGTGGGGGCAGGAATGAAGGGTTCGATCTTCGATTTTGGAAGCAATAACATCTCGATTCTCGCATTAGAGAGGAAAGGAAGAGACGTTTGCTTGGTACAAAAAGTTTTCTTATGTCTAAATTATAGCGATAGCGTGTCAATTATCACCAACTTTTCGATTGAACAAAACATCCTTTATGCATCTATACGTGTTTCTTGCTCTGTGGTGTTGATGTGAATCTTGTGCTGCTTGTATGGATCTGGGTCACTCAGCAGATTTTGAGCACTTGTCGCAAAGAGCATCAAGTGGATATTGCGGCGAGTAAGATTCGAACTCACGATCTCTGCGTCTTCCATAGTGGACACCTCGCAACTCTGCGAAATTGATGTCCGAAAGAGCTTGTGTTTGCAAGACACATTGACGCAGCGTCTTGACCGGTAGACCATCGCCGCTGATGATCATGGGAAATATTCTGGACGAGATTATAAAGATGTCAAAACTTGGCCATGGATAGAGGAGGTACAATCGGCAGGAGCAGGTGACGGATCCAGGAACGGCAAGTACGAAGCAGGTAGGCTCAGACCTAAATTGACTACCTAGGTTGACTTCAGAAACAATCTGAGTATCCCAGATCTACTTTCCAGCCTCCTTCCTCCTCTCCATAACACCCAAGACATCTTGAGCACTATTCTTGTCACCCTTTCTCTTCCTACCTCTCTTTTTCTTCTCTTTACCACCACCCTCATGCCCATCATCGTCATCATCACCAGCGCCACCTTTCCAAGTCGACAACTTGATCCTCTGTCCATCATCGCCCTCCTCCTCATCTCCAAACCTCGAAGACCCGAACCCAAGATCCATGTCTTCGAGATCGCGGTCACTGGCTGCAAGCATCTGTGCTCGTTTCTGCAGACGTAGTTCTTTGGCTTCTGCTGATTCGGGGGCTGATGGGTCGTCAGAGGAGGATGCATTGAGGGATAGGGAGATGTTTGAGAGGGCGCCGGCTTTTTTGATGGCGGCGAGGAAGGAGGCGTCGTTGAAGGGGTTTTGGGGTGCTTGTGGTTCTGTGGTTTCGTTGGTTGTGGTTGTGGTGGATTGGAAGTAGTTGCGTGGAGCTGTGGGTTGTGTTGGTGGTGGAGGGGGTGGCATTGAGGTTGTTGTGGCTTCTTTTGATTCCGAATTTGATGTTGCTTCTGTCTCTGAAGAAGGTGACTTTGATTGTGATGGGGCGAGCTTGATCGCCTTCTCCCGTACTTCTCCATCTTCGTCGTCTGAAGAGTCATCGTCGTCGCCCAATCCTCCTAGCGGGTCGTAATCATCGCCAACGCCATCAAAGATGTCGTCATCTGAATCGTCCTTGGTTGCTTCTACAGGTTTCTCAACGGGTTTCGGTGCTGGCACTGTGATACCTTCGTCGAGGAACTTGTGCGGTTGTGCTTGTTGAGCAGGCTCTTCGCTCGGTACCTGGACCTTTCTAACCTTCTTCTTGACGTTTCCATGCTCGTCAGTGGTGATAAGGACTTCACGCCCTTTTGCATCCACTTCGATACGCGAACTTGCGCGCGAAGAACCAACGTCACGAAACTTGTCGCCCAACTCTGGTCTCGCAGCCAATCTTGCATCAGCCTGCGCTTTCCGTTGTGCTTTCAGCTCAGCCAGGATTTGATCTCTAGATCTCTTTGCGCCAGCGACGGGTGGAGGAGGGGCCATTTCTCCCTTCTTGACGACCTTCTCTCGCTCGACACGAGCAACCTCCTTCTCTTCGAATTTCTCAAACTCATCTTCTAAGTCTTCCTCTTTCGCAGGTCCAGAGCCTCCCAGCACATCTTCACCTTTTCTGACTCGCTCGAGCAATTTGCGATCCAGACCCTTGACCAAATGTGTAGCACCAACATCACCGCCTGTAATTTGATCGCGTAGAGCCTCGAAAGTCGCATGGTCGAGTTGTCCGAGTTTGACTTGTTCCTCAAGAGCTTTGATACGGGCAGCTCGCTCATCGGTCTCGTCATCGTATCGGTTCTGCGTACGGTCGGTGAAGCCTGAGCCTAGTCGCGATCCTTTGGGCGCAGCACCGCCTTTGAACTTCTTGGTAGTCTGGTTTGCGGCATTGCGCTCGGCAACCTGGCGGGCGAAATCGTTTCCAGTGACACCTCGAACTGAACGTGGCGTCATGGGCATAAAAGAAGAGCGTTTTGATCCAAGTGATGAGGGTACGGCACTCGGCCGCGGGTTGCTGCTGGCACCATCTTGTCGCGCCGGTGTATTGAGCAGCTTTCTGAACTGGTCGTTATTCATTTTCTTGTCTTGTCGCCGCGAGGACAGATTTCGAGGCGCAATCGTCAAAAGTCAGCGGCTAAATTCGGTCAACAACAAGCCGAAATCGCGTGGCTGCGTCTTTTCGGTTTGCGGGGAGTGCGAGCAAAAGGCGGGGATGATGGTTTAAAGATGCATGTCACCCTGCCATCCTTCCTATCTTGGCTGCTTGTCGATCTTTGAAGTTAGGTATAAATAAAGTCTTTGCCATGTTCGTCTCGATTTCTTCTCTTTGCAAAGCGACATGTTTTTCCTTTCTGCACTCCCTTCGCTAGGGCTTCTGACTTCTTTTGTCTCTGCTCAGTACTCGAATACCACTAATGGTACTTCCGCTTCCAATGCCTCCACATACACAAACCCTATCCTCAATGAAGTGGGCGCAGACCCATGGGTAATTCGTTATGGAGACTATTATTACATGACGGAAACTACCAATACCAACATAACTATACGTCGAAGCTCTGTCTTGACTGATTGGAACAATGCCGACGTTAAGCTGGCCTTCAACCCACCCCCAGGCATGAACTACTCAACTGACCTCTGGGCACCTGAGTTGCACCAGATTGATAACTCCTGGTACATCATTTTCACCGCGGACCCCGCGAATGATTCGCCTCCACCTGACGTCGACATGTGGTGCGACTTCTCATGTCCAGCAGTTCACCATCGCATGTATGTTCTTGAAGGCTCATCTTCTGACCCATGGGACTCGACCTATACTCTGAAGTCTCAGCTCAATACTTACGATCAATTCGCTATCGACGGTACCTACTTCCAACATGACTCTGGGCTGTATCACATCTACAGTTGCTGGTACCGTCAATACGATGCCTGGCCATCAAATCTCTGTATTACCAAGATGTCCGATCCTTGGACTGTGGAGAGTAACTTCACGGAACGTCAGATCATCAGCGTGCCAGATAACCCTTGGGAGAAGACACCTTATGGACGACCTTGGAACTACCGCCTCTCATCCAACGAAGGACCACAACAACTCACCAACCCTACTACGGGTCAACAATTTGTAATTTACAGTGCTGCTCGATCTGACAACCGCAACTATTGCCTGGGTCAGCTAGAGCTTGTTGGTGATGATCCGATGAACCCATCAGATTGGCGCAAGAACAATGAAGGTTGTGTCTTCTACCAGAACCCAAAGGAAGAAGCGTACGGAGTGGGGCACGCCAGTTTCACTAAGAGTCCCGATGGTACTCAGGACTGGATCGTGTATCATGGTATGAGAGATCCTACGAATGGATGGAGTGCGAGAACGATTAGAACACAGCAGTTCACGTGGAATGCTGATGGTACACCCAACTTCCCAAGACCTGGGTACGGACCTTACCCAGTGCCCTCGGGACAAATTTGATCATATTGCCTTGGTTTTATGCTAGAGTAGCAGATAGAAATGCCATTGGAATTTCTTGGTTGCATTTCCGTTCATGAAGCATGTCGGCACATAAAAGTCCGAGGCTTGGCTACCTTGGTTTACAAAGCAGTGACTGTGATTGGCTGCAGCAGTGGATGCGATCATAGCTTTTCGAGATTCCCGCTTTGCCCGTGCTTGCCATTCTGACAAAGACACACAATCATCACTCTTCGACTCACAACACTTGACTACTGCCTACGACTCGCCCAATCAACCTCCTACTCGACACATTCTCTGGCTCTCTCTACAACTCGTATTCAAATTACAGCAGCCATGTCTCTGCCTCGCGCCACATTGTCGGCTCCGACAAGCATGTTCCGATTCGCCGCTGGCGGTGCCCCTCGTGCTCAATGCCAACAATGTCTGCGTCCTGCCTTCCGCACATCACAGCCTGCTCTTCGCTTCTCTTCGCGACGAAACCTGCAGACCGCTACCGCATACCGTCCCTACTCACTGGACCCCATGCCCTCGCCACGAAACGCTGGTGTACCCGAGACTTCTATTGCTGGTCTTCCCCCGCTTCCATCCACCTCGTCGCGCCAGTCCAAGCCATCTCCCGCAGCAGACCAACCTGTCAGCGTTCCTGAGCAAGAAGCCCAAAAGTCCTCGGCCGCAAACACATCATCCTCAGCAACCACATCTGCCACTTCCAAGCCTCAGAGAAAGAGCAAGCTGCGCCCTCGCAAGGCCGCCATCACACTGTCGCCTGCCGCTGTAACACATCTGCGCGAGCTATTGGAGCAACCCGAGGCAAAGCTGGTCCGTGTTGGCGTCCGTAACAGAGGCTGCTCAGGATTGGCATATCATCTCGAATACGTGGACAAGGCTGGAGCATTTGACGAGACGGTCGAGCAAGATGGTGTCAAGGTTCTGATCGACTCCAAGGCTCTTTTCAGCATCATTGGATCAGAAATGGACTGGCTCGAGGACAAGCTGAATGAGCGCTTCATTTTCAAGAACCCCAATATCAGTAAGTCAATCCGTATATTTATCCAGCCTACTGTCAGCATGCTAACATATTTCTCAGCTGAGCAATGTGGTTGCGGAGAGTCCTTCAGCATCTCCTGAGCATCGTCTTAGCCATGCTTTTTTCTCAATCTCACACTCCTGGATGACCATGAACTTTTTTGCATTACTGGAGTTTCAGCGTCTTTTGCTTCTTTAAACTGTACATATTTTGGGCCTCGCAAGAGAGGTTACCCGGTTCTTTTGACAACATACCCCTTCTTACATCTTGAACGCTCTTTGCTCCTACTAGACGATTACAGATCAATAGAATCTTGAATGCTTCTGTCTATCTCTATTGTTCTGCTCCTCGGTTTGACGTTTTCTTCTAACGAAACTTGAAGAGAGACCGTCTATATACCCACTACAACCCTACACAAGCAGAAACAAGACGTTCAACCATCCTTGCGCCTTACCTCCCTATTTTCCCACTACGCTGAGATTGTTATTGTCCTAGCACCTTCGAAGCTTCATCAGTTTGGTCAGATGGCCGAGTGGTTATGGCGCTAGTTTCAGGCTCACCTGAAATGGAGTTTACTAGTGAGAAATCGCGTGGGTTCGAATCCCACTCTGATCATCATTTCCTTTTGTTTTGTCTTGCACACACGTTCTCTGACAACTAAGGTTGTTGTCTTGCAAGATATTGGAGGCTTTGCTTTTGGCGATGGTGTAGGGAAAATTTGCTTGCGGAGGCTTGGCAGAACGTCGACTACTCGAGTAGGCAGGCTCATAAGGGACTGACCTTGATGGGACTTAATACCATCAGGAATTTTTTTCTGCCTTCTTGTTTGGGAACCAGAAAGGACGCTGGGAGAGAAGATACATATATGATCTGAGAAAAATTCATCGCAGGGTGATCATAAGCAGAGGACCAAAAAGAGCCGAAGCAAAAAGCAATAGGAAGCAGGAAGATTCTGCAAAGAGCAAAAGACTGATTACAAGCCCAAGGAGGAAGATGCAAAAGTAAAGTTGATTGTTGAAAGAGAACGCTAATTGATGTGATGATGACCTTGTGATCCGAAGCCCAAAGAAAACAGATTATATCCCTGAACACCGCCAATGATCCTGAGTTGTGGGTGTCCGACGCTAGTTGATGGAAAAAAGAAGAAATCCTGAATCGACTTTTGATCTAATCCGCAATCAAAAGACCCAATGTATCCTCCGCCCCAGAGTGAGACGCCCGAAAACACAATGACAAAACTCCGAATAGTGATCCAAGAGTAAGAAGGAACACAACACCTAAAGCACCTTCGGCTTCATCCACTCAGAAGTGCCGACACCAAGATTCAATCCGTTGCGCGCCCACCATCGTCTGACTTCCATACCTTTTCTGCCTTCGACGCCATCTTCGAGCGCCTCTTCAACATCGCAAGTCTTGTACTCGACCCTAAGACCACTCTGCTTCCACCATTCGAGGACATTCACATGTCCCATTTTGGTAGCACCGACCAGGACCTGGTTGTCAAAGATCATTTTAGAGCCCTTGACGGCATGCCAGACCTTCAACACCTCAACATGTCCGTGTGTGCTCGCGAGCTTGGCGACAGAGTCCTCGTGAGGAAATGGGATACCAGAGTTTACCCACCAGCGCACAACATCTGCATTACCAGACTGTGAGGCATAGCAGATTGACTTGCCAGGCTTCAAACGAATGGGCTTGGAGTCGTCATCAGGACTTGAGGCATGCTGGTGGCGCTGAGAGAGTTCGCGCCACCATTCTAGAACTTCGATATGGCCAGATGAGCTACCTTGTTCGAGTGCAGCTTCGGTGAAGATCAGAGTGAGGCCAGATTTTTTCCACCAGTCTAGCACGTCGATGAAGCCTTGTCGTGATGCGCCATCCAAAGTCTCGGCGGTATACTTCTTGTTCAAGAACCAAGCTGAAGTATTCCAGTATTCCAAGATTTCGACGCGACCAAAGACAGAGGAGGCTTTGTCGGGAAGGAATGTGCCATCAAAAGTGGTCCAGAACAGATCTTTGTGATGAGATTCAAGATATGAGAGGACAGACGTCATGCTGAATCGCATAATGAGCTTGATACAGAGACGAGATAGCCAGCGTGGTACCGAGTTGTCGGCGATGAACTTCTTAAGGTCAGATAGGTTGCCTGTCAGCAGTGTCCATTCCAGTTGTTCCATGTATGTCGTTGGACCTTTAGTACTGGCATGTTGTTGCCATTCGGAAGGTGGCTCAAGATTGGTATAGATGTGTAACGTTTTGGCAAGTTCCCAGTCGTTGGTCGCATCGATGATCATGGACCACAATTCTGGTGGTAAGACGGTACGCGACTTCTTGGAGCTAGTCTTGAAAGTGGTTGAAGAAGCATTAGGCGTGACATGGACACCGTGACCAATGTTCATCAGATCAACCTGGTTGCGGGCTGTGTCGATGACTTCGTCCAGGGCATCCCAGCTCGTCACCTTCTTCCTGTCATTTTCAAATGTCCACAGCAGTGGTTGCAAGACTTGTATCCAATTCCACTTTCTCTTTATTTTTGTGAGCTGTTTTTTCGTCATTGGGTTCTCCCACATCAGACTTGACATTCCAGGGACCATGACTATCTTCTTGGAAACATTCCAGCTTCGCAAAATCTCGAGTACTAGATTGTCGGTGTCTCCGTGCAGCATCTTGGCCAAGTTGTTGGCGTCGATGGGAGCCAGAACCAGCAGGTCAGCCCATTGACACAAATCAAACGCCTCTTTCTCGATGTCTATCACGTCTCCAGTCGACTTCAGTTGGGTGCGCGATACGTTAGGGATGGCGAGGCAGTTGTTGGAGGCGGCGATGAGGTCGGCACCATGTGAGCCAGGATCCAGTACGGCTCTGACAGAGCACTCAGGCAGCGATACGAGCTGTGGTAATAGTTTGGTGATGATATTGGCATCGGTGCATCCAGTCGACGCCACGACTACATTCAGCGAGCGCGGCGTCATGGCCTCGGCTGTCTGTATGTCGGGCACAGTGATGGCGCTTTGTGCCATCTTGGTTGTGTATTAGGTAGGAGGAAGTCGAGCTGCGACAAAAACCACATCCGTCTGGTCAAAAAGGCAAAAGGCGCATACAGTCGGCCTTTTCCTTAGGATTCCTGTCGTGACGTAGGAAACGTCAAATTGTCACGAGCTGGTTGCAGCTATCAGAAACGATGTATCGTCTCGTTGGTCAAGCGCTATCGGACGGTCGACATGTCTAAACTGCACCGTGTACTCGAATCGACCAGCGATAAATCGAGGAGGGACGTATGTTTTGAGCAAAAATTTAGGCTCGTTGTTCTGTTGCGGTAGCCGCTTGAGCCTCTTCCATGACCGCCATTTCGAGGCCAATCGCAAGCCAAGACCCTGACCACATCCGACCTTCCCCGACCTCATTGGCTCCTGCATTGGTTCCCCTTTTTCCACACCTGACCTTAACATTGGTCTTGTCTGTAGTCGATCCATCAATCTCAACTCGCATCGCAACGTGATCCATCTTCGTAGGGCGGCGACAAGGTCTTGACTCGATGTTCTGGCATCGCATGTGATGTGTTCTGTTCATCTCAGATCTATTCGCCGTTTCCGTCGTTGGCTTCTTGATCATTGTGACATAGATGCAGACACTACACGACTTGCGTTTTTATGGCAGGCACATCGCGCGTAGCTCTTTCTCAACTTTGGGAAGCTTTGCGGGTAGTAGCGTTCTCATAGTACTGAAACGCTCTTGGTCGCCAAATCATCTATCATCAATGCTCAACCACTTGTGGAGACAGACACTGTTCTGAGCAATCGTACAACATAACGAATGATTGCTCCATACAGCAAGAACGGAAGAACGCCTGAGTGATTCAGTCCATCGCTCTTATTCGAATGATCATCTGAAGTTCTTGAACGGCAACCTGCTCCGACCCCAGCCTTCTCACCACGAACATCGGACTATCGAAGCTTGTTCCCAGTAATCTGCTCGAACCTGTCTATCTCCTGATTCTCACCAAACTTTCTGTCTGCAAGTAAGTGTGTTGAGAGTCAAGCAGCCCCAGCCTCAATGGGATATATATATGTAGGTCAAAGTCGACGACCACTGCGTCTAGCATCTTGACATCTTCTCAACAATGGCTGCAGGAATTCCCAAATCCACATTTCTCGGTACTTCTGCCGAGTTGTCCCTCGAATATCTCGGGTCTGTGGATCGCGTGGTCACCAACTTCCTCTGTACTTGGTACCATGCATTTCCTGCTTGGAGGAGGCCCAAATATTGTGCCCAAATCCTCTCTGATCTCCAAGCCCATCTCGAGAAATTCTTTGAACTCGAATACTACTTCAAGGAGACCCAGATTCTGCAAGCGGTCATCAAACGCTGGGGCCAGGAAAGACACAGCGACGCTATCTTGAATTGGTTGCATGCCGAGTTTCTGCTTCGTGTTCAGGAAGCTGCATGGCACCATTCGACAACAAGCAGTGAGGTTACTCTGCTCTCCGACAAGATCACCAGACTTATGGAGGAGCTCGAGAAATCTACCCTTGCTCCCAGCTTCGATTACAACAGCCGAGAGAAGCACGAGGCACCCGTCGTGCTTCGAACATTTCCTGACGAAGACCCGAGAAGCTCTACAAACTGTGTCCAAGAGTCGGCAAAGGGAATCGAAAACGGCGCCGAGGAGAAATTCCATCAGCTATATGCCAAATCAGAAGAATATGCAGCTCGAATCCATGCATTGGAGAGCATCGTTTCCGGACTTTTGTCCAACGCTTCGACGTCTTCGATTGAGGCGAGTATATCTGCACAAGTAGAGAATGGGCAGGAATCTTCGGGTGCTCCAGGTGAGAGTTCCGAGGCGCTCACAGTTACCATGCCCACGCCCGCTCCCGTAAGATGCGTCACCTATCGTGATGGGTGTCGAAACTGACACAGAGGCTCTAGACTACCAGAAGCAGCTCTCCTATCCAGGACCCACAGCAACGCTGGCCAACCGTAGTTTTGTGTGTAAAGGACCATCACACAAACATGCTAGTGAGGTTGGGTTGTGATTTACCCTTTGGGGGCTTTAGACGGAGTCTCAGAAGACCCGATTCCGACTTCATTGAGCTGTGGCATGGGAACACTCAAATCATGGATGAAGATACGCCAAATAGCGTAAGTCACACAGAATCGATCTCTTTGCCACTTCGTTACAGTATTGACTCGAGATACTTCTAGCTTGGCCTCGAAGAGAATTCGTTGATCAACATCGTGGTTCCTGTGCACAGAAGTGATTGGGTTGACGTGTCTAAAATGTACTCCAGGAACACACTTGCTGTCTGAGTCGAGTTTTTAGTGTCTGCGCTCAACCGCGATGTTTATAAAATAGTCGCCATTCAGCCGGATCAAAAGTTATATCAGATATAAAAGTTATGATTTCGTTTTTTGCAATATTCGAGATTCACGTCGTATGTTCCACCCAGTAAACTTCGTAAGGCAAAGCTATCCTCCCACTTTTTTTAAACTTGCTTGAACCGCACTGTGGTTCGATCACTCCCAAAACTCAATGCACTGACACGAGGGTTCGTCTTCCTTCACTATATGATCTGAACAAGCCTTGTCCTCTGGCTTGGTTCTACGAACACTTACTGAAAATCCAGCAACAGCACCATGTCTGAAGAATTCACCAAGCCGGGAGCTTACTGGAATGAATACATCCGGGGGACAATAGTAGATGTTATCGCAAACCTGATCAGAGACCCATCCCAGCGAGCACCTTTTTGGGCATCGATAAAGCAGGATTCGAGAGAATGTCAGAGCCTGCCAGAACTTCTCCAGGTATTCGCCCAATATGGATACCGTTTGGATGAGCTCAGGATCATTCAAGCACTGTTGATCAACCCTATTCAGTTTGGAAACAATGATCACCTAGTGTTCATACCGTGGCTGGTCTTCGACATTCTTCCTAGGCTGCAACAATCTCATGCTCGAATTCAAACGCTCGAGACCACGGTCGACCTGCTCTCGAAAAAGCTGGCTGACTCCATTGAGGACCTTGCAGGAGTTCTGCCTTGTAAACATCGCTGTTTGGCGACCGCGCGTGCCCATCAAGTGCAGTCTAAACGTGCTCTACAACAGCACAAAAGCATTCAAGATTACGACACAAATGCCCCGAATTCCAGCACCAGAAGTACAAGTACCCCAAAGTGTCTGGGGACCGACGATACCTACAAGGCACTCACAGAACGGATTCAAGCTCTGGAGAAAATGATCCAAGAGAAACGAGACAACATAGAGGCCCATCAGCCCTTAGTGATGGTAGAAGAGTCTGTAGAGACTGCTCGCAATCAAACCATGCGAGACGCAATCCAAGAAACTTCGTCGGGGTTTGAGGCCTTGTCTGATGCTTCAGCGTCTTCAACCTGCACTCTCACACCCGCTTCAGTAAGTCAACCAAAGGAGATCCGCGAGAACCCTACTAAAAGCGAGCAGACTGTGGTGAACGAACCTCTTGGAAAAAGCAGCAATGATGACCATGTCCGCTCTGTTGTATTGGAACTACAGATCGCTGTTTATTACGACCTTGTCCACATTGTTGGGGATGGCCTCCGCCATCCAGCCTTTCATCATCCATTGCTTGTTAGGACGAACTCGAACACTCCGTTCAAAGTCCTTAAGGACAAGCTCCGCGACAGATACTATGAGAGAAATGGCGAGATGGATCTGCGTCTAAAGCAATCACCCCTTAAGTGCTTGTTTGGCAGCGACACGCCTACTTCTGTGAGTAGATGACAATGAGTTCTTAACCTTCTGACTAATAATGTATGTTTCACGCAGCTCGAATTGACAGAAGGCGTGGAGCTGATGTATGCCCGCATTAACGGTGCAGTCAAGACTATCGATTTGACAACCTAACAGCGTAGTTCTTAGTACTTATACAGAGCTTTGCAGGAAAGCGTATGGACGAATGCGCCGAAAGCCGATTCCAGAGTAGTATAAAGAGAGGACAGGTATCAGTTCATGAGTTTTGCTTTACGGCCAACCCCATCCACTCTTTCTCAGCAGATCATTATTTCCTGATGACCAACTCAATTCAATCATGTCATATCCTTTCAAAATGGAAGCTCCAGAGCTTGCTTAGAGCTTATTGACCTACATCGTTCGATTGAGCATGTTTACGCCTATAACAGGAAAACCTTGTTTGATCACACATCTTTCCATTTTCTTCTTCCTCCTTGCCAATGTCTTTTCTGGTTCACAAGAGACCAGATTCCTTCGGATCTAGAGACAAGTTCGACTAGAAAGGATACATCTCAGACGCCACAGAATCATTCTCGCCGCCATAACCTTCATCGACATCTCCATCGGCCTATCAAGCCACGATCTTCCAAAGCTTCCTGGATATTGCCCAGATCACCGATACCAGGAACCATTACTCCCCTGGCTTCTAACACAGCATGGACCTACTGCGCGAGATGCAGATCGCCACATGTATTAGCCTTACCTCAATGGTCTGTGTCATTGGCGCCACATACATACTACCACGTTTCTGGGTAACGCCACTCCTACATGTTCTGCTTGTGTACTGGTGTCTCACTGCTGTTTATATCGTATTCCGAGTTTGGACCTTTGAGACGCTGAAGGAGCCTAGACATCCGGAACCACAGACCTTTGAAGAATTCTGTGCGATGCTAGGCTACAAACCCAAGGGGATGTCTTGTGAGAACACAAGTGACTGGGAAGACATAGAAGATACGAGCAACTCATCCGAGACATTTGGTGTTGATACACCTTCCGAGACTGGCAGGTCCAGCTCAAGCAGTACTTCCATCTCGACAGATTCCGATACTTCCTCTGACTCGGACGACACAATTTCCTCTCTCGGCAGTGCCATACAACCCTTTCCACAACAGAAAGCACCAAGGTATTACAAAGGTCCACGTGCTCGTTTAGAAGCGGCCATAAGACGCAGAAAAATAGCGAGACCAACCGATACCGCCGCTACGATGATCCAACAGCCAGAACCACCAAAGTCGAAAGATCAAACCCCGATCAAAACCCTTGCGGTGAAGCTGAATCAACCACCAAGGGAAAACCTGCCTGAACGTTCACACATACCTAGGAGGAGAATGCCGACCGGCCACCAGCCCATGCCTACATCCTACATGTATGAGAAGGCCAAACAACAACCCGCCGATGTCATAGTCCTCTATATAGTAACAGGAATCGAACACGAAGAAAGAATGCTAGTGCGCATGTACAAGACAACTCCATTCGTTTTCCTCAAGAACGAGTTGAGAGACAAGGACGACATAGTCAGCGAACTAGCAATCAAAGATCCTGATGGAGGAGAGTTTCCGGTGTTTGACTATGATACACCACTTTCTGTGAGTTTCCTTCTCCAACAAATGGTACCAAGATCTGAGAGGTCTGAAAGCTGATGTTTGAAGATTGGTTTGAACCCCTTGAATATGTTGTTCTGGAGACCTATGCCGGATTTGCCGATAGCTCTGGATTTGACTGGGAAAGATCAATCGAAGGATAGGCTTGCGTTTGGTCGATGTAAATGTTCTTGCCCAAAGACGTTCAGAGGGGATGTGTACTTGTAGGCGTCCGAGGTCGTATGTGTAGAGTACTGTTGAACCGCTTTAATGCATCAAATGCTATATAGCATCTGACCTATGAAGGTGTCGGGAACAAATCAGATTAGCAGAGCGAGTCAACAGATCATTCCATCTGTACATGCAATCCTGAGAACTTGCTCAAAGCTTTGGACTTGACTGAAGACATCGAAAAGGGCCATGGCCACTCGAGGAGCATGCCGAGCGGTAATGCTAGAAGAGGTTGAAGAGAAGTATGTGCTTTCGCGAGTATGAAACAAAGGCAGTCTGAACATATTTATCCTTACTGCTTCAGTCGAATTTCTTGAAACTTTCCAATGTCGGCGACACCAGGCGTGTAGGATATGTGTTTTCAAGGCGGACCTCGTCACCCTTGCTCTCCCGTCGAGCCGTTCCTTTCACGTCTTGAGATCTTTCTCTCTGCCTCCTTTCTCCTGCTCGGTTCTGATTGAGTGTACAATTCTTGAAGGAACTGCTTCAACCAATCAGCGTCCTTTTCCTGCCCTTGCAATCGCAACAATGCCTCAGCATGCCTGCCTCGTGCAATCCAAGGGGTAATAGATGGTTTCTTGACCATTTTCTCCACGATCTTGGGATTCTTGGCCAGGTGTTGAGAGTGCTTGAGATAAGGCATTGGGTCTGGCTTTTCCGGATGGTACAATGGAAGCTGAGCCTTCAATGGCTCACTGACATCCCGTACAGTCTCGACGGCGTCGAGAAATTCTTGCCACAGCTTCGTACTCGTATTTGGCCATCTGGGGGTTTCAAGTTTGGAGTTGACGTCCCAATCTAGGGTTGTCTTCTCCACTGGCAGCATAAGCAATTTTGCGCATTCCATTCTGGCGGGAGCGAGTGGGATTGAATAACTGCTGGACTTTGCTCGCAAAAATGTTTCCACAGCTCCATCAAGACTGTCGTGGTCCGAGACAAATGCTTGTGTGGCGATGAGTGCTTTCACAGCATCAGCTCTCCAGACGAACCGATCGTTTGGGCCTAGACGGGCAGACTTGCGGCTTTTCTGTTCGATCCATTTCCATACCAGTTCCTCTTTACTCTCCCGCACGAGATGTCTGACCATATGCTCCAACAGACTGGTATCCCTTGGAAACTGATAACTGTCGTGGTCGTTCCACATCCACTTGATAGTAGCTTCTCCCAGTCCTTTGTCCCAGAGTTCTCGTCTCGCCGCTGTCTTCAGGCACGCGTGAGCCATGGGTTTTGTAAGAGTGCCATCCTGTAAATGTTTATTGAACAATTCAACGGGGTCCTGGTTGTCATGGATTCGGGGGAAATGGTATTTGCTGTCGGATGCAGAAGTGGCTCTACCGGAGAGACGGCTAGTAACATGATAGTAACAAGCAGAAGAAGAAACTTGTGACTGGACAGGCTGTATCTCGCGAAGTGCCTTGTATCCAGCAAAATTGAGCGGCTTTTTCAATCGAGCGACGTGCAAAGCCCGTATTAGATTGGTACGCATGCTCATAGCGATCGAAATTTGATAATGGAAATCGAAATGTAGAGACGGCGGCGACAACTGGTGAAGTTTGCATGCTTTGCCAAGACTTATGTTCCAGCTTGGCGAACACCTAGGAAGACACCATTTGATCAGCTCCTTGTTTCTGGAATGAATACCGGTATCTTAAAATTCTTCTTTGGACGAAACCGATAGAATTTGCCATGAGGGATGTCTCAAGAATGTCTTCATGAGAACTCAAGTCTACCATTTGGCCACTTTCGCTGTCCATGTGAATACGTAACTTTTGCGGTCATTCAGTAAGGATATGCTCTACACTCGTCTTCTCTACTCAAGTCCAATCCATTGGCCACTTGCTCCTCATGCTTCTTATCCAGATAATTCAACAGCACATCCCCATACTTTGCCTTACCCTTGTACTTGCTAACATCATCACCCCAACTCCTAATCGAACTAGCCAGTCTTCCAGGCACATAATCCTCTTCCGCAATTTCTGTGATGGGGTGGAAGTACGTGCGAATGGTAAACAACACACCTCCAGATCTAGGTAGACGGCGAAGTGACTGACACTCGGAGCGGAAGTAATGGTGTTCGATGGCGCGATTGGCAGCGGCGGTATCCCAGGAGGGTTCACCATCGTCTTCGGGTCCGATGCTGTATGACCAAGCGAGATCTTCGTCTACTTGGAGGAAGTAGTTGTTGCGTTTTACTGGGGCTTCGGGTTTGATGCGGCGGAAGAAGTTGTTCATGCCTTTGCGGAGTTTGTCGTGATAGCCAGGGACGTCGCCGCTGTAATGGAGTCAACATCGATCTTGCCGCCTGAGAACAAAACAAGGTACGAACCTATAGTGAATCTCGTCGAGGGACATACCCAACTTGTCTTGCAGACGCCAGAACCCTGGCAGCAAGATCGCACCAGCGAGAAGATACATCTGGCCATCCTCCTTTTCGAACATGATGGCCAGGTCATCTTGTACCATACGTGCAGCCATCTGCATAGGGTCTTCACGATTACCGTTCATGGTCAAGACATCCTTCCTGATATCGAAAGTCTCGTCTGAGAACAAGTTGACCATTCCATGTTCAGTCTTGCGAAACATGCTTGGGTAACGCTCGGGCAGGTAGCCACAAAGCTCTTCCAGAAGCTCTACAGCACCATCGAAGACTTGCGGGCTTGGGTCTGTATGAAAGCACTTGCTACCTCGTTCTTCGATGCGTCGCTTCTTGTCAGCGTGGAACCTAGGGTAATGGTTGTCTAGTTCAATCCACTCATCCCAGTTCATGGTGCGCAAGCCCATAGTGATGTTGTACTTAGGCCCATAGCGGAAAGGTCGATATGGCAGAGGCTTGGTTGTTTCGAGGGACCAATCGGGGTATGGTGCGGCGGTTGGCCTCTTGAAGTCCGAAGGATACCACACTGCGAGTACCGTGAGATACGATCTAGATGAAGAAGCAAGCGAACTCACCACCATCAGGTCTTTCGGGTGCCTTGGTTCGTGTCCCTGTGGGCTTTTCCGGGTCCGGTGACCGTGATTGTACTCTGGATTTTGGTTCTGAGCCAGAGAGATAACGTTGTAGGAGATAGATTAGAGCTGCGAGACCCAGGCCAAGGTATATCAGAGGTTTCGCCTCTTGTAGTGTTGAGATATTCTGGGTATAAGCAATGCTATCATGCAGCATTGTATGGAAGTTGCTCATGGCGTCAAGGCAGTATAGGTTCAACTTGAAGTCGATATTCTTGTGAATATAAGCAAAACTCAATTGCTTGAGCAGGCAGAATGTTTAATATATACATTGTCCGTCCTAGATTTATCTTGGTCGTGACGATAAGGCTGCTGGAGCCCCCGCCATGTGAATCTTATCAGCCCCGGACTTAACGTCCAAAAATGGACACTGATATGGCCATAGTGGGGCTCACGCATCGCCAATGTCCAGTAAAGATCTAGTAACTAAACTTGGTCAACACTACACATCTATAATCGCTCTGACTTGCCCAAATCGCTAGAAATACAATCAGATGACTGGTATAAAAGAATCAGCATTAAGTAAGCAGCCCTAAATCGAGGGCTTCCTGCGGCCTAGAAGACAGTATTCCCCCCATTGGCGGCGGTACTTGGTCGGAATGAAGTCCCAGTCAGGGATCCATCCAATGCGACCAATAATTCCAGTACGCGAAGCATCCAGGAATGGCTTGCATGACAACTTCTCCCAGGTCTCTGTCTGGTTGATATAGTCTGGTTCTAGAGCAGACGGCTCGGTGCCAGGGAAGGTCGAGTCGACCATAAAAGAGCAGTGTGATAGTTTGGTCTGAGAGCAGTCAGCACTGATCGGCAGTTCATCGAGAAAATGACTTACATATTTACTAGGATCTTCTATATTCTCATCGTTCATTCCACTTGGGATAAGCCATGCGCCAGGATACAGACCAAAGCCACTGTCAGCCTGACTAAAGTCGCCAGGGAGCAGACCAGTGAACTCGCTCTTCACGAACTTGGCACTAACACCAGTAGGAAGGTGGTATGAAGAAGGGAATCGATACCACTCCTTGCCCAGACAAACATTGTCGCCAGGTTGCGAAACGCCAGGTGCGCGCAGAGGTGCGTATACACTCAAAGGAGCATTGTAAGCGGTGATCATACCAAAGGTTCTCCAGACTCCGAAGTCAGCAGCAGCAATGAAGCAGAGCGCAGCGAAGAATAGTCTCAACTTGGCAGGAATCATGGCGATGAGGGAACGAGGATTAGAAGTGCCGAGCCAAGTGAGAAGAACATGCGCGCCCATTGCAGCGTTGAAGCCCAGCGCAGGGTATATAGGGTACATGAAACGCTCTTCCTTGTGAGGCTGAAGTGTGAAGATTGCCAACCAGAGGTAAAAGGGAGTCAGGAAGAAGACACCGCGCAGATTCGCCTGCTTGAAAATAGGTTGACGAAGAACAAAGGTGTGAATGAAGTAGAGAGGCATAGCGGCCAAAGCGATGATGAACCAGATGTTGAAGTTCAGCAAGAGATTGCGTGCGTAGAAATGCCAGGGTTCGGTGCCGTAAATATCAGGGCCTTTGCCCTCGCGAGCAGCAATAACATTGTACCAGACAATGTTGTAAGGCACGATAGCAACTCTTCTATAGAAGAAAGCATCAAAGCAGAATTGCAGCACAAGCACAATGACAGAGCGAACAGTGCCATCGAGGATGCGGTACAAGAAGTCAATGAATTCTTGTTTGTCAGTGAAATAAGCGAGCATGAACTCCTCGACCATAAAGGGTGCGACGAGGGCAGCTGCAAAAGGCCAACCAAGGAAGGCACCGCCAATCATGCACATCATACCCTGGGCGGTACGCATACCTCCGCGCCAGTCCATGAAAGCAGCCATACCAAGAGCAGTGGTGTACATGGAGAAGGATGAGGGCAGGAACGAGACAGATGCATGGAACATGCCAGGGCTGGTGAGCATGATGAGGAAGAACAGCATGCCGAGTCTAGGATTAAGAGTGCGTGAAATCTTGGAGTAGAGTCTGGCTTCAGAGCCGGCACAGATGGCACCCAGCATAATGCGCAAGAAGTAGAATTTCCAGACCTTGGGCAAACCCCAGACGGGGATGATGCGACGTAGTCCTATAACGATGGCATGAAGAGAGACATAGCCCCAACTGCGGATTGCATATTCGGGAGAGTACTCCCATGTCTGCTTGCCATAGCCATCGGTGAGGTAGTGAGTGGGTTCATAGTAGTTGTAGACCTCGTCGCAATCTTGTATGGGGAAGTAGACAGCAGCCAGGGCGTGGGCAGCAGCGAGAATGTAGAAGGCGATCAGGGGATTGAGATAGACGGGGTCGGCGACGGCATCGAGGGGTTTCCTCAGGTCGGCGGGGAACATGTGGGTAGGGCGAGCTTCTGCTGGAGCGGACGGCGTCACGGGTAGAGCCTTGTTGCTCTGCTGTTTGGCTGCTTTCTTGGCCGTCATGGTCGTCATAAACTGGCGACGCGCCGGACGCGCCGGCGGTGGAGGGGACGGCATTGCTACTGCGGGCGAACAGTCAATGGATTGAGAGCAGGAAGAAAAGTGTTCAAGACTCCATCAGAAGTTACAATATTGAATCGAAGCCTTGACCACCGACTTCAGCTTTCCATGTCGGTCGGAGCTTTGGGCCTTCAGCTCTCGACAAGCAAAAGGTGACGCCCTTCCGCCGCTAGTGCCCGCGCGCTAAGTACCCCAGATGACGCTAGTATAGCATTAAGTCCGCGAGCTCCGATGGAAAATCCATCTTTTTCTGTTTGCGCTGCGCAAACATTGACATTATTGTATCAATGTTCGAGACGAGTCCTAGACCGAACAAACGCGCCCGTCTATCTCCCTCACCCACCATGTCGACTTCTGTTCCCGTCGACGATATGGACGACATTTACGGCACTCCGTCCGCCAACAACACGCCTGCCCTCGACACCTCCCAAGCAACCAGTTACGTCGGCGCGAAGCAGCTTCCCTCGACCCACTCCCCTGCTGCTGGCATTCCTGGCTTGGGCTCATTCTCTTCTGCCGCCCTGCCTAGCCAGTCTCAATCTAAGCCTGAGTCGGTCTCTGCAACTGCTCAGCCAGAGATCGCCAAAGTTGAAGGCGACATCACTCAACCTACCGTCCCCGAAGAACAATCTGAAGACCTCGCAACTGAGCAGCCCGCTACTGCTGTCGCTCCCGCCGAAGCTGCCATCAAAATCGACGCTGCGTCTGCTCCTGCGCAGATCGTTCGCGCCGATGCCACCTCCGCTCTGTTCGATGCTCTCTCTAACAACGACGAGCTGAACAAGAACCTCCCCACTCACCCTACGAATGAGTCCGAAGTCACTTCATCGTCCACACCTGCTGCAGAATCCGCAAATGCCTCTACATCCACAAAACAGCCCGTTGATCCCGAATTCCTCGAAGCTGCCGCCGCGCAGAAGGGCGCTGAAGGTGCCGAATGGCAATACGACACATCCGACGCCGAATCCTCAGACGATTCTACCAGCAGCGATGACTCCTCGAGCGACGAAGACAGCGATGAAGAGGGTTACGAATTGCTCGACCCTGCTACTGCTGCACGCATGCTCATGGAAGAGGGTGGCATTGACGATGAAGATGGAGGTAGCAAGGCTGCTGGGGGAGCCCAACTTCGCACCAAGAACGAAGTCCCCGAAGAGGTCATCCCCAAGCCGGACGTTACTGTCACTCCCGACATGAAGATTACACCCTTGGGCACCGTCCAGCACGTTGTTGACACGCTGATCCTCATCAAGGCCTTCACCTCTGGTGAATACCAGGTCTTGGAGTCTGGTTCTGTCTTGTGTCTGGAGAATCGCGAAGTCATTGGAGCTGTTCAAGATACCATCGGCAAGGTCGAGGAGCCTCTGTACTCGGTCGCCTTCACTAAGCCATCCGACATCTCGGATCTCAACATTGCAGCAGACACCAAGATTTTCTACGTCGACTCTCACTGTACCTATGTCTTCACCCAACCCTTGAAGAATATGAAGGGTACTGATGCCTCAAACCTGCACGATGAGGAAGTCGCAGATGAGGAGATGGAGTTCTCAGACGACGAGGCCGAGGCCGCTTACAAGAGAGCTAAGAAGGAAGCTAAGAAGGGCGCGAGAGCTGCTCGCGACCAGCCCAACCAGCCTCCTGCTCCCAAGCCCTACACTGGTGGAGCCATGAACTACGACGATGAGCCCGAAGCCGAGGATATGTATACGCCTCTTGCCCGTCCCGACAACCTTCAAGACATGATGGCCAACGGAATGCCTCCAGCTCGTCGCCAGTTTGCCGATCGTGGCGGCAGAGGCCGTGGTAGAGGTCGCGGAAACGATAGAGGTCGTGGTGACCGTGGCAGAGGCGGACGTGGTGGTGGTCGTGGCGGATTCGACAGCGCGAACCAGCGCAAAGGCCCTTCAAACTCCTACCCCGACTCACACAACAATGGCTCGCCAGCCTATGCTCAGCAGCTTCCACAAAAGCCTGCAGTGCCTCAGCAGGTCCAACAGATGCCTCAGATGCAGCAGATGTGGAATCAAGCTCAGCCTCAGATGGGCTCCCAGTTCGCCTTCCCTCAATTCAACCAGCAGCAGTTCCCTCCCCCACCACCTCCTCAGACCCAATCACCCTTCCCCAACATGCAGTTTGCCTGGCCACCCAATCCTCAATTCTTCAATCAAGGTCAGCAGCAGCAGCAGCAGTCCTACAATCAGGGTCAGCAACAGCAGTCTTACCAGTTCCCCGGAGCACCTGCAGGTGCATTCGTCAACCCTGCTTTCTTCCAGCAGCAGCAGATGCAGCAGCCACAGCAACAACAGCAGCAGGCTCCTGCAGCATCAGCTCAGACTGGTGGTCCCTCACCCGAGGCCATCCAGGCCGCTGCCGACCTCTGGCGTAGACTTCAGCAGCAGCAACAGTAGAGTGGACTGTAGTGCAAGTCTACCGGGTGGTGAGCAGGCTACTGTCAACGACAGCGTTGTACAATAAGTGTTTCTTTAATCTGTGCCTTTTCTGCCTCATAGCGTTATACTTGAAGCACCAATGTCGTGCTGAATGCACCAGCTCAATGCCGAGGCAGGTTTCATGTCCATAGTACCACAAAGTCACGATACCTTCTACAATCACCCCTTATTCCAGGAGCCAGTGTTATCAGTGCCTTTGAAGTAGCCGTCGTACGATGATTCGGTTGAGACAAGGATGAGCACCACATCATGGTGAGCCACAAAGGGGCAGAGGACATGGCAATGGCAGGCTGTTCGTAAGTTGCTCACCAAACATCGCATGTTCGTAAGTCGCTCACCGGATATCTACAATTCCGGATACCTTCAACTCTGATAGAAGAGAGAGAGGTCCTAGACTCTTCTGACCAACCTAAACATGTAATGTGACACCACCTCTTGGTCAGGGGCCAGACCATCTCTCAGGGTGCGTTCTCGGAAGCTCAGGAAAGTATGGGATCTTACGGGCAGCCACAGAATGGGCCGCGAGTTCACCCCAGACCTCGTGGCGGCCTAATCGACACGAGTCGCAGTTCCCTCGAAGTTCGAACAGGTCCCGACAGAACGGCAGAACTCGGGGCGCATTCGCACGACCCTTTGGGCTTTAGACCCGGACTTGGCTTTCTCCATGGAACCCATCCCAATTGTACTGTTATGGACTCTTATCTTTGCATGCGTGTTCTAAGTTCGACATTGAGCAAGCCACAAGATAGCGATGTCCGGATGTATATATAAATGCGTATCTCTTGTCAGAGGATTCCCCAATTCCCCGATGCCAACCCTCTTGGCGATGCAATCAACCCATGGACAAACAACACGGCATATCGTTCACATGTCGCAAAGCGAGTGATGGTCAATTTTGGCTCACAGCCCGTTACTGTAGTGCTTTTTGGTCAGAGATAAGAGGTGGTCCCAGCCAATGAGAAGCCTTGACACTGAGTCTGACGTTCAGCTTCTCGAATCTGAAGGGCGCGACACTACGCCCAAACAGGTCAAGTTTGGTTGAAAGATAAGCGTCCGAGTTCGGCTGTTCTCTGACTGGACGACGTTCACTGATAACGAGCACTCACTGTTGCGATGGACACACAATATGAATAACAATCATCCACAGGTTTGTGTTTGCAAAACCAAGCATTGCTTCCAAGAAACGCCATCTCGTCATGTATTCTGCATGTGTAATCCCCCAGCGGGTTCACAAGTGGAAAAAGCAGCATGAGAAATGGCATGGCTAACAACCGATTGAGGTCGATCAGGGTTGTCCCAGAGTTCTATTCGGGCCTGCCAGTGGCGAAAAACAACAATTCCTGCCGGCCACTGCCTCGAAGGTCCCTGCTTGCTTCTTAACGTGTTGCGTACTGAGGTAAGCAGGGTTTCTTTGATTGTCTCCCGCGCAAGAAAGCCAGGGCAAAAAAAGCAGTGGTTTGGCTGCAGACAAAAGTCATCTTGGCCCGTTGCGCGCGGATGTCGCTGATAAGCCTCGCCCGCTGTTGCAGACAATTTCAGTTTCGATGGGCAGATCGATTGACGTACAACAAACCCTTCGATTATCATCTCTAAGTGTGGCCCGTCTCCCTCCGCTAGTTGAGACTCTTCAAGAGAGCCAGATCCGACCCTCGGTCCCCATTATTTTATCCTCATCCCATCAGTCCGTCAGTGCACATCACCGTTGTTGCCGCGTGCTGAGCCAGTGACGGCCTATAGAAGACCTCTTTATATATCTCCTGCTTCCCCCGACCTTCCCCAGCAGTCATTTGTATATCGCGTGCCCATTTCTCACCCCTCGGACTATCCCACACCTATTTCACCTTTCTTGTGGAGTATCATCTCACTCTCTGGATCGAGGACATTACTGGCTTCAGCGTTAAGGCCCTTCACTCCCACTTCTGAGCGCAATCGACGCTCGACGCATATCGACCATGTCTTACTCTTGGTTCGGCGCACCTGCCCCATTCAATGGCACTGAGCCGGAGGGTGGTGATTCCTGTAAGTTTAGATCGCACTCCGTGGTACCTGCGTGTGGACTTGTTCTGACCTTCTTGTAGCCACCCAAAACTTGAACCAATGGTACCAATCTGGTGACCAGGCCTATATCATCATTGCATCGGCAATGGTGTTGGTCATGATTCCGGGTCTTGGTTTCCTCTACTCAGGTCTGGCACGAAGAAAATCGGCTCTCAGTATGATCTGGGCTTGTATGGCATCTTGCTCAGTCATCACCTTCCAATGGTATTTCTGGGGATACTCTCTGGCTTTCTCGGACCTCGCGACCAACGGTTTCATCGGTGACTTGCAAAAGTTTGGTCTCATGAAGACTCTTGGTGCTCCTTCTCCTGGCTCCCCTCTTATTCCTGAACTCCTCTATGCCTTCTACCAGGTATGTACTCGACTTCATTCTGCACAATTACATTTCTCTAACAAGATCATAGATGCAATTCTGTGCTGTTACCGCTGCCATCGTTGTCGGTGCTGTCGCTGAGCGTGGCCGCCTCATTCCTATGATGGTCTTCATCTTCTTCTGGGCTACTCTTGTCTACTGCCCCATCGCATGCTGGGTCTGGGGTGCCCACGGTTGGGCCTACAAGTGGGGTGTCCTCGACTACGCTGGAGGTGGTCCCGTCGAGATTGGCTCCGGTATGTCTGCTCTCGCCTACTCGTGGGTCCTTGGAAGACGTCAGGAAAAGATGATGCTCAACTTCCGTCCCCACAACGTCTCTCTCATCACTCTCGGTACCGTCTTCCTTTGGTTCGGTTGGTTGGGCTTCAACGGTGGTTCAGCTTTCGGTGCCAACCTCCGCGCTACCATGGCTTGCTGGAACTCCAACCTGACTGCTATGTTCGGTGCCATTGCTTGGGTCCTTCTCGATTGGAGACTCGCTCGCAAGTGGTCTATGGTCGGTTGGTGTTCCGGTACCATCTCTGGCCTTGTCGCTGCCACTCCCGCTTCCGGTTTCATCACTCCCTGGGCATCCGTCGTTCTCGGTATCGTCACTGGTATCGTGTGCAACTTTGCAACCAAGGTCAAGTTCTGGATTCGTATCGACGATGCTATGGATGTGTTCGCTGAGCACGGTGTTGCTGGTATGGTTGGTCTTTTCTTCAACGCCATCTTCGCTGCCTCCTACATCATCGGTCTCGACGGTGTCAACCAGATCGACGGTGGATGGATTCAGCACAACTGGAAGCAGATGTACATGCAAATCGCTTACATCGCCGCCGTCACCGCCTACTCGTTTGTCGTCAGTGCCGCCATCGCCTGGATCATCAACAAGATCCCTGGACTTCACCTTCGTGCTTCTGAGGAGGCCGAACTTCTCGGTATGGATGATGACCAGCTCGGTGAATTCGCCTACGACTACGTTGAGGTCCGTCGTGACTACCTCGCCTGGACTCCTGCCCGCGACCAGCCTGAGACCGCTGAACACCAGATTCCTCAGGGTGAGCGCCACGGTATTGCTCAACACTCGCAAATGCTCGAGGGCAAGGCTCCCAGCGAGAGCGACAGCCAAGGCAACGAGCACACCGGTATCGGTGGTGACCGTCACGCCGTCGCTTACGAGAAGGCGGAACGCGAACAGAACCACGGTTAAACGTCTGTCGCGTATCCATCTTTTAACGAATATGTCTTGTTTCTGGTTTTCTTTCTACACCACAAGTCTTGTTGTTCGTGGTTTTTGAACAAAAAAGTCTGGGTTCGTTAGACCGACGCTGGTCCTCGGTGCACATTTTGTTTGTTTTACGATTCGTTTTCTTTTTTGGGAGCGGGAAGAGATCTGGGATATTATTGCGCGATACCACCACCACCACCGACTTTTGTCTACTTTTACATGTAAATTCCTTTATACTTTTGATCGACTATTTCCGATGGGTAATCTATCACATTTCTGATCAATCTCGTTGTCCATTCTGCTCTAGACCAATCTGAGTTTTCACTCTTTAATGTGACCAAGATAGTTTTGCCAACCAATAACACTTGCGACTTGTCTCCCTGGAAAGCTGGATTTCGTCGGTAGCGTTTCTATGTCTGTTGCTGCTTGTCTTCAACCACGACGTCGCATCCGTCCATAGCTTTGCTCAAGTGCGACGCGCTATCATGCTGACTCTCAAAATCCCGTCTGAAAGTGAGATAGGTGCGTTACAAGCTCCTCAGCACCTTCAGGACCACATGATCGAGTCTCTCACAGTGGTGATGCGATCATCGGTATACAAAGGGTGGATCGTGCACCTGCGGATCCCATGTTTTATTAACCTGAAGGCTTCGATTGGTCAAACGTGTCCGCCACAGAGCCGCAAGCCCCGCTTGTCATAAGCTAGCTCAACTCCGAAAAGGGTAGGTACGGCGGTCTGGGTACTATCAAGGTCATCAAGATCGTGATAGCTTCTGCCTGTTGGATATGTAAGCCGCGGCGTCTTCTCCTGCGGTCAAGACTCACCTGCTCTTCTTCCTGAGACACAGCTATCTATTGTTATCCTCTCCTTTCCCCTTCGGACTTTCGGAGTTGTACGACGCTAGAAAGATCAGCGCAAAATGTCGCAACAAGAGACACACCGGCCTGGTATGGGCGAGCAGGAGCCTCTGCTTGGAGGACCTGGTGATGCGTCGCAGCAGGACGGACTGCCGCTATACCACAACCTTGTCATCGGTATTGTCTGCCTTGACGGTATTACACAAACCAACAATACTAACACAGACCTCACAGGGACTGGAGCCATCGCACAGGTTGGATCCTGGATTCTTGTAGCCATCGTCTGGGGCGCAGTATTCTCCAACCCCGTCATTCTGTTCTCGGCGCATCCTGTAAGGCTTGTCGACCCGAATACGCACAAAGGCTATGCTAACGCGAAATGTTTCTGCAGTTGCTCAACTCGGCCGCGATCCTGTTGTTCACCCAGGGTGTCCTTATTCTCCAACCCACGCACACACAAAAGCAAAAGAAGCACGGCACTTGGGCTCACGCAGGACTCAATGACCTCGCCCTTGCCTGCGGTATTGCCGGACTCGTCGTGATCGAGTACAACAAGATTTCCCACAATGGCACCCACTTCGTGTCACCTCACGCAATTATGGGTCTGATTACATATATCCTCATTCTCATTCAGGCCCTTGTTGGCTTCACGCAGTACTTTGTGCCGCAGATCTATGGCGGCGAGGAGAACGCAAAGAAGCTGTACAAGTACCACCGTGTGAGCGGCTATATCATCTTCTTGATGCTGCTTGCGACTGTGGCAGCTGCGACGCAGACAGACTACAACAAGAATGTTCTTGGAATCAAGCTGTGGGCTGTGCTTGTCGCTGCTGCCATTACCTTGATTGGAGTCTTGCCCAGAGTCAAGATGCAAAAGTTTGGCTGGTTGGCCGGACAGTAAAGAGTTTGCAGACAGAGTTTGACAAGGTGGTGAGCGAGAAGGGTCTTGGAAAAGACAAAGATAGTGTCGGGATACGATCAGGGGAACATGTGGAGAAGCACGCACAGAGGTATACATATAAGTGGAGCTTGGGATGGCCAGAAAAAAGGGGACCCGAACAAAAAGGCAGCCCTTGTGGAGCTGTGGTTGATGCACGATGGCGCGAAGCTGACTGACGAGTTGAGCGAATCTTCTTGATACATGTACGCGTCGGTCACAAAATTGATGATGGCATGTCCGTATGACCCACGATCTGATGATGAAAATGCAGAAAATCAGCAGTCAGCAGGCGGCCGTTGTCCGCATAGACGGTACTAGGATGCAGGATGCAGGTAAGTGCATGTAACGGGGGTTGGTCTTTGAGTTAGGTTGCACAGCGGTTTTGCTCAGGGGTATCGGATCTGCGGTGAGGCCTCGGGCGGGACAGAAGGTTGCTGCACATATAAACCCCAAGACCCGGAATAGGCGAAGAGGGCAACACTAGATTGATCATCGCCATCATTCGTATCTTCGCAGAGGAGCCGAGAAGTCGTCGTCGCAGCTCGAAAAAGCAGGTTGTTGCAATTGGACAATTTCGGCACAGGCTTCTCCAGACATCGGGGCTCTCCAAACGGCCAGTGCTTCACCAAGGGACTATTGTGTTGATCTCTCTCAAGCGGCGCATACGTACTGGTTGCTCGCCTTGCCAATTTTCTTGAGCTCAGCAGATTTTCTGGTCTGAGACTTATAGAAGCGCATGAGCAGCACACGCGTATGCGAGTGAGCAGAGAACCGGGGGCGGTCGATTGACTGCAACCAGAAAAGGGACGATCATTTGTACGAAACAAGCCCGTCGGCAGGGGCAGCCAAGAATACGACCATGGCCATGGATGAAACAACAACTCTCCACACGTCTGCCTCTAGCAGCGACCTCAAGCGCGACTCTGCCATCGCAAAACCCTCGAACAACAATGGCAATGCTCATGCTTCAAAACTGACTCTTGCCCCGAGTGCGAGCGTGCCGTCCATCATAGTCCACGATGCCATCGCCGCTTCGACCAAATCCAAACAAAGCCCTCCTTCTCTTTTGCGATCCAACTCCAAGCCTGTTGACGAAGACAGCGACGCAGACCTTGACGACGATCAACCACTCTCCACCAATTCCCATTCTCGTATCCGCTCTTTTCACCCCATCGACATGGATATCCCTACCACCACCGATGACTTTGCCGACCTCACCTCGCCCGACTCGCTCAAGTTTTCGACACGCGGTAGCATCCTGTTGAACTCGAAGAAACTGGCAAAGATGATGCGAGCCCATGACGGCGATATGACCGATGGCGATGTCACCGACAACGACTTCCACACGGCTCCTAATTCGCCAACCTTCTCACCACCCATGCAAGCCCCGCCGTCTCCGCCACTCTCGCCCACCCCGTCATCCCCGAAACAAAATCCCAAGCGCCTGACAACTGGCCCTCGCGTCCCTAGCGTACACATGCTGAATGCCGTTCTTGATGGTCGTCGCGTGCTGTCGGCCGAAGAGAGGACCTTTTCGCAAAAAGTGAGGTCCATGTACAAGTATGGCGATGAGAGGGCTGCTGAATGGACGGCCGCTGGTGATATGGACCGAGCAGACACTCCTGAACCACCTACTCCTTCACGCTCTCTTACCAACCCTCGCCGAAGACCCGTCACAAGTCGAAGTGCGAGACCCATGGATTTCCACGACCGCTTCAGCTTCATTCAGAACGAGCACGAATGCGCAGGTGGTGTTGAAGACTGGGAAGACCTCTCTGGCAAAGACGTCGATCGCTATGGCTTCATCAACCCGAACAAATTTATCTCTACCGAAGGCTCGCAAAACTCGTCTGTAAAGCCGAGTCTTCAGCGTGTTACCACATCACTTCAGCTCTTATCCAGCAGTCCGCGCAGGCGCAGAGGCTTGATTAGAGGTCCTTCTAATGCCAGATCCTCGCGCTCCCTACCACCTCCTACTCGCACCAACACTCGCACAACTGTCGCTTCATCTCCATCTGGTCATGCAGCCTCCGTATACTCCTTCCAATCCAGCCATTCACAACATCGCTCTCACAACCCTTTCCGATCACGCGATCGCCGCCTGCTTGACGAAGCGAGCGACATGCTCACATTGCCCGCCTGTCTCGATAACCTCGCAGAAGAGGATGCGCATGAAACCTTCTTGAGAAGGCGCGAAATTCAGCGCGAGGAAAAGTGGCGGAGGATGGCTCGTCTGATGCCACACGGCGCAAGAGGCGGCGGTATGAACTTTGAATTCGATGTCACGGATCCGAAACTTGTCGCGCGCACTTGGAAGGGTGTGCCTGACAAATGGCGCGCAACCGCATGGCATGCATTCTTGTCTGCCTCAGCCAAGCGTCGAGGAGGCTGCCAGACTGACGAAGAGCTTATCGAGGTCTTCCACGAACTGCAAGAAGAAAGCTCCGCCGATGATGTACAGATCGATGTCGATGTTCCTAGAACGATCAGCATGCATATCATGTTCCGTCGCAGGTACCGAGGTGGACAGCGTTTGCTTTTCCGTGTCCTCCACGCCATCTCTGTCCACTTCCCTTCCACTGGATATGTCCAAGGTATGGCTTCGTTGGCCGCGACTTTACTCTGCTACTACGATGAAGAACACACTTTCATTATGCTCGTACGCATGTGGGAGCTGCGTGGACTCAAGGTACTCTACGAACATGGTTTCTCGGGTCTCATGACAACGCTCAAGGAGTTTGAGACCGACTGGCTGGCTAACGACCAAGACCTCAAGGCCAAGCTGGATGATTTTGGAATCGATGCCATGACCTATGGCACCAAATGGTACCTTACACTCTTTAACCTCAGCATGCCTTTTCCAGCACAACTACGCGTCTGGGACGTGTTTATGCTGTTGGGCGATGCTGACTTCCCTGGCAATCCACCACCTACTCGTGAAAGCAAATCTACTTTTGACGGCGCCGACCTGAGTGTTCTGCACGCCACCAGTGCTGCATTGGTCGATGCTACCAAGTCTCTCATTGTCGAAGGCGACTTTGAGAACGCAATGAAGGTGCTCACTAGTTGGGTACCCGTACGAGACGAAGACATGCTCATGCGTGTCGCAAAAGCCGAGTGGAAGATCCACATGAAGAATCGCAGACATGGCTCTGCTTGATCTCTCCTCCTGACTGCTTTTTCGGAAAAGTTTCGTCTATTTTCGTTTTTGTACTTTTTCTTTCCTCCCTCCATATACCCCCTTCGCGACGCATAGAGAGCGTCACGTTCCTTGTTATACCTCTCCTGTTTTTCTCTCTTGTCAACCACCTACAGATACCTACCTACGCATCCTGCGCATCTCTTTTTGCATTGATCTTTTTCTCTTTTGTCTTTGGAATCCAGGTTCTATATAGATAGAACTTTTGTCTCTTTTTCTGTTTATCAGCGACAACCCCGTGGCGGTGTATCATTTGTTTCTTTGGTTTTTATCCTGTAATGTTAGTATCTGGGCATTGCAGAGGACTTTTTGGCGGTCTAGGGATTGATTGGGTTGTTTCTGGAGATATACCCCCTTTCGAGTGTTTCGAATCTTGAGAAATTGTATTGGCCACTCAAATCCGGATTCCCCTCTGTGGCAGTAATTCTTGTTGCAGTATCTTGCTCTTGTCCTTGATCTTGAATTGATTCTTCGTGAGCGGGTTGGCTTTCGGAGCGCTTCAAGCGCCTGCAGGTCCCAGCGATTTTGCAAGTTTGCCGGCCAAGCGAGACAAGACAAGAACTCCCAACCTCCTCTGCCTTTTAGCTCACTTTCACCTGTCTTTGGCGATTGCACACAATGAGAGCCGTTGTCCTATACCGTGCGTGATGGCAGACTAGGCTTTAGAATATCTATCCAAGATCTTGACTGTCAGGATGCAAGCAGATGAACATTCATTCGTTTGAATAGCAGACCAAGTAGACAGTGGCAGTGATGCAACATCCTTTTCCTTCCGGTGTAGTTGAGCCTCCGCCAGCCCAACCACCTCAATTTTCTTCCTGACCTTGGTTGTCTTTTTGGATTGGTAAATTTAGTAGGTTTCTTACATTGACGTGCATGATTATTGCATCTTCCCTTTTACTTTTCTTTTCTTCTCGGTCACAACTTCCTTCTTTCGTTCGTGGTTTTTTGGCGATACTTGGGTTGTGGTGCATTTTTTATTCGGGCATTGTTATTTGGATATCACCATTGCATCTCTGACAACCGCGTCACAATATCTGCTACCTGAAAGTGAGGAAAGAAGCACCCAGCAGACATCGTCGCGATTTCGATTTTCGTGGAGCGTGGATTCGAGGCAACCTCACTTATTTGCGACTTCCACTTCAACATCAAACTTCAACGTACGCTCAAAATCAAGACCATCAAACACGCCAACAACAAAACCACGTCACATCCACAACAACAATGGCTCGCCAACTTCTCCTCGCCGCGCTGTTTCTCACAACTGCTCTCGCCCAAACCCTCAATGTCACTTCAGACCAACCCTTTACTCCGCGCTCCAACGCCTACGGCTGGTCCCCTGCCGTCCTCCTCCAATCTTCCTCAGGAATCTGTCCTCTCTACGCATACATAAACTGCCAATCCATCTCCGGTCCAAACTATTGCTGTGGTGCTGGCACTTATTGCGCATATGGAGGTCCTGAAAACCACATCGGATGTTGTGCCGACAATGCCGTTTGCAGCGGCGAACCAGAGTTACCTTATACAACCGTGTATATCCCTTCTGCGACCGCAACGACGTGGTGGACAGCGTCAGGAGGGGAAACGCAAACGGGGTATGTGGGGCCTGTGGTGACTGTCACGACGACAACTACGGAGAGGCAGACGGAGTATGTGACGGGTGCACCGAAGACGATTTGTAGTACGTTGTATGCGAAAGGTGATAATTTGCCTGCGACGGCGGCGGCGCCTTGTGGGCTTGTGCTTGTGTTGAATGGCGCGCCGGCGAGGGGAGTAGATGGTGTGGGATTTGCTGCTGGACTTGCTGTGATTAATGGGCTCGCGGCTGTTCTGGGTTGGATGGGGTTGGTGTGATGGAGGCACCTCGCTTCTCGTTACTTTAAGGCTTGAATGAGACTGCTTCTTATGGGTATGGAAGATTGAGAAAGCATTCCTGTTGAGATGGAGGCTGCATGCAAGATTCTCGCAGTCATGTTCTAGCGGAGAGGTCGGGCTTACATTGCATTCGGCTTCGAGAAATCTCATATTTTGTGATCACATATGTTTTGTGCTGAGGTTGTATGAGTTCAGAGCAACGATCACAATGATTTCCGCCAGGCCGAACACACTATCGCTTCTATGAGATCTTCTATATCTTGCTGATGAGAGGGATTAACTGCTTGTGCTAGACATGCCGGACTTTGTTTTTGCAATACAACCGATCTATTTAAAGCTTGTACTCGATGTACGTATTAGGCAGGTGGAATTGTAATCACTATACTTGTCCAACTCATCTGATGGTATATTTATGGTAGGGATTATTAGGATCAGGCCCAGGCACCTTGGACGCCGCCCATTGTTTCATCTTGGTGAACTTGACTTTATCCAGACCGTATCTAGGTACATCCTCAGTCCACATCTTCGTGTTGAAGTAATCATAAATCTGTTGTTGCGCCAACGGATAGAAAACCCAGGGCGATTTGAAATCCTTCTCAGAGTCTTTGACCAGATGCTGGTTATTCGTATAATTAGACATGTCCCACTGGCGATACTTCTCGGTGAAATGGATCCCGAAAGGCGCATAAGCACTTAATAGCAAACCTTGCTCCTCATCCGGTCCTTTAGGATCCTCGAAGTAGTTGGTATAAGGTATTCCCCCAAGGACATGGCGTTCCATAGCGTGGCCAAATTCGTTGTCTCGATTGTCTCCAACCCAAGGCTCTATAGGCGTCCCACGAGACACTCTTTCATAATAAGCGAAACAGAAGGCATGTGCAAGTTCGTGTAGCAGAGTGCTTGCGAGCTTGAAAGTAGTGCGTAAGAATGCTGATTCGAGATTCTTCGAGAGCCCTTCGGGCTTGCGACTATTTGGTATGCCAGCCTTCCAAAGTACGCTTTTGTAGAAGTTTTGGTAATCGTAGCTCTTGTCCTTATTTTGATGTTGCATTAAAACTTCGCAGTACGAGCGGAGTATAGTGATTTTACTCCGACGAGTATAACTAGGCTTTTGTCAGTGGTCACCTCAAGAAAAAAACATGGACTTCGCGCGGCTGAAAACTTACGGGGCTGAGGCTTCTATGTCGAATGCAGTTGTCACTCCGAGAGAAGGACCAGTAGCCTTCCTCGCCATTATGGCAGCATCTTCCCAGTGGAGACTGGTCCATTGTCGCATATCACAGATCTTCTGAAAGGTTGACTGCTGCTCAGCATCCGTCAGGGTGACTGGAACTCGAACTTTCTTGTACAGCTCGAGTTTCGGATCCTGTCCAACGAGATGGTTTGAAACTTCCGAGATCGCATGGAAGATACAAAGTGTAGTAGGGTCGTCGAGGAGTGCACTCGCTAAAAGAGAAGCTGGTCTGAGGGCGTCCCATTCAGATTCAGTGATGTTTCGCCACATATCCTTCCTGAAAACTGGATGGACGAGATCGTCTCGCCAATTCGAAGGCCTCTTGTCGAAGAACCGGCCTTTGGGCTCCGCAGATGCGTTGTTTCGAACATCCGCCTGGAGATTGATGAACCCAGCTCGCTCTAGAACTTGGAGGCCCCACTTTGTGCTTATCGGGTCCCAGAATAACCAAGGATTTGCAGGTCCCAGCGTGTATTCTACATTCCAATCGTCTTTGTGATGCCTGCCCTTGCCTAGTGGATCATCGTAGTTGAAAGCCCGCACTTCGAAACCCTCTCCCCAAAGGTCGTCTCTAGCACCATAGTGATACGCATGTTTTGCCCAATCCGGATCTTGTTCGTTGCTCTGGCCTTTCAACCTCAGCTTGTCCGGCAGAGGAGGTGGATATGGAATGCCATATGGCAGCCACGGATTCTCGAGTTCGAGGCTGCCCATATCAATGTCTGCATCGTCCATGCTGTCGTCGTATTGAAGTACTGTGGTGAAGACAGGATAGTGTTGAGTCTGGTCATGGGAACAATGGAAGCCAGCTGGCACGGTCTTGAAGGGGTCAGTTGTGAGCACAATGCAAGTAAAGCCTGCTCTTGTACGCAAGTGAGCTCGACCGGATGCGGCTGAGCAACAGCACAGAGAACCAAATCTCGAAATTCTGCTCCATGAATGCGAGTGGAAACAGATTTATTGGAGAAGAATCAACCATTGTCACTAGAGTCGTGTTCTGTTGCTGACATTGTCTGGCGGAGATAGATGAGTGTCGACGATGCTGGAATAACTATCGGGGTTTTCCCAAGGGCGGTGCTTGGTCGCGAGAACGGATGTTGTGGAATTCAGTTGTGGTTGTCGGTCCGAGGGCTGCAATTGCAATGTTCAATGATTGTTGCATCCTAGTTGAGTGCAGTACAAGATGTTGATGATGTGAAGATGGTGGTCAACAAAACTGGTTTTGTAAATGAGGTTCTTCGCGCCTTCCAGCGTTTCGAGTACAAACTGCGACTCCGCTGCCCATGCACACAAGCTAGGAGAAAAGAGAGGGAGATATACAAGCATCTTCTTGACAAAAAAGGCTCAATTAGCTTTTGATTGCAGGGACTGATCTTCTGTGCAGACTATCTGAGAGAGTGAATAACTATCGTGGGTATCGTAACATGACATAACGCTTTTTAATCGAACAAAGCAAAGGTATATTTCGAATGAGAGTGATAGTCGTGCGTCGAGCAGGAACTTTTGGTGAGCCTGAAAGCTTTGCGGGCCAGCCAGCTGGATGATTTGAGGTCGTGGGTAGAGTGAATGGAGTCGTGTTTGTTCATGATTGCTGGGCTAATTCTCGCCGGGAGAGTTTTCGGCTTTGTGGTGGGAAGCTTGCAGTGTGAGCTGCATAATGGAGGATTTGGTATGCTCCAGATGGTTGTGGCTTTGGTTGATGGCTTGGATCATTATCGGGTCGCGGCAACCGGTGCCACAGAAGCTCGTGAAGCAGTTTGTAGGAGAAGATCCGCGATTGCTCCTCGGTGAAGTGGCAGCAGAAGAATTCTGCCAGGTGGAGAGGTGCATGGTGGCTGCAAGGCATATGGTCTCAAGGCCAAGCACCAAATTGCGCATTTACAACCTCCAAACGAGGCTTAACCTCAACTTTAGCATCAGGGCCATCGTTCTCTCCCCAAGCCTCAGAAGCACTTTCCCACGGTCTGACCGTAGAATCGTAAAGATTCAAATCATCAAGAAGCTGAGGAAATTTCCAGATTGCCAGATGTGAAAGACCAACAACGCTGCCTCCGATGACGGCAAAGTCTGTGCATGTCTCCCATGACTCTGCTGGCATGGTGAGGCCACAGAATGCATACCCGAGCATTGTTGTGGAGGAGCCGAGAAGAATTGATATGGTTGAACTGGTGAGATCCTCGAGAGCGCCTTCTAGTTTTGCAAGACATGATGATGGTGGGGGCGGGGTGAAAGCAGTGCTGTTGTGTGGTGATACTGTAGCATTGAGGATGTGTGGTGGTTGGTAGTGTGTGGGTGCTGCGCTTGCTTGCAATGCGAATGCAGTAGAGAGAAGGATAGTTGTAGACTTCATTTTGAAGAGGGTGCGAGTGGTGCGCGAGCAGGTTGAAAATCGCCACATAGCAAAGCAGGGCAGCGAGTAAATATAACAAATGCCCAGAGATCTTCCTACTCAACTGTTCTGTTCCTTTGCCACTAAGCACCTGTCAAAAACGTGGTGAGGGCATCGTGGAGCGCCTAACCCAGGCCCCATTCCTACGGAGTCGACGAAACAACCAAGTCCCATGCTTGAGGCCAGTTCAAGGCAGATGGTTCATTGACAGCATAAAACTTAGGTAGTCGAAACAACGAGTCGGGAAAATTAAATCCATAGTTCAAGATTAGGAAGGCACGCTAACCCAAAGTCATGCATTCGTGGCCTGTCCGGCAAGCGGCCGTGGTCGATCATCCTCCCGGACGTGTCGTGCTGCATGCACGAAATATTTTGAGCTCTGAACGGCCGCCGACGGCGCATACGGCTCTCTTCGCTTTGCTGCACTTTGCTGCATTCAATCGACACCATAGCTCAACAGATTGGTCTGCCGTGCCCACAGTCATGAGATGTGAATCTCGCGTACAGCAAATCGATCTGGTAGATTAAATCTCGGACGAGAAAAGATGACGCGCAGACTGACTCGCATATGCACTGGAGAGTCATCCATTCTGAGCGGTCAGACACTGAGACCAGATGTATCAGGCCTCCTAGAAGATATAAGCGCTCACCAGAATAATGCTCAAAATTCAGGGACTGAAGGTGGAATCTTGATGAGGTCGATGCAGAAGCTTGTTCTGAAACTTGTTTCCCCAGATTGCCCAATTCCTTCGTGTTTCAGCACTCGAGTTTGTCCATGCTTTCTGGACTTCGGCTGATCACAGCCGACGAAGCACTGGTCCAGTCCTTGCTGAGCTGATGAGGGAAAGAGTCATGCTGAGCTAATGACTAAAGGGCAAACAGGCCAGAACTTAGATGTTACTTCGCAGTTTTCACGGGTTTGCAATTGGAAGAAAGTGGGATAGCTGAATGATGTATGTATGATCAATCATGTTACTAGAGATCAATAATGAATGTGTGGTCCTAGAGGCTACTTTGGCATCTGACTTGACCAATGGTAGCAAAAAACAAATTGACAACGCTTGTCCGAACATCTGCGCCGATCGATCGTTTCTCAAAACATGATTGAGGAGAGATCCTGCCAACATAAAGGCAAAGGGGTAATTCCCAGAAAACAAAGTCCACCATTCCAAATTCCCTCTCCAAAGCCCGAAGGCTGTTTATTCCTTTACCCATCCGTCATGTCGTACGTAAAGTTTTTCTGGCCAAAGTTGTTTTTGGGCCATCATCGTTGGCCTGCTAACTTCTTGAGTGCTTCGTCAACAGAGTATTGATTGAAAAGATAGTCAATGCCCTTCTGGTTGTGTGTGGCATGATAAGCGTCAAGAGGAGGCTGTTCATTGGTACCGGACAGCTTCTTGAAGGCGGCATCCACATATTCCGATGGCACGGTTACGCCAGATTCTGAGCACTTTGCCTTGGCACGAAGCTCAGCACAGAGGTTGTCGAGATCGAACTTGCCCTCCTTGAAGTCCTGGTTGGATTGCAGTTGCGACCTTAATGAGATGTCAGTGTCGATGTAAACATTGTTGTTAAGGAGATTGACGCACCAAATCGTGTTGCAATTAAGCATCTGCTCGGCTGACTTCAAGCTCATCTCACTCTGGCTCGGCTGGATTTGCTGTGCAGGTTCCTGTTTTGGCAAGTAGATGTCATCATCACCACCCTCGCGACACTTCTCAACCTCTGCAAGCAAGTTTGCGCTAGCCGAGTTCTGCTGGGCGGTCTTGGGTGAGGAGAAGTCGGTCACGGGGAAGGACGTGTTCAGATCATAAGGGAAGGCGGCCTCGAAGAAACCGCTATTGAAGTCACCATCGCCGACAATAGCATCCTGACTCTCGCGGTAATCACCAAAGAGAACAGGATCGAATTGACCACCGTTCTGTGTAGCAAGCCAGTCGAAGCCGGGTGTTGAGGCGTTGGTCATTGCGCCGTTCTGAGCTGGTTCTGAGAATGTGTTAGATATGGGCAGAGAGGTCTCAATATTCGCTAGCTTACTTTGAGAAGTGACGGGCTTGAGAGAATATATGTCGTTGAAGTCGTTGACGCCAGACTTGTTGACATCGGAGGGAGGAGAGTTTGCAGATTCTGGAGAAGTCCCGCAGGAAGATGTGTTACACGAGTTGGCGTTGTAGTGTGTCAGGGAAGGCACGGATGGCGACTGGTTAGAGTTTGTGCCAGAGCCAGAGCCAGAACCAGAGCCGCTGTTGAATCTGAAGACTCTCGAGATACCACTAGTACTGTCGGTACCATTGTCGGCGTACTGAGCGAACGCGTGATTGTTGTTGGTAGGATTTTGCAAGAGGAAGTCATTGTTGACGTTTCCAAGAGCAGACGGGCTGAACAAGTCGCCGTAACCGGTGCCAGCAGCTGATACTTGAGCAAGAGGACTGTTGGTTCCCTTGTTCATGCTGCCACTTCTGGAGTTGTGGCCTGAGCTCATCTGGTGGTTACTGACCTGGGTGCCAGGGCTTGGGTTTCTACCCAAGCTGTTTGACCTCGATAGAGAGGCAGCAGGAACGGTAGAAGGGCTAGCGATCTTTTCGCGGCTAGACTGGATGTTGTTTCCGAAAAGTTGGTTGCCGGGAAGTGCACCGAACTTGGGAAAGTCGAACTGGAAGTCGGTCTGAGAGTTGCTGTTGCTTCTCGATGCGACGCGAGCAGCTGAAGGGGGTGAGTGTGCGGCAATGCCTCCAGTAGCGAAAGACATTCTCTTCTTGTACTCGCCGAGTTCGGCCTGCAGGCGCTGGACCTGAGCACGGAGTAGACCATTCTCATGCTTGTCCTGTTCTTGAGCTTTGCTAAGAGCCTCTACCTTGGTCTCGAGGTCTTTCAGGTGCTTTTCTTTACGTTCTCTGAAAGCACGTTGGGCAGCTCTGTTCTGAGCCTTGCGTTTCTTTAACACTGTCAGCTCCATAGCATTGGAGCAGTACACGAAAAGGTTACTTACAGTAGTAGGTTCCGAGGTTAGAGGTTTTCTGCCAGGCTTCTTGGCTTCCTTCGGTTCACCTTCTCTTCTTTTGGCGTCTACCTCGTCTTCTGGCGAATCCTCTTCCGGACTCTTGCGCTTGTCGGGCTTGTCGCCATCAGTCGAGTCGGACTTGTGACTAGCATTGCTACCCAAGTTGTCGAACATGTGTTGACCGCCAAGATCGGAAGGGTCGAAATCAAAGCTAGTATCGCCGTCCAGATACTCAAGATAAGGGCTAGTGTCGTCAAAGTCGAGAGGATTCATGTCGATAGAAGGCTTTGGTTTGTCGCGATTGGTGTTGTTTGAAGCCAATGCGGCGAGAAGCAATTCCTGCTGTGCGTTGGAAAGATATGGGTTGAAAGGCTGGTTGCCGGTCGTCTGCCCCGCCATTTCTGACACAGTCGTACGATTGTTACCAGAGCGGAGAGGACGGTCAAATGCGATCAAGGCCGGTCAAGGGTGAATTGGCGCGGATGCGATTGTTGTGCGCCTCGAAGAAAGGGCCAAAGAAGTGGTTCGGGCGGTGTCGAGAAGGTGCTGAGGCTGAGCGATCGACCAGTTCAGCGGCCAGGCAAAGCCGCTTTGACTTTTGGATGATGCAGTTATGAAGCTACCGCGATATCGGTAATATGGCCGTCCAGCGCTCGCGAGTTGTCTGTGTTTGGCGCCAATTGTTTGCAGGAAAAAAGATGCGAATGTCGAGTTGCAAGATCGAGTCAGCAGCAAGTGTTGAGGGGCAGAGACTAGGCAGGAGTGAGAATGTGGACACCGCAGGCAGACAGGGCTCTCTCGTCAGTTGCCCCGGCTCTTACCGCCGTGAGACCTGTGATGCTTAGAAATCCACCGCGCCCTTGCCCAGACTCGTCCAAATCTCGTCCCAACTCGTCGTCCATCGACAATTTTCATCTGCTTCATCGACTTTCGCCCTGCTCAGCCCAATTTTGTGTTCGACGTTCCTCCCTGAATTGTAGTATCTCAACGATACCTTCCTCGCGCCCCAGTTCGTCGTCGCAAGGATGCTCGGACTCACTTCCATCCATCTCATGCACGTGGACTAGTGTCTTCTACGGCATTCTACTCCGCAACCCTCCGCCTTTAGAATCTCCCTACCCGTCCGTATTTTTATTTTTCTGTTCTCCTTTTTTCTTTTCTGTTTCAGATCGACGCCTCGCTCCTATCCACTGTTGCTACTGCTGCAACCCTGTCTCTATTTTTGTTCCTATGTATCTTTCGTATAGGCACATGTGATTCCACACCGTCTATGTCTCGGACTCCCAGACTATCGAAGACAAAGCTCTTTCTGTATTGTGACTGGTTCAACCCCGACAGGATTCCTAGTTGTGGTGCTTCACCTACAACACGGTACCTGACTGTTTTAGGAAAATACGGGCACATGATCCAACGTAAGACTGACCAGTCATTGCTCACACGCGGTGCACTCCAAACTTCTGTGCCTCTTCCGACCAAACGAATCCCAGCATTCGCTCTCGCTTGCCAGGGATTGTATCTCTGAGTCACAATCACAGACGCACGCAAAGCTGTGTATTCTGTACACAGCGCACCCCGGACGACCGGCATATTCTTCTTATCAAAGTTCTGGATTCCGATTTCGCTCGCTCGCAATTTCTTACGAGGTCAGGGTAAAGGCCATTGTGGTATGCTAAGTTTGATGGCCTGAAAACACGAGACAAAATGTGCCCCCTGCAATGTTTTCCAAGCCTCATCCGGTGGTTGACACAAAGGCCCGAGTCGTGTTTGTCCAGTCCGCTTCAACGCACGACCCCCCGCACCGACGATGTTTGACCCGCTTTGGTTAAAACCGCTCTGAAGGCTGGACCCTTATTTTCTGCTCTCCGAGGATCCCGTAGGGCTGTCTCTTATCACCGATAGTCCGAATTCCTCTAGTAGTGAGCTTAGGACTATCGGTGATGCGCCGCCACCAGCAAGGAGGCACTACCTGATACGGAACTCGTCGACCCTAGCCATGCTTATCGGGCATGCTTCGTATCACTTTCAGGCACGTATCCGAAGCGGCCTTCGGCTTCGTTGGCCGACCTTGACCGAGCAGCACAGTTGATTCGCTATGCATAACCCCTCTATTCCGAACCGCGCGTTGCAATTATCAACTCTAGAACCCCGTCCGGGCCATGACTCTCATTTCTTTGCTCAGATAACGATAGCTAATTGGCGCAGGGAAGACGCAACCCTTCACCCAATGGTCCCTGCCAAGGATGTCTTTCGGTCTTTGAGGGGAAGTATTTTAATGCGACCGTGTGACCAGCACGATGTGAGGCATGTCCTTTCTTTTTTCCTCAGCTCCTTCATGCCCAAATGTTAGCCAACATGACCGCTGCCCCATGGGCAGATAACTTTGAAGATGAGGGTGCAAGATACAAACGCCAGAGGATGTCCGCTCCCTCCCCAGCACATACCGTTGTATCAGACCCCTTCGACTCGGTCACTACTAGCACAACAGCGGAACTACCGCTCCGACCACCTACCATCGACGAGTATACTATCCACACGCAACAACAATGTCGCATTTTCCAACTCCCCTATGAGATCCGGGAAATGATATACGAATTGGCATGCGTCAACGATGGAGTATCAGCAGTCATGCGCAAGAGCACAAGCCGTCATGCAAGTCAAGATTCGGCCAAGGAGCCGGCATTCCTACGAAGCTGCAGGCTAGCGCGCTTTGAAGGTCAACCCATCTTCTACCAGAAGAACGACTTTGTCGTCAGACGCCGCGACTCGATCAACTTCCATCCTCGCCCGATTATGGATGCCCCGATTGCATACCCTTACAGCTCTTTCAACACCGGAGTCCCCAGATGGCTGGATAATATGAGCAGCGAAAAGATTGCAAAGATCAAGACAGTGGTGCTTGTGCAGATTGCACGCGGGGTGTACAAAGATGCATACAACGAATGGCATCGTGACGCGAGTGCTTGCTTCCGTCTGCAGTATTCTGCAAAAAGCAAGAGTGGCTACAAGATCGAATACGTCCGTGTCGACCCGAGTGGACGGTCAGACAAGTATGCCGAAAGGCTTTGCGAAGCGCTCGAAATGAGAATGGACAAATTGGTAAAGGATATGGGGATTCAACAGTGGAACAGGCAGTCGATTTGGGATATGGCGTATCTTTTGTGAAGGTTCCTTGAGCGTTCCTATGGAGTTCCTGGATTTCTGGCATGGCGTTGGACATTAGGCATGACAGGCGTTGGATTGGTTGTTGGGCATGAACCGGAGGCATGGTATGGCAAGGCGTCAAGGATTGAGGATTCTAAGCAGTTTAGCAGCATACTCAACATATGCGAATGAATGATTTCACAATCATGCTTCGACAGAAGATGTGATGTGTTTATGGTTGGTGAGGGGCAAAGAGAAAGCAGGAAGGTGACAGCTTTGCAGAAGGCACGATCAAGCATAACCGAGAGGCCCGTGCGTGAATCGTCATTGCCAATGCCGCTGCTCCACCATTTGCGCGCTGCCGAGTCGTCTACCAATCGTGACAAACTTTCTGTTTGATCAAATTGAAGCGCATCGTGAGAGGTGATAGTGCTGCTGGAGTGATACGACGCCGAACCCTAAGAAAGACGCAAGGCAGATTGGTACCACCCCTTCACGACCAACAAACAGAACTCTACTGAACACACGATGAGTCTCGCCCAGCTCCAGTCAGAACGCGCCGACTATGAGCGCAACGTGAGTCGTCCATCCTGGTGTTTCCACGAATCACTCTGACTGAAGTTCGTAGCTTGTCGAAGTCGAGCAGATGCTCGCCGAGGTGCCCGATATGGAAGACGCCCTCGCCATGAAAGCAGAGATCGTCGCCATGCTCCAAGACGTTGACTCCAAAATCGCCGCTCTCAAACCAGAACCGCCTGCCAGCAAACCGGAATCTGCCCAACCCAGCGAGAAATGGAGCAAGGAAAACCACCCGGCATTCCGCAAGCAGGCAACAACACCCGCTCCTGCAGTCGAAGAGAAGAAAGCCCCCATTTCGTTCAAGGTCAACGACACCGTACTGGCAAAATATGCAGGCGACAAGCAGTTCTACGAAGCTCGTATCATTTCCGTCACTGGCTCTTCGGCCGCTCCTATTTATACTGTCAACTTCAAGGGCTACTCGGGCACTGAAACATTGCGTCAAGAACACTTGCGCCCTCTTCCATCGGCTTCATCTTCGACTTCTCAGAAGCGCAAGGCTGATGGCTCTCCTGCAGTCTCCGTACCGTCTACACCCACAGTCAGCACGCCGATCCCCGGCGTCATCTCTGCCGAGGCCAACATCAATCCTGCCTTAGCAAGCGCTGCAAAGAAGGATCAGGTTAAGCCCCTCGACGGTGACAAGAAGCCTCCGAAGAAGGTGAAGACCTCCAAGGCACTCGAGAACAGTAAGAACAACTGGAAGTCCTGGCAATCAAAGGCATCCACAGGTAAAGCCGCCAAGGTTACACAGAAAGAGAGCATGTTCCGCACAGGTGAAGCTCCTACAGCAAGAGGTACGTTCATCTACATCTCAATTACTCGTTCCTTTGCTGACATCTATACAGTGGGCTTCACAGGCTCTGGCCAGACCATGCGTAAGGATGTCGAGCGTACCCGTCACAACTACACTCTTGACTGAGCATGCCTCGTGTTTTCGTATATTTTTCAGACATCTTTGGCAGTTTTACGCCCCTGTCCAACTCTCCAGAGGTAAAACTGAATTTGCCAGCCAGTTCAGAGGCGCATTATAATTTTTCTTCTTGTCCATCGCTGCTTGTTATTACTGGCGTTCTTTCGGTCCGACGCGAGGGGCGTTGGAAACTTATTGAGGTACGAGAGCATAAATAGATCGAATCATGCTCGACGAGGGAGAAGGTAGAGTGTTTCTAGACCATTTCACGTGGTCTATGGTCAACGTTGCCATGAACAAAACTTGTCTATTTATCCGCGCGTATTATGCTTTCGGTTCCTGAGTGATATCTCTCCTAATCGCTTCTTGTGCCCTGCCGATACGGATCCGAGATTGATTGTGGATCCGAGGCTTCTTCTCGTAGTTGTTAATATCTCGTAAAGAAGTGGTATGGAGGCACGTGGGGCTTGTGATTGGGCCCGCGGCACTTCACACACCTCCACATCTCCCAGCCCTCCTTCTTAACTCGACTTCACCCGAGCATTTTGTGAGTGGCACGGCACGAAATGGGCACGCGAGTATACAGCGTGTCTACTGCACATCATGTTATTCGCTATCTTGTTGAAGGCGCTCAGTGCCGTCTTCTTCTATCCCCTATCCTATGAACCACGGCAGAGTATATCTAGGTCAGCTAGCCCCACCAAACACACAGGTAGGTCATTCGATTTGCATCCTTGTTGCAACACACTCTCAAGATGGTGTACGCACCCATTTCTCTGGCCTCTGTTGCCATCTCATTACTTGCACTGAGCGAAGCCAAAGCCATCAGCACTTCCAGCTCCTCCTCAACTGCTTCCTCCACAGACTCTTCGGCACAACCTACCTCGACCCATCCTACCTGCCCTGAAGCCAACAACAACATCTTCATCGCCAAAAGCGGAGCTGTTTTTGTCGTTGAATGTGGAATTGACTATGCAGGTGGCGACTTGAGATCTGTCAATATTGCCAGCAATAGGATTGGTGATTGTATCGATGCTTGCGATGCTACAGAGGGATGTATCGATATCAGTATGTCTGGAACTGCTTGTTACATGAAGAGCAAACTCCTCAAGCCTCTTGTCAACAAGGGTATCAGAGGTGCGAGAAAGATCAAGGATGCTCCTGTGAGCAGCTCGGGCAGTAGTACCACGGCTTTGGGAAGTGTTACCATGCCTGCGACGTTCTCTGAACCTACGGCTTCCACGGCGATGCCCACAGCTTCGGTGCCTACTGTTAACCAGGGCACTGAGTATATCAACTACACCAATATGGCTGGATTTTTCCTGCAGGATCTTGCTAGTACTGTGCCTAGCACTTTCGACTATGTGAGTTTTGCTGCTAGGATTTTAGCGTGCTTCTTGCTAACACTCTCTAGACGGCAACAAACTTCGGTCTCATTAACCAGACCTACTCCACCGACACTGGCTACAACGCAGGACAAACCCAATGGCAACGCTTCAACAACTACCTCTTCTACCTAAACAGTCAATCTCCCGCTAACATCGCTTACAAATTGCTGTTTATCGGTCGTCATGGAGAAGGCTACCACAACGCAGCACAAACATACTACGGCACTCCCGCTTGGAACTGCTACTGGAGCCAACAAACCGGCAATGCGACCAACAGCTGGGAAGATGCTGACCTCACTCCTAACGGCATCGCTCAAGCCCTGAAAGCCAATACTTTCTGGAGCCACGAGATGTCTGCGCAGAAAATCACTCCTCCGCAGGTGTTTTACGTATCTCCCTTGACGCGTTGCTTGAAAACTGCAAACTACACTTTTGCAGGCTTAGGACTGCCAAACTTTGTGCCTACAATCAAGGAATTGGTTAGAGAGGGGATAAGCACACATACCTGCGATCACCGCAGCAACAAAACCTACATCCACAATCTGTTTCCTAGTTGGAACATCGAGCCTACCTTTACAGAAACCGATGAATTGTGGAATGGCATCACGGAAGAATCTTCCTCGGCCCAAGACTATCGCTCCAAGATCGCTCTCGACGAAATCTTTACTTCCTCCCCCGAGGCCTCGATCATCTCCATCACAACACACAGCGGTGAGGCTAGTTCATTGCTCAGAGTACTGGGCCACAGATCCTTCTCGTTGGTTACCGGTGCCGTGATTCCGGTCTTCGTCAAGGCGGAGACGATGAGCATTGCAAAGAATGCGACGATGACGACGGTGCCTTGGGATGCGGCTGCTTGGTGTACTAATGGGCCCCCAGTTACGAGTAATGCTGCTTGTGTGTGCAGTAATGGGATGCTTCCTGTTGCTACTACTGCTTCTGGTGTTTGAGAGGAAAGGAGTACTTGATGAGATGAGGGTTGAATGTCTTGATTATGAAGAAAAGTTATCTTTAGATAGTGCTATGTGATCACATTTCATGTTTCTTTTCAAATTCTCACTCCTTGTCATCGTCCGGTGAGACGCAAAAAAAAAACAATAATAACAATAATCAAGGAACGTATCTTCAGACAAGAGAGGAGTCCATGCCATTTGATCGTACTGTTCATTTGCTCTACATACGTTATGCCCATCCATTGAAAACAAACTCCATCGCTATGCAACAAGCCACCTAACATTATCTCATTCACTCGCTCACGATGACCAAATATCCTTGACTTCACCTCTTTTAGCCCAGCAATCATACTCGATCCAAGCTACCCGTCTACCTCTTCCCTCATCTCTACAAAGTCGTCCAGGGTTTAGGACATGACAGCCCTCGAACGTGACTGCAAATGCCGGTGCTTCGGCATCAGCCAAGACCAGAGTATGCGGAAGAGGGTACAGGCTCATAGCGCTGCCCTGATCCCAGAGCACTGGTCGCGTAGACAAAGGGAAGGGTGAAAGATTTGACTGTGGGAGCAGCGACAGAACGAGTTTACGGGCGATTTGCGTGGGTGTAGGGATCTCCGCAGGCGCTGAATCGGCCATTTCATCGTCTTCGTCCTCTGCGGTAGTAGCTTTGCCAAAGGTTATTGCATTGCGGCGTAGACGACTGGAGATGTCGTCGCGGAAGACCGTGATTTCGTGGGCTGGACCGAAGATCGATACACGCGCGGGGTTGGATGTCCAGATTGGCTCGACAGGTACGTTGCTGTCATCTGACTTTGGGAGAGGTGCTTCTGATTTGGCAGCAACGAAAGCACGCTTGACGCGACTAGTGAAGAGACCAGGGATGGGAGGGCGTGGAACAGGATTGCTGGCTCCAGCACTGAAGGCAGAAGCCCAAGGATCGTTGTCGCCAGGAACGAAGACCCATGTTGAAGTTCGTAAGAGTGCAGGGAAGTCTGAGAGTACAGTGGCAAGGTCATTGAAGTACTCTTTGTACTCGATGCTGCCGCCACTACCGCCACCAGCCATGACTGGATGGCTGACGAAATTGCCTACGAGCATGAAACATAAAGGCGTGAGTTCATCCTCTGCAGCGTACACACGCAGAACAGCACGCAAAGCCTCTAGTGACGATGGGTCATCCAGGTTAATCTCGCCTAGTATGACCATCTTGCGTTGTTGAGAGGCTTGCTCTTCTGTAGGTGCGAGAAGGCGTTTCTCCAGTTTACGCATCTTAGCTCCCATGACCTTCTCACTACCCAGGCCGAGGAAGTCTGTCCAGCCAAAGCCACCTCCAAGACCGACATCTGGTTGTTTTGACGAGTCGGCAATGCCTAGTGTTGCGTTACGTTTTTCAGATGGAGGACCGCCGATGCTGAAACCGATAAACTTTCCTCCAATAGTACCACCGACACCAGTGGAAGCACCCAGGCCACTAGCACCGGCTCCTGAGTATTCCTCTTCGTATACACCTTCGATCAAGACGATCATGCCAGGACAAAACCATGATGAGTCCAGGCCTTGCAGAGGTTTCGCATGCTGCAAGTCCAGAGTGATGCTTCCAGTCAAATCGTTCAATGCCAGAGTGCCAGTAGGGGTGATGACCAGCATGCCGAGCAAGACATGGTTACTGCCATTTCTACCCAAGAGGTTTGCAATAGGGGTAATTTTGTAAAATTGCTGTATAGAAGTTGAATCTTGACGTTTCAGCGAGCGAGTGTTGGCGATTGCAGGAGCTTGGAAGGCTTCATTGCGCATCAGACGCTGATGGATTAGGTTGAAACGATCGCGGAAGAGTTGTGTCCTGTGAGTTGGTGAAGGAAGGAGAGAGGATTTTGTCGTGATCTTCTCAAAGTGCTTCTTGTGAATATTGTAGCTCAACCTGGGCTGTTCGTTGGCACTGACAACCTTGATCCATGCTCGAGGATCTTGAATGTCTGCATCATCATCATCTTCTCCAACATCTTGTGACTGGAAAGAAGTGTCGACCAGACTTGATCGTCTTGAAAGGTCTTGACTCTCACCAGCGAAAGCAAAACTACTTTGTCTGCTGAGATTTGATTTTGTTTGAGTAACCTTGCCGCCGGTCATCAGGCTCTCGATAGTCTTGAGAATATTCTTGAGCAAGGAGCCATCATTGACAATCAAGCTACCACCACTCTTTTTCCAAGCTTTTGCGACTTCTTCGAGGACACCCTCTGCGGTTCCTCGTTCACGCCATCCAGAGCCGCAGTGTTTACCGATGAAGGTAGCTAGTGATTGTAAAGCGGGAGAGCTGAGGGTGAGGTTATGTTTCTTTGTGAATGTTCGAAAGGCCAAAGGTCTCAGACTGGCAGGTGGGAGGAGGATTGGTAGAATGGTAGGAATCGAAGGCTTGAATGCTGGCGGAGGAATCGCAGGTCGTTTATCTCGAGGATTGATGGGATGAACAGGCGTTCCAAAGGCAGGACTCGAGGAAGGAACAGCATTCTCTTGCAGGCGAATCGTGGTTGCCATTTTGAGAGTGACTGGTCTTTTGTGTTGTCGATTGGTTTGTGGTGGACGCGACTTCCCTAAAGTGGTTTCAATGTTCGCGTCGACGCGGAAGGCGCGCGTGCTTTCACGTCCATTTTCATGTGATTGGCCGAGCAACCCACCTAAACATTGTCCACTCTTCACTTTTGTTTGCTATAATCATCCACTGACGACTGATTTTGCGCCTGTGTCTTCCATCGGATCCTAAAATCACAAATCAACATGTCAGTGCCCGAACAACAACAGCCACTCGACGCTGTCGCCGAAGAGCAATCAGCTCAAGAAACTCCCCAGATCGAGAATAGAGAGGAGGCACAAGCAAATCTCGCCAGACTACAAGCTGCCGCAACCAAAGAATACTCGCTCAAGAACTATGCCGCTGCCTCGGAATTCTACTCGCAAGCCTCGGAGCTGCAGGAGCAGCTGAACGGTGAAATGTCCCTGGATAACGCAGATCTGCTCTATCAATACGGTCGCTGTTTGTACCACCTGGCTGTCAGCAAGAGCGACGTACTAGGAAACAAAGTTGCTGGCAGTGGAGAACCTCAGAAGAAGAAGCGCAAGACCAAGTCAAGTGCTGCGAACAACGATGCCCTCAAGGACGGCGACCAAAAGATGGCAGAGGAGGTTGTTGAAGCTGTCGTCGAAGAGAAGGATGGCAGTGCCACAAAGAAGGAGAACGAACCCGCGAACAAGCCCTTCTTCCAAATCACCGGCGACGAGAACTGGACAGACAGCGAGGACGAAGGCGACGATGCTGAAGAGGATGGCGAGGAAGAGGAAGAGGATGATGATTTTGCTATCGCATACGAGATTCTTGACGTTGCACGCGTCCTTCTCACCCGCAAGCTTGAAACGATACCCCAACACTCTGACAGCAAAGGCAAAGGAAAGGAGACACTCGTCGATAACCCCGAAGCACGACAGGTTATGGATCGTCTTGCCGACACACACGATCTCCAAGCTGAACTTTCTATGGAGAACGAGAACTTCCCTGAGGCCGTCGCCGAAGGTCGCTCAGCACTCGAGCTGAAGCAGAAGTTGTACCCTCTAGAGTCTAGCCTTCTCGCAGAAGCACACTTCAAGCTGGCACTCGCCATGGAGTTTGCCTCAGTAACTACAACAAACGCCGAGGCAGTGGAACAAGGTGCTCAAAAAGAGGAGGCCGTTGACGAAGATCTGCGCAAGGAAGCAGTAACACACATGGAACTGGCCATCGAGTCCTGCCGCCTACGAGTCGAGAAGGAAGAATCCTCTCTGTCATCCCACCCAGCCGACAAGCAAGAAGCAAAGAAGAAGGAAATCAAGGATGTGAAGGAGATGATGTCCGAGATGGAGCAACGAGTAAGTCCCAGCACCATAGGTATCTATCACGTTACAACAACTAATGTCTGCCACAGCTCGTCGACCTCAAGACACCTGTGGGGGCTGCGGAGAACCCTCTGCGCGGCATTCTGGGCGGTATGCTGGGTGAAACCCCCGCTGATCAGAAACAGCGCATCGCTGAAGCAACAGCAAATGCCAACGATCTCAGCGGCCTGATCAAGAAGAAGAAGCCTGCTGCTGCTGCCGCTCCAGCAAGCAAGAGAAAGCTGGAAGATGAGAACCAAGAAGCAAACAGCAAGAAGGCCAAGGTCGAGGACGAAGCGACTAAGAACGCTTAGGAGGTTTGACTATCGGCATCTGGATTTGGGACATTGGTTTTTCTGGCCAGAGCGTGATGCTTCACTCGACCTCATAATATCGTATAATGTAAAAGTCATTCATCATCCCCTGCATATTAAGCACAGCGTACAATCTCTTCGTTTTATGTGGTTCCGGTCAAACCCAGCTCGCTCTGCACGCGACCAAGTAAGATCTTCCCCAATGTTGATACTTTCTGATCGCGAAGGCAGAAGACAGTATAGCTGATCGTAGACAGAAAACGTTCAATCAGCTCGAGGTGTAGCAGTGTACGCTGGCGTCTTTGCCGAAGCAGTCCAGGAAGCAACAAGCTAGCTAGAATGAGGATATGTTGCACAACGTATTGTGCATATCTAGGTGCTTCTTAGATACAGAGAGGTATAGTTGAATAAGGATAAAATGATTAAGATAGCGTTGCACTTACTTGCCCACCTCCGACCGCATCTTTTGTTCCCATTGTCGTTGATTGCTAGATAACAGTCAACCTAGAAGAGCCTGCTCTCTAGTATCTATGATCGTGTGGCGATGGCTATAGTACTTATGGCCTTTTGACAGAGCTATAGTCAATATACTAGAGATAACGTGTAGATGGTACTAATTCGCAGTCTCATGGAGCGCGAATCAAGTCTTGTATTCCTTGCTCACCGGCTTCTGACTGTTTATGAGTCTGGTGCTTCCACATTTGATGGCAATCGGGAAGTCGTGACAATGGCGACGAGGTATGAGTATTGGTTTGAGGCGAGATGAGGAAAATGACCAACGAAATTGCAATTACGGCAACAGACACATACCAGCCACTACACACTTGCTTCATTCAAGCGAGCATACCTTAATAGCCTACCTTTATCATTCTGGAACAATATGCAACGCATTGGAGGCATGTCCTCGTCGACGTTGACTTCAGAGAATATGTTGTGGTGGTGACCCTGTACTTTTTTAAACCTCCCCCAAGAACAGCAAGACAAAAATACCCGAGCACGACAACGAGAACAATAACACAAGCCTCCTATGAAGGCTTCGTGTTCGTCTACACATACCTTAGATCAAGCCAGAAACCCATACAAACCTCTTAGCCCTGCCTGGCAAATCTTCGATTTGTTCGTCGGCAACAGAAACCCGAGAAGGCTGAAATGGCTTGTTTCCTCGCGAAGGAGCCGAACAAAACGACGTTTGGGATTCTTCCAGAGGGGGCTTCTGTTTAGCCTTGCCATCCTTGTGCGGCGTGTCCCAAGACTAGAGCACTGGTCATGCATGATGAGTAGGAAAAGTGTTGCGATGCGATTACCTCGCACAATGCCATCACCATCATCACTTAAGTGGTCCGCTCGATGCTTCGACAGCTAGCTCTCTAGAACGGGCGAGCATTTGCTTCTCTTGTTGTTACAGGACGGAAAAACCTCCGTTCTTGAAGAGAATGGCAGGGTCAATGACGTTCCTGACTTCCTAGATCGCATCACCGGATCATCGACAACCCACGGCGGAGACTGATCGACTGGACTGTCGATTGTTCTTATACGGAGTGGACTCCCGTCCGCTGGGATTTGTGTCGATGCGACTCGAGAAGGAAATTGTGCTTGCAGGGTCGAATACGCTCCGAACAGTGAGCATCGAGTCGCCGTCGCTTAATCGGCAGTAATATTATCCTGCAGTTCTCAGGGTTTCCTGGCGCACTCATCACGTTTTTGGTGTGAGTGGAGTACCATCGGCATGATATACCAAATCGTTGATTTGAAGCACAATCACACGATTGTGGTTGTCCGAGAGATGGCTGAGAGCTGCTCCTAAAAGTGGTGTCAGCAGCCTTGAGGCTTGATCCAACAAAAGTGGTGACTGCGACGTTTACCACATGACGTGAGATGACGAAAAGAAGCAGGAAAGGAAAATGTAAAATAAGAAGAAAAAACAAATTCTCATCTCATCGCCGATGCATGCAAGAATGTTGGGGCTGTCGACGCCGGGAGCAACTCCGAGCGGAAACGACGACGACGACATCGAAGATTTGAATACCATAGCACGAGCTGCTTTGGACGTGATAAGTAACGGACGTCAGCGACATCGTCTAGTAGTCGCCAGGACGCAAGCAAGGTTGTAGAGTAGACAAGCGCGAAACAGCCCGACTGCGCGATGTGTGGAAGTGGTCTGGCATGGTACAAGGGTAGAGGACATCGAAATTCCCATCGACGACAACCATCGGAGGGACGGTAATTCTTCCGCACTGCCTCAAGCCACACGAACACAACTGGAAAAGCTCTCGAATGGCGGGCCTGTCAAAAACGATCCGTCGACGCCGGCACCCAGCTTTTGCTTCGAGCCGCGGTGAGTTTGGGTTGCCGCATCCGAACAGCAATCGACCGATCTGACAAGAACTGGACCGTGTTTTGTGGTTGGGGCTTGAGGTTTGTGCGGCCACTCCGCGTTGCTTGTGGGAAAGCTATGCGACTTGAGGACCGCAACGTGTGGTGCAGACACGATGCGGACAGAATTGTGAACTCGAGAACAGGTAGGTATCACAATCCGAGATGGCCAGACTGAATGAGAGCAATCAACGGCGGACCAGCATAATAAACCACCACCATCGTAGTAATTATTGAGGCTTGCGATAGCTCGTCGAAGTTCACCATCAATCGAAAACCACCTCGCTCTCGGATTTGCTCGATGATTCAAATCAATAGCCCCTTTGATGCGGCTCTAGACTGACTCCAGGGATCGGTGATCAGCCTGCGACTCAACAGCTTTTCTCGTGCACGCTAACATTGGCGTGTAAGCAAGAGTAAGCAATTCAATAGCTCCTTTGTTTCGAAAGAGAATCCACAAACAATGCGCAAGCCGATGGTGAGGTGAAGAGGTCTCCACGTAGGAGTCTGAATGTGGCTGCTGGAGATTTGAAGATCTGCCAATCACAGCTCGTCTCGGAGGAGCTTCCGAATCCAAGCCGACAGCCTCATAGGCTCATATATGGTCAATCTCAAATCTGATCGACCTTCTTAGATCAGCCCATCAGTAGGTTTGTAAGTTGAGATTGATGTTTGCACATAGAATGGTAGTTCTGTGCGTGGTGTTTCAGTTGCATCTCATACCACGTACTGATGAGACGCATGCTGAAAATCGCGAAGTGTAGTGCGTGGCCTGAACCAATACCAAGTATTGCGAGAAATCAGGATGGGACGATCATGCATCGGAACAGTTGTTCTGCAAGGGCGAAACAATATTGATGAGCCCAAGCCCTAAATAAACAGCTGATTGTTTCCTCAAAGAAACGCGAAATAGGCTTATACACGGCAAGCTATCCGACGCTGAGGATTAAGCGGGTTAGACCACAATATGGCAGAAGACCGGAAGGCAAGGCGCCTAGCCCTTGAATCGAGATTGGATACAGCCATCAGACTTCTGGATGCAAATCGACCGACGTGATGGATGATGGGGGACAGGTAGTGGGAAATCTAGGCGCGTACAAACGAGTGCATCGCCGATGGTGGCTTGGTTGGTCGAACAAGGAGCAAAGGTGAGAGGCGAACTGTTAGTCCACAGAACAGTCAAGAAGGACAGCATCGCGACAGCATTTTGCGCAACTCTTCCTTACAAATTCTACTCAGCATATCGATAGAGCTGCACAGAAGTTGAGATTCGAAAGAGTCTGGAAAGCGGAAGAATATAGCCGAGAACGATCCAGGAGGTCTTGCAGCAACGGAGTGTCGAATCCGGAGGTCTAGAACTCGCGGCGTGTTTGTGTGTCTGGCAGGGTCTGTGACATAATTCTCGGCATGACGAAGCGCGGCCTCCAATCGAGACAGCCCGATCCTCAGGGCTTCACAGAAGGACCTGAGGATCGAAGCGTGTAGGCCGCACAGAGCACGTCCAAGAAACGCGATTTGGGAGCAACAGGAACGATGGCCGCAAAATTGTGTCTCGCTTCCCTGCAGAGTCAATCAAGGGCAGTTGCGGACTCTGATCCCCCACCACGTGAATCGACGGTCGATACGTCTCGCGACCTGCGATGCCCAAGGCGATCTGCTTTTTTTTTGGAATCTGTGATTGCGCGCTGCCATCTTGCTTGATCAGAAGTAGGTGTTTCGATGCTCAGATCTGCCTCTCAGACCTCTTGCCCCTACGCCATTCCCTGATATTCCCTACCTGACCTATTACAACTGCTCGCTCCTTCCCACCTGAACAAATACATAGCTCTATTCAACTATATGCCTATTCCGCCCAGCACACTAATCCCTCCTGGACTATAGACATATTACTATCTGTACTGGTACCTGATCACTACACATAACCGCATCGACGCTTTCCAAACACATCCGCGTATATGGCTTCTGAAGCCTACCTGCGCCCCCCTCACCCTAGGAGGCCACCTGCTCAGCGCTCCGTCTCTCTCAGACACACTTCAGGCCCCTCGCCGGACTCGAAGAACAGCAAGAGCACTCAGACCGAAGCCTCCAGCGGCTCGCCTTCGAGTAACAAGCCTAACGTGAGCAAGGCCGACTCTGGTGAGAGCAGTAACGCCGACAAGTGGTTCGATGGCGCCAACAACAACGCCGATGGCAACAACAGCACCGTCATCGACAGTAAGTCTTGGAAATGCACTCTACCTCGTTGTTGGCTAACCCTCGCCGCCAGATGATCCTCCATTCTTCCTCCAACACTCGTCTTCGGAAGAGACTCCGAACTATGGAGGACCGGGCGCAATGCTCGATTCACACATCCCCATGCATGCTCTGATGCAAAAGAATGATACCGAGGATAGCGGTAGCTCGGACTTCCGCGCCGTCATCGATGACCTTACTGTCCAGAACAAAAAGCTCAAGAGACGTCTGAAGAAGTACGAGAAGTTGCACGACGCACATTTGAAGGATGAGAAACTGTTCGAGGTCCGCGTCCACGGTCTGTCGTCGGCTAAGAGGCGCGAACTGGAAGACATCCTGCGCAACTTTGCTGTCAACGTCGCTGGTCAGGCAAACGCTGGTCCTACTTCGCAGAGCAGCAACCTCTACGACCGCGGTGTTCCTACTCTCAAGACCCATAAGACGGCCTCATCGTCGTCCAACTTCGCCGACTCTGCCTATGCTTCCAATTCAGCTTCTGCCTCCGCCTCTGGCACTTCTAACTCTAACAGCGGCCAGCAAAGTAGACACCCATATCGTCGTTCGAGCAAGACTCGTACCAACAACATCCAGACATATCTCCACGATATCCCCGAAGGTTTATTGCCGCAACATCCTGCAGTCATGACTGAGTACTCAAAGAAGAAGCTCGTTGTCCGTCGTCTCGAGCAAATCTTTGCTGGAACTGGTGCTGGCATGGGCGACCACCATCACCCTATGCAGCAACAAGAGGTTTCGCAGATGGCCGCGAGGGCTGATAGAAGTGCTCTGGAAGCTACCGGTCAAACTGCCAAGACTGAGGGCACTAGAGAAGCTCCTATCATGAAGGATGATGAAGACCGAAGCGCCGAAGAAGCCAGCGGACCCGAGGTTACCCAAGGAGCCGATGGCAATTCAAATGTTGTCGAAAAAGATTTTGCAGGTCTCTCGCCTCAGCAGCGACCTACGAGACCTCTGGACCTCGATCCTCATCGCGCTCAGAACCCTCGTGATAACTTCCAATATATCCGTCATCTTGGTTTCTCACCACCCGAGCCTAGCACTATGCAGGCTCATGAAGAAGGCCATGGCTGGATCTATTTGAATTTCCTTTTCAACATGGCTCAGCTTCATACCCTGAACGTCACTCCCGAATTCGCCAAGAAGGCTTTGCTTGACTTCAGCACAAAGTTCGAGCTTTCTGAAGACGGTCGCAAGGTTCGCTGGAAGGGCGGCAAAACCATCACAAGATCGGCTAGCGATACTGATGGAAGCTCGCCGTCAACTTATGGAAACTCTCCTAACGGCACAAGTCCTCAGAAGCGCTCGAAATCTTCTCACCACAAAGCTGGCGCAAAATCTGCAAAACGTAGATTGTTGCAGCAGCAAGACAGCAAGTTCACTTACACTCCTCTCTTTTTCCACCGCAGTAGCGAAGATGATAGCGATCTTTCGTCCGAAGAAGATGAAACTGAGTCTCAGTTTTTGGCTCCTCCAGGCGGCGACTCCTCCGCCATGACTAGCTCTGGTATTCGCACTGTTTCGTTGAGACAGAAGAAGAAGACTGACAATGGTCCCATCATTTTCTACAACAATGCCAAATTCTGCACTGACCTTAGTGGCGAGCCGAAGACAGAAGCCGCCATGATGTACAACCCTATTTTGTACCACACGACGACCGAGCACGCACTCGGTGTCCCAAGGCCCTCTGAAGCAAGTCAACAAGACATCATGGAATCTCGCGGTCCTCTTGACGAGGCCCAGGATCTTCCCGAGGCCATGAGTTTGGACGACAACCCGATCCCCGAAGCTCTCGAGCTCAACTTCCCCAGTACCTCTCCCCTCTCTGACGCGAGTGGAGCATCTGGACCGGCAAGAGACCAGATCGAGTTAGAGGTCTCAGGAATTGGTGGCATTTATCCCTCTGACAACTTCTCCGTCAACGTCAAGATGGAGCGCAAGCGCAACCCTACCTCTGCGGCTCCACCTGTACAGCCAAAGTCGTACTCTCCTAAGATTGCCGGACTTCTCAAGGAGAACAAGCAGCAACCAGCAGTTTTCACGGAAGAAGTCGTAGGCACTTTCCACCAGGAGTTGCCTCCTTCCGAGCTTCCACCTGCCTCCTGCTTCATGGACATCGATGAGTATGATGACGATGAGTCCGAGTTCGAAGATTACCATTCAATGATTCCTGATGTTGATCGTGTTCATGACGTTCCAGCCACCGCACCACAAACCATCGACATGGCATACATGAGCAGCGATGAGAGTGATGATGAGGACGACGAAGAAGGAGACAAAGACGACGATGCCGCATCCGATGGCTCTCTCGATCTGCTTGCGACTGCTCGCGAGCTCGACCCCCAGTCGATTCAGGCACGCGAGCGTGAGTATGACGCTCACATGGCCGAGAGACTTGCAGAAGAGATTCCTGCTGGTAGCTCTGCCGCTACTGCAGGAGGTGGCAGTGGGTTTGCTAGCCCAGCTGCCGGCATTAGCAGAAAAGACTACGAGGACGCACGCGCGGAGCATGCTATGCGCCACGCATCCACCATCACATCCGTGGCGTCGTTCAACAGAACAGACACCAATGGTTCAATGGTCGTCAATGGCAAGTCGCCTTGATGATACACATGCTTTTGCGGATCATGTTAATATTGTTGCATTTGCATATTGTACAGGAGTCTTGGTTTGATTTCATTCAGGACATTTGGTTTTACAAGATACCCCCCCTATGTAGCATAGGATATTTGAATCACTGTATTTTTTTGTATTTTTTTTTAACCTCGTATTCATCGTTTGGTGCCATCTCTTCCCCCAAAGTGATTCAGGGTGACATATTCGTAGCCAGAGCGTTCTAGCTTCCGCTTGACACTTTCCAATCTTGCCAAGCCTTTTGCAACCTAGGTCCTTCGGCATGCCTACGCAAAGGCAAGTCGTCAGCATAATCATTCAAGATTTCCATCAGCAATTGGAGGCCTCACTTGTCGAGTCGTTACTGGGTTTCAAATATTTCTCATATCGTAGCCCTCGGTGAGCTTGACTCGTGCTGGCACTGGCTGAGATTGTTGGGTTTCACATCGGGCTCTGACAGCACCGGAAGGTTGCCCGGAAGGCTGTTTAACCCGGTAAGCCCGCCACCAAAAACCATCTTCCATGTTTCTCATCTTGCACACGCAACAATCAATTGGTCAGAGAGAAAGGTGTTCGCGCAGCAATGGAGAGTGGCACGCCGAACACAAATCCAATGGCAGCAGAAGTGCCTGCCAAGGCCGAGGTGGACGACTTTCTGCGGCGCAAACGAAAAGCGCGCGAGCACAAGGCGTGTTATCCGTGTCGACAACGAAAAGTTCGCTGTGATCTTGCCAGGCCATGCCGCACCTGCGTCGAGCGCGAGCATCCTGAGCTATGCGACTACCATCCGCCTAACAAGAAACAGAACAATTCTTCATCCTCGGCATCCCTTGCGCTTCCTGCTGCGGGTACTAGCAGTGGGGTTCCTGCGCTGAACGCTAACACGGTCACGCTTTCGCGGTCGAATTTTGATCATTTGTGTCGAAAACTCGACAATGTTGAGTCTGCGCTGGAAGACTTGCGCCGGGAGATGAGAAGCTCGAATAGACCGACTCAAAACCCTTCTGGACGTTCTTCACCATCAAGTACTACGCAAAAGGCCGAAGGTGCTCAGCCATGGATCAACAACCAATTCACTCGTCATACTACTGTTCATGGACTTCACGCCCGAAATGATTTAACCGGTCAAACTGTACATCTGGGAGGCTCTTCAGTACCCGCGCTTGTTATGGCTTTGGGTCAAGGCGATCGCGAGCAGCCTTCAGTTCAGGAAATTCTTGGCAGATCTATTCTGCCCATGTTCGGCCTGGATAACGAGACAGCGACGTATCCATTCGTGGACCTCTGGGGACTGGCCCATGGCTCTCTTGCACGCGCTCAAGAATTGGCCAAGACGATCCCCACCGACAGCCAATGCTTATCCTTCTTCCGGTACTATCAAAATTTGGGAAACATCATCTTCCCTGGTGTTGCAGACATCTCAACTTTCGAGATGGATTTGACGCGCTTCCTACAAAAGAGAAACGAACAGATGGGTGTAGCCGGATCTTTGCCTGCCGACAGTCCTCTTCCTGGAGTCTCTGAGCAAGCGATATACGACAAGAATCTGGAGTGGGTTGGACTGCTGTTCGCTGTACTGGCGAGTGGTTGTCAATGCTCTGGTCTGCCTCGAAAAGAACGTGAATTGACATCTCAAGTCTACAGTACGTGAAACAAAGCCGTGAGCTGACGAGAGTAGAACACTGACAGCAAGCAGTGTGTTGTAGTTTCGAGTGTCTGCGCTTTACCAATTTCCTATCACATGTGACATTAGAGAGCATCCAAACGCTATTGATTCTCGGAAACGTAGGTGATTTTGCTTACGTGCACGATATCAGCGTCTAACATGTATGCAGGTCATCTCTAACAACATGAACGCGGGCACTTCGTGGTCACTTATGGGTCTCACACTGAGATTGGCAATGAGCTTAGGTCTGCACCGCAGCTGTCCACCTGCCGCAGACGTCGAGACCAAGGCAATTCGCTCCAAGGTTTGGTGGTCGATTGTCTGGCAAGACAGTCTGTTATCAATCACATACGATCGCGCCGCAACTACAGCATATATCGATCCTTCAAGTATGCCAGCACCGAACGCATACACTGAAATCCCACCTTACCACCTTGCAATGTACAGGCTCTGCAGGGTCGGACTTGAGATTGTACGCGACCGCACGAAGACCATGAGCTCGCGCGAATTGTTTGCCAGAATCACGAATCACAGAAACGAGATTGACGACATCATGGCAGGCACAGCCGACTACTTGCGTGACTCGCGCACTTGCAAATCGGTAGAAGAGTCACTCGAGCACTGGGCACTTTACCTACACGTGTCGTACATAGTCTCAGAGCTATGTCGACCAGCCATCAGCCCCAGCACAGCCAGCTACGAGCTTTCCAAAGCATTCAAGCAGACTTGTATTGACAGTTTGGTCAGCACAGTAGAAGCTTTCCTCGGCCTACAAAACATCACACCATATGCAAGACAGTCTTGGGCTGCCGTGCACCGCAGTCTGAGTTCCGCACTCCTCCTCGGCATCATGGGCGAGCATGCCCACAACGAACGCGCGCGCCGTCTCTTGGGCAGATTTGTCGCTCTCATGTCAGATATGCAATCAGCACTCGACCCGCAAGAACTTGCAGCACCTATGGAAAGAGCCATTACCGCACTCAAGAAACTCAACATCCAGGAATCGAGACCTTCAAGATTCATCGAGGATATTGCTATGGCGCCTTCGGGTGGCAGTGTGGCGGATAGCACTGAGAGTCCTGGTATGGCTGGGGTGGATCACTCGAGTGTGTTTCCCTCTAACACGAGTGCGTTGGTTGATGAAGAGTATTCGCCATATAGCGTGCTCAATTCCATTTTGTGGGGCCAAGGACCGACTCCTTGAGCAAGAGACGGAAGGGTGGTTGTCGACAGCGGAGATGGTTCGAAACGAGACAAGTGTATATCCGTATGACATGCATTGATGGAATGGAGCGTTTATAGAGATAGCCTGTATAAAATTATCATTATTGTTTTTCATCATCCATCATCACATCAAAGATGCAGCGAACCACAAGAGCATTATGGTCAACGTCACGAAAACAGAGTGAGAAGGCACGCAAAGATTGTGATCGGGACAACGACTTTATTGCAAAATACTAGATAGCTAGCAGAGAGTAACAAAAGTCATCAACACCTGCCTCGGCGACACGTTTACTTGGGGTCGTCGAAGACGTAGGTGAGGTGGCAGCGACCGCAGTACTGGCGGTTGTGCATGGCGGCCATGAAGATACCGGCACCGCACTGAGAAGGGAGTTAGCGTCTTGCAAGATTTCGACATCAGGCAGAAAGAAGAAACTTACGGTATCCGAGGGGCACTCGCGACGCAGGCGCTCAATCTTGCCGTCACCGTCAACCTTGTAGTACTTGAGGACGGCGAGCTTGGTCTTCTTGCGCTTGTGCTTGATCTTCTTGGGGGTGGTGTAGACCTTCTTCTTGCGCTTCTTACCACCACCACGGAGGCGGAGGACGAGGTGAAGAGTGCTCTCCTTCTGGATGTTGTAGTCGGAGAGGGTGCGGCCATCCTCAAGCTGCTTGCCAGCGAAGATCAGGCGCTGCTGGTCCGGGGGGATACCCTCCTTGTCTGTTTGTCGTGTGTTAGTGACTGTGCGCAGGTCGTGTGTGGCGAGGGTCGTCGCCGGCGGTAGGAAAGTGCGCACCCTGGATCTTGGACTTGACATTGTCGATGGTGTCGGACGACTCCACCTCAAGGGTGATAGTCTTGCCCGTGAGGGTCTTGACGAAAATCTGCATGATGGCGACCTAGACAGCGGGGTCGTTGTCGTCCTAAGTCGTGAGGAAAAGAAAAGTCGCAAAGAAATGCTCGCTTGGAATTTGACAAGCGGTCGGTGCGCTCGCAAACTTGGCTTACCTAATCGGTGCCGTTCAGCCAATCATCGCTTGCCAGTCATGTGACTTGCTTCCTTCCTTCTTTGTCACCAACATCAAGGTCCTTTTAGTCATAAGTGAAAGAGTGGACGCGCTTTCTCGACCTAGACGAGTTTTGTCATGTATCACTCTAAAACGCGCGCTGCCAACTATCTTGCACAGCATTTCCGAGAGTCTAGACCAAGAGTCAGGCTGACTATCTGTCTGCCGCGACGTTAGCCAATCAATGTATTGTTGGCTGAAAGACTTGCACATCAATCCATACTTCGGATCCTCTGACTGGTCAATTCTCACTGGGCTGCGCGGATATTCACCAACACCACGCGCCTTTCAGTGGAATTGTGAATGGGTATGCTACGTGGATTGATCACAGAGAGCAACTTCGGCCTTCCCAGCATCATCCTTCAGCCCAAGGAAGAGGCGCAGCTTCATCACAACACGCACCCTGACCCTGATAGGCTCACGAAGACCTATTTTCTACTCCAGACGACATATAACATGGAGCGCTTGTCAGTGTGCGCTGGTCAATCACAGAGCAGTTCCTCTATCGTCCAATGATCTCTACAACATCTGTCGACGATGAGGCGCAGTCGCTAGGTAATATGCATTTTGTTCCAAAAGAGTCACCGAGTGTCGTTCTGCTAGCCGCGTTGTTGCTATGGTCTGGTCGTGGAGGATAAGAAGAGGTATGCGTGAAATCTCTTGATCCTATGGCAGGCAGGCTATAAGTACAGGATCAAGCGCCTCTGGACCTACCCTCTCATATCCTCACTTTTATCAAGTCACAAGCTATTCATACAACCTACGATCGCACATCATGAGTTTCGACTTTGCCATCGAGGAGCCCCTCGAACGTCAGAAGATCTTGGATTGGGTATGCTCATCAGAGATCGATTATGCCGACCAACAAAGAGCTTTGAAAAAACGAAGACAAACAAAAATTGGAGAGTGGTTCCTCGGCGGCGATAAATTTCAAACCTGGATTCATGGCGACCACGCTACCCTCTTGTGCTCAGGTATGCCTGGTGTTGGCAAAACAATGATTACCTCTTTCGTCGTCAGCGACGTTCTGGAAAGGTACAAGAGCGACACTCAGGTTGGCGTTGCCTATATCTATTGTCAATTTCCTCGACAGGAAGAGCAGACGGCAGAATACCTCAAGTCGAGCATTCTCAGACAACTTCTTGGCCGGCTCAACGTCATACCAAATATGGTCAGGTCGTCGTTTCAATCTACTAACTCTATTAGGGGAGAGGACGACCTCACTCCAGATGAAGTTTCTGACTTGCTCGGGTCCATTCTGGGCTTGTTCAAGAAATCTGTTCTTATCATCGACGCTCTTGATGAATTGCCTGTTACGACTCGCGACGAATTTCTGTCCCAAATACTCACCCTTCAACGAAGTTTCAACATAAACATATTCGCCACATCGAGGCACGCGAAAATGACTCAAGAATCTTTGAATGGCTCCTGGGTCGAGATCAGCATCCGACACGAGGACTTGGAATGTAGTGCTGCTGCAATCCTGAAGAAGGGGCTTTTGTTGAGAGAAAGATCCGATCTTCAACAGCGAGCACTTTCCAGGACATTGCAGGTGGCAGATGGAATGTAAGAAGCACACGCGTGCACAAGCAAACAGCTTAAGCTTACGACTTTCAGATTGCTTCTGGCAGTGCTCTATGCACAATATATGGCTGGCATGAAACAGATGAAGCAGCTTTCCGGAACAATAAATGGGCTGAAGTCTGTCTCCGATCCGTTTTCCAGACTGTATGCCAAGGCAATGCAGCGGTTACAGCAGGATAACGAGACTGGTGATACCAAACTAGGCTTGACCACCATATGTTGGCTATTGCTGGCGAGAAGACCACTTCGTCTGAGCGAGTTGCTTCATGCTTTAGCTATCGACGAGCGTATTTCTTATCCCGATGATGAGAATGTGTTCCTTGTGTCACACATTGTCGACGCATGTGCCGGCTTAATCGTCGTGGATGAAACCAACGACACCGTTGGTTTGTTCCACAAGACTTTCCACGAGTATCTAGTCAAGAATCAATCGGTTTGGTTCCCTCAGGGGAACGACACAATTGGCCTGATGTGCGTTAGGTATCTGTCTTTCGATGCATTTGCAAGCGGCCCAAGCAAGGAACCTGATCGAAGTTTACCACATTTTCGTTGCCAGCCCCCAGATCGCGCTCACTTTGCGTTTCAATCTCGATTGATCCAGTACCCTCTGTATGATTATGCTTCAAAACATTGGCATGACCACATCCGCGGGAGCAATTTGGAGACAGCTGACATCGTCATGGCATTCCTAGCTGATACCAACAAAGTATCCGCTTCCTGCCAAAGACTGGAGAACCTTACGCCTCAAACCACTGGCACACATCTTGCAACAGAACTATCGCTTGAAAAGTAGCTAAAGCACCATCTAGAATCATGCCGGCCTGAACCCGATGTCAAGGATAAATTTGGACGAAGCCCTCTAACCTATGCGGCGGAATTCAATAACCTGATAGCAATCGATCATCTTATCGAGGCAGATGCTGATCCGAATTTGGCTTTGTCCTTTGCAGCAAGAAATGGCCATCCCCTGGCCAGCAAGGCTTTGCTACAGAAAGGAGCCGACGTCAACTATTGCGACAAGTCTGGTCGGAGTGCCCTGTCTTATGCTGCAGAACGTGGCTCAGAGGCTGTTGCTCGACTCTTACTTCAAAGTGGCGCTCAGATAGATCCCCTTGATTCGGAGAGACGCACACCATTGTTTGACGCAGCTGCAGCTGACTCAATTGAAGTGGCCTCACTGCTATTGGAGCGTGGAGCCAATGTCAACCAAGCAGATCTTTACAACATAACGCCTCTTCTTGCGGCTGCTAGAGCTGGTTCTGAGCGGATGATCGCATTCCTCATTGCACGTGGAGCTAGAGCCAACACGGAGAGCTACGAGAACGACACACCACACTCTCGAGCCGTCGAACTCGCACATCCACTAACCCGAGCAACAAAATTTGGATCAAAAGAAATCGTTCGTCTCTTGATATCAGCGGGATTTGACGTTAACAAAAGGGATCGCGCTGGGCTACCACCACTGGCTTATGCTGCGAAGAATGGCTGGGCAGACATCGTGAAGATTCTGCTAGAGAAGGGAGCCCAAGCGGACAACACAAAAGATGGGGCACAAACCATACTCTCATATGCTGTCGAGAATGGTTCTAAAGAACTAGTCGAATTGCTACTCACGTACGGCGCCAACATCAATCAATTGAGCGGTCGGACTCCTTATTGCGAACCGCTCTATTGGGCGCTTGGCATGACCACGATGTACGGCGGTCATCGACCAGCTGATGAGGAGATGATGAACTTACTCTTTGCGAACGGTGCAAACCCCAACGCGATGACCGTTTGGGAATCGTGGAGGGAAAGTCTGCTGGATCCGCCGCTGACTTACGCACTGCAAAACCTCCCCGTGGGAGAGTCCAAGACAGCCAGACTGATAGAACTTCTTCTGAAGTCTGGAGCCGACACAAGTCAGGTAACGCATAAAGGTGTGTCTGTCCACACATTTGCGAAACATCATTCGACAGAAGTTCAAGAACTGTTACAAGAGTACGGCGCACAGTGATAGCATACTGTCCCGATTCACGCCGCCCAGCCAACGATGCTGTGCTGAATTTGTTTCTATCAAGGAGGTCGATGTTCAAAATCTTGCTACGTCAGTGTGGTGTTGGGTAGGATCGAGACAGCATGAGGTAGTGTCTCACCCAGTCACCTTGTGCTTGAATAACATGTTCATAAAATCTGAATGTTTAAGGCTATTGAGTAAAGCGGAACATTATGGTGAATGCTGCGAAGTTGGCCATGTATTGAATGTGGCCCGCAGTGTGAAAGGGATTGAAAGTGGAAAATAACAAGATCAGTAGTAGCAGCACCTGATCATGATGTGAAGGCAATGTATTTGGTTCTCTATGCTTGTTCTTAATCTTTCATGCAAAATGTGGCCCGGTAATATGCACCATCACCTGTGTAAGCCCTCTCCGAAAAACTCCTGCATGCGCCGTGGCTTGTCGGATCATCACTGACTGACAACCTGTATGGGTATCTTGATTTTCTTTTCTTCTATCCTCTTTTTAAGGCTTGAGAGGCTTGCTGTCGTCGCGAATGCCCTTCATGCTCTTGAAGTACTGGGCACCATCAACGAGTCTGCGCTCGTCGTTGGAACGAGAGTTGACGAAGTCGGGGTAGAAGAGAGAGAGCTCTACAGAGCCGTTGACAATAGCGTCAACAGCCTCAACACCCTGCATGAAGGAGTGGTCCTGGTTACCGACTTCGTAGCGCCAAGCACCGAAGCGACCACGAGAGTAGATGTCCATGTCCTTGAGCTTGGGGAGAAGCTCCTTAAGGACACCTTCACGCTCGAGGGAAGGAGTGGGGTAACCGTGGTCGAACTTGCGGTGGTAGGTCGAGACAATCTCGTCCTTGGGCTGGAGCATCTCAGTGTTGACAAGACCCTGGATACACTCCTTGAGGAGGTTCGCTTCATCGACAGGCTTCATGGAGGACTCGGAAACCTCGAGCATGATGCTCCAGTAAGGACCCTCGTTGAGGCCAGTGCTCTCAGGAGCGGAGCCGTCGGCGAGCTGCATGGTGGCAAGCTTCTTGGTAGCAACGGGCTGGTTGTGGGGAGAGTAGTTGGAGAAGATGGTGGCGCGGTAGAAGGGGCAATCGTTCTCGGGGAAGTAGAGCCAGCACTTGTCGCCAATGCGCTCGGGGCGGTGACCACGGATACCAACACCAATGACGTGGGTGCTGCTGTAGAAGAGACCCTTGGAAAGATCGTGAAGCTGCTTGTTGCCCATGGCCTCGGTGAGGTAGTCGACGGCCATGGTTGAGATGAGCTTGCCGTACTTGATGGTGGTGCCATCCTTAGTTGTGACGGTGTGGGCATCGGCATCAACCTTGGTAACAGTGGCGTGAGGGCCGTACATGGTCTTCTCTTTGGGAAGAGTGTTGGCGACAGCAATCCAGATACCACCAGTACCACCCTCGGCAGGGAAGCGGAAAGTGGCGTTAGGGCCCCAGTTACCAGCAGTCTTGTTCAAGATAACGTTCTTGGTGACGGTCTTGAGGTCGGGAGCAGCGACACGCTCACCAAGCCACTGGCACTGCATCTTGGTGGTGGGGACAGCCCAGACCTTGTAGTTGTAGGGACGCATGAACAGGTCGGCAATACCCTCACCCATCATTCTGACGATCCACTCATCGAAGTCCTTGGGCTTGGTGTTGGAGACTCTGGCCTCCATGGCGGCATCGATCATGCCGTCAATGCACTTGACCTGCTCTTCCTTGGGAAGCATGGAGATGTTGTTCTGGAAGGGGTATGGGACCCATTGCTCCTTGCAGCGGACGTAGGAGATTCTCTGGTGGGTGTACCAGTCGGTCTCTTTGGGGAGAGCCTCGTTGATGCAGTCATCGAAGTACTTGTAGTGCGAGAAGATAACGTGGCCACCGACGTCGTAGAGCTGTCGATTGCTGTCAGCGCTGGCTCAATGGCTGTTGCAAGTTTCAGTCAAGCTACTCACGAAGCCCTCAGGGGTAACGTCGGTCGAGGCAAGACCACCAGGAATCTCGTTGGAGTCGATAATCATCCATGAGTGGTCGTCGATCTGGTTCAGACGCTTTGCGGCACCGAGACCAGTCGGGCCAGCGCCAATGACGAGAACATCAACCTCACTGTGTACACTTGTCAGCTGAGTTGAGGTGGCAACGGCTCGTATTGAAGCTCACATTTGCTTGGACATTGTGGTGGGGGAGTGTGAAAGAAGGTATTAAAGGAACTAAGAACAACAAGCGACGGGGCAACGAAAGAGGGTATCACTGGAGAGCAGAGAGACAAGAGGAAAGGTCGTCTGGACAGTTTTTATTCGCGATTGCTGTGATTGGATTGGGGAAAAGGAGGTCAATCGCCGCTCTCAATACTTGGCGGGCAGTGGCAGGCAAAGGGTCCGACCTCAAGCATGGCCGCCGCTTCCCAAGTTTCAACATCAGAGATCCTTGCTGCATTACTCCGACCTGGCCCGCCCCACCATGCCCAATCCAGACTTTCAATGAACCATCACATCTCAATCCATATGACTGCCATGAGCTAGCATGCCAGATCTACAAGCCACCGTGACAGTCTTCTAAACGTCTGTCAATTGCTTTCGGGTTGAACGTCTTGACTCAGTCGTGCCGCTCTAGCACATGTGTGGGAGAGTACAGCCACCTCCTCCGCGCGTCCAGATTGCATGCCGAACCAACTATGTTTGATACTTTCTGTGGCATTTTTCAGAGTTACACAAGTGCATTCGATGTCCAAAATGATCAAGCTCGGCCAAGCTTTGTTCGAGTGCTGCAATTGACCTCTCCCGGGCCTTTCCACTAGAGATGCGTGTTCACGTTGATTGGATCAGATGGTGCTGTAAAATAGTCGTCAGGAGAAGGAGATAAATTGTGCCGCACAGCATGGATTGACAGTGTAGCACACGACGCGGCGAGAGGAGGCTGGGCCGAGGAGAACAGCAAGCTGTTCAACATAACACATATGGCATGACAGCGGCATGTTCTAGCAAGCAATAGCACAAGTGTGTGAAGATGAAACATGTAGTATTCAGATCGTCGTGGTATCGACGGTGTTCGTGGATGCGAGAGTGGATGTGATTGCGTGTCCCGAAGGGAAGGTGAAGCGCGTGTCAACGGTTTCGAAGAGCGGCTCCACTTGCACAGCATGGGCGTTCCAAGCTTTCCTGACGATGCAATCAAGGGGTTGCACGCCGCAGACATCAAAACTTGTCCCAACCTCACAACCCAAATTTCTCATTCGAACCTTCTGTCTTCCATTCTTCGTCTCTAATCCACCTCGAGCAACCTGTCCACTGGTCCATCACTGTCCAGTGCAATCCTTCGCCTCGAATCGTAACCCCGACACCCCACGTTTGGCGCAATGGAGAAGGAAAGAACCTCTGGCGAGGTCGAGAGACCTGAGCAGGCCGAGCCTGTCCTGCCCGTCGTCAATCCGGCTCTCGAGAAACCTGCTCCTCCTCAGAGCGCCATCCACCCCGCTCTCTATGTTATGTGAGTCGCGCTCAGGAAACGAGCAAGCGCACGAGGCGACTACAGAAGCTGACAGCCTGCGCAGTGTCTGGATTGGTATGAGCTCCAGTGTCATCATCTTCAACAAGTACATCCTCGATAAGAACAAGCTGAACTTCCGTGAGTCTGCCCATCAGCCGACCCTCAAACCACTCCAGCTCATTGCTTCGTAGAATTCCCAATTTTCCTGACAACATGGCATCTCGGCTTTGCAACAATCTGCACCCAGATTCTCGCTCGTTTCACCACCGTTCTGGATTCAAGAAAGAAGGTTCCCATGAATGGCAGAGTCTACCTTAGAGCTATCGTTCCCATCGGTCTCTTCTTCTCTCTGTCGCTCATCTGCGGTAACCTCACCTACCTCTACCTTTCTGTCTCCTTCATCCAGATGATCAAGGTATGCTTGGGATCGCTTGTCTTTGCGTTTCTGGGTGAGCGGGAATTGACCCATTTCTAGGCTACCACCCCCGTCGCCGTTCTGATCACATCTTGGGTCATGGGTCTTTCTCCTCCCAACTTGAAGACCCTCGGAAACGTGTCTTTCATCGTTATCGGTGTCATCATCGCCTCATTCGGTGAGATCCAATTCGTCATGCTCGGTTTCCTCCTCCAAGTCGCTGGTATCATCTTCGAGGCCATTCGCTTGACCATGGTTCAGCGCCTTCTTTCCTCTGCCGAGTTCAAGATGGACCCTCTGGTTTCCCTCTACTACTTCGCTCCCGCTTGTACCATCATGAACGGAATTGTCGCTTTGATCACCGAGGTCCCATCTATGACTTGGGCTGACTTCGACCGCGTCGGTTACTTCACTCTCTTGCTCAACGCCATGGTTGCCTTCGGTCTCAACGTCTCGGTCGTCTTCCTGGTATGTGTTTTTTGCTGCGTTGTTCATGCCCTCTAGCTAACAAACTCTCCAGATTGGCAGAACCTCCTCTCTCGTTCTTACGCTCTGCGGTGTCCTCAAGGATATCCTTCTCGTCGTTGCCTCGATGCTCATCTTCCGCGACCCTGTTGCTCCTCTTCAATTCTTCGGTTACTCGATCGCCCTCGGTGGTCTCGTCTACTACAAGCTTGGAGCTGATGCCCTCAAGGAATACGCTGGTGGTGCCGGTCGCGCCTGGGCCGACTACGGTGTCAGACACCCCGCCCTCAGAAAGCTCATCGTCTTCGGTGGTGTGCTCCTCGTTCTTTTCCTCCTTCTTGGCTCCTTCAGCTCCTCCTTGCCTGTCGACCCCAAGCAATACGTCGGCAACAAGTACAGTGGCTTCTTCGGTAACGGCGGCGTCTGAAAACAGTCAAAAGAGCTTGGTTTATGGAAAGGCACAAATATCCGTTTTGGCACGCTTAAGGCAGGTCTAAATGCCGCGTATCAAAATAAACACTATAATACTGTGAATGAATATTGGAATGCGGGGTGAGCCCCAGTCAAGGGCACCTCACATATAGAGCACGCGATGTGGGCATTTCGGAGTTTTTCTTTTCTATACCATGTTAAGAAACCATCAAAAATACAACCCCATTTTCAAAATGTCGAAGGCTTTACGGAACAGAGCTTGCTGTTGAGTATGGAGTTATTTTCGCAACCGCTTCTGCTCACCAAAACAAACGGTTCGGCCAACCGTTAAAAAGACAAAAATCGATTTCAAGCCCCAACGTCAACATCCCAGAGCTTCTTTTCGAAACCTGGCACAACCGCCCAGCAGCCGGGAACATTGAAAGTCAAAAAAGGTCGGAAAAGTCCTAAATGGCAGGTCCCACGTGCTGTGGTTGCAAAATCCCGACGCGCGATTTTGAACAAGTTGATTTTATCTCTGATCTCTTCTTTCGGCTCCTAGAGCAGGTGCAACATCGCAGCTTGAGGAAGAAGGCGCAGCAAAGCAATCACCAAGGTCAAATTTCGGCGACTTTTTCTTCATCTCTTGTGCCCTGCAGCTACGTACATGAGCAGTTGGCGAGGATCTACCTTGTTGATTTGGCTGGGCGAGGGGTTAGTATCATGTTTGCGGCTCTGCTATTTTCTGTGCTCCGCATACAAGCGTCATAGACGTGACCTTGTTTCTATATTCACTTCCCGCGCGTGTTCAAGCGCGATTTTGACATTTTGTTGATGTCGGGTGTTTTTGCGAAAGCGAACTTTTGACTATCTCACCAAAAGGTTGATAAGATGGTTGTGCCAACTTTCGGAGTTGGTCCCAGAGACAAAGTCATGGTTTGATAGGTATGAGATCCGGAAAATGCCTAATCTCCACTTCTGTTCGTGTTCAAGTGTGGCTGTTTTGCTGGCTTTTTTGCTTTCTGAAACCGAGGACTGACTCGTCACTCGGCGGGTGTTTGTGTTTCATGTACAGTACAAGGTATAGTACTTTTTCGTCTCCTGATCTTCTCTGCTTTCAAGTAGAGGCAGGAGATCATCACTTCAAGTCTACCTCCTGTGATCAGTTAATTCGTTGTATTGCAGATAGCTACGAAATTGCTACAGTGCTATTGTGACACACACACACATTGTTATTGCTATGGAGACGCACATTTGTTCGAGGGAAGCAGAGGCATGCCTATCCACGGAGAGTCGACAACTTGTTTTGCTCTCATTGACCTAGCGCTATATTGTTTCCTATTACTATTGTGCATTTTCTATGGCTATACATGTTACAAAGTTCAGTCCACATGGGCGAGGTTGTACCACATATGCCTCCAGTTGCTTTGGGTGTTCGTAGACGACGACCTGTTTTCTTCGAGGCACTTTTTCCCAGGAACCCCAATCCTGGGCACAAGGCAAATGCACTATATACAGAAGAATTGAGAATACTCTCAACCTTCTGTCATTCTTGGATGAAGAGCAGTTCCCATTAGCTTGAGCGAGCGTCTCGAACAGAGGACTTGAACTGTGTGAGTAGATATTGAACGAACCACGAATCCCTCGCTTTTGGCTCTCTCTCAAAAGTGAAATGCGATAGCGATCAGAAAAGCATCGTCAGTTGAAAGAGTATAGAAATGGGGTGTGAGAATTGTGAGAGAAAGGGATGCAAAGAATGTGAGCAGAAGTAAAAAAACACAAAAAAGAAATCTCCTCTCTCTGAGTCGAACAAAGGACCTTCTGATGACAATCGAACAATTACAGTCAGACGCTCTAAACCAACTGAGCTAAGAAGAGATTGATGAAAGAAATTGTAATCTTGTCATAATATCAAAATATTTTTTCACCTTGGCTGATCGATAAGAATGCTACACCAACGATCTTTTGCACAGGAGTCACCATAAGCCACAAGAACACCTGATTCGAGGAAGTTTGCGAGAGAGTAAAGTAGCAAATAAGAGAATGCTGATGGTGCATCCACCCAAAAAACGAACGACCTTTTTTCTTAGGCCTCTATTTCAAATAATAACCATTATCCTTCGCTCTACTCATCTAACCATCTCCAGTCTGACATTCCAAATTTTTGCTTCTGTTTTGTTGAAAGCAAGTTCCAATAGTAGAAACTCCGTGTCTTATCAGTACAACACAAAATCCAACTGTCCTTCAGGTATTTTCTGAAGCCAGTCTTCGATAGCACAGCGCTTTATGGCGTCGCAGAGAATGCCTTCGAGTCCTCCTCTTGTATTAGTGCCGCTCGCATCTCTCGGATCCAAGTTTTCCTTCTTGACGTTGAAGTGTCCGCATGACTAAGGCGAAGGAGTAGGCCAATGGATGTTGTCAGCTCCCTAAGCGATGACATCTGCATTGGCCTGTTGAGCCTGGCCTTGCTGTTGCTGCTGCTCTGTCGATTGACCTTGTTGCTGTTGGTCACCATTACCCTGACCGGGTATAATTAACTCTTCCTCGCCGTCTGCGTCTGTGACAAAAGTGCGGTCGCTGACATGTTTGGCATTGGGGTTTGTCCAGTTCGCGCTACGTTTTTGACCTTCGTTGTGACGATAAGGGCAGTTAGGATTTAAACAAGGCGTGTAGCGGCACATGATGTCGCTGTGTGAGAACTGGCAACCAGAGTCGCGTTCGGGACAGTCGGCGCCATTCCTGCAGGGCGGTGTGGAGGGGTGTTTGAAGGGGCAGTTCGGGTTGGTGCAGTTGGGGTAGAATTTGCAATCCACTTGAGTTGAGAGGTGGGCACGCTTTTGCGCAGGAGACGGGTGAGATGCGACGCACTTCTTGTTCGTGCAGGCGGCGCCGTAAGGACATTTATCAGTAAGATCAAGAGCAATGCCGGGCGGTGCAGCGGGAGACTGGTGGCCAAAGTGACATGAGGGATTCGTGCAAGATAGCTGGAAGCGGCAAGGAATGGTCGAGGGTTCTTTCTGTTCTGAGTCGGCATTCTCAGCACCATCGGTCTCCATGGCGTCTGCACCTGCATTGGGGCGCTGGTTGTTTTTGAAGTTGCTGTTCTTTCTAGGTTTCTCGACACGTTCGAACAGCGATTTTCCTTGCTGACCTTGCTGTCCTTGTTGACCGTTGAAAAATGCTGGGTTGATAGCGGGAGCATTGGGAAATTGCTGACCAGGACCAAGAATCTGAGCCATCATACGCGACTGCTCTTCTAGCATCTTGAACAACTGCATTTGTTGCTGCGGGTTGGCTCCCATGATGGCGTTTTGGGTCATGGGCGAATTCATCTGGCTCATGTTCTGCATGCGATTGGCCATGTTACGAGGGCCCTTTGGAGGCTCGCGGTTATTGTGGGTGTTGATCCTCCCGACGCCTCCACCACCTCTTATTCTATGCAGCGCAGCATCGTTTGTGCGATCGAGAGCCTTGTTCATGTGTCCGAGCATGCGACGGTCTCGTGTTTGCTGCTTACCGTTGCGCATCGATTTAGGTCCGGTGGGGCTTGGTATGGTTAGCATATCAGTTTTACGAACTTGGCGTGAGCGAACATACATTGCACCCTCAGGTACCGAATCGCCTCCATCGCCCATGGCCTGATCTTGGTTCGAGTTATCCTGGTTTGCAGTTGTAGCGACTGCAGGTTGCGTCGCATCCATCTGGGTATCTTGGCCGCCATTGAGCTGGGCATTCAGCGTGTGTACTTGGTCGAACAGCCATGTCGCAAACTCGTTGGTGCTAGGATCGTCAGGACCGAGACCTAGCAGGTCGTTGGAAAGTTCTGATGCGATCTGGCTCTGGGTCTTGCCGTTGACGAGCATGAGGATGATGTACTCGGCGAGGGCTGAGTCGTCTGCGGCGCCGGTGCTCCAGCCAACCTCGGCGAGCTTTGGTTGCACGGCATTGTGAAGAGCTTCGGCCAGTGGTGTTCCTGTCACGACTTCGACCGACATGATGTCTGTCTGGTGTTTTGCTGCGGGGACTGTGGTGATTTGCGTGGCAACCAAATGCGTCGTGTGACAGTATATGCTGTTCGGCGATAGTTTTCGGGTGTCGACAACAAGGCCGAGTAGAGTAGATGAGCGACGTCTTTCAAGCGAAGGGTGTAACAATACTCTGGATCGCACAGCTACCAGATGTTGGCTGCAAAGAAAAGAAAGGGAAAGTGATGGCTTCAAGACGCAACCGGCCGCCGAAGCGCGACATGCTTGGCGTCATGTCTTTGTTCTCACTGTGACTATTTTCACCACTCTTTCACTTATACTTTTGGCTCACACAAGAACAAAGTCATATGAGACTGTTTTCACTGGAACAGATGAAACAATTCTTTTTTTGGCCTGTATGGCTGCTATATCGAGATAGATAGGCTAGTCGAGGTCTTCGGGCCTCTTGACAGGGCTAGCTCTGTCTTTCGTGTTCTGCTCCAGCAATGGAGCGATGTTGAGACTGAGACTGTTTCTGATCAACCCTCCTGCTGCGCTTGCCTTCCTCGTATGCTCCTTGCTGGTCTTGCCGTTGCTCTCTTCGATCGAACGCCTCGACTCTACGGCCACCATTTGCTCATGCGCCTCTCTCTTCGATTCGTCTCTCATTGTTCGCATCTTCATAAAGTTGTATGCAGCAATGCTGGCGATGGTCACGAACAGTCCAGAAATGTTGATAGGTGTAAGTTTGTCGCCAAATATGATACCAGCAGCCGAGATTGTCAACACTTCCTTGAAGATGCCGCATACACTCAACGTCACCGCACTGGTGCGTTTGAGAAGAGCAAACTCCGATGCCGTCATCAAGAAGGCCAGTACGCCAGGGAAAAGAATGATGCCGATCGAACCAGCGACACCTTTGGAGTCTGCCAGGGCACGCAACCCTCCGGCAAGCTCGATAGGACCCTCTACGGGCAATGCGATGATCAGCAGTGCTGCAAACATAACGGGTGCCAGGAAGAAAATGGAAGAAAATGGATTGCTGGTGGCCGGGCTGCGAAGAAGCAAAATCTGGGTCAAACTCCAGCGGAAACCAGAGAAGAATGCTGCGCTCATAACCAGTATGAACCCTAGTATGCTGAAAGCTGTTTCTCCCGCGACCATCATGATTACTCCGAACATCATGGTAAGGATGATAGCGCCAACCTTTAGCGAAGGCTTCTCCAGACGGAAGAGCAGGGCAAAAATAAGTACAAAGCCCAGCACGGACGATTTACACATGGTATAGAAAGTCAAGGAGATGAACTTGAGTGACATGTTTCCAAGGCCAATGTCCAAGCCAGTAGCTGCACCACAAGGGCCAATGCGGGTCAAATAGAACCAGCCAGTCATGAGCGGCTTGCGAGGTGTTTCGAGTGTATCGCCGTCTGCTGACTGCGCAATTGGCGCATAGTCTGCCGGTTTGTGTTTCGGTCGTAGATTGGGAATGAAGTATAGAACGAGCGAAGAAAGGCAAAATTGTACGAGCATGTGTACGCAGGTGGTGAAAAGAGGGAAATGAAAGTCGAGATTGCCTTTTGAGAACATCCATTTGTTGTACTAGAAATATGTGAGTAATGGACTTCAAGCCTGGGCAGAGAGTTTGGCTTACAACGGAGATGGATATTGAGAAGGTGTACCATAGTCCTATCAATATGCAGTTTATGATTGCATCGCGCATGAAGCTTGCAGTGGCCAGGCGCTCTTCCTCTTTGGAAATTTCGCCATCGGGAACGATTCTCTCATCTGCCAGTGTGTTCCGTCGCTTGCGTCTCGTTCTCTTCTGACGGTCCTGGATCGTCAAGCCCGTCTCTTCGTCGTCTTCAAGACCCTCGTCGGATCGAATGTCGTCCATCTCCCAGTCTGAGCCCGACGACACGGGATTGGTCTCGTCCTCTTCGTAGCTATGTGGTGATTCGGCATGAGCGGCTTCGGGAATGTCGGAAGGCATTCGCCTTGGGCTGGCTCTCCGGATGCCAATACGTTCTTCGTTGATGATTTGTTGCACGAGCGACGAACCTCGTCGCCTTGTCGAGCCCGCCTGCGAGCTTTCTGAATCCATGGTCTGATGTGACTATGCGTGTGTAAGGAGGTGTGTGGATATCGCCGCGTGACGGTGGAGGGTGAGCACGTGTGGAGGGCGAGTAACCATAAGCTTTTTCGAGTCAAGGACCGCGTGGGAAGTGCTAAGTGACAGTGTACAAAAGAGTTGGTTCAAGCCAGCATTGTCTGTTGATTCAAGGATTGGGTGACAACGATGACAAGGGCGAAATGGAGAGAAACAAAGAAGTGGATGCTAATGATTGTATGTCTGTTGCTTTCCAATCTTTCCCCTGGGCCCTGGCTCATGCGCCGCGCTCTTCCCCGTATCAGTAGGGGTCCCACTTAAACAGATCAGCATTCTAGCCATGCTCCTTCACACTGACCCCTGCGAAGATCTTTCTGCCCTCGAAGAAGAAACATTTTGTTTTGTCTAATGCTGATGCTCACGACTAAGTTCCTGCAAAGAACAGCACGAACTGACTGCATCCACGAGTCCAACTTGTAGCTGCCCCCGAAAAAGGCGTCCTCAAGATGCGGCTCCCTGCTCCGCACATGACCCGTTGCATATGTTGTGACTCTGAAGAGAGAAGATCCCAACTGAAACAGGCACTTTGTCACCGCTGCCTCTTTCCCGTCTCGTTCACATCATCCTTGTAATAGACAAAATCGCCGACCAGGCACGCGAATACGTGCGCGAATGGACCTTGCAGTTCCCATTCTCAGATCATGATGACATCCACCTGACCAGATCGCATCAAACAGACTTTCGACGTGTGGAGAAACGCTCCTCGCCGAACTTCATCACGGATATAACTACCTAGGTCTATAAGACCAGCCAACTATGCCAACGAACAAAGCGATGGCGGACGGCCATTGAAAGATGCTGTTCCGATGGCTTTCTTTGTTGGACACCATTTATGCTAATGCCATTGTACATTTTTTACAGCTTGCATGTCGTTCTAGGTTAGATATGAGATTGTGATGAGCCAAGGCTGGTCACGGCCCTCGGACGCATTCTTCTCCGCGCCATGGAGTCGCCATGCAGGCCAAGAACACTGCCTCTGAGCGTAATGAATACGCTCTCAATCTCATGTTCAAGGATCAACATTATCATCACAAGATAATCGTGTTTCAAGCAGCAAGCACTGGGCTCCATGTCTAGAACTGACACTTTCAAGGTCAAGCACCTTGGACGCGACGACGTCTTTGAGCGACCTGATATCTTGATCAATCCTTCTCTATCGAAATTTGTTACTACAGACGCATCTATCGATCCTAATCTCATCACATTCCATCGCTCTTTTCCAGAATCGAAGACAACCCCACTAATAGAACTCCCTGAGCTGGCTCAAGAATTGGGTATCGGCCACGTATATGTCAAAGACGAGAGTCTTCGGTTTGGCCTCCCATCATTCAAAATCTTGGGTGCAAGCTGGGGAGTTTTCAGAGCCATATGCGAGAGAACAGGTCTTGCATCGTCTGCATCGCTTGAAGAAGCTGGCCATGCAGCTCGGGATGCAAACATCAAGTTGGTATCCTGTACTGACGGCAATTGGGGAAGGGCAGTCGCGCGTACTGCCAAATACATGGGCATCGAAGCCACGATCTTCGTTTCTAGGACCATGGATGAGGCAACCCGGCAGAAACTGCGTAGTGAGGGTGCCACCGTCAATGTTGTCAATGGCAGTTATGATGACAGTATCGCTGCAACCGTGAAAGAGTCTGAGAGCTCCGGAGCTTTGCTCGTGATGGACACGAGCTGGGAAGGGTATTCCCAAATACCACGGTGGGTTGTCGACGGTTATGCCACTATGCACGCGGAGGTAGATCGCCAGCTTGAAGAGGCATGTGGGAAAGAGCCATCGCTTTGCATTGCCTCTGTTGGTGTTGGCTCATGGGCACAGTCTGTCGTCTCTCACTATACGGGCCATAGCTCAGACATAAAGGTGGTCACAGTGGAATCAGAAGCAGCACCATGTCTGATGGAAAGTCTTCACAATAAAAAGATTGTTCCGGTCGAAACAGGCTCAACAATCATGGATGGTAAGAACTTTGCCGACTTATGCGATCTAAGCTAATTGAGAAACTCAGGTATGAACTGCGGTACTGTTTCCACTAATTGCTGGCCCTCTCTTAAGTCAGGAGTTTATGCTTCAGTGATCGTCAATGACCTTGAAGCACACCATAATGTTCTCTATCTACAAGATCATGGTGTGAATGCAGGTCCATGCGGAGCAGCGCCATTAGCAGCTTTGAGAAAACTGCATGAGAGAGGCATGCTACAGGAAGATCATGATGCAGTGGTCGTCTTGTTTAGCACCGAGGGACACAGAGACTACATCTTGCCTACCTCGGAGGACTAGATCGTACGGATATGGCGGCAGGACGTCTGTACAGAAGTGAGAGCATATGCAAATTAGGCCACGGAAGTGTTTCAAAGTCAAGTCATACAGAAGCCTGGACTCGGGACCCTTTGGGAAAGCAAGGTGACGACCAATACAACACACTACTATACCGGCACTGGGACCGAAGAGATTGTCTTTAAGCTTGAAGCTCCTAGGAGTGGTTATGGTGTGTTCATTGCGCAAGCCACGGAAGCCTAATGATCTTATTATTACCGAATGACAATCGATGGACAGGGTGCTGCTGGAGGCGAACTCGACTTCGTTCACACACCGCTCTCATTGATGACCGCAGTGTAAAGAAGCAGACATACATGCCTCGGCGCTGAATAGCCTAGAACACAACCAAGTGCCTGCTGCTCGCCTCTATCTTTCAGCTTCAAATCTCCCTGAAAGGTGGCTTGCGTCGTAGTTCGAGAGAAATGGACCTGCATAAGCGGCAAGCCCATCCTCTATTGACGGAAGTTAAGCGGCAATGCCGACTGCCGCACCAAAGTTCAAGACCTGCGGCTGACCGGACATATGGACCAAACTCAAAGTCCTTTGCTCAACAAGGCTCGACGAAGACAGACATTGGCGCCGAATATCCATTCGGGCCTTGTAGAAGAAGATCATAGACGTGGAACCATGGGTTGCCGCGGTGTCCTGATACCGTTTCCTTCTCCGTTAGGACGCGAAGAACGATTTGAGAAAGCCAAGTCCTTCTAGTCCACAAATAGGTGATCTAACGGGAGGCTGCAGATCCGGGAGTGGACGGGTTTGATAACGTTGAGAGTCAATCCGTTTTTGACTCTCCCACGCTGACCAGATGCGCTCTAGCATGGGCTCGCCAACGCTCTTCGATAGCTGAAGGGAAAAGTATTGTCTGAGATCTCGAGGATATTTTCCTCCGTTCCTCCCTCCTGCATTTCCCTTCGTTTCGCTCTTTTCACCCAATCCGCCTCTCGCTATACCCATTCGAAGCCTGGTTCTGCCAACTTTACTCGAAGCAATACTTCATTCGCTTGAACATATTAAACACCGCCTCTGACGCATTTACCACCCTCGAGCGCGCACTTGTGATAACCGGATTCTTCGCGACTGTACAAATCGCCGGAGTACACATATCTATCGCCATCTATAATTTATCAACATCTATAATTTCGAATATATACCGCCATGCGTTACATTGCTCCGGCACTTCTCGTGGCTGCACCCCTTGTGGCAGCCACTGCTTCCAGCAAGCGTGGTCTCTGCGTTGTGTCCACCAAGACACCACAAGACGACTCCATCTGGACAAACGACACTGACCTGTAAGGAATCAATGGCAATGCGTGCTTGGTGGATAACATACTGACCAAACCAGAACATGGTACTACAACTATGGCGCTGTTCCCACACAAGACTACGAGAATAAGCTCAACTTCGTCCCTATGCTGTGGGGAGCACCCGAGGACCCAGCGAATGATATGAGCTTCTACAACACTGTCAGCAACTTGATCAAGGAGGGACAAAATATCACATACGTTCTTGGATTCAACGAGCCCGACGGCTGTACCGATGGAGGCTCTTGCGTCTCTGCTGCCACCGCTGCTCAAGTCTGGAAGAAGCAGATGGAGCCTTTGAAGCGTGACTATGGTGTCAAGCTTGGTGCTCCCGCGGTCACTGGTGCCCCAACCGGATTCAACTGGCTTGCGAACTGGTTCTCTGAATGTGCTGCTCTTGTTGCTAGCTCCGGCAGTAATTCTACCAACGACACTTCTTGCGAGGTTGACTTCATTCCTGCTCATTGGTATGGTAACTTCCAAGGTCTGGCTAGCCACTTGGGTCAAATCAACGGTACCTACCAGAACATTAGTGGTATCTGGGTCACCGAGTTCGCATGCGCCGATTGCAGTCTGGAGGACAGCCAGAGCTTTGCCAACCAGAGCTTTGAATACCTTGACCGCATCGACTACATGGACAAGTACTCTTACTTTGGTGCTTTCCGTTCGTCTGTCTCTAACGTAAGTCTTGACATGTTCAATCGCGTAGATTCATTGCTGACGATCATATTTAGGTCGGTCCTAATGAAGCTATGCTGACCGAGAAGGGTAAGCTCACCGATATTGGTGCTTGGTACCTCAACAAGGCTGCTACTGGTGCCGTTCCCAAGGGCTCTGCCAGCACTGTTGCCAAATTTGCTGGCTGGGGTGGTCTTGTTGCTGCTACTGTTTTCTGGACCATTTTGTAAGCGTTCTTTATGTCTAATTGTTGGGAGCGGGCGCACATTATAGAGGTTTTGGTCATAATTATAGAGAGGCTGGTCAGCTTGGACAGGGCTTGACTCACATAACGAATCGACGTCAATTGTCAAAGTACCTCAACCTTGATCCTGTCGACAACGTGGTGGTATAAGTCCTTCCCGTGTACTACAGGGTGTGACGCGTGTGGCTATGGAAATGCACAATGTCATGAGGAAACAGGAAGACGTCCGCTGAGAAATGACAACCTATCGGCTCTCAATGGACATGCCCCTTCTACAAAAACATCTGTGCCTTATCATAGCATGAATCTTGCTTGTCGCCGCAGGCGAAGTACGGTGGGGGTTGATTTTTTAGCACACGAAGAGGTAGTAGATGGCAGGAGAGAGCAGACAGCATGGTCAGATCAGGTCGGATTCAGCGGCATGTGAAGAAACACAAGTGATCAACATGTCACGAATGTATTGCGACCAGAGCCTGATCTTCAAGCCTGGAATGTTCTGTCTGAGACCAGTCGACATGATGATCCTGCAATCAAAAACATCGCTGATGAGAGTACTGTGCACGCACGATCGACAACCTCTCTCGACCAGGATCCCGATGCTTGAAATACTCGGAGTAGCCCGTCAGATAATTACGTTGGATCATGAAGGCGAGGTTTTGACAAGCAAACAAGCATTCCTTCGATAGGGAAATAAAGATGCTTGCATGTGTCAAAATTTAGAAACAACTAATGATTAGCCAATCCAAAGCGGATAATGATTGCGTACCCTGCTAAACAAGATTGCCTGGTATCTAAATACTGTTCGCCAAGGGGCAATAGTTGAGGCATGATGGCAGTGATCAAGCGATAGCTGCACAGATGGGTGACGAGTCCTTACGGCATGGTTGAGACCGCGGCGGCGAATGGGGCATTGAAGACTCCATTTTATCTACGACCGGCTAGTTGACTATGGATCGGGAGGCAGCAGAACTCACTCGTGTCAGGGCGCTTAGACCTTGCAGGGTGGCAGTTGTGGCTTAAGGCGCAGCGTCGTTGTGGACGCAACAAGGACGTTTGCATATGTAAACATAGGCACTTTCAACGGACAAGAACTGGTGATGTGACAACCAACAAGGCCATTGGCAGAGATGACGAAGGATCCAAGGCATGCGATGCACACACAAGACAGTCGAGAAGAGAGTCGAGAAACAGTCGGGTCGCATGTTCAGGCCTCGATGGCACAGAGTCCCGTGCGCGATGCAGGAAGGTAGGTGCGTCGACTAGTAAAGCACCCTGGACTTGGACACTCGCTCTTCATCTCACCTCATTCGCTCGCTACCTGCATCTCTGCACACTTGCACTTTCCTGTCGCTTCTTGTTTTATTTTGTCCATCGCTCAAACATTCTACTGTGTCGTTCTTTCCTTTGCATATTTCCTCGTCTCGCTTTTCCACCTCTTTTCTGTCTTTTTCCAAAACACCCACAACGTTCTTCTCCCGCATTTAGCACGTTTCAACTGCCCGCAGCCCCTTATTACGCCGCCGACATACAACACAAACGGTCTTGCCTGGCGACCGGCCTAATCACTTCTCGATTATTCAACTGTGTCGTCCTCGACTTCACTCACGCTCGTTACATACATTTACCAAAATCCTCGTTGGACATATACACACACACAACACGTCCAGCTTGATCGCGACCCGGATCTGGCTTCGAACCCCTGAAAGTTTAAAAGTTTGGAAACTTGATATCGCATAAAGAGGTCTTGCCTTTACACAAAAACGACCATGTGGTCTCCGGTGGTCTCATGGACTTTGCCACTTGCACTGCTCAGCACTCTGCCGGCCAGAGTATTGGGTGGTGATATTCTGTCCACTCAAGGATTCAGTCTGTGTTCGACCAATCCCACAATCAAGGTCGAAGCCTTGGATGTTCAATTCGACCGAACGACAAACTTGGTTGTGTTTAACGTTGCAGGAAGCAGTTCTCAGTCACAAAATGTCACAGCCAAGATAGTGGTCACTGCGTATGGAAGGGAGGTCTACCAGAAGCCTTTCAATCCTTGCGATGCTGGCACCTACGTCGAACAGCTTTGTCCTGGTGGGTATCCTCCAAGCAATGATCTCTAGTGTAAAGCTAACTTGTCGGTTCGCAGTACCCGCTGGAAGTTTTGCCGCGCAAGGCAGTCAAACCGTTCCTTCCCAGTTCGCAAGTATGATTCCTTCGATCGCTTTCAACGTACCAGACTTGGATGGTGTAGCCAAGCTCGAATTATTTGCCGAAGACGACCCAAACCAAGATCTTGCCTGTGTTCAGTCAACTGTCGGCAATGGAAAGTCGATGAACGTTCCAGCAGTTACATATGTTGCCGCTGGCATGGCTGGCGCCGCTCTGGGTATATCTGCTCTTGGTGCTGTGGTCGGTGGTTTCCACGTCGGCGGAGCTTCACCAAGTCCTACGTTTGGAGAGACCTTTGGCTGGTTCCAAGGTATCGCTACAAATGGTATGCTCAGTGTCACATATCCTAGCATCTATCGCAGCTTCTCCAAGAACTTTGGTTTCAGTACTGGTCTCATTCCTTGGGCTAGCATGCAGAAGACCATCGACAACTTTCGCGCTGGAACTGGCGGAAACCTGACAACTGACAGCTGGAACTACTTGCAAAATGTCACTTTGGTCGATGACAGCACGAGTAGCAATCTCGGCAACCTCACCAAACGCGGCGTCGACACCATGTTCCTGTATGCCAGAGACTTCACCGCTAGTGTTAATGGCAGCACAACAGCTATTGGCAATTCGACAAGCTCTGGCAACAGCACAAGTACCGAAAGCAGACCCATGCACTACGTCCACGGTATCCAAGCTTATGTTGAGAAGCTTTCCATCCCTCAAGGAAACACCTTTATGACCATTCTGCTCTTCTTCGCCATTGTCATTGCTGCAATTACCGTCGGAATTTTGCTCACCAAGGTCATCCTCGAAGCTCTAGCACTCATGGGAAACCTTCCCAAGTCCATGAACAGCTTCCGCAAGCGTTACTGGTGGCGTCTGGCGAAGACCATTACCAACTTGGTCATGCTTGCTTATGGTGTTTGGACTCTTTACTGCGTGTACCAATTTACCAATGGCGACTCGTGGGCAGCCAAGGTACTCGCTGGAATCACATGGGCCATCTTTACAGGTATTCTTGGATTCTTTGCTTTCACAATCTGGCACAAAGCCAACCAATACAAGAAAATGGACGGTGACGCAAGCATGCTGTTTGAGCACAAGGAGACCTGGGTCAGATACGCCTTCCTCTACGAAAACTTCAAGAAAGGATACTGGTGGTTGTTCATTCCTTCGATTGTCTACGCTTTCGCCAAGAATGCTCTGATTGCTGGAGCCAACGGACATGGGTTGGTCCAGACCATCGGTCAGATCGCCATCGAGTGTATTATGCTCGTCCTGCTCATCTGGTCAAGACCTTACTCACTGAAGAGCGGAAACGTCATCAACATCACGATTCAGGTTGTCCGTGTCATCTCAGTAATTTGCGTGCTCGTCTTTGTTGAAGAGCTGGGCATCAGCCAGACAACCAAGACTGTGACAGGCCTCATTCTGATCGTTGTGCAATCTGTCCTGACCGGAGTACTTGCTATTCTGATCGCTGTTAACGCAATCATCACTTGTGTTCGCGCCAACCCTCACCGTCAGAAGAGAAAGGAAGCTGGTAAGTCTGAGATGAACGGCTTGTTGATGACCTTGACTGACGTTTTGTACCAGAAAAACTCAACCGTGATCTTGACGATCTCACACCTCTGGACGCTCGCAACTCTCTGCTCATGGACCCTACACAACTCACAGAGTACAAGGGTGCAGGCTCGCAAGTGTCCGAATACAAAAAGGCACCTCTTGTGTCTCCTTCGCTCAACAGCACGACAAAGAGCAAGATTGCATATGACCCTCTATCGAAGAAATCGAATGGCGTGTATGCAGGAAGACCAGAACTTTCGCGGGACGAGAGTCAACAGGGCCTTGTCTCTGGCGCAGCCAGTATGGGTGGCAGAGACCGAAGCAATAGTCCTGCATCGCGAGAGCCAAGATTGCCCGACATTGAATTCGGACAGTTTGACTTCCGCCATGACCATTGAGCGAGGCATCTGCACGATTGTTATTGAGCATACGTGTTTCATCTGTTATTCGTTTCCTTTGCAAGCGATTCGTTTCTTTTCTTCTGTCAATACCGCAAAGACATATTTTCATGTTGATCAGTTTTTGATCATGGCATTTCAGCGACCACTTAGATCAATCTTTTTCAATCCCTACATTTCTCACAAAAATTGCTGGTTCGTGATTAATCCGACGACTGTTCAAGCCATGCTTACAAACATGGTCGCATGCTTGTCATGATGTGTCGTACTGAGCACGAGGACATGCGCCGGAAGCAGGCTGTCTGCAGGCTCAAGCACATGGTTGTTTGTAAGCGACGAGAATGAGTGGATGCGGTAATAGTGGTCAAACAAGTGGGGGCGGGTATTTGTAGCAAGTTTGTGAGCTCTTACAAGGTCATGGCGGCTCTACAGAAAGTGAGGCTTTCACAGCCACCACCACAGCCCCGCGCTAGTCGAGCACCCTTATACAACGACGGCAGGCCTGATACCCATGCGCTTTCCCATCCTCTTTGCAACAACCACATCATCATCCTAAACACCATTCTGCCGATTCCGTGATTCAACAGTCGCAGCTTCCGAAATCATTGGAGACGAACTGCCACAGACAAAAGATCAGCATTCCAAAGGCGCAGCATGGGGAAGTCGTGAGTAACAGCCCCCGTACCTCTTTGTCTCGTGTTGTTTGCTCTGTCCTCTGGTGATGGCTCGTACTCTGTCGCCTCGACTCGTACTTCCTCCTGCTTGACCAATGCCTCCGCGAGCATCCATCGACTTCAATCGTCACCCGCCAACCAGATCACCATCGCCAACACAATGAACTCGACCAAGCATGACGATGACAACAACTCCTCCTCGCCAACCAGTGATGTTGCAACCGCCCTTGCGACCGCCAACCATGCCAGATCACGACCCAAGCATATTCCGCGTCACACCTCCGAGAGCTATCTGGACTATGCAGTCAACCGCGACACAGCACTTCGTACAGCCATTCACCATCTGGAGCAAGAGCTTGGAACACACTGTCAAATATCGCACATATCGTTGAGGACAGACACGCTGACGCTGCACCCACACACTAGTCAGAGCAAGTTGTCGGCACAGGAGCTCAGCGATCTCCAGAAGGCCACTCACTTCGACAAGAAAGAATTACAGCAATGGTACAAGGGTGAGATAAGAATCAAGTCAGCCACAAGAGGCATGCCACTGACGGCTATGCAGGCTTCCTCAAGGACTGTCCTTCGGGCATGCTCACCAAGGAGGAGTTCCAGAAGATCTATAAGCAGTTCTTCCCGTTCGGAGATCCGTCATCATTCGCCGACTACGTCTTCAATGTGTTCGACGCAGACAAGTCAGGCTCGATTGACTTCAAAGAGTTCATCTGCGCCTTGAGTGTAACAAGCAGAGGCAAGATGGAGGACAAGCTGGACTGGGCATTCCAACTATACGACATTGATGGAGACGGGCAGATCAGCTATAATGAGATGTTGGCGATTGTTGAGGCTATCTACAAGATGGTGAGGAATTCGGACTTACAAAGACCAAGAACAAGTGCTAACATGCGACGACAGGTTGGATCGATGGTCAAGTTGCCCGAGGACGAAGACACACCAGAGAAGAGAGTGCGCAAGATCTTCCGCATGATGGACAAGGATGAGAACGGCAGTCTGGACATGGCCGAGTTCAAGGAAGGCTCCAAGCGTGACGAGACGATTGTTTCGGCGCTGTCTCTATACGACGGACTGGTGTAGAGAAAATGGTTATGGGCATTTCTCTTTCATTTCCTTAGACGAATCATGGGGCAAGCATGTGGTTACCTAGGACATTCTCGCGCGGTGCTGGAGAAACAGCAGCACACACTTCTATCCTAAATGAGAACATGATATTTCCAACTCGGATAGGATGGAGAGAACGTTGTACAAGGATGTTATGATGAGCATACGCGGCTTCGTCATGTCTCTGGCCCAAGCGTCAGCTCTCCCCAGACCAATCCATGGCAGTCGTGCTGGGTAGGTCCAGGAGAGCGACTCCTTTGTGCCGTCTTCAGCCCCTGCTCTCTTGTTCTGGTAGCATTCTTTCAAAATCGAACGTGCCATTCAATATCGTGCGGATATACAAACTGCACTGAATTGTCGTCTCGTGAAGGCAGCACCACAATAGACCGAAGGCCCGGCGCAAGTTGATGATCACAGCCGAATAGGTGGCACAATGCGTTTCTCGGAGCTGTCTTTGTCGCTCTGTGCATTGTTGGTGGCAGGTCCCTCCAGCGTAGCATCCTTCTATCTTCCAGGAGTCGCCCCAACGAACTATCAACTCGGCGATCGAGTACCGCTTACAGTCAACCGTCTCACGCCCTCGCAATCCGAACAAGACACCCAAGTCCGATCTGTCTTCGCCTTTGACTATTACCACCATGCCTTCCACCACTGTGAGCCCGAAGGCGGCCCTAAGCAAAAGAGCGAGAGTTTGGGAAGCATCCTGTTCGGAGACCGAATCCAGACTTCACCACTAGAACTACACATGGGCAAGAACGAGTCTTGCAAGGCTGTATGCGGCAAGCAGACCTTCCAGCCTCGCGATGCCAAGTTTGTCAATGCCCGTATCTTGCAGAACTACAATGTCAACTGGAACATCGACGGCCTGCCTGCTGCTCAGAAGATGATTGATGCCAACGAAGCCATCTTCTACAGTCCTGGTTTCGCTCTGGGTCAGGTTCATGGCACCGACACCCAGACTCCTGTCCTCAACAACCACTACAACATCTTTGTCGAGTACCATCAGGCCTCTCAGGATCACTACCGTGTCGTAGGCGTCTTGGTCGAGCCGGCATCTTCCATCGACTCTAAGCTACTTGATGATGGCAAGGTTGAGTGTGGTGATATCGCTCACCCCGTCATACTGTCCGAGAAGGATGCTACCGAGATTGTATGGACTTACAGCGTCTACTGGGTACCCTCTCCTACCTCATTCGCCACTCGCTGGGACAAGTACCTCCACGTCTATGATCCACGTATCCACTGGGTCTCGCTGACCATCTCCGCCCTCATCGTCGTTGCTCTTGTCGGCATGGTATCAACCATTCTTATCCGAACACTGCGCAAGGATATTGCCCGTTATAACCGCCTTGATGACTTGGGTCTTGATGACTTTGGTGGTACAAGCTTGGATGACACGGTGCAGGAAGATTCAGGTTGGAAGCTTGTGCACGGTGATGTCTTCCGTCCACCGAGATATCCTATGGTCTTGTCGATTCTGGTCGGTAACGGCGCCCAGCTCTTCATGATGACCGGTTTTACCATTGCCTTTGCTCTACTCGGCTTCTTGTCTCCCTCCAATCGTGGGTCCTTGACCACCGTTATGGTCATGCTGTACACCTTCTTTGGCGCCGTGGGAGGCTATATCTCGGCACGTGTCTACAAGTTCTTCCACGGCGAATCCTGGAAGCAGAACATCGCCTACACGCCCCTCCTCGTGCCGGGCACTGTATTTGCTGTCTTCTTCCTTCTCAACCTGTTCGTCTGGGCGCGTCAATCTTCTGGAGCCGTGCCATTCACCACCATGCTCGCTCTCGTCAGCATCTGGTTCCTCATCTCCGTGCCTCTTTCTGTCGGCGGCTCATGGCTGGGTTTCCGCGCTGCTGAGTCTACACCTCCTGTCCGTACCAACCAAATTCCTCGCCAGATTCCACCATCGACTGGATACCTACGTCCCTTGCCCTCTATGCTTCTGGTCGGCATTCTTCCGTTTGGAGCTATATTCCTCGAGCTGTACTTCATCATTAGCAGCATCTGGTTCAGCCGTATCTACTACATGTTCGGCTTCTTGTTCCTCTGCTATGGTCTCATGATTGTGACTTCTGCTGCTGTCACCATCCTGATGGTTTACTTTGCTCTCTGCGCTGAGAACTACCACTGGCAGTGGAGAGCCTTCTTCACTTCTGGCGCATCTGCCATTTACGTCTTCTTGTATGCCATGCTTTATTGGGTGCGAGCATTGAGTTTCACCTCTTGGACGTCGGGAGTGTTGTACTTGGGGTACAGTGCGTTGATTAGTGCATTGTGGTTTGTTCTGACTGGTGAGTTCTCTTGCTCTCGTTCTTCTTGTCATGATTTTAGATGCTGACTTTTGCATAGGCACGATTGGATTTGTCGCCACGTGGGCATTTGTGTATAGGATTTATGGCTCGCTCAAGATCGACTAAGCCTATCTATTGATGATGGTCTCAATGCTATAACCATCTCTGGATACTACCTGACTCCAGCTTTTGAACACTAGACAATTGAGATGTAAAAAAAAAGTTCTTGTTCCGTGCCTGTTCGTATTTTCGTATCCCTTCGCTCTATGTCCCGTAGGTATCCATGTCCTTCCCTCTATATGCAAAATTATATGCAAAACAAAAGCAATCTTTAACCCCTTGTGAGAAAGCAGAGTCATCTAAACATAAACAACAGCCAACTCAGCCGCATCACAACCTTCCAACACACAACCCGCCATCTTGACAGTGCCCTCTCCTTCACAATACAACACCTCATTCGTTTGGCTTGTCTTACACTGCAACACGCCATCCTCATCAACACCACAAACAGGCATTTCAGCTCCAATAGCATCAATCTCTTCTTTCTCGTTAAAGAAGAAATCCATCTCTGTTACCGAGGCGTCGATGTTCGCGAGTAGTTTTTCGTCAGAGTAGGATTGCCAGGGGTAGGCAGAAGAAGGAGGTAGAACGTAGAGGTAGCCAGAGGTGGAGAGGGAGAATTGGGTTGCTAGGGAGGGCGAGGAAGTGAATTGCAGTGCTGGGTTGGAGTTTGTGGGGATTAGGGTTGCGTAGAGGCCGCTGATCTCAAGACCAGACGTGCACAGGGATTGGAGGTAGAATGGTTGATTGGGCGTGAAGTTTTGGAGAGAGGTGTTGAGGAGGGAGATAGGGATGGTTGAGTTGGAGAAAGATGTGGTGTTGTCTGCTGGGGATGTGTCGTTGGCTGAGGAGTCGTCGTCGTAGGTGAATCTGTTGACTGGAGCAGTGGAGGTTGAGCTTGATGGTGGGTTTGAAGTCGTAGATGATGACATTGTGCTGTTCGATGGGAAGCTGAATCGCGGCGTTGAGCTGCTTCGCATCGAACTTGATGTTGATGATTTGCTTGACGAGGAAAAGGTGGAAGAAGTCAACAGAGATTTGCTTGACGAAGATATCGAGGAAGAACTCATGGCAGATCTGCTCGAAGTGAATGTTGATGATGTTCTGCTTCGAGTACTTGAGCTGGTCAAAGACTTTGCAGTTCTCGAAGCACATGCGTTTGTGTTGGGTGTGTACAGTGGTCCCTCCGGAGGGTATGCTCTGATCGACGCTGTTTCAGAAGTCGTTGTCTTTGTGCTACTGCTTGATTTCTTGGTGGAACTGCTTGTCAACATAACCGAAGTCTTGCTTGAGCTAGTACTTGGCAGCTTGCTGGAGGACGAGGGTGAAGACACACTTGACATCCTGTTTGTTGGGTTGCTGGAGAGTCTGCTGGACGACTTGTCTGTCGAACTCGCTAGCGTCGTGCTCAGCACTTCGGCAACACCAGCTGTCGAGCTAGGAAACTCGGATGTCGTACTGCTAGGCTTGCTGCTTGAGAATTGACTGCTGCTAGGAAAGCTAGGTAGCTTATCGCTGGACGAACTGATAGGTTGAGCACTAATCACAGTACTGCTCGATGTTGAGGATGTGGTGGCGAGTCTACTGCTTGAGGCAGAGTGTGATGACTTGCTGCTGAACGTCTGACTGTCAACTGTCAGACGGCTCGACGATGGCGTCGCCGAAAGATTGCTTGTTGGTCGACTGGATGTCTTTGATGAAGACCGAGCTGCGCCATTATCTAGCACAGAGCTGATTGAAGTGCCCCTGGGCTTCGTTGACGTAGAAGTTTTCGATGTAGAAGTCTTTGCGGTCACCACAACCACCCGGGTTCGAGTGACCAATTTGAGGGGTGGCGTGAACGTCGCTACTGCAGTGAGACTAGATCTAACGGTCGTGGTTCGAAGAGCAGTAGAGCTCACAATCTTGGTCGAGACTTGAGTAACACGCTTCGTAGTAGTCTTGGTGATGGTGGTCCGACGAGGTGCTATCGATAGGCATTTGCAAGCACTTGAGATAGCCGCTTTGTTCATGCTTTTGACCACCGCGGGTGAAGCACATGTTGAGACAGCAGCTCTCTCGACCAAATTCATGGTATGACTGAGATGCTTCCGTCTACGCAGTGATCGAGCTTGAGGTGTTACAGTAACAGTCTTCGTCAAAGTAGTATATCCAGTTTGCGGGCTGGCTGTGACAGTCCGTGTTGTTATTGTTGATTTGACATTATTGGTTAATATTCTATAAGTTTGTTAGAAAGACGTCCGCAGGCGTAGATTTTCACTGACTTGGTCATTATTTGCTTCTGCGTAGTTGTCGTTTGTATCGTTGATGTGAGGGTCGTAATTTTTGTGACAGTCGAAACTGGGATTTGAAGATACGAAGAGCAATAGCAGCCAGCATTGCTCGATTGTAAAGCCTTGACCTGAGCATTGCTACATGCCGAAGAGCTGACTGCACGCTCTTCCAAGGGAGAAGCGGTTAGCAGGCTTGACCATGAGAGCCACCATATGAAGTTTGTGACCTTCATGGTGTCTCTTCAGGACGACGGCACGTTCGTCGATTAGTGGTCCCGTAGGACTTTAAGGCGCGAGTAATAACAAAAGGTAAACTGGACATGGCTGCGTTTTTCTCTTTTACCCTTTAAGGGTGGCTACGAAACCGTTGTAGCTCTCCAGTTGTTCAGCTCGTGTGTGCCTGGACGATTCAAACGTTTTACTCCTGGCTGGACAATTCGAAGTCTCAGATCCAACGGTGCGTAGGGATCAGCCGAGAAACATGCTAATCCAGAAGCCATCTTCGACCTATTTAGTGACGCCACTTGTTCAAAGAAGCGAATGGTTATACATGCGTATACTCGGCGTAGGACAGACATAACCGTGTTTGTGGACTTGGCACACCAAGAAGCCAATCTCATTCCGTCGGACGTTGAAGCCGTGTCGGCCATTGGCATTTGGCAAGTATAGATACGAGATGACTGAGACACTTTCGAAAAGATTGAAAGTCGAGAAGAGGAAATGGGCTACTTTCCTGTGGCAGAACTGCGAAACTGTTACCTATAAAGTTACAAAATACTTTTGAAAGTCGAGCGACAGCCATGGAGACGTGCTTTCGACCTCCTCTCATCTAGACCCGTGCATATTGATGGCTGACAAGCTCACTGTATGTCGTTAAAAGAAGGATCCGAACGTGAAATTGTATCAAACGAGCTTCATGCTCAGCTCCATGACATTGATAAGTGGAAATTACGGAGAAGGAGAAGAGGGTCCGAGGTGGTCGGTAAAGTGGTGTGGTCTCGCGTGGGGCTGAGATGACGATGTGGTGATTGGTTCGTGCTTGTTGAGTCTCGGACCACACCAGAGTCGACAATCGTCAATCACATCAGGTTCGCTGTGCCTTTTGGTTACAGTCAGTTCCTGTTGATAGGACGATATAGCGATTGAGAAATGCTGAACAGGCGCCATGGGTTGAACAAAATTGTCAGAGCGACCTCGCGTCGGTCGATAGCTCCTTCCGGATTTGCGGCAACAAGGTGAGCGCGGTTCAATGCAATTGTGCTGAGCGCAAGAGCTCACTCTGTCATGTAGGTGCTATAGTCTGCCGGCTGAACCGAACGATGTTGCTGTTCTAGGCGGAGGTATTACTGGTCTCGCTACCGCACACTATCTTGCTCGATCGAACCCCAATCGCAAAATCACCATCTACGAAAGCTCGCCGCGGCTGGGAGGCTGGTTGCACACAGAAAAGGTGGAAATAGATGATGGTCATATCCTCTTTGAGAAGGGACCAAGGACACTTCGACCCGCTGGCAATGGTGCTCTCACCGCTCGTCTGGTCAACCAACTCGGTCTTGAGGACGACACTATCTTCACTCTCAAGACTGCTCCCGCTGCAACCAATCGCTACATCTACTATCCCGATCATATTGTTCGAGTCCCTGCACCTGACCCTCAGAAAGGCTTTGTAGCCAATTTGAGTGCCTTCATCTATGCTCTTACCTCCGAGCCAGCTTTTAAGGGAATTCTTACTCGTGTCTTGCTCGAGCCCTCCGTCTCTGCTAGAGATCCTAGTGTGACCGATGAGTCTGTTGGTGACTTCTTTGTTCGACGTATCGGTCGAAGGCTGGTTGACCAAGTCATGTCAGCCGTCGTTCATGGTATTTACGCTGGTGACATCTACCAACTTAGCATGAAAAGCTTGTTCCCTAGCATCTGGAGACTGGAAGAAGAACACGGTAGTATTCTCGCCGGTCTAGTGCACAATATGGCTGAAGGAGCAAAGATTCCTGCAAAGGAGATCGACTTCATCAACGCCATGAAACAACCATATCCATTCAGTTCCGAATTTCGGAAGAACTTCCGAAGATCAAATGTCTTTACCTTCCGTCATGGTATCCAGCAGCTCGTCGACAAATTGGAAGAGTCCCTCAAGCAACAATCAAATGTGACTTTCCAACTGAACCAAGAGATCACCGATGTCAAAAACACCGAGCACAATGTGAAGCTGGAAGCCAAGCACTCGACGAAACAATCTCTCGAAAAACACAAACACACACATGTGATCTCTACCCTGTCGCCTGACACGACATCAAGGGTCGCCTCCTCGATGAACCGCGACTTTCTGAACTTGCCTGTCTGCCCAACACCAACTGTGATGACCGTAAACCTGTATTACCGAACTCCAAACCTCAATCCCCCTGGCTTTGGGTACCTGATCCCTCTTGACATTCCCATCGATCAGAACCCAGAGCGTGCACTAGGCGTCACATTTGACACTGCCTACTCTGCTTCAACACCAAGCGACAAGGACTTTGTTGGGCCTATGCAAGACACTGTATCCAATCGTGGAACCAAGCTCACAGTCATGTTGGGAGGTCACTTCTGGAATGGCTGGTCATCTTATCCCACCAAGGAAGAAGGTCTTCAAATGGCAGAGTCTGTCGTCGGAAGGCACCTTGGTATCACAGAAAAACCTGCAGCACACTCGGTCAATCTCAACCACAATTGTATCCCTCAGTACACTGTAGGCTTTGAGGACCGAGTGAAGCGGTTCCACGACGAGCTCTCAATGCGTTACTCTGGCCGTCTGCGGGTTGCTGGCAACTGGGTCAGGGGTGTCGGTGTCAATGACTGCATCAGAAGCGCCTGGGAGGTTGCTCGCGAACTTGACACCAGCGATCTTACTGGACTTGAATGGCTTGTCAAGCCTAAGAATTGGGTCTCAGTCAAGGTCAAAGGCAGTTGATATCAAGAATTCTAAATTTGTTCATCAAGAACAGTCCTTTGCTTTTTCGTTTATGTGCTTGTCGAAAACAAAGTCTACTGACATCTATACTAGATTCGAAAAGTTGCATACACAGATACAGGCCAAATACCAAGCCGCTGTAATAGCTTAGGTAACCCCCTTCTACGAGCGGAGTGTTCTATCTCTAGCAAGAGAGAACAGAACTCAAAAGTTCCGCTTATCCAATGATTAAACCAAGGCCCTCTAGAATCTAATCGCACTTTCAATTGCTGAAAGAAAGCCAATCTAGCCAAATCATAAGGCAATCAGAATCAGTAGAGGTAGGCAAGATACATGGAAGAGATGACATTTGAAGTGAGTGGTTCTTTCCTGATCTATCTCCAAAATCCACTGACGTTACCCCTAACTTCGGCGAAGTCACACCTCAGGCCGCAATCGACGATACACTTGACAACAATCAGAAATCAATGAGCAATTATCGAGATTACTCTCGAGAGATGCCTATTTTTCGCCGGACTCTCGTCAGATCACAAAGCGAGAAGTTTCTTCTACGGCTTCGTCAATATGTGATATGAAGGAGCTACCGAGGCTTGACGAAGTTCTCAGGGTTGCATATTCCTCCGCAACAGATGGTGTCTGCCTCCCACAAAAGTTGATGGCCACTAGGTGAGACTGACCAAAGCATCAGCTGTCTCCCGTCACAAAAAGCTATTGATGTTTCAGTCTGCAGGCTCTCTCCTGCTGCGAGCTCGTTGTCACCACTCTCTATAGCCATTAAGCTATATATTCGAGAGATTTCTGTGCCCTTCAGACCCCCCCCCCCCCCCGATTATATACACCTCAACAATACACTCCAACCTCAACATCCCGCCCCCCCCCCCCCCCCCCCGTAAAAAAAAAAAAAAAAAAAAAAAAAAAAAAAAAAAGCCGTGGTGGTGCAGTGGTCAGCACACCCGATCCAGTAACCTAAGCTCCTAATTCGCCCACCTAAATCCCTAATACCGCTTACCTAAGCTCCTAAAACTCTCTCTCTCAAGGATCGGGAGGTCGCAGGTTCAATTCCTGCCTACGACAGTCTTTGTTTCTTTTTTTGCTTGAAGGATGAAAATCCCTCTACTCAAGGTTGATATGGGATAATTATTATATTGGCTTTGTTCTATAGTATCATAGTGATGGTCTCCTATGTTTACGTACATATCGTGGTCGTCTCTTTTCTTATTTGTGGCTAGTCTCTATGCTTTGGTAGATGTCATAACTTGAGTACGGGGCTAGCCACTGAGATGACCTCGAAAGGGTCCTCTCTATGGAGACCACCTCCTTTACAAAAGTATTGTGCATTTCTATAACTGCATTGAGACTTTCTTTAGCATATAGGCAGGCACTTTGGTGAGATTTGTAACAAGCTTCGTGTCATCTTGTAGGCTTCTGGCTTGTAAGTCTGTAGTCGCCTAGGTGTGAAAGCAGGCGTTGTGCATTCCATCTCCTCGCATCTCCCCGTTCTTCACTGGGTTACAGAGGCTTGTCTATCTATACAATGAGACATCAGTTTGGGATAAACAGAAACGAACCCTTGTTAAATCACACTTTGACAGTTCACACCCTGAGATCGCTCTCGAACAAAACCACCTTAGTCAACTACAGCTGCGGTATGGCCATGAACATTCAGGTGGCTTTCTTAAATCACTGAACGACGCCTGCAAGCACAGAACCTTATATAATCCATGTCAGGCCAGTCTTCCGAACTGAACCAGGGCACCTCTAGCGGGTTCTTCTTCTATTGTCCCTCACCAGTACCTTCATCTCCATGTGTCTCGGTGCCATGGAAAGCGTCACCAAACGCCGAGTTGTCCATGCTAAAATCAATGTCCCCGCCTGCGCCACCCTCAAAATCGATTAAACCGTCTCCTGCATCGAAGTCGCCAAAGTTTGCGTCCCCACCGGCACCGTAGAGGTCGCCACCACTTGTCGGGTTAGCTGCGTCTGGTTGCGGGTTGGCGGTCTGTTGTGGTTGCGGTTGGGTTGGCGCTTGTTGACCAGGCCAGTTTGACGTGCCTGGGGTTTGAACATCTGTCTTGGGTGTGTCGAAGTTGAAGTGACCCGTGTCGAGCTCCATGTCGTCTGGTAACGAGAAGTTGCCAGTGTCCATCGACTCCATATTGTCCATATTGGTATCCGGCACATTGGAGACGGCGGGTTGTGAAGGTTGTTGAGTTGCTTGAGGAGCGGCAGGCATCCCTTGAGCTGGCAGTTGCGGTTGTTCGGTTTGAGGAGCAGATTCGGCAGGAGCACCTGAAGCGGATTGCAGAGATTGGGCAGCGTCGAGGCTTGCGCCATCCAACTGCGTTCCAGTCATATCGGCATCGGCGGGCGGCGTCCTCTTCTCTTCCTTGCGGTATCCTCCTTCACTGATCATGGTGGCCTCCTTTTGTGCCTGGATTGAGCCGCCCAGCAGTTCTTCCACCTGCTCAACGATCTGGTTGGCGTCCTGATCGTTTGTCTTCTCTAGCCTCCAGAACTCATTGCTTGAGCTTGAAGGCTTCCAGGAAGCGTTTCTCAACTTCTTCTCGGCCTTGACCAGACTCTTGCTCTTGCGTAGACTGTCCATCCTTCTGGCGTGTTCCTCCTTCATACGCGCAATCTCATCCTGCTCCTTCTCTTTGTGTGCTTGAATACGCTTCTCAAACTCTTGCAATTGCTCTGATGTGACTTTTTTGTATGCAGCTGGCGTATCCTTAGACTTGGGCTCAACCTTTTCCAGTGCTGAGTTAGGGGTATCAAACAGGCCTTCGGTAAGGCCAGCTAGCTCGCCCATCAGGCCGAAACCGAGATCCATAGGGATGATTTGGCCAGTAGCGAAAGGTGACGAATAGACCTCGTCCATCCAGTCGTGGTGTTGCATATAGCGAGTCAGACTAATATCACGCTGGGTTAGATGGTCAAGCAAGTCTCCAAGGAGGACATTCTCCTCGTCCTCGATGCTGGTGTCCTGAGCCATTAGAGCAGCGGCCGCTGCAGGGGCGTGGGCAGGTGGGTGCTGTCGCGCGCGTTTAGCTGGCGAAGGGCCCGCAGGTCCTTGTTGAGCTTGCTGGTAAAAGTTGCCGGAAAAGCGAGGGTTGCCAATGTGAGCCATAGGGCTTTGCTGATACATGCTCTGGTTGTATGCAGGCACACCAGGTACAGCAGCGCGACCAGGCATACTGAGCTGGGGCCACTTTTCGCGGTCATGCAGCATGAAATCCTGGCGATCCAGACGGCCTTGAGACTCGATCCATTGACGTTCGGCCAGTTGTTGGCGCGATTGATGCGACAGAGGCAATTGGGCTGTGGGGAAGCAATTCTGGGGGTCAGCTTGGCTGTAGTGAACAAGCCAGAGACTTGGATCGGGAGGGAGGGCGTGAACGCTAGGGTTCTTGGACATGAAGCGGTATCGTCTGCGAGAGTGGCTGGTCACACTGTCGACTCCAGGGCGATAACCACTGTTGTGGAAGGCAATCTCCAACGTCTGACGAGTGTTAGTGAGTTGGGACTTGGTTCAAGGAGTGTATGCGACATACGTAGCCTCCAAAGTCCTGAGTGTACCGCTGTTCGGGGTCAACCCAGACGTAGCCATCAGTGGGGAATTGGTTCTGCATGCGGCCACCAATCCAGGTCAAGAAGACGGTACCATCCTGTGGAGCAGAGATGTACTGCCATGACATGGGCGCAACCTGCTTGACAACCTTGGGGGCCTCGAAGAGGTAGGTATATGCGCCATCGATGCCGAGTTGCGGAGAGAAGGGGTATTTGTGGCCCGAGATGAGATGAACATGGGGCAACTATCCATCACAGGTCAGTGTGAGAGACAGCTAGACAGAAGAAGCACATTGACTGACAAGTTGTGCAGGCACTCCAAAGCTGGGGTCTGCCATACTGGCTTGCATTGCGCAACGCGTCGATGCGCCGGACGATCTCGACTATGACTGGTAGATAGAAGCGTGGAGCGCAAGTCAACAGGCTCTGTATGCGATGAAATCTCCGTGTAGGTCTTTGACCCGGATTCGTGAAATGCCGCTCTGATGGACTTCGAGGCCTCGTTCACATGAATTCTTGGTTGCGCTGAGACGCGACAGACCAACACGCTCCGCCAGTCACTCGAATGCCAAGACCCCGTATGCCTGCTTACATAATCAACGCACCCGCCGCGCAGCTACAAAATCTCGCTCTTCCTCGCGCTCCATCTTCCTCTGGTTATCCAAGTGCACGGGCATTACGCGTATCAGTGAGGATTCGTCCGAGATCGTGTTTTTGCTAGTTGAAAACTATCAACTGACTGCTCTTGATGGTCTCACGATCGTCAAGGAATTTTTGGAAACAACCAACATTTCTTGTTATCACTCTTTTTTTCATTGATGCTTTCGCTGACGCGGAACGTTGAAGAAGAGAAAACCATCCATCGATATGCATTATAAGTCCTTGGCTCCATAGATTTTGACGGCTCACGTCGCCTCAAGTCGCCTCAAGTCGCTGCAAGATAAGAACTGGAAGTGACGGACGCGGAGACCTATTCCTGCAAAATCACGCTCTGCCGTCCAGTGGCACGCGCAAAGCTGTACAGGTCGAGCTCGACTGGCTTCACCAATATAGCCACCATGCCGTATCCATGAGCAGCATGACCCCCTTGCATAACCATGCTTTCCGCTTGTTCTTTGCCAGATGACCCGGTCTTCGTTCGTGTCTTGTTTCACCGGACTAACTATTCATCAAGCTTTGCTTTGTTCGCGGTTTTGGAAGAAGCGGGTCCATTGTTCACGATCAACGAGACCCATGTAAGGAGGATGCCTTGCATCCTACACATGGCCTGACCATTCGTATCACAACATGGGCCTTGTGTGATGGCTAAGCGGCCTGCTCAAAGCAGTTTTGTCGATCGTTCTGCTGTATCAATGCCAGGGTGGATATGTCGGCAGTTTTCACTGCGCCTGGCTCGCACGAGGGAAGTGTCGCTTGGTGTTCGTGGTCTTAAGATGTGGTCGTTTTCATGCTGGTCGGAACTCAAGAAGAAACAACGCGGGACGACAGAGATGCACGAAACAACGACTCAACAGCACAGACAGCTACGCATTTGCCGTGTGTATTTATGGCATGACAGCCTCAAGAGTCAAGCTCAAGCGAGAGCCGAGCTGTCTTATTCCCAAAGGCATCCTCATAGATCAGGGTACCAAGTGCAGAGAGAGGTTCTGTATCTGGAATCGTCTGTGCGAGGGTAGCTACAGCGAAATAGCCGCATGCAATCAGGTCAGATGGTCTACTCATCTCTCGTGTTCTCAAATCAGCAAGATTCACAATGTTAAGTGTCTCAGACATCCTCTTTCGAGAAGCTTTCCCTCGTGCGACACAGCAACCAAGAAGTGGCAAGCCCCGAAACAGCGAAGCGAAATGAATTCCCAGAAAGGGCTTCGCTGCTTGGAAGGTGCGGCACAAGCTTGGCTTTCGTGCAATGCAAACACCCACGTCTCTTCTTCCCTCTGTTCATCGCCCAAACAACAATTTGTCCAAGCACTAGCTACATTTGTATCATATCGCGTCTCAGGTACAGTGACCCCTGGGCTTCGGTCACACTAGCCGATCTGTTTTCGGAATCCACCTTGCCTGAGATGCACGATGAACGAGTGGTCCAGCCTAAGGGCTAACTCTGCGACCACCGTCTCACAATCAGACCTACCTAGTCATGCTTCCCGTGTGTAATGTGTACGAATTTACTGAGAATCATGGCTCCCGCATGCTCGACTCGTATACGCACCGTGCTCTCTGCGTGCCTGGCGGTGGTCTTGAGGACGCTATCATGATCTCCGATTATCCATTCCGGAAAGTCAGCCACCTTTTGATCTCCACCACCATCTCAATGTGAAATCTGCTACTGCTATACATACTTATAGCCCTCTCCCGCTCCTTCTGCTTCTCAATTGACAGGAGCGACCCTTCCGCTGCAGTTTCCCTTGTTTGCCATTTCCATTTCCTTGCATTCTCTCGTTTAGAACCAGCCACCCTCTTTTATTAATATTTCTAATTCAAGCTCGACGGGCCTTGAAAGGTCAAACAACTCCAGTGACAGAAACACTTTGACGTTGTTTCACGGTCCTTCCTGAGCAAACACATCTCTTGACACGATTCAAGAAGGTGCATAGCTACTTTTGCTTCGGCATTCTACTCTCTTCCTTACACCACACTCGTTTTACAACAATCCGATATGCGTTTTCAAGGAGTTATTGGTGCAGCTCTATTGGGCTCATCAGCCCTGCAACATGTCGCTGCCTCCATGCAGCCTGATGTTGAGGGTGATCTTGTCAACACCAATGGCAATCTCATGAACGCTGAGCGTCTTGAGACTCGTCAATCGCCAGGAAAAATTCCTGTTACTGGAGTCACTGGAAACGGCATCCAGGTCAGAATGGAGCTTCGTACCATGCAGCAACAGTACCCCGACATGTTCAATGTTTTCCTTCTTGGTCTTCGCAGCTTCATGCAGATGGACCAGTCGGACCCTCTGTCCTACTATCAGATCGCCGGTATGTATATCAAAGATATACTCTACGGTCTTGATTTCTGACTCATCCGTGTTTAGGTATTCATGGAAGACCTTACGTTCCTTGGGATGGTATCGGCAGCGCTCCCGGGTTTGGCGGTGGCTACTGCACTCACACTTCCAACCTGTTCCTACCATGGCACAGACCTTACCTGGCCCTTATCGAGGTTCGTAATTGTGTTACAGACATACGAGTCCCCTGCTGATTATGCTGTGTCTACAGCAAGAGCTTTATAAGCATGTTCAACAAGCCGCGCAGTCTTTCCCCGCTGGTGCGACTAGAGACAAGTACGTTGCCGCAGCTCAAAACTGGCGTTTCCCATACTGGGACTGGGCTGCAATCCCCTGCTCTAGCTGCAAAGCATTCCCTACTCTTCTAAGCGACCAATGGGCTACCGTCACCACACCCACAGGTGTGCAGACTATTCCCAACCCTCTCTTCCGTTACGATTTCCACCCTGTATCAGTCTCTGATATGGTCTACAATCCTGTAAGAATTGTTCCTTGCCATGTCAACGGCGATTTCTGACCCCTCAAACAGTTTGCATCTTGGGATGTTACCAAGAGATACCCCACGTCATGGGATGCCTCTGCAAGCAGTCAAAATAACCTGCTCAACAACATCTTCGCCAACAGTCAATCGAACTACCGTGATCGTCTATACAACCTCTACACCAACTACAACAACTTCAGTCAATTTGGTGATTCGGCTTGGATCAGTTCTAGCTCTACGAATGCCGACAGCCTTGAGTCGATTCACGATGCTATCCACTCAAGTGTTGGTAACAATGGACACATGACCTATCTCGACTACGCTGCATTTGATCCCGTGTTCTGGTTGCACCATGTGTAAGTACCTGGCTGAATGTCCTCAGCACGACGAAAACTAACATTGTCTAGTATGGTCGATCGCAGTTTTGCATTGTGGCAGACTCTCCACACTGACACCTATGTTGAGCCTCTCGCAGCAGTCGGAAGCACATTCACATACCCCGCTGGTACTGTAAACGATGAAGACTCAGCCCTGACTCCTTTCTTCAAGGACACGGCCGGCACTAACTGGACCTCAACCGGTGTTCGTGACATGACTACTTTTGGTTACACTTACCCTGAGCTTCAGAACGGTGCTTCTGCTTCTAGCGTTCGTGCATCAATCAACATGCTTTACGGAAAGAACGCTCTTTCCGCTGATGCTATTGCAAGTGCCAACGCTGGAAAGTCAGGCAGTTCTGCTAGTTCAGCAGTCCCCTCGTCTTCTTCGACTCCCTCAGCTTCCTCAACATCTAGAGCGGCTGCAGCTACTTCAAGCTCTAAGGCACCCGCTGCTCCTTCAGCTCCTGCTGCTCCTGCTCCTGCTCCTGCCCCTGCGGCTCCCAAAGCACCTTCCGCCCCCGTCAGAGGGTCAACCAGACAGCCTTGGCAACCTACATGGCAGCCTCTTAACATCTTGAAGAACGGCCCTATCCACATTTGGAGCCCTTGGTGGAAGCGTGACAACACTACCAGCGGACCGTACCTCAACACCACTGTCAGCGCAAACGGTACCGACGACTTCCACCATGAGTACATTTGCAACATTGTATCGCAGAAGTTCGCCATGAACGGATCGTACGCTGTTTACGTGTTCTTGGGCAACGTTTCGACTAACTCCACTGAGGAGCTGCAACTCTCGCACAACCTTGTTGGTACCTACTCCGTCTTTTCCAACATGCCCTCAGACAACAACCACATGGCAGACATGGATCTCAAGATCACCGGCACTGTTCCTCTGACCACCTCTCTTCTCGGAAAGCTCGAGAGTGGGGAGTTGCAAAGTATGCTTCCTGCCCACGTCGAGCCATATCTTCGCAAGAACCTCCAATGGAGAGTGGCCAAGTACGAGGGCGGCGAGGTCAATGTCGCAGATGTGCCCGATCTTTCGCTCAATGTCGTTTCGGCTCCCATTACTCCTGCAGCTAGCGAAAACGAGTTCCCTCAATGGGGTGCTTTCACTGCTCTTACCAGTGTGACTGCCGGCAAGCCGGGTGGTTACAGTGCTGAGTACTGGAACTGCCCTGAGGATGGCTCATCCTTCGACAGTAGCTACTCACGACCTGCTCCTGCCCCTGTGGCACCTGCAGCCCCTGCAAGCAGCGCCGTCGGTCCTTATGGCAACGGCACCGCCGCATCCCCAGTTGCTCCTCAGGGAACTGGCTCGGTCAGCTCAATGACACCCACAACCTACACTGGCGCTGCCAGCATGCTGAGTCTGTCTGGTTACGCCATTGCACTGGCAGCCGCGGCTCTTGTCATCTAAACTAGATGACACTTTCAGTCGTTTAAAATCTCTTCTTTTCGCTGTATGTGTAACGTCCACTGGTGGGCGGCAATGTCTTTGAAGTAAATCAGCTGCACAGCGAGCAGAGCTCGAGTGGTGGAGAGAGTGATTAAAGGATTCAACGAGGAGGATTTTGGCATGATAGCTTGAAAAGCGCAACAATAATAATTTCGTATCTGTCTGAACATATTCTATGACCTTGCGAAATTGCTCAAGTGTGATGTTGTACCCGTATTTATTCTTCTTTTTTCTTTGTCTCACCAACGCAAGGTTAACGTTGAAGCTTATCGATAAGGTCGGCGGAATTTTGCAGGGCTCCGATGTCCGAGTTTGGAGGTTGGAGATTTTTGACATGAACATTTCTTGATCGCAACACAATTACTATAAACACCATGGCGCGAACGAAAAACAAGAAGGACAATCGCCAAAACGGAGTGAAAGCAAAGGCTGCTGCGCCAGCTAGGAAGTCGGCGCCAGTGCAGGATGATTCGGCCAGCGACATGTCAGACATGGAGCAATACGACGCCGCAGCTGGACAGGACGATATGGACATGAGCGAGGACGACAAAGATGCTGCTGAGGAAGAGTTGGAAAGGGCTGTGTTTGGCGATAGCATGGGATTCAGAGCTGGACTAGCTGGATTCGAGACTGGACTGGACGACGAGGATTCAGCTGAGGAAGGCGCCGCTGCTTCTGGAGACGACCAAACATATGGAGGTCTTGCAGATGCGGACTTGTTCTTCACTGATGTCGGCGCATCAACCGACCTACAGCCTGTGCCAGCTGTTGAAGAGGAGGGAGAAGAGGAAGACGGTGCAGCGTGGCAAGACAGCGACGACGAGAGAATGGTTGTGTCGCTGGCTTCGGTACCGAGACTGCGCAAATTGAAGAGGACGGAAGCTGAGGATGTCATTTCTGGCAAGGAATACGTTCGTCGTTTGCGCAAACAGTACGCCAATCCTGCTGAACCACACACCAACAACATGGCTAACATTGTCACAGCTACGAGATGCTCAACCCCGTACCAGACTGGGCCGTCGAAGCCGCTCAAAAAGGACCTAGAAAGAAGCGTAGACTCAGTTACGACGACCTCGATGCTGAGTCGGACGAAGATATGGACATGGACGATGAAGAGGGAGACGACGACGTCACGGCCGAACCGCTCAGCAAACTGCTACAAGGAGGAGGCCTCGTAAGACGAACAGAGAACAAGAAGCGCAAGTTGCGACCCGAAGTCATCGATATCCAACGCACAAAGGACATTGGCACCACCCAACCCTCAGCCATCACCTCCCTGCAGTACCACCCCGAACTTCCTCTGCTTCTCTCCTCTGGGCCCTCATCCACTCTCTACCTCCACCACATTGTCGCTTCCCCTCCAGCTCCTGAAGCCAATCCCCTCCTCACTTCTCTGCATATCCGCAAGACCCCTCTTACAACAACTGCATTCCACCCGAACGATCCTCGCATCTTCCTCTCCGCCCGTCGTCGCTATTTCCACGTCTGGAACCTCGAAACTGGTAAAGTGGAGAAGATCGCCCGTGTCTACGGTCACCAACACGAGCAGCGCAGTATGGAGCGTTTCAAACTCTCTCCCGATGGTCGCAGTATGGCTCTCATCGGTAGTGCCCGTAAAGGTGGCGGTGTCATCAACATTCTGGACGCATACACATTGCAATGGGCCAGTCAAGTACGCGTAGAAAGCAACAACGGCATTGCAGACTTTGCTTGGTGGCGCGATAGCCGCGGTATGAGCATCGCAGGCAAGAACGGCGAAGTCACAGAGTGGAACATCGACGAGCAGCGCGCAGTAGCCCGCTGGACAGATGAAGGCGCCGTGGGCACTACCACCATCACTCTCGGCGGCGACAATGGAAACGCCGGCTCACCTATTGGCAAAGACCGTTGGGTTGCAGTCGGCAGCTCAAGCGGTGTCGTGAACATCTACGATCGCCGTGCCTGGCTAGTCGCTTCTTCCTCTTCCACAGACCCTCTCGCTTCTCCCATTCCTTCTGCTCCTAAACCAACCCGCGCCCTCGATAACCTCACTACCCCAATCTCGCACCTTACATTCTCTCCTGACGGACAAATGCTCGTCATGGCTTCGAGATGGAAGAAAGATGCGTTGAGAATTGTTCATCTGCCTACTTGCACGGTCTTCAAGAATTGGCCTACTAGCAATACACCTTTGGGCAGGATTACGGGTGTTGCGTTTGCGCCTGGCAGTGATGGGTTGGCTGTTGCTAACGAGCAGGGGAAGATCAGGTGTTGGGAGGTTAGAGCTTAGGAATGATGCATATACAGGCGTTCGTTGTGTATAGGATGTGCAAGGCAAGACTAATTTTCCTCGTATTCTTCTTTTGTCGTTCTCGAAGTGTAATTGTGCTACTGTACCATATTGCATCGTCAAAAATCTAGACAAGGCTATGTCAATGCTTAGAAGTGATGCTGAGAGCTTTTCTTCAAGAAGATCTATTGATACAAAAATTGTCTTTGGATATGATGATATCGTCATCCTTTTTCCCTTATGGTCCAAGCCCGTATCAAGAGCTTATGTACCACGCAACAACGCAAAAAGAATAAAATCCAAAACTTCGCAACGCGAAAAAAAAGAGTTTTCCCACTGCAACCATACCATCATCACCTCATCCAACCTATAACCCCTCTACACAAAAGTAGCAAAAGCAAAAGCAAATTCCGACACGGGGAATTGAACCCCGGCCTCCTCGGACCTGATCGTTGTAGAAGGTACAACTGTTTGAGAGCGAGAAATCCTAGCCACTAGACCATATCGGACGTTGTTGCAGAGAGAATCATCTTACATCAATATGTTTCTCAAATTGTATCATGCAAACACACAGATGCTATGCTCTTACCTTGGCTCATGGCTCGCGGTAGACCATGCGTGGGCGGTTGAATTCCATCTAACTTCTAATGCTACTTGTAAGAAAGCTACTTAAGAAAAGCTAAACAAACAATCGATGTAAGTCTTTATTTTCCTGCATGTTTCTGACAAGGTTTTTGCAGTTACTGAATGCTGATAACAATGCTAGTGCGGACCCGAACACCATAGAGGGGCTCGGAGTCACAAAGAAGCCCATCGAGTTGTGATAAAGTTGCTAAACTGTTCATAGTCGGCGGAGAAAGACCTAGACTCTGATTTGGGGTACTTTGATTCAGCTTTAATCAGTATAGGAAGAAAAAGATGAAAATGTCTACATAGACAGGGTCGCATGCTTCACGATTGAGAAGGGAGAAAAAAGAGGAAAAAAAGTGAAAAGAACACCGTGGAAGAGGAGAGCAGGACCAGGGATGATGGAACAACAAGATAATTGGGGTATCAAGAGAAACAACGATATAAAACATCAACATCATCTCATTCACCTGGCGTCATCTGGATCCTCCTTAACCTCTCCAACATCAAAGAACCTAACACTCCTCCCTGTCTGCTGCGTTGTATTACCATTCACACCACCAAAACTAGGCACTCCTCCAAACCTAGTTCGCCTGAAAGTAGCAGGAGTGAAACTTTCCTCAGCTAAGTCGACACCACCACCACCACTTCCCATCGAACTTCCATATCCCCCCTTCCTCATCTTGCGTTCGAAGGGCGTAACCTGAGGTGTTTGAATGTTATCGTTGCTTCGTGTGGGTGCTGGGGTAGTGGAGACCACGACTTCTCTGCGCACAGGCTTGATGGACGGAATGGCAGAAAGAGCCTTGGCTCGTTGCGTACGCTTGCTAGGCGTGCGAGCCATGTAGCCAGGAACCGGAGTCGATGTGAACACACTATCAAATCGCTGCTGTGCTTGAGACTGAGATTGATATACAGGCTGTTGCGACTGTGGACGGTTGATCACGTCTTTCAAGACATCAAAGGATGTCCATTCTTCAGCACGATGAGTAGCACCAAAGTCCATTTCTTCAACGTCTGATTCTTCCTCGTCACCGTCAAGCAAAGGTGCAAGTCTGCTCTGTGCTGACAACGGAGCAGGGGTCTTACGTGCAGAGGGTAGTCTGAGGCTGCTGAATAAATTCGAAGATGGCGGAAGAGAAACGGAAACAGGCGTAGGAGCTGTAGCAGATGGTGGTAATTTTGTGGGTGACTCCAGTACATCGTCCTGTGGAGGATCCGGTGGCAGGGGCAAAGTCCTGGCAGCCCTTCGTCTCGAAGCTTGTTCAGCCCAGTACCTTAACATGTTCCTACGATGCTGTTGAGAATTGCGCTGTTCAAGTGCTGCTGCCGAATCTAGATTGCGTCGATGGCAAAAGAGTGCCCATTTGAGTCTTTTGAGTGTGCCGGTTGCAAGTAGATCGATAGTCTGAGAGCACAGCGTTAGAGCTTGCGTGTGATGGAGCAAGACCTCTTGTCCCTTCGATACCAGGATGGCAATCGTGCGGAGGAAGAGTAGGCGCGCAGAAAACTCTTCAGCCTGAATCGAGAGCTGATTATTTTGGCGAGTCTTTCCACGCCACGAGTTGAAGATCGCGGTGCCAGCGTTGACATGCCGATTATTGACATGCTCGACAGCAGTGGAGTCAAGTTGCGTGACTACAGTGGCTCTTTCCCTCCAGGCAGCAAAACAATTGCGGACCATGCGTGACTTGACACGACTTCGAATCTGAACGTAGGCATCTCTACGTTTGTTACGCTGTGCTTGTGATGTTTCGTCCTTCCACTTTTTGATGGTGCCGCTGGCTAGACAATAATATCTCGCATCATTTGACCAACGGTCCAGCTTCATCAAATGCTTCGTTCGTTGCAACCAGACTGGCAACACAGCATTCATAAGATGGGTGTTCCTGAACTCAAGTGCTTGTCGTTCCATTATCTCTTCTGCTCGTGAGATGCCATGGAATCTCAACATCACGGAAGCCAACATACGCCTACGCTTGTGTTCCTTGAAGATCATTGCCGCCTCTTCGAGACGGAAGCGCTGCTCTGTCAATCTCAAGCTCAAAGTCTGCAGCGCACGTTCTTGCAATCTGCTGTCTGTGACACGTCGGAAGAGTGCAAGTCGAGACTGTAAGACCCACTTGTAGAGGTTCTCAAGTACGACTCTGTCATCGATCTTCGCGACGAGTGCACGAGCTCGCAGGTTATCGTTCCAATTCGTCCATGCATTCTGCAGGATGCGTCGCCGATCTGCAGCGGTCGCTTGTTGAGAGAGTTGAGTGTTAAGTTGCCAGACAGAGACAGCCGTAGTAAGCAGTCGTCTCGACACGACAGTAGACATCTCTTTGGAAGCATGCCCCAGTTTAGATTCTTGTACCAGATGGTGAAAGCAGTTGTTCACCGCATTTGTTCTGTGGAGCTCCTCAGCACTTCTATGCAATGAGAGGATAGCAGTCTGGCGAGCGACCAAAGCACCGAAAGTCTTTTTGAGAAGATTGGTGTTCCGCATCCGTGAGGCAGCAGCTTGATGCTGCCGAAGACGTGTCACAGCACCAGCCAAGCTATGCAGACAAGACTGTTTGGCACGATGATCATGCCACACTGGAGCCTTTCGCTCACAGAAAGCCCAGAACCACTTCCACCATGTCCTCTGAACAAGATTTTCTTCGTAAACAGCAACAGCACGCTCATTGTCTACGGCTTTGCGGGCAGCGTTTGTTCTCCAGACAGAGAACCACTTGCGAAGACCCAAACGACGACACTTGAGATCGTTTACGGCTGTGATATCACGCCAGGCGTTGAAGTAGCGAGTGCGCAGAATGTGTCTCCTAGCAACAGATGTTCTGGCAACCTCGTCGCTTGTAGACTGAGCCCAATGTGTGAATGCTTTGTTCAGTAAAAAGAGGTCTCGTGCACGAGTAGCCCTGCGTTCGTATTGCTCGAAGAATTGTTCCGTTTCGGCAGCCTGACGTTTGTCCAGTAGCTTTGCGGCCCAGATGCTGAAAGCTTGGGTTTTGAGTAGACGCTGGTCGTGATTCTGAGCAATTCGAGCCATATGCTGGAGGTGGGAGGATTCCAGAGATAGCTGATGAAGGCATCGGCGCGCTGTCTTGATTTGCGAAGTGTGAAAAAACGCTTCGGCTTCGTAGGTGAGCTCAGCTTCGATAGGTTCAATGTGTTGAGGTGCAAATTGGTGATTGGATGGCAAGACTGGTGGAGAGCTGGGAATATCGGACTCGGTCTCGTCGTCTGTCAAAACATTTTGATAATCGATTGAAGGTTGGTGACGAGGCCAGGGTTCGGGAGTTGGCGGGCGAGTGGCTCTAATACTGCCTTGAGTTGACACAGAATGACTTCTGCGTATCTGAGCCTGATTTTGCATAGCGACTCTGCCTCGAATTGATGCCCCGTTCGTGACAGGCGGCCTATTGGTCGAAGATCTTCGCATACGCGACAAGTCGTCCAGCGAAGTATGGGGGCTATGTCCAGAGCGGACAGCATCAAGCCTTCCACCACTAACCCAACTCTCATCCAGTCTGGTATCGTTGAAGCTTGCCCTGCGGCTTCTTGTCGCGCTGCTAGGCACTATCTCTTGCGTCTGTCTGACATTGTCCGGAGACAAGTTAACTTCCCCGTCTTCTCCAGCATCTTGTTCGTCCTGTACAACGATGTGAATGTCTAATTTGGCGAGCAGTTGGCGCAACTTGTACATCAAGGATCGGGAACTGTGAGAGCGACCTTCGCCCAATCGCAAGAGATAGCGGAAGATGCGCTGGTCATGTTCCTGGGGGATATCATGGTCTGCGAGAACTTTGTCGTAAGCAGCGAAAAGCGCTCTGAATGGAGGATTTTGCGATTGTTGGGCGTCGCTGACAATCTGAAAGAGGATGTTGATGTCTGGAAGGGATCAGCGAGTTCTCGGCGGAGCGTACTTCCAACTCAGATGTTCTTACCTTGGTCACTCAAGGGCGGCAACTCCTCAATGGCTGACGAGTCTGGCATCCGGCGTGTGGTGATTTTAGTGTTGACGCGTTTCAGGTCGGCCGTTCAGACCGTCGCTGTATCAATGGCGGAGACGGCATTCGCGCGTTCATATACTTCGTGAGATAAATCAAGCAATGCTGGCAATTCGTATCATAATGGTCGTTGACAGAAAAGAATGAAGCCACAAAGACGCAACTCTTGTTGTTGTCGCAGGAAAGTGCTGATCCAAGGGACGCGACTTTCACATGCACGCAAGCCCTCGGCCGCCTCCGATCACCGCCTTCCATGTCAATGACATCGCCATTCGCTTCATCTCTATCAAACGCCTCCGATTATTCTACAACCAATCCATCACATCCCAATCATGTCGACTCCTAGAGCAAAGCCGCTTGAAAAGTTCATCACTGCCACCTCGAAGTGTACAGTCGAGGTATGTCCTCTTTCATCCGCCACGCTAAGCTATACTCACATCTTTTCAGGGCGCTGCCTATGGCAAATGCATTGTCGCCGAATACCAGAATGTTAACAAGGACATGTGCGCACAAGAGTTTATGAAGCTAAAGAACTGTTATTTGGTAAGTGTTCTGGATCTTCTTGATCGAGATGGCGAGGCTAACAAGTCTTTCAAAGGCAGCTGCAGGCAGGAAACGATGATAGCACAATCATGAATAACGAGAATAAAAAGAAATCAGCTTTTGTCTTTCATTCATAACTCTGATCTAGATTCTATTGACCAGCAGAAATACCATTCCTCATCCTCCAAAGTCACATCATAGCTTGAACAGCATCAACTTGACGGACACATTTCTAACATCGGCATCCTCTTCTGCCAAAGCTCCCTCGGTGACGGCATCCTCACGCTGGATGTCACCCTGGATAGCCTTGTCAAACAAGGACTTTTGATCCTTGAACATGCTGTCAACCTCGTTGTTGTCGTCCTTGACAACCTTGTACACCATGCGCACGTCGTCTGTAGGTACCAGGCCGGCACTCTTGCGCAGACGCTGCAATCTGTTGACAAACTCTCTGGCCATACCTTCTTGTGCGAGCTCGGGGTATGCAAAGCTGTCGAGGATGACAAGGCAGTTGTCGTCAACGGCCACCTCGAGGTGCTTGGTCTCGGGTGTTTGTTGAATGCCGCGCTGCACTCTGAGGTCTTCGCTCGAGAGGTGGCATCCTTCGATGGTGATCTCGCCACTTGACATGAATGACTTGATGTCAGTTGATGAAAGGTTGGGAATAGCCTTCTTGATCTTGGCGGCATCCTTCTTGAACTTGATACCCAATGACTTCACGTCGGCAAGGGCAGAGTATTGGACGTGGTACTTCTCCTCGTCGGAGCTGAGGATGAGATCACGGATGTTGAGCTCCTCAACAATGTATGACTCGAGACTCTTAACATCCTCGAGGTATTGAGGGTCAGAGTGGATGACAACCAACGACTTGAGAGGAGTCTTGAGCGAGACAGTTCTTCTTTCTCTGCAAAGACGACCTTGTTCAATGACAACTTGCATGCGCTTGACGCGTCTCTCAACAACCTCATCGAACAGCTCCTCACGGACCTCAGGATAAGGCAGGAAGTGGACTGAGCGCATATCCTCGTAGTGCAGGCTCTCGGGGATGTGCTTGGAGATGCGCTGGTAAATGTTGTCGGTGATGAAGGGGATGAAAGGTGCGAGGCCTCTGACCATAGTGTAGATGACCTCGAAGAGAGTGTTGAGAGCGTGAATAGCGTCGTCCTGGCCAGCCTCACCCTTCAGACGTCTGCGGTTGAAACGGATGTACCAGTTTGTGGTGTTGTCAATCAACTCGAGCAGACGAGGGACGACGGTGTAAAGACGGTAGACGGACATCTCCTGGTTGACAAACTTGAGAAGGGACTGGCACGAAGCGAGGATCCACTTGTCCATGACGTTAGTGTTCTTGGCCTCAATGGAAGTGTCGTACATAAAGTCAATGTCGGCCTGCTTCTTGAGCAGAGCGACCTGCTGCTCGAAGAAGTTGTAACTGTTCCAGAGAGGAAGGATAACACTTGAAACGATCTGCTTGACACCCTGCTCCTGGAAGCGGAGAGGCTCGGCGCGAACGACAGGAGAGTTAATCATGTACAGACGCAGAGGATCGGAACCATACTTGTCCATGATGAGGTTGGGGTCGGGGTAGTTCTTAAGCGACTTGGACATCTTCTTACCATCCTCAGCAAGGACAATTCCGTTGACGACACAGTTCTTGTAAGGGAAAGTATCGAACAGGAAAGTGCCGAGCAAAGACATGGTGTAGAACCAACCACGAGTCTGATCAAGACCTTCAGCAATGAAGTCACCAGGGAACTTGCTGTGGAAAGTGTCCTTGTTCTCGAAGGGGTAGTGCTGGGAAGCGTAAGGCATGCTACCAGACTCGAACCAACAGTCGAAGACCTCCTCGATACGACGAAGCTCACCATTGCCCTGCTTGCTGGGGATAGTGATGCCGTCGACAGTGTCTCTGTGGAGATCGGTGATCTCACCAGTGTAGCCACTGAGTTCCTTGAGCTCAGCAATGCTGCCTACACAGACAACCTCCTTGAAGTCGCTGCTGACCCAAAGAGGAATAGGAGTGCCCCAGAAGCGGTTTCTTGACACGTTCCAGTCCTTTGCTGATGCGAGCCAGTTGTGGAAACGACCATCCTTGACGAAGCCAGGAACCCAGTGAGTCTTCTCGAGGTTCTCAAGAAGCTTAGGAACAACGTGCTCGACCTTGATGAACCACGAAGGAACAGCACGCTGGATGAGAGGAGTCTTTGAACGAGGGCAGTGAGGGTATCTGTGAACAATCTGACTCTTCTTGACGAGACGACCAGCCTTCTCGAGGTGCTTGATAATGTCCTTGTCGGCAGCCTTGACGTGTTGACCCTCGAAGTCGCGGACTTGAGAGGTGAAATGTCCTGAAGGATCCAGAGGGTTGGGAGGAGCACGCTTCTCGTTGATGACGCCAGCCTTCCAGGCAACTTGGTAATCGTCCTCACCGAAAGCTGGAGACTGGTGAACAATACCGACACCCTCATCAACCTTGACGTATGTGTCGTTGAGAACCTTGAATCCAACGCCCTTGAACTCCTCCTTGAAGTAGTCGAATGGAGGCTCGTACTCGACACCGAGCAGCTCGGAACCCTTCATCTTCTCGAGAACAGTGTACTTTGCCTTCTTGGGGTCCTTGTACAGCATCTTGAGACCAACCTCAAGCAAGATGTACTTCTTGTCCGACTCTTGATCGTGGATCTTGATGTACTCAAAGTCGGGGTGCACACAGAGACCGGTGTGCGAGGGGAGGGTCCAGGGAGTTGTAGTCCAGGCAAGGAAGTATTCGTTCTCACGGCCAAGGATGGGGAAGTTGACAACAATGGCGGGATCCGAAACGTCACGGTAGTCTTCTTGGGCCTCAGACTTGCTGAGAGGGGTGCTGAGAGCGGTCGAGTAAGGCAGAACCTTTGCGCCGTGGTAGACGAGATCCTTCTCGTAGAGCTGCTTGAAGACCCACCAGCATGACTCCATGAAGGTCGGGTTCATGGTCTGCGCCGCGTCAGCGCTTCCTCTTGTGTGGTTTGATCCTCCTCGTGCTCACCTTGTAGTCGTTGTCGAAGTCAATCCATCTTCCCAGACGTCCAACAACTCTTCTCCACTCTTGGGCATAAGTCATGACGACCTCGCGACATCTGCGGTTGTACTCGGCGATACCAATCTGCTCAACAGCTTTGCGACCACGCACACCGAGCTCTTCCTGAAGCTTGTTGTCGATGATCTGCTCGATGGGCACACCTATACTCTGTCAGACGAATTCGTTTGTCGGGGCGAATTGCGCGTGAGACGGACCGTGGGTGTCCCAGCCGAAACGACGCTCGACATGGTGTCCCTTCATAGACCAGTAACGAGGGATAATGTCCTTGATGGTGGATGCCAACAGATGGCCGTAGTGAGGGGTACCAGTAGCGAATGGGGGACCATCGTAGAAGGTGTAAGGCTTCTTTTGCGCCGACAATTCGAGTTGCCTTTGGAAAGCATCGATCTCCTACAATTGGGCGTTAGTCATAGCGGCCTGACTGCGCGTGAGGGTCGAAACGGGCGTACGGTCCACTGTGCGAGGATGCGCTCCTCCTCCTGAGGGAAGTTGACCGCCATGATGTGAGTGTTTCCGGTCGTGTGCCCAGAAAAGTGGTGGAATGGTATTCAACTTTTTTGGCCGCTGCGGGAGTCATTCGCGGTGGAGTCACAGAGTGGGATGAATCTGGGGCAAGTCTTGGCTAAACTTTCCTATGGACCCTCAGACGCACCACACCTTCCTCGTCCTCTTCATGTTTCAAGCCATCCGAAGACATCGATCTCTGTGCGCCATCCCTCTTGAATCGCTGGTTGGAACGTCCACTGTGTGCTTCGAAAAGGCCATTGACTTTGCATTGCCGTGGTAAGGTATGACCTTGCAGATCAAAAGTCAGTGAAAGGCAAATCATCTGGTCACTCCGTTTGGGCGGATTCATGACAGCTTAATTTTAGTATCATTCAAAGGTGGCAAGGGATGCATTGATTTTTGATGCACGATGTGATATCCATCGATTAATCTCAGCCGACTTCCTCCGCGTCTTGCTTTTAGATCATCCAATCTCTGTTTTTGCAAAAATAACCAACTCAGCAGCATGAAACTTCAGTGCCGTATTCTAGCCGTTTCATGAGCGGTAGCAACGCCACAAGAACCTGCGATATAAGTTGTAAACGAGGTCTGGAATCTTCTTGATCGTTCCGTCCATTCTGAGTGTCTCTCCCAGCATATCTGGACCACCAAGAGTGCTGATGATTGTAGATCGGAGAACCCGATCAGTGTCTGGAGTGCTCATGAAGGTGATGACAATGGCAGTCTCTAGATCACCTCTACCCTCTTCAAAAGACTGTTTGAGTTTCTTGTCTGCCAGGGCCTTGAGTGTCTGTATGCCATATTTCTCTCCCACTGCATACATTTTTGCATGTTCAGAGACCTTCTCGGCAGGGTAGTCGTGATGGTAAAAATAATGGATCATGGCTTTGACCGTCTTGACATCTTCGACATCCAGATCCCAGTCGAACTCATCTGGTGTGAGCGGTTTTCTGTTTGTACCTCCGTCACGTCCAGCATTGGCAGGGAGCGTAACGACTCCAGTGTGACCCTCCTGGAAAGTGTCCGGGCGGCAAGCTGCTTGGAAGAAGTCTGATTGAGGACAAATGATATTCTTGTGAACATTGTATGTGTCTGATCCACAGACAATCTTGAGATCTGAGTATGCGCCGCTCTCATGAAGACTGGGCTTTGGTTATGTGACTGGCGTAGTGATCTGTGCTCATGGATGACTTACCTCGCGATCGTTGAAAGCAAGATGTCTTTGGAGCTCTCGTCAGAAGACATGGCGAGTGGATGTCTTGTTGATGTTTGATTGTGATTGGTTCGGAGATGCAACGAGAAGATAGGTAGGTAGTTGATCAAGAAGAAAGAGAACGGACGTAGAAAGATGATTTTGTGTCTCCAAGAGTATGAGTGACACTGCGGTGTGGCTGCTGCTCACGAAGCGTGAATTCGAGGTAGATATTCACCTCTCATCGTCAGTTGGACTATCATGGTCAGTTTGAATGTCCGTCTCTTTGTCCGAGCCGTCACTATACAACTGGAATCTCCGAGCTAGCTTTCACTTTGTCGAAATATATATCTTGTTCGACATGCTTGACTTAAGCTGCCTCCAATCTGCGGGTGCGTGCAGCCAGCTTGTGTGAAAGTTCTTAAGTTTTAAGCTTGCGACTCATTTTCTGCATGGAAGCTTCGTTGTGAATACACATGAGCAGTCTCATCAAGCGTTGTATGCAACTTCGATATCAACCACTTAAACCAATTCGATGTGACATATGAACACAGTCCTTGCACAAAGACATGAGACAAGAAAAGATACGGAAGACTCAACCTCAAACTCAAGTCACCCCTTGCATTAACACATAGCCACGTCTGGCTATAATCCAATGTCCTTCATCGTGCGCTAGGAGTGGCAGGAAGCCCCAGCTCATGTAAATCACGCTGCGCTATTCTGCCTGGCTTAATAGGCACAGCTCGGATAGCTGCATGTAACTTCTGTACGAGGGTATCTGAATGTAACTCATTAACGTGGGTATCTGAATGCAACTCCTGTACGTCGCGGTCACTAGGCATCTCTGCAACTAGGTAGTACTGGCCTTGTTGTAGCTCATGTGGACCGTGAGTGAACGGAGGCGCAGGTGTCAATAGACGAGAGGGAAGTTCGATCAATATATCGTCAGTCTTGGGAGATTCGCTTCGGTCATTGAGTGGATTCTCTTTTGCAGCCTCACGCTTTCTTCTTTGTCTCATGCATGAAAATATACCCGAGACAAGTGCAATGACTGCAATGGCGGCTCCAGCAGCGATGTCAGCTATGGCACCTGACGATATGGTCTTTAAATGCTTTGCGGATGTAGAGGCTGGAGAGGATGGTATTGCTTGAGACGGGAGTGATGTCCAATGTTTAGCTCGAGACTGTGCGAAACAATTAATTTTTGTCCCGTTGTACACTTGGAGCTGAGTAGCATAGTTTGCCAGACTCTTGCATTATCGTAGCTTCCCAGGTATAGACCCAATATAGTTCAAGGCAACAGCTCCGATGTGTAGTCCATAAGAGTAAGGGGGATGATGTTCTGATCGAAGAAATATCTCCCAGCTATCTGAACCATTGCAGATCCGGCAGGGTTCTTTGTCGTGAGAGCGACTCCTGGATAAAACGTTAGAGCATCAATTCAGCAACAAGCTTGGATTTAGAGAACAGGCGAAAGAGCGGTGTCGGTTCAGCTGGCTCAGCTTGCAGCTCAGCCGCTTATACACAAGAAGCTGAGGTCAATACAGGTCAAATTTAAGAAGTACGGGAACGCTTAGCAAGATGCCAAAGTCTTCATGTTTGCTGTAATCACGCCATAAAACTCCTCTTGGTGGTACTTGATATAACCAAACGCCATATCCCAACAATCGTAAATTGTATCTTCCCAGGGTATAATCTCGTCTCAAGCATCTCTTCACAAAGCAGCACCAACCGTCAAAGCCATGACACCAGCACCCAACGCGTAGGTCCAGCTCGAAGCAGAGACCGAGGAAGCCGCACTTTTGGTCGACGAAGAGTCGTCGGAACCAGCCTTCTTGCTCGTAAGGTTGTAGAGGGAGAGGGTAAGGTAACCACCACAAAGCTCACTGTCGTCGCCCACACAGGGGAGCGAGCAATTCGACTCGGACAGTTTGTTCGACAAAGCAGAGAGATAGCTGCCACACCAGCACCTGCAAATCCTGAATCAGTATATCTCCTTGCTGGTCTTGCGCCTCAGTATACCGTACTCCTTCGAATATTCCAGACCAGCGTACTGGTAGCTATTTTGGCCGCAGTATTGCAGACAATCGGCGACAGTCGTGTTGTCGCCAGTCTCCATCTTGCCGCCAGTGATAGCGCGGGCACCTGAAGTGCCTGCTATGCCGGTTGTCTCATTGTAGCATCCGAGATAGTCGTATCCGTTTGTGCCAGGAGCAGCACTTGCGACGACAGAGTGGGTGGCAGTAGTAGAAGCCGAGGTACTGGTGGCAGAGGATTGAGCTGATGCGACGGCAAACAGCGAGAGAGCGGAGACGATGGTCGAGACGAGCATGGCGGATGACGATCGACAGTTCCAGATAGGCACGAAGCTGAGGTGAGCACACAAAGGACGGAGGACAGGGAAGGCACGATAGATAGAGGAAGAAAGGACCGAAAAACCACGACTTGACTTTGTTCAACCACCTTGGGTCTGCTTTCGTGTCTCACAGATATCAGAAAGTCAAAACTTATCGCAAATAGCGGCTCTGCTCCGAGGCGCCGAACATCCGTACAAGCATGCAGGGTCGGCTGTTGTTGTACGCGTACTAGTAGGAGAGTTGGTTGAGTAAAGCCCCTCCCCAAGAATAGACGCGTTCTGGCCGAAACGGGAGAAACGGCCAAGCCCAAGCACACTCTCTTTCTCAGCTGCTCTCAAGCGACTTCAGCTCCTGCATCTCAGGTCATAGAGATGCATCCAGATGAGCAAGGAACCGACATTGATGCAAATTCGAATCTGTTGAATTGTACAAGTAACCATGCTATAACGTGACTGCTGCGTTCGAAGCCCCGGAGCATCTCTGTCGCACCTTCTCGATGCACCACCAACACCTGCCTGCACCATCCAGCAGCTGAGAACTGGATGAGTGGGAACGTGCTCTGAACACACATTTCATCGAACGACACAACCGGCCCGCTGCTGATTTTTTTCTTCATCTGCATCACCATAACATTCGACCTGAAATTGGGACTCGGACGTATCTATTGCATTGGCCGTCATGCACAACCGCATGTTATCCTCCTCGCTCCGGAGTCCCTGACAGCTGAAGACTCTTGAGATTCGCTATACGTCTTGACGAAGTAGATGGCCATCGTTAAGGTGGTGCCAGTGCCCAAGTACTGATCTCAGGATTGACTCCAGGTTCCGGTCTCAATTCTGGGCCCCTTCTCCATCGCGCGTACAAGGACCACCATACACTATCAGAATGCACAATTGAAATTCAAATTTGACACTGGTTGTGGAGATAGCCTTTAGTAGGGACTCTTTATGGAGACTACATTCTGCGTGGGAGTATTGTGCATTTCGGCAGCTGCGCTGTGACAGACTGGAGCACACGGAGATGTGCTAGAATTACGACTGTTCTTCGACCTCGATACCCACACCCTATGTGGTGACCCTGGGCCTCTCTCCATTGTGCTCTGACGGCTCCACAACCAAATAATAAGGGGTCTCACCAGAAGCGTTCGGTGGGTCCTTGACCACAACCGGACCTTCGAACCTCTTGTCGTGCGTATGTCGCTCCCTATACAACTGCGCTATCTTGCCCAGCTCCTCCGTCATTGCCGCCGACGATCCATACCATTCTGCATGCTCGACCAGCATCTTGCCCCAACCCCACATACAGGGGTGTATCGAGTGTAGGTGGAATGCCTCGCTGTAACGACATCCCTTGCCCCCTGGAAGATCGCGCGAACAAGCTTCATCAAAGCAGGGCTCCCGAACGCAGGTGTGCTCTGCGCGCCTTCCTTGCATGACTTCGTACTGGCGCATGCAACATCGTCTTGCTTCAGGTTTCTTTGGAGGTTCAAATCGCTTGCTTGGATCGTCGTCTGCGTCTGTCGTTCCGGTAAGTGCCTCCTCCTGCATCAGGCTCTCGTCTTGTTCTCTTCTGGTCGGCTCTAGGGTTGCCACTTCATGGGGCTGAAATGCCCATATGGATGATCTTGACGCCCCTAGAAAGGGGCAATAGATGCGACCGCTAGGGACCTGGTTGTGTGCTGTGCGTTCGCCTTGTGCTGGCATGGCTGAATGCTTGGTGGAGTGTTGAAGTATGAACTTCTTTTGTGCTTTGATGCAAGATAATGAAAGATGACTTCGATTGAGAGAGTCTAGATCCGAAGGGTAGGTTTTATACCCACACCTGAAAAAATTCCTGCTTGCAGTCATGATAAATTTTGCTGTCTGCCTGGGCTAGCGGAATAATGAGCGACAACTGGTTGGGCTTGATAGCCTCGCCACATACCATCCCCAGGCACCCAATACCTGATTCGCTGTGGAGACTCCGAAGTCAAATAACCTCCTCCACGTGTGCTGAACACAATCACAATCTCACATCCAAGGAGCTTCTCTCCGTCCAAGACATAAGGGTTATTATAGGCTATCTAAATGCACAGTTGCATCTCGAATATGAGTCTGACCATGGAGACAGCCTTTGATAGTATTCTCTCTATGGAGGCAACATGGTTTAAGAAGATATTTTGCATTTCTATAGTTAGATTTTGACTATTCTACCCACGTGGGGAGGGGAAAATGTGCTCATGCACTTGAGCAATATGACACAACGAGCACAGTCACAACTTCAGAGTCATACTGCAGTTTGTTCTTGGTCATATCATCTCTTACATAAATTTTTGCTTTGCCCATTCAGCAATAGATGAACTCTCCCTCCACTTTACCACTTCTACACACACAAAAACTACCACCAACACCTACTCCAATGGAGAAACTCAGGGACCTCGAGAATCAGGCCGCCTTTCCTCCTCCTCAGCAACCAAAATCTTCAAATGGAATGATGATGCGCGGAGTATTTCTCGTCGAACCCATCTGCATCGTCACTTATCTCTACCTCCGCCATGGCTGGGACTATTTCAACATATTCTCTGGTAGTCCTTATAGGGCTTCCTTCTATTGTCTCTATGTATTGTTTGTCACCGCACTGTGCAGCTACTACCTTCCAAAGTGCAGAAATGGCGATGTGCTACCGCATTGCGCCATTAAATCTGGCACATTCAGGAGCTGCAGGTGTCTTGAGCGGACTAATGTCACCGTTCGGAGTCAGATTTGGGATGAAGCTTTCTGGGTCGGAGCTGGTATATTAATGCACGAAGTACTCTTCAGGACATCTGAGTACCTGCAAGCGCAAGTTGATGGTCTGTCATGACGCATCCCTGGAATCGCAGTTTTGGGACGCGGAAAGAACGAAACAAGGTTGCCTTTTTTTTTGTTGATGCTTCGAACATTGTTCCTTCCATATATGATTTTCTCTGGCATTATCTTTATAACAAGTGAAATCATCAAATCTTTGGAGACAACCATACCCTGCACGCCACCTCCAGACTCTCAGTGAACGGTGACAAATGTTAAGAGCACACTGTGTATAGCTGCAAACTTATATTTCATGGGGAGGTGATGTGGCGCCCAGTCCTTGAAAGCCAACATTGCGATATGTGGAGTCTTTGAAGTGGTCAAGATGAATAGCCCGACGTTTCACTGTCTATTTCTCCTATGAATATTCAGACTTCTTTCGGCATTGCAACTACTTGATCCTGTATGATGACTTGTTCAGCACTTACAGATGACCGTGATGCTCGTCCTGTCTCTCTTTGATAAGTTCCTGTCGAAAGCATCACGGCAATGCAAGAAACAACAGCACAAACCCACATTGTCTTTGAAAAGCCTTTGGTGTAAACCAATCTCTCATCAACGACTTCATCCAACCTCGTAGCCTCCTTTGCACGCATACTGCCTAGAATAGCAGAAGATGCTGCTATCCCAAGACTCCCACCCAACACTCTGGCTTGTGCCACTACTCCCTGCGCCACGGCAATATCGGCAGCTTCACACTGTGTCGCAGCCAACAACGTGGAGGTAGAGATCGACAGTCCCAAGCCCAAGCCCAGCGGTACCTCAAAGCCATAGGTCTTGGTTTGGATGCCATAGTGTTGTGTCAATGTAGACAAGAGACCTGCTCCAATCGCCATCATGCCATTGGCAATTGCCAGGGCAGGAAAAGAGCGTGTCTTAGAGGCGAAGCCGCCTAACATGCTCCCTATAGCTGCCGAGACCAGTAAAGGCAGTAAAGCTACTCCGGCGATGAGTGAGCTTGTTCCAGTGACGATTTGGAAGTGCAGAGGGAGAGCATAGATGGCGGTGAAGTTTACAAAGCCTGTGAGCATAGTGATCATAACCGTGGATATGTAGACACGGCGTTTGAGTAAGCGAGGAGGTAGGATGACTGAGATGGAGCGTTTTGAGGCGAAGACTTCCCAGGCGAAAAGAACACACCAGCAGAAACAGCCAACGAGCAAAGGTGCTAGAAACAGGGCTTTATCCCAAGAATGAGGTCTGAGGCCGGCTTCCTGGAAGGCAAAGACTACGAGAACAGAAGCGGCGACCAGGAGGAAAGAGCCAGGGAAGTCGAGACATTTCCAAGGAATGCGAGCAGGCTGCTTTACCATATCCCTAGTTGGCCAGGTAAGGAGAAACAGCGCCACCGAGACAGCAGCAATAGGACCACTGCGCAACATTAGCAGGTTTCTTCCAACCTCGAAACAACACTCCACAAACATACTTGATCCAAAACACCCACCTCCAAGTCGCAAACTTGGTAATCACACCTCCCACCACCGGGCCCATGACCCCAGCCACAGCAACGACCACCCCAAAAATGGCACCAATCCACTTTCTCTTGTCCTCGGCAACAATCTCTGGCATGACAATCATGGTCAACGAGTACAATCCACTTCCACCCACTCCCTGCACAGCCCTGAATCCAATCAACTGCACCAAAGTCCTTGCAAACCCACACGCTAGCGAAAAAGCAAAGAAAATAGTGAAAGCGAGCAGCCAGGCAGCGCGACGGCCAATGACATCGCTGAGATTGGCGAAAGGCACGGCAAAACTGAGGTAGGAGAGTGTGTAGGACAGAGCTACCCAAGTAACTGTATGTGGTGAAGAGAACGAAACACCGATATCATAGAGAGCTGTGGCTACGATTGAGGTATCAATTAGGGAGAGGAAGAGGCCGATACATAGGCTAATGACCATGAGTATGAGACGCCAGGTTGGTAAAGAAGGAGTTTCGGATATGTTCATAATTTCGGGCTGCTGGATCGAAGCTTCGGTAGTCTCAAGGGGTTGCTGTGATTGGAAGTCTTCCATGGTAATGAAGGAATGAGAAATATCAAAGGTAGTCTATCATTGAAAATGCCATGGCAAGATCAATGCATATATACATACTTACCAGCAGAGCTGTCAGACGGACATTACATTGCGCCTTGCACCTACCTGCCGTCCGTAACAAAATGATCTTGGAAAATTTCTATTAGAACACATTTGGATCCGAATACTGTTTTAGGAACCTTCTGCGAGCACAAGAGTTCAACACTGCGAACAAATGTTGTTACGGAGAGATTTTGAAGCCGACTGGGAGGTGGCTGAGAAACTTTACGGCCGTAAACCTTTGATGGTGGGTACTCCAGTAAGCGGCTAGGGACGACCTGCTGAAGAGGACCCCCTCCTATCGCGGGTTTCCTCGAATGTTCGATGACTCTGAGGGTATGACTGTGTCTTTTCTTGTGCGGTTTGAGCATGTTCATCTACAATGGTTTCAAGGATCGCCAACAGCTAAGAACACAATGAGTCAGTTCTTGGTAAGGAAAGAACGATACACAAAAATAGAGTTCTTTTCGCCGGACCTCCCAGAGGATTTTCACACAACAACAACAATGACCATGATCGAAACCCATCAAGTCCTAGAAATCGCAATTGTCTCCACAAACCCATCCAGATTCTCGCTGTAAAGCGCAACATCAACTCCATCCAATTGCACCGAATAATGCGTCCCAACCGTATTCAAAGCATAAATACTGACACCCTTACTACCCTCAACATCAGCAATATGGTTCTGACAAACCTCGCCATTACCTTGATCCGAGCAATTAGTCGAGTAATTGTCAAAGAAGGAATATAGACCCGCTCCGTAGATCAAGATATCGTTGGAGTCGATGACTCGTAGTCCCCAGGCATCTTCTGTGGGGATAGAGGTGTTGGAGGCAGTAAGATTTACAGCTGTTGCTACAGGAGCAAAGTAAGGATCGTTAAGACTCGCAACGTATGGGAAAGGCTCCGAAGCTGGAGGATTAGGTTGGTAGTATGGAGTTTCGGTTTGAATGAAGCCAGCGAACACGTTTGCGGCAGAGGAGAATTGGTATTGGTATTTGGTGTGGTGTTCGACTGCTGTGCCGATAAGCCAGACTGGCCCACTGCTTTCGTCGAGCAGGCCGCGACCCGCGTAGATGGTTAGTTGTGTTAGATTAGGGTCGTCGATGTCGTGGTCAGCTGTCCAGAGCCAGTTGTTTTCCATGTAGAAGCCTGATGCGCCAGAGGTGATGTGTAAAGACATGTATGCTGCGATGCAGTTCGAATTGACAGGCGCAGGAGGGGTGAGAATATTCGGTGTTGTTGGACACTCAGCAAGTTGCAAGTCTGAACCTGCAAACCCACCAATTCGTGTGTGAACATCCCAGTATCCAGATGGGTTACCTGGTGGTGCTGCAAGATTATGCTCAATCAAGACTGCGCCAGCCTGAGGACCTTGTGTCGACACTATCAAATCCGAGAGTTCAACTCTTCCCCATTGTTTGTTGAGCCCAACTCGCAAAACTGGCTGTGAAGAATTGATATTGTTGAAGAATTCGCCAGACGAGAAGATGACACTGTAGCTCTCACCAACGATCCTCGAGCCTGGTGGGATGTTGAGTGTGCGTGTAATCTTGTAGTCGCCATGATCTAGGAACAGAATCTTTCCTTGTATTGTTGCCAAGTTGACGGCAGCCTGCAGAGCATTTGTATCGTCTGTATGACCATCTCCTGTAGCACCAGCAGAGCGAGCACTAACGAAAGCTGAGACTGGATACTTCTGGTATTGAGGCTTGGCTTGAAAATAGTACTTCGACCCGGAAAGAAGTGATGCAGGCCTGACATTTGCAAGGAAAGTACTTTCGAAGTTTGTGGGTCCATTCGGAGTGTATTCGTGACCTTCTCCCCATGCGCTAATGATGGTTGAACCAGTTGAACCTGAAAGTGCCGTAACGCCACCAGCACCTTGAACAGCAATTGGTACGTTGTTGAGAGCAACATTCTCCAAAATCAGAGAACCACCGGCTGCGGGCTGAGAGGTCTCATTGTGTGCCGTCACAATGCCTAGCGGAGTATTACTGATAGTGCTGTCGATCAAGACCACCGATCCCACAGATTGGGCTGTCGAACCACCGGATGACATATTGATGCCGACAGTGCAGTTTTCGATGGTGATGTCTTGGTAAAGCCAGCCTAAAAATTCTTGATTAGAATATGTATCAACAGGATCAATCTGTTTGTATTTACCCCAGTCCCACAGTTGGTTGATCGCTGTTACCACATTTTTGAAAGTCAGTCTTGATTGCGTGAACTGCTGGTTGCCGTTCTAAAGCATAGCTATCAGCGACCGAGGATGACTTTGGTGATGGCGCCGAACGTACCTGTATACCATACAATCCACCATAAAAGGTCAAATCACCAATAAAACCACCAGATCCACTCTCGATGAAAACACCTTGATGCTGTGTACCTGCCTCTTGACTCATGTTAAAAGTAATAAACTGCAAGGAAGTAGCCTGAGCAGTTGGCCAATGAATCCCCGTCACTGACTCATTCGCAGGAACTAGCGTCGTATCAATCACAAAGTTTCTTATTTGTCGATAGAAAACATTGGTAGCGCCAAAACCAAGTCCATTGGCGCCATACTTGTCGCCATCGATGAGACCAAGTCCATTTGTTCCGGTATAGTTTGCAGAAGCCTTGATTGTAGGAACGCAATTGGGGTTTCCTATCATTTGGGTGTAATAATAGTCGATGATGGATGATGAAATCATATATGTGCCAGCAGGGAAATAGACTATTGCGGGTGTGGTGGTGGTTGAGCTGCAAGAACCTGGTGCGCAACGACCGCCTGAGCTAATGGCTGCTTGGATAGCAGCAGTATCGTCAGTCACACCGTCACCCTTAGCACCAAAGTCTTTGACATTGCGAAAGACTTGGTAGGTTGAGGGGCTAGGGTTAAATGCTGCAATACCCCGGTGTTTGATGTCCTCGAGCCAGTATGCACAAGCCGATGGTGCTGGACTATGGAAGGAATTGGGTGGATGTGTTGGATGAGGAATCGTTGGCCGTGGCCCATGATACCATGCTGAGAATTCAGACTCGATGGCAGATATATAGCGCGAGACTTCCGGAATATCCAGATGAACATGCTGAGCAGCTGCATGGCCGGCCAACAACAGGAGAATAGAGTTGATGAGCCTCATAGTTCAAGTCTTTTTTTGGCTTATTGGACCAAGTCTAGGGAACTGGACGTAGAAATCCAGGGGATGCACAATTTATATGGCCATCGAGGCCATCGAACAGTTCATTAAATCATCGAGATGCAGGGTGGTATCCCGTGACTGATAGACTCGTCCGCCTCGGCCACACGCCAAAGCTGAAGGTACAAAAGATGAAGATGCAGGAAGCTGCAGGGAGAATGCTAACCGACCCAGGTCCTGCAGTCTCCAGCTCCACTTGAGTCTTCTAGAGTATCTCCTAGGACTGAGCTGCATAACGGTACTTGACCAAGGAGCTTTACAGAAGGTTTCTTACATACCGTTCCGTTTCACGTCTGACTCAGCTGTGTCAAGACCATCAAGATCAAAGAGTCTCAGAAAAGCTTGTTCGTTGCAAGCATAATATAAAGCAGATCATGTATCCAGATGCATCATAGCTGATCTGTTGTACACGTCAACACGAAAGAAATCTTCAACATCCTGTCGGGAATATGGTAGCATAGTAACGTTGTAACACCTGAAGCGGAGGTCGCGATTCATTCGACAGTGTTTGTGACTGCCGGCAGAAGAGCGAGGGGAGGTTCCAACAAGGTGCAGCTGGATCCCCACACACGGGCCGTGAAAGAGCATCACGCGCTGCGGGTCTGCGGAGAAGACGCAGATGAAGGGGGCCATCACCCTATTAGGTAAACGCTGGGGCATCGAATTGTTTAAAGACCACTCACAAGAGAGGGGTATGTCACCACAAGATGTATGATGCGAATCTGGAAGGTTGATCAAGAGCACCTGCGCAAAGTCCATCTCCGACCTGCACACTCCGAACGAAGTCACCTGTAGAAATGCACAAAGTAATTTTGATATTCTCCCTTGCCAGAGAAGCAAGAAAAGAATCGTGAATGAGACGGACTCTCAGTGGATATTCTAACTCTCTACAATACAATTCTGCATTTCGATAGCACTCCAAATCACTCTCTTTCATACCAGGAGCAACATACCTGCCTAGATCATCTCAGCCTCGTCATTATCTTCCTCTCCTTCACTTTGCCAGTCCACTTCGTTGTCAAGCTCCTCGGCCCTTCTTTGTACTTCCGCCAAGCCTGATACCTCTTCGACATAGCCTTTCTCATTGATTGCACGCTTTACAAAGTCCCACCCCTCATCATTGTAGAGTAAAAGTATCGTAGGAGAGCAAGCTGAGCAACAATCATATGCCTGCCCTCTGATAGTGAGGGTACGCCAATCTGTGAGGAAGCCGCGAAGTGAGTGAGGTACGCTGCCTAATGGATGGTCGGGATGCTGCGCTTGAGGGTTATTGATAGGAGGGGCAGATGCGGCCGCTTTGTCTGGATGTTGCAATATCGAGACAAGTAACTCAACTGCTAATGCTGATGCAATGGCTGCTACACCAGGACGAGTAACGGTGCATTGTTGATCAAGCGTGGCTGATTTGAGCGAATTGGCAGGTGCAACGACATCGTTACAGAAGTAACAACCTAGTTGTTCTTCTTTTGGCTGTGAGGAGACTCCATGTCGCATGACCATGTATGAATCGAAACCAAGAGCAGCGTTCAAGACGATCTTCCCCGCTGCTTTGCCCATGACTGTTGGTAACCAACGCGATTCGCGCGTGTCCATCAGGATGAAGATTGCATCGTGGTCTGAAATAAGCTTGTGTAGCTGGTCAAACTCGGCTTTGACTTTCTTGTCATCCATAATGGGATGCCCGGCCATAGGCACTGACAACGAATGGCTGGCGGCGTTGACACCGGGATAGATACGTTTCAGCGCTTTGACAGCTGTTTCGGCCTTTGGTGAACCACCCTTCAGACAATCGTTGAAGTCAAAGAGAGGCTGTCTCACGGGGTTGCTGAAACTAACCCGGCCATTGTCGACAATGGTTATGTTCCTCACACCCCAACCCATAAGATTGCGTGCGACGTAAGAGCCTAGGGTACCTGCACCTAGCAGAAGACACTTGGTTTCCTTGATGATATCAAGGTCGATTGAGGGCGCGATGCGCCATTTGATCAGCTTCAGATTCAGGTCGACTGCTTGATCAGCAAGGCGAGTAGGATCCATATAGGCGCCCATATCAATGGTGCGGGAAGTGTTCCTGGACCTTGTATCTCGCTCCCAACCTGTGATCTTTGGCATGGGGCCACGTTCTGACGGTGGTATTGATCTTGGTGTAGGTGATGAAGCGGGCGATGAAGCGTCGCGACTTTCAGGCATTGATGGGAAAGTTGCCATGTGGTCGCCTTCAGTAGGCTTGACAGACTCGGCCTTGAAGGAGATGCTGTGTGGTTGCTCTCGTCGAGCGTGCGTGTCGCGATAGCACATGATCTGAAGTTTGTCGAGCTTCCATCGTTGACGAACAAGAACAAGTAAATTTCTCAGCATCCAACCAGGATTTGTCTCAAAAGTCGAGGGGTCGGCGAAGCAAATATAGCGATCATCGGGGTCGACATTGTTGAAGAAGCCAGTCTCGTAATTTGCCAAAGCACCAATTTTCCAACGGTAATCGAGTGTGTTGCTAGGCTCGTTGTCGTGGTGGTCGTGCTCAAAGTCTCGGTCATCGGGTTCATCGAGTGGGGTATGTGACTCATGGTCGTCGTCTAGGTCGGCCCCTCTGATCTTTTTGGCCAGGAAGAAACCATGCTGTCTTGTATCTACACTGTATCTCCATGTTTGTACCTTGTCGACCAACTCGACTGTCTCTTGTGGTGTGAGCTTTTGAGCAGTTGAACATGTCCAGGTTGGGTCTGAGTGCAAGGCTGGGTATGCGAACTGGTATGTGAACTTGAATTTTTTGAGATCGGCATAGCAGATGGCTGAGAATGATGATAGCAACGAAGGGCACGAGAAGATTGTTCCATCGTTAATGGCGTCCCAGATGGTTCGACCAGCGCGTTCGATGTGGGCAGCCTTGTCGACTTGCTTGTATTCGTCCATGGTATTGAAGTTGCGAATGTAGCCTTCGCCGCGATAGAAGCCGGCGGGGACACTGCACCTTACATTAGCTACCATCATCATGGACAGTGTGTCAGGCGTAGGCATACTGGTCCTGGGTCAAGGCTTGGTTATGAACCTGCATGCGAGCACTACGCTCTGGTGGATCCCTGGTTTGAATCTGGTATACACCCAGCACCCTGCGTGCTGAAGAGTCCAAGCGATCATGATTGAGCTTGAGGTTACCAAGGGCTGAGTAGAAGCCTAGATCGATTTCGGACGTCCATGGCGCAAACTTGAGCGGTTCCATCATGGTTGTTTGTCGCGTTGCGGGGTGCTTCGTCTTTGCGCGCGGTCGCTATTGATGTTCGTAGTCCTGCTTGCTATGGATATGAGATAACTTTGCGTGGAAGATGATGTTAAGGGTGAGAACGACGATGTTTACGGTCGTAGCAAGTGACAGTCACGGTGGATCATTAGGACGGCAGTCGTGACCTGCTGAGTGATGCTCCTTCACTTGTGACGTTGGTCTGGGTCGCGCTTTCTCTGACTGAGACCGTGCGCCTGAACTGGAAAGCGCGACCTTCGGCCCAAACATGCGAAAGCTCCTTTCCCCATTCTGGTGCCTTTGTGCTGAGCATCTTGTGGTAATTCAAAAATTGATCATTTGGGAAGAGGCTTCCGCAGAGACCAAGAGATAAAGCCAATCATGCTCATTGGCATATGTGGCCGTAAGTAGACATGTGACACTTTCTCTCCCCTGCCTTCTAAACAAAGTCAACAGCGATATGTGCGGGCAAAGCAACCGTAGCAGACTATCTGATCAAACAACACAACTTCACCCCTCTCACGATCAAACGGAACGATGAAACTCCTGCAATCGAAAAGTCTGCAAATTTCGCTCACTGGACATCTGCCGCACTCGAGTTTCCTACAGCTCTGTTGCTCGATCAATATGTTTCTGAGAACTGGAGAGAAAATTATGTCCTGACCACTATCTGGAATGAAGCTATCCTTGATACGTTGGCTAAGCGACCTCACTTCATCTTGCTGAGCATCGATGCTCCTATCAGCGTGCGATGGCAGCGCTTCCGTGAGAGATGTGCTCAAGAGAACAAAGAAGCCCCAGCCCTGGACGACTTTGTCTTGCGTAACGATGAGCACCTCTACGACCCTTTATCGAGTCTGGCTACTCTTTCGTCCAGAGCTCAGATCAGAATCTTGAACCCGACTACCACCATTCCTCAGCTGCAAGCTTCGCTCGATGCTTTGAATCTCCTCGACCCTGCCAGGATGAGGCCTACCTGGGACCAGTACTTCATGCAACTCGCTGATCTTGCTGCTCGACGGAGCAATTGCATGAGGAGACAAGTCGGCTGTGTCCTTGTCCGGGGCAAGCGTGTCATCAGTACTGGCTATAACGGTACTCCAAGGAATGTCACCAATTGCAACGAAGGAGGCTGTGCTCGTTGCAATACTAGCAAGGGAGGCGGCACTGGGCTCAGCACATGCTTGTGTCTCCATGCAGAAGAAAATGCACTTCTCGAGGCGGGACGAGAGCGCGTTGGCGATGGCGCTGTGCTATACTGCAATACGCAAGTCTCTCTAATGCCTGATATTACTGCCCGTGCTGACTGTCGTAGCTGCCCTTGCTTGACTTGTAGTGTGAAGATTGTCCAGGTCGGCATTACCGAGGTCGTCTTCAGTCAAAGCTACCACATGGACACCCAGGTATGTCGATTATTTTGCCTTTTAAACTCACGACTGACCGTATATCAGAGCGCAAAGATTTTCAAAGAGGCGGGCGTACATCTGCGACAATATGCTCCGGTAAGCACCTAGACACCTCCAAAAGTTCTCGCACTAACACCGAACAGCCACGAGAGGGTCTCGTCAACCTTTGTGACCTTCGTATCGCGAAATTTGATCAAGCATGAAGAATGAATTGATCAGGAATGCTCTCAACATCGATTGATTGACTTCTGCAGTAGAACCATAAATTACCAGAACAGAAGCGATGGTGGAATAGGAACTGGTCTTATAGTGTGACTGAGAGAGGTCCATTCTGAGAGCTCTTCTGGATATGAGCCTTCGAGTTCCGGAAGAGGCTCTGCCAGATGAAGGCCTCGCTGAGAAGGAGCTCGATGTCTTTCTCATTCCAACCGCGGGTTGGCAAAGCTTGCAAGAACATCATAATCTCTTGGAAATCCATCTTGAGCAGCTGGTCGGACCATTTGACCAGAAAGGCGGCGCAGACATAGAGATGGAAATGGGAGAACCCTTGGTCCTCCGCCTGTCAAACGTTAGCTTGATCCGAACTCTGTACTGACAATTAGAAACATACCAAATACGTATCCCACATTCTGATGGTGTTTCTCACGCTAATCTCGCGCATGAGCAAGCAATTCATCCATCTGAAACTGAATTGTATAAATTCTACTCCTTCATTTTCGAGGTGCTTCGCCAGATTGCCGTCAATGCGCGTAGTCAGATCTCGAAGACTAGCCACCTGTCGCTGGATACCAGGCTGTGCATGAATATAGTTGTCCTGGATGCCATCAAGAAGTTTGGTAAGGCACCAGAATGTATCGGCCTCGACAGCGTCCAAAACTTGTTTGGGTAGTTGTCCAGGATCCATGCCAAACTCGATGTCTGGATCCGTGATGTACATTCCAAGGAAAACTTGCCAGAATGGCGAGACCAGATCGTTGATTCCTTGGACGTAGCCACTCGCGGGGTGGCGGATAGCCCAAACGTACAGTATCCGCTCCAGAGACCTTTGTGTTGCTTCGAAACCGTACAGCTCAAGGTGTGGATTCGTTCGTGGTACGTCGATGCTGATTTGATGCCAGATGGCCTCGTCCAGCCCGCGACCCTTGCCTCGTTGAGTGGCTGGTGATGACGAGATTCCGCCGATCCCAATGACAGACTCGGCCTCGTTTGTGGACGTGCCCTTTTCGAAGGCCTGTCGCACAGCTTCCAAGTATTCATTCCTCTTGCGCTCCAGCGTAGTCACTCTCCTGTCGCTATTTGTCGGAAGGTAACCAAGTAGGATCTGCCATGACATGGCTCTGACTTCTTCGGGCAATCCAGACCAAGCAGAGTCGCGTAGCTCGGCCAAGTTGATCGATGAAGCTTGTAAAATACGTTTGAACTTGTTGATGCGAGTAATGCGAGCTGAGTGGGCTTCGACTTCTTTCGGAGAGGCGTTAAGTGGTGCAGGTGCGTGATTTATTAGGTGGAGAGCATTTGCGGGATCCCTAAGGATGTCCTTGTATTGTGGTCGCAAGATCTTGCCGTCAGAACGCTTCGTAGTAGGATAACTTGGTAAGCTGCGTTCTTCGGCAATGTCACCATTGTTCATGGACCATGAAGCCAGTGTCGCAGTAGCTGACGGGACGGTGGTCAAAGACGATTGCGAGCCCCCTGGATCTCTCTTCTTCTTTGCGATTTGTTTTTTCCCTTTCCTCCTCATGCTTGCTATGCTCGGTAGGCCGAATTCATCTTCATCTTCGTCAAAGTCCAAAGCTTCTTCATCTTGCGGTGGATCATAGCTCTTAGTTGATTCGCCAAAAAAGTTAGAGTAGGAGCGACGTGGGCCTGGAGGAGAGAGACTGGTCGAGGACTTCAAAGGTGGTCGGGTGTCGCGCGAGGGCGGTGTGTGTGGACGTGGTGTGCTGCTGTTGGATATGTTCCTGGGAGTACAGTCAGATCAGAGGTCCAGTAGAGAGGCGTGTTAAGAGCGTACAAGTTGTCGAAGTTGAGGATGTCTGCGTGAGAGTATGAAGCTCCAAAGACCTTCCTCTCACCAGCGAGACTGGTTTCACGCTTGCTATTCGAGGATGAAGTACGCCAGAAAGGTGAGGCAGACCTGTAAAAGGATGGTCAGATTGGCTGTTACAGCATCAAGAGACCGGACGTATTCATACTCGGACCTGTCTGAGACGCGCAGGTATACCAGTTAGCTTGAGGGAGAGCAGTTGTGGGGAAAGCACGACAGGGTCATGAGAGGAGACGAACCGACCTGAACCATTTCCTGAGAGCGGAAGGTTAGCATTGCCATGGTGAATAGAATTGATGCCAGAAAGATACCTGCTGCAGCTTCTTGGAAGCCATTTTATGCCGAAATTAGCAAATGAAGCAGTCGAGTACTTGAGTCGAGATGAGACGATTGTACAACAAACGGCCACCCACATCACTCGAGCATGGGGCGCCAATGACGCGCTCCATAGCGAACGCAGCCACTCTCGTACGCGGCGTCTGACGACTCGAGTATTGAAAAGGTTTCAGGCTTGTTGCAAATGTCATAGAGCTTCTATCTAGTTTTGGGTGCTCAATACAGAGAGGCCTATGGCCGCTCTGCGACTACTTCAACTCTCTCTTGTACTTTGATAAACAAAGTTGCCGTCTCGCCGCAACACAGAAATCGGCTTGCGACCAGTAAGAGAAGGAGCGACGCGCGGTAAGCAGATGCCGCACGGGACATCTTCGGAAGTGACCTCGTGGAGTGATTGCAGCGCGCGCGTTGCCTTGGCCGCCGATGAGACAGACGAAGCTTTGCAGCTGCTCTGACTTCTCACTCCAACGACTCTCAAACGACGACTCCTTTCACCCCGAGTCTTCTTCATCTTGTCTTTCGCCCACATCTGACCTTCCTTTGACCTTCTCCGCACATTCTCCTTTCATACTAGCAGTTCACGTCGCTTGCGACGCCCAGACGACCCCTCACCTATAGCAAACATGGCTGATTACAACGAAGAAGAGGATCTGTTCGCCGACCTGTACGTCTCCTTCACCTTATAACTCCCCGCCCATCATGATTTTTGACATCTTCGCTAGCTACGAGGGTGACGACGCCGCTCCTTCGGCTCCAGCTGCTCCCGCAGCAGCTCCCGCCCCTACCACTGTTGAAACCGCCGTCGCCGATCAGACTGAGTCGATACCCGTCTCGTCAGAACAAGCTCCCAAGTCAGAGCCCATCGCAAACGGATCCAACCTACCCGCCGAACCCCAATCATATTCCAACGATGGCTGGAACGAACAACAGCAGCAGGGCCAGCAAAACTGGGATTACAACAACCAGAACCAAGGTAACGACTATGGCGCTGCTCAGCAGATGAACCACGGCGGAGCTGCCGATGATGACTATAAGCCCATCGGCATCAAAGAAGACGGGTAAGTCGTGCCGCTTTTCTTTTGTTATCCCCATCTCAGGAAGTATACATATACAAGACATGATGCGCACTGGAATTAGCTGGAACTTGCATCATTGGCAACCTGCTGGGTCAGCAGACGATCCAAAATACTGCAATACGTGATGCGACAAGCATGTATGCTTGGACTGCCCTATGCACAGGCACAAGTCAAGGTGACTCAGTCATCGGCGGTCCTGTTTTCACCATTATCTATTCTCTCAAGCATCTCATCTGGTGTTTGTTGAGCGCTCTTACATTGTGGCCTTGAAGGCATGGATTGAGGAACTACATGGCTCTGAACCAGATATGGAGAGCGGCGTCGGGAGTTCGCCAACTCAAAGAGCAAGCATTATGCAGCCATTTACATACCTCGGCAAGACCAATCAGGCAATATATATCAGACAGAGGCAGGAGATTCAAGATCGTAGTGGTACGTTGTATGACGGTCAAATCACCATCTGAACCCATCTAGCCAAAGCCTATAGCTATTTAGCTTCATGTCGATAACTCTTCATAGAGCCTAGCTAAAGCACGGAATTCGATGGCTGCTGTTTGTCTGACGTATCAAGGGCTTTGCCCCGGTCGTTCAGCGCAGCAAGCGATTCTCCAGACCATTTCTCAAGACACGCACACCACTACCATACTCGACCTAAACTTGATCTTGCCCTGCTGTGCGATCCGAAGCATTACCGACAACAGTATTCACCTGCGTTATAATATCGTGTCTCTAATTCATTTGAGGCTCGAAAAATTATCTTGGAGCTGCCTGTTCGACCGCTTGGATTTTGCACCCAAGCATTCCGGAACCTCAAAGAATATCGCCTGCTCCTCTGCGCAATCATGTCTTTCTGGAACCACAACACACAAGATGCACCTTTTGACAAATAGCTAACGTGAATTTTTTGACAGTAAAATGTTCATTGGTGGTTTGAACTGGGAGACAACAGATCGTGAGTCCTCCTGAATTCTTGTGCTATCCGTCAATTGTATACTGATGTTTGCATCTTTGCAGAATCACTTAGGGAGTATTTTTCACAGTTCGGCGAAGTTACAGAGTGCACTGTCATGCGTGACGGCGCAACTGGACGTTCTCGCGGATTCGGTTTCCTCACTTTCAGAGACCCCAAGACCGTCAACATCGTCATGGTGAAGGAACACCAGCTTGACGGCAAGATTGTGAGTCTATCTTTCACGTCTATCATACCAGTAACTAATCATGCCACAGATCGACCCCAAAAGGGCTATTCCTCGCGACGAGCAGGAGCGTACTAGCAAGATCTTCGTTGGCGGTGTCTCGCAGGAAGCCACCGAGGCTGACTTCAAGAACTTCTTCATGCAGTTTGGTCGTGTTCTGGATGCCACTCTGATGATGGACAAGGATACCGGTCGTCCTCGTGGTTTCGGTTTCGTCACCTTTGACAGTGAGGCTGCTGTTGACAGAACTCTTGAACGTCCTTTGGAGATCTTGGGCAAATACATTGAAGTCAAGAAGGCTCAACCCAGAGGCAACCTGCGCGGTAACGACGATAACGGCAACAACGGCGGCTTCAAGAAACAGGGTTTCGGCGGCCAGCAGGGTGGCTTTGATCCCAGTCAGCAAGGCGGTATGCAACAGGGCGGTCCTGCCGGTATGGGAGGCAACAACATGAGCCCGGCCATGATGGCTCAGTACTGGCAGCGCATGCAACAGTATTTCCAGATGATGCAGCAGCAGTTGGCTTCCAGCATGGGTGGAGGCGGCAACCCAATGATGGGCGGTGGTGGCATGAACCCTCAGATGATGCAGCAGATGATGGCCATGCAGCAAGGAATGGGTCAAGGTTAGTTGCTTACTACTTCTTTGTGCTCATCATGAATACTAACAAGCTTCTTCACTCAGGCGGCATGAACCCAGCCATGATGCAACAGATGCAACAAATGCAGCAGCAGATGCAAGGTGGTGGCCCCGGTAACTCGAACAGCCCAGCACCTTCCAACAACCCCATGTCTCCGATGAACGGCGGACCCGGCCAGCGCCCTGCCTACAACGCTCAAGAACAACTCGCCTTTGAGCAACAGAAATATGAACGTCAGCAACAGCAGCGTGGTGGCATGTCAGGTGCATCTGCCACACCCAACAGCAGCAACGGCTTCCAACCTTCTGGCTCACCAACAAGCTGGGAGGGCATGTATGACGACGTTCCTGCTCCCAACCAGGGCGGCGGTCCTGGCAGCAACACCGGTGGCTTTGTCCCTCGCGGTGGCTTCGGTGGCAGAGGACGCGGCAGAGGAGGCCACGCTGGTGCGCCTGCTGGTCCTTCGAACGCACCTGCCAATGCTCCTACGGGACCTAAGAACGCCGGAAGACCTGGCGCCAACTACAGAGGTGGTGGTAGAGGTGGTCACCGTGGTTTCCACCCTTATGCTCGCGGCGGCGGTGGTGCCTAGAAGTACACCATGTCTGGTTGAGCTTTGGGAAACTTTTACAAGGCCCTTGAAATCACAATAAATTCCTCTTCGGTTCGCCTCCCAGCTTCAGCATCGGGAAGAGCTGTACAGCTTGTTCTTTTGCCTTTCATAGCTTCCCGTCGACTTTCAGGAATTGGCGCATGGAAAAAGTGCAGGAAGGTTTGAGCTCTGCGAGAGAAAGATCAAAAACACATATCAGGTACCAACATCACAGGGAAGAGGGAAAAGGCGTACATTGAGGGGGGAAGGCTTCCCTTCGTTGGCATGGCAAGCATCTTTTGCACTTTCTCTCTGCTCTTTTTGCTTTGTCAACAAAATTTTACAAATGAACATATGAGATATGCCAAAAGGAATTTTACCAACGTGCTATGGTTCATCCGTGCTGCCCACTTCACTCGAGTGTGATTTGCTTGTATCAAGATGTGTTTGTTCTTTCTATCTAGTCGTATACAAGACCGTGCTGTCAAACCGAATTGCCGGGCTCATAAGGCTGAATGCCGGGTAATATCCATCGAATGACCACAAAGCCTCGCTTGTAACCTTTTCTGCATGTCTTTGCGACTTCATGCCCTAATATTCGCTTTTGCATGGAACATTATACATATCCGTGCTTGACGGAAGATCATCCAGTTGGTGGATGTTTCGGTCTGCGCCCCGCAACTTCTCCATCTTCTGCTCCATGCCCCATGTTCTGGAAGCGGCTGCGGAGAGGAGTAATATAGAAACAAGGTGCATGTACCCGAGCACTCGCTCTACCACATGCCTCTTCTCTAACAAGTATAATAAGACCGGTAGGTGCAGCCCCGAGCAATACTCCCTACCACCATAATCTGATTCTGCGTTTCCATCATGCCTTCGGTGATTTCCATTGCGTCTGCCGCACTGTTGTGTCTATCAACAGCGACTGCCTCACCCTCCAAGCCGGTTCAAACTCAGGCTGTCGACCCTTTCTTCTACAAGGGCTTTGATTTGTCTTCTTTGCATATCCTGGAGCTCGGCAACGTCACTTACAAAGACACCGCCAAGGGCAATGCAACCAGGCCTGCTGAGGATATCCTCGGTGATGGCGGGATGAATACCGTAAGATTGAGGTATGTGCAACCTAGTTGGCGCCCCTTTTTGAAAAGCTAACTCAGGGATGTGATAGGATTTGGGTTAACCCAGAGCCTGGACAATACGACCTGGCATATACACTATCTCAAGCCCAGCGATTTGCCAAAAAGGGCTATCGCATCTATCTCGACTTTCACTTCTCAGACACCTGGGCAGATCCCAATAAACAGTATACACCAGCCGCTTGGACGACAAGCAGTGTGTCTGCTTTAGCAGCTGACCTCCGTCATTATGTCAAAACCACGCTTTTGGCGTTCAAGGCTGGCGGCGTTGATCTCTCACTCGTGTCCCTTGGTAATGAAATTCGCCATGGTATGCTCTGGCCTACTGGCTATGTCGACGTCGATACCTCGCCCACTTCTGCACGCATCGCGAACTTTACCTCTCTGGCCAAACTATGGTCCTCAGCCCGCAAAGGCGTCGACGATGCCGTCAGAGCCGGCGTCAAGAAACCCTCGGTCATGATCCACATCGACGACGGCTGGAACAAAACCCTCCAACTAGACTGGTTTGAAGCCCTTACCGGTAGTGGAAAAGTCAAGACCTCTGACTGGGATGTGTTTGGCTTTTCCTTCTATCCATTCTATGGTACGGATGCCACTTTGGCCAACCTCAAGGATACACTCGATGCTGTGGCTACCAAGTATCAGAAACCCGTTCATGTGGTGGAGACGGATTGGCCTGCTATTTGTGATGGGGCTTCTGCGCCAGAGCTGAGCGATACTTCTGTGCCCATTAGTGCTGCGGGTCAAACAGAGTGGGTAAGAGATATTGTCAGTGTAGTTCAGGGCGTTGCCGGTGGTTGGGGCAAGGGTGTCAATTATTGGGAGCCTACTTGGCTGAACAATACGGGATTGGGCAGTGCTTGTCAGGATGCGATTTTGTTCTCTGGTGATTGGAGTGGGTGGCCGAATAAGATTGTTGGATACTCGAGATCGAGTGTTGATATGTTTGCTGGTAGATAGATGCCAAAACTCACTGCCCGTGGCACTTAGAAGTAATCCGATGGGGAAGGTCCGATCGTGCTTTTAGACACTGCTCTCATATGGGCTGCATCGAATTAGCGACCATTGCTGCCTCGTGCCTACTCGGAGTGTCGTCCGACCGCTTGTACCAAACGTCTTTTGATCCGCCATCTTTCTCACCATCAGCGTTGCCATGATGTACATCTTTCTCTAGATTGCCTCTGCGCTTGGCATCGTTTTCCGAGATTTCGGATGGGAGCAAAGATAAGGGGTACGAAAGGGCGATTATGGGGCCAATGTAAGGGTCAGAAACATGTGCCCTCCCCATGTGCTAAAGACAGTTACAATATAGCTGTGCAACTGCACAATACTTTTACAAAGAGTGTGATTCCAATGGAGAGGCCCCTGGGCCCTTGTTCAAGGTAATCCCAATGGCTGGGGTTGTGTTCGAACCACAATCGTGCATTTCATCAGCTTATAGGAAGCCTTATACCTCGAAGTAGAAAAGGGGTTGGACTAACTTATGACTTTCTGCACATGGGCAGGTCAGACATTGAAGGCACGGCGCCTTGCATACCTCCTACGCCTGCGCGTATCGGATCTCAGCAGAAGTGCAAGTACATTCAATGATCGCATCGCTAGACAACTTATCTTGAGCCTTGCATCTCGTGACGGAGAAGGACTCAGTTGTGAGATCATGACACTCCTCAGCTCACACAGAGAATCTGCATGGCAAGGAGTAGATACAGAAGCTGAGCATCTAGACATAGATATAGCAGAATGGCCCAGCTGTGGTGCTGAGCGCATCCTCAATCAAGATACCCTCAGCATTGACGCCCAACTCAATCACATCATCCAATCTCGTATTTCTGGATGGTGGGCTGTTGTTCAAAGTAATGGTTCCAGCCAAAGAGTTGTTACCCTTGGCAGTACTGCGGTTCTCCGGATCTTGGTTCTGCCAGATCCACCAGGTACGATCGATCTGTGCATGATGGAGCCAAAACCAGGGGTCTCCTGGCGATGAGAAGATATCGCCACCGGGGTCGCCGCCGACCCAGAAGTGACCGGCTGTGTGTACGTCCAGCAGGCCTGCTGCAAAGTCGCCTTGCATGACGGTTTGGAAATCTCCAATGTATGTGTTTTGTCTGATCAACGCTGTACTATTGGCATCTGTGGAAGCGATACTGGCGGCATAGGCACCAATATCACGTCGCAGACAGCGAGGGTTGTAGCCCAAGCCATCAGGACGGGGGTTCGTAGGGACGTCGTTGAACACAGGCGAAACGGGACCAAGATTGACAGTCATGTTCTTGAAAGGTCCAGTGGTAACGCAACCACCCCCAGGACCTGCAGGGAGTTGGATGAAAGGACTAGCTGCACTGGGGATCGAAGCACCGGTATGGTTTCTATACATGCCATTTGCAGAGATAGAGTATTCGCTGCCGTCAAAAAGGGGAGCATTCAGCAGATCTTCAGCATACTTTCCCCAATTCGCGTAGGGAATGTGACCATCATAGCCGCATTCAATGCGAAGGGCTTCTTCGAAAGTATGGATATAGTAACGGTGCCAACTGAGGAAGTTTTCCGTACCATGGATGGTCAGAGTTTGGTTGATGTGAGTTGCAAGAAAGTCATCGTAGCGTGATCTTGCTCCTGGAGCGAGGTTGCCGCTTATTGCTGGTTTTGACTGCAGGCACAGTACAGCATCGATATACTTCTTCTTCTTGGGGTTCGAGAGGGTGCTCCTGTGTGTTGTTAGCACGTGGTTAAGACCAGAAATGATCCGTGAATGCATACCACTCCTGGCGCACAACAGCTGTTTCCAAGGTGCAATTGCTTTGCCCTCGATGCTTGTGAAGATACGTCTTCAGCTTTGTCATGCCATGGTCGTTGAACCTGTCTGTTCCGGACGTCGATGCTGGAGTGAACGCCGTAGCATTGACGCACAGCAGAGACACTGTCCCAAGCAGACCAATGTGCATGTTTCAAGTAATCCGCCGCGTTTCAGCTCGAAGATGATAACACGAGATGTGAAAAGCGACCCAGGAGTGTATGTGTGATATGCCCTACCAAAAAGGTCAGAGCAGACGGCCGCTGTAATATAAAGCAGAAAGTAGGATGCGGGATGAGTGGCAGGTCGTCTAAGCTCACTGACACATCCCTGGTCGATACTATTCCTGCCATGGAAATCTCTCTATACCCTTGTCAATATTCCCTCCAATCGTTGCTCACGCATCTGGTTGCACGTGGATGTCTAAACAAACAAGCATCTCGAGACTTGACGACCTGCATGAACGAGCCCTGTGCAACGAATGCGTGTTCACAAGTATGTAACGCACATAGCCATGGAAATGTATGATACTACTAGGAGACTAGACACTTCTCCAGAGAAGCAACTAAGAATGGACTCTCTATGGACAGCATTTGTGTCCGCATAAGATTGTGCCGTAACTTACTTATTGTTATGGTCGGAGTATGAGAGAAGTCACATAATTTAGTACACGAGGATGCGAAATAGCAGAGAGCTAAGCAACCCGCAATTAATCTATTTGACTTGAAGCACATACCATGATAGGCACAGACGGACGTGTCAACCATAAGGTTCGCATATTGGCACGTGTGTAAGCTTTTGGCAGATCCTTTGGCAGACATGTTCACCGCTTTTCGCTTATCTTGATGAAACATGTCGCATTTGTCTGACTTACAGTACAGCAGACAGATATGTATCTACTGCTTGAGGCAGACAGTACATAATTTATGACTGCGCGCACGTGCTCTGCTTCAATCCTTCATTCTCAGAGACTTGGCCGTCTGTTTTGAAGTTCTGGATGGAGGGATGCTGAAACAACCTTCGGAAGCCCTCAAAAACCCACAACCAGGTCGACTTTACACGACGAAGACGTTCTGTGTGTCTTATATCGTTCGCAATCGAGGGTGATCAAGCGTGAAGCATGTCGATACAAATTTGTCTTGGTCAATGAGGTGACCCTGATCAAATTTTATATATCGTACAGAGACCAGATCTTGCAGTACGCGTAGAACTTGTCGAGACCAGGCGTGAGATATCTATGTTGCTCGACATACTTTTCAGTGATAGGCAGTTTGTTGAATTAACCGAGGAAATGTCGCTCCTTCGGTATCATGGTGATGGTTCATGATATGGCTCCAACATTGGTAACAGACCAGAAAGTAGTGAGCCACAATTTGGTCTGCTGGACGATCTGATGCTTGGAGGTAGATTGAGTCCAGGCCTCTGATGTTGCCGTTGTGGGCGAGCGATATCTGTGTCGCAACATACTTGGTTGCATACGAACCTTGTGAGGATGGCTTAGTGCTGATAAGACTATACGGCTGATCTGCCCACCGACGGAGCATGGTTGCAGCCGTGATATAATGAACTGACCGGCATTTCAAACACCGAACACAAGAATCAAACTCGATCCATTCTTAGGCATCAAGCATGATTGTACCGTACGGATGAATGAATCCTGTCAGCAAATCGCTATCGTCACTGCTTATCCATGAGAGGCACACACCAGGTGTAGTCGGGGTGAGGTTCGCCCGAAGGCTTTGTTGTCGACCCCGCTTCCTCCGCTACCCCCCGTTCCCGTCCTCAACTCATTGGCAGAGTACTCTACGATGGGCAAGGTCGTCGAATCAGTCTGCAAACATCTCGCCGTCGTTCTTAGCGATGTTCGGAGCTTCGGTGTCACGGAAGCCCAAGGGCCTGTCGTCGACGAGTGTTGGCAAGATACGCCGCAGCAGGCCACGGTGAAAATACGCCGATGGTCCTACTTTGTACCTTGACCTCTGGTTGGCGATATTGTGTATATAACCAGCTAAACAAGATCTCTCGAAACCACTAAATCATATCAACACATCAAGCACCAGAGACCAAACATCAAAGATCAAACATCAACCAACAAAGAACACGCAACGAATATGAAGGTCCTTCTTGTCGGCGCAGCTGGAAACCTCGGTCAGCGACTTGTTGCTGCACTGCTTACACATGGACACGAAGTCGTCGCATATGTTCGTTCCTCCAACAAACTCGAAGCCCTCCTTCCAGCAAGCGTATACACCAAGATTGCTGTGGTTGAGGGAAATGCCACAGACACGGCCTCCATTAAGCGTGCTATACTTGAGAACGATTGCGAAGCTGTCGTCAACACTGCTGGTGTAGCAGCCATGCCGCCTTGGAAGAGAAACAACCTGCCAGAGATCTTCTCCGCCGTCCTCAAAGGCACGCAACAAGCTGGATCAGAAAGAAACCATCCTCTGCGGATCTGGCTTCTCGGTGGCTTGGGCGTATTGAACTTTCCTGGCACAGAGATCATGCTCTCGAACTAGTAAGTCAGACATAGTCCGTGTGCTCATCGTACTTCGTCCATAGCAAAGAGCAGAGTGTATACTATCCAAAGACACAATTGTATTCGGAAGCAGGGGCGCGTCCGTTGGAAGCCCGCAAGGTGTTGCTTCTCAGATTACACTGTTCTGATTCCTGATGGAATTGTGCATTTTGATAGTCACATGCGCTACAGACTTGAGCATACAGGAGGCTGCATCCCAAGCATGCACAAGAGGCTAACAACTTCCAGCATCCCCATCTATCTCGAACATCGTCAGAACATCAAGCTCCTCAGAGCTTTGCCACCTCACTCGGTGGACTGGTCTCTGCTTTGCCCCAGCAATATGACAGCCGAGAACGCCGAAGTCAGCGTGCCGGCGAAGTCCATCCACCATAAGTTGACGGCCGAGGCCGCGTCGCCACCGTTGTGGAGAGACTCATGGGTAAAACACATTCCGCTCCTCGGAAAGGCCATCTTGGCTGGCATGAACGCTCCAAGGTACGAGACCACTCTGGAGCAGAACGCCGATTTCATCGCAAACGACTTGAGAGACCGCGAGAGCCGTTGGATTGGGGCAACAGTTGGAGTCATCAATGCGGCGCAGGCGAATTAACCTAACTTTCTATGCTCATACAATAATAGCATACGGTTTAAGGTTTCGATAACGTTGAGACAAGAGATTCATTGACGTAGGTTGATGATTCAAGCACGCGACACACAACCATCTGGGAAGTGAACTCATGGATCGTTGGTCTTGGCGAGGTCTGCTGGAGATTGTAATCAGGTACACCATACTCGGTTGCCCGGCTGATGGCGATCTGGAGGTTGTCAAATCGAGCAGTGGTAATGATAGGTAATAGTAATGAAAGATCCTGCTTTTGTTGTTGATTGTTGTGGAGTGCGCTTCCCAGAAGAGTGATATTCCGGAAACCTTCGGCAAAAATTGCTGACTAGCGAGCAGACGCTTGGACAGTGATTGACTCTTTCGTACCTGAACTTTCTGCCGCTTCTGTCTTTGTTTCCTCCAATCACCACTCTGTGCCTTGCGCCACGGTTGAGGTACCATGGAATCACAGCCGGAGTACGTACTGCGAGGTGCCAGACCACCAGTCCATGAACAATCCTTCAGGCACTGTGTGCTATCCTAATTTCTTGTAAGCACAAACAGTGTAACATCTCGATGTTGCTGGGTTAAAAATCCGTTTCCAGAACGGCGTCATTTTGGCAACGAAGATTGACATTTAGAAGAACAACGCCTTTGAATTTCCTCGGACCACATCAATTTTGCTTGAGCTGCTATCAACAGCCATTCTATAGCATTGAGTGAACGACCAGCCTCAGGTCTCTCGAGTTGGGAGCACTATCTCGCGCGACTCGTATGCACACACCCAAGTATTCGAGTCACTCGTCTGAGTCGTCTCAGAATAGCTAGAGAGAGCGCCTTGGATGGGTAGCCAGAAGCCTCCAAGACCACGGCCGCAATCTCCACGTTCGATAGTCGGCCGCTAGTCCTGCTGTCTCCGCAGAGTCCGCACTCGCCCGAACACGAAGAGTGACCTAAACACAATTTTACATGGTTCATCCTTCGTGCTTTCCATGGTTGGTGGCGAGTAGCACTGCCTATATATCATTAACTCTTCACCTCGTCTTCCCTTCCTCTCCTCATCGCGACAGTCTTCTACACTAATATCTATTAATTTTTCTTTCTTCTCTTGCTTCTAGCACCCCACATTCGTTATCAAACCGAATATAATCCTAGCAAAAATGCGTGTCGCCGCCCCCGCCATTGCTCTCGCCATTGCGCAGACCTCTGTTGCTGCCCCTCTCGAGGCCCGTCAGTCTAACGGTACCGAAGAATGCTCACAAGTGCATATCTTCTTGGGCAAGGGAAACAACGAGCCTTACCCTGGTCGTCAGGGCAAGCTCGTAAACGCTATCTGCGATGGTCTCCCCAGCTGTGACTACGAGAACATCCTCTTCTACAACCCTGTTGAGGCTCCTTACTGTCAATCTGTCGATGAGGGTGTCGCCAACGGTATTGCTCAGCTCAACGCTTACTCTGCTCGCTGCCCCAACACCAAGTTGGTCATCAGCGGTTACTCTCAAGGTGCCCAGGTTGTTGGCGACATTATCGGTGGTGGAAACGGCACTTTCTTCCAGGGCTGCACAACCACTCCTTCTCCTGCCCTTGACGTCAACTCTGCTCTCGGCAAGCAGATTGTCGCTGTCACCGTCTTCGGTAACACCAGACACACTGCCAACCAGCCTTACAACCAGTTCAGCGGTGCTCCCGACAACGGTATCTTCCCCCGTCCCGACTACCAGCTGGCCAACCTTGCCACCTGGACTTCTAAGCTCCACGACTACTGTGTTGCTGAGGACCCCATCTGCGCTGGTGGTGATGTTGTTGCCGACCACCTGAACTACTTCGACCTCTACAGCGACACTGCCGCCGCCTGGATCAAGAGCCAGATCGCTTCTGCCGATGTTGTTATCTCCAGCACCGTCTCCTCTCCCAGCACCACCTTCACCTCGGTCGCCACCTCTGGCAAGGCTGTCCCTACCACCTACGCTTACGCCAACAACACTCAGACCACCACCGATGCCGCTCTCACCGCTGCTTCTTCTGCTTCCTCTGCTTCTTCTGTTGCCTCAATTCTCTCCTCGGTCCTCGCCATCCCCACTGTCGCCCCTCAGTCTGTTGTGACCGTCACTGTCGACTGTGCTTCCGTTGACACTTCTGCCATCGCCTCTTACACCTCTGTCTGGGCTGCCACTGCTACCGGTACCCAGAACGTTGGTGCTGCTCCTACTGCTCCTGGCTCTGTTGCTGCCACCACTGGTTCTGCCACCACTGGCGCTGCTGGCTCCAAGTCTTCCAGCGCTGCCAACGGCACCCACACTCTCATGCCTTACACTGGCGCTGCCAGCTCCATGTCTGGCGCCGTTTCCGGCTCTCTTGCCGCTGTCCTTTTGGGCGCTTTCGCTATGGTTCTTTAAGATCCAAAATCTTTTTGTACATAAAAGAATTCTTTTTTTCGTATTCCTCTAACACTTATTTCATACATCTCTAATGAATATTTATATTTGATGTCAAATTTATGATTTTCTCAAACAATATCGTTCGCTCCAATTCTGAGATGGCTACCAACCAGGTTACTAAGTTGTGTATCTTGCTTTCACTTAGAAAGGTCGAAGCCTAGAACACGCGCACACAGCACTACCCAGGATCAACCTTTTATGGAGAGGCCATCGCAGCGATGATTGTGGACCACAGGTTGGGACTTCATGGCACGACAAAACAAACTTCTTTGTGATGTAGCCATTGAGTTTTTCACATCGGCAAATCGGAAGTCAATTCAACAATCTCACCAGCCGGTCAAAAGTTTGGTGAAACTGAATTCACCAATTAACGTTTGTGCCTGGGCACAGCCATTTGAACACGACCAGGTAGCCTGATTAAGATCGACGACCATCGATTTATTATGCTGTGAGACCTTTATTTAGGACTTTGACATCAACGCAGCAATTGTCAGCACAGAACATGGTAATATTCTTGTGGTTCATGAGCTATTGATTGATTTGGCCTGAAGCCACGTTTGCGCGACCGTCCTCAAACCTAGCATGCATGATAATAAGTTCCCCTCTCGTTGGCAGGCACCTTCCCACCTTCTTTCCAAAACAACTTCATATTTCAGACCGCGAAGTAAACAACCTCGTCATGACCTCAACAACGTATTCTCGTGATGAAACCATTGCTTCTACAACAGACTTCTACAAATTCTACATCAGGCTGCCATACCTAGATCCCGATGCCCTAGTTCTGGCGCCGAAAGATGGATGGCCCAATGTCGACACGACCGAGCTGAGCAATCGCGGCAGGAGCGACGAAGTCATTGAGCTCCTCCGCCACTTGCCCTACATTGGGCACCCTGACTTTCGTGGCGGCTGGACTGTCGACTTGGGAAGCGAGTGCATTCAATACCACAAAGGCGCCTGCTACAACGACAGCCCTGAATTGATCAAGGCTTTGCCTGGCCATGTGATTCCGATTGCGAATCCGACTGATCGAAACGGGTGTTACATGTTGCTTGATACGCAGACGGGCAAGATCACTAGGTACAATATTATGGCCAACAATATTGAGGGCAACTGGGATGAATATGAACGCCTTGACGATAACGATAAGTGGAGAGCTTTCCCTACGGCACCTGTAGGGCAATTCTTCGAAAGGTATCAAAAGCTGTATGAGAAGCTCGTTTGCATGGTCGCCCCGCCAGTTGATTCTCACGGGGATAGAGGAACCTATTTCACGAGAGCTGACAATACTGTGGAAGAGGATGAATTGTTAGAGGCTGATGATGATGGTGAAGTCGAGATTGAAGACGAGTTCACAAAGGTGTGCCCTAGCATGATTGTGTTTTGGAATCACGTGTTTGTATTTTACTAATATGGTTGACAGGAGGTATACGATATCTACAAGCGAAATGGGTGGCCAGGAATTTCTTTCGCCAGAGAGGCTTGTAAGGAAGAACTCAAAAGGTACCTCGAAGAAGCCGACTATTGAATTTCCAATACGCAAGTTGCTTGCTTCAACCGCGTGCGATGATCAAAAACTTCGTGCTTCTCTATCGCCATCTCATGGATGTGACTTGGTTCATCCTGACCTTAGTGGCGCTTATAGGTCGAGATCGGTTTGTGTCTGGCGTCCACATCTGGTTCGGGAAGTACTGAACTCCATACGACAAGAATGCAGCTCTCCTCGCTTCATTCTCCTTATATGTCAAAAGCCTGATCAATCTAGCATAGTCTCCACCAGAGATATAGCCAACATCTTTGATCCTTGATTGAGCGAGAATATGGATGGGCTGACACAGATCGATGAAAGACTTTTCTGCATTATGTCCGCCGGCATACATTGTCATGTGGAGTGGTCGTCCTGCCCAGAGCGTTGACCCCTGAGAAGGAAATCCCTTACTAACCATGACCAATTCTCGTACCCTCTCCGCAGGCAATCTTGCGGTCGAGGATTGGGTGGACATGGGCAAACATAAGACGCCATTGTGTGTGTTGTTAATAACGACCATAACCCGCATTTTCGCATGCACAGGCCCACAGTCTGTTTGTGCAATCTCTTTGTCGTCCAGCCGTTTGCTCAAAACAGTTTGGGGATGCGTGTCCATGGCTAGGATGAGCTGTCCGGGATAGAAGGCTTTGCTCCGAGAAGTCTTGTCCACTCGGTATGCCCAGTCACCGGAAGATCTGGCCTCGTATCTGTTCCACCTGATTCTTCGCTCCACTACTGGACCCCAATGTGTTTCTATGTGATAGCGCAGTTCCCATTCACCTCCTGGGGGCTCTCCAGCTAGGCGAGCGGATCTTCGAAGAGGTGGCACACTCGTACTGCGTGTCGCACGAGGGATGGAACCTGTGAAAGCCATGGTTGTAAGTAATTGGTACGGAAACTGGTTGAGTGATGTTTGCTAATGAGACCAAGCAAAACCTCAAGAACCGAACGAGATCGACAATATAGTTGGCATTTCTGAGCAAACAGGGTGTAATAATGATCTGGACGGAATTGGTTAGCAAAGCTCACACAATCTAATCCGGCTGTTCTTTGTTACTCGAATCGTCCTCGGTCCTCTGTTGAATCTAGTGAATCTTGAACAAAGCCGATCGAGTCAACATTTCGAATTGAGCTTGACAACACAACTTTTTGTTGTTGAGGAGCTACGATTCCAGAACAAAGAAATGTGAAAGGTTCACTCGATTCGGCTAAAAAGTCAGCCTTTGTCTACATCTAAGGGCTAAATGTTTGTCGATTATGCCCCTCGAATCCGCACCATCTGGACTCGGACGCTTACCATCATCAGGTCCCCTAACCACAGGGCTTTCAGCTTTCCAATACTTCAACTCCAATGTCCTTCGTACGCCCAACATTTTTCGAGGCCAAAAGGTCGAAATGCCATATCGATCAACTTCCGACCAGAACTCGTGTGTGAACATATTTTGTACGAAGCTCATCTCCACGGCAAATCTTTGCCAGACATTTGTCGATCCCCATTTCTTGTGGCTCATGATTTTGGTTGGGCTTTCTCCCTCTTCGTTGTCAGGAGGTGGCCATTTGCCAATGGATAGGATCTTGATAGTCGTTAGCGTATGTTCACCGTAGGATGATGTACATCAGACTTACATCAGGACTACCTCGATCTTGAGTTGGGTTGTCGATTCGTCCGGAGTATAGCAGTTGTTCCCACTGAAACCCCAGCTCTGCAGCTCTCGTGTCCATATAGAAAGGCTCCTCTTCTGGATCAAATTTGTTGCGCCACAGTGCGTGCATAACCTCGTGGACCATCGTGACGGCGAGAACGAACTTTACTCTCAAGCGAGCGGATTCTTCGTCAGAGCCCGGGATCCAATCGATGGCATCCTCGATAGGTGAGGCTCCTCTGCAGGCAATGTCGACGTTCTGCTTGTCCAGGACTACCTCGATAAACCCTCGCGTGCCCTTGGTCAAGCCATGTAGGCCCTCCATTTCGCCAGTCGCTTCCTGCTCGGTCCACGAAACATGCTTGGATAACTCGTAGAGCTCTTTCCAGACCGTTTGTCTCTGTGCTTCGCTGAGGTTATGGCGTTGTTCGAAAGAGGAGATTTTTCGGCCCAGTCTCTGCTCTACACCCCCGAAGGTAACTTCCTTGTGGCTGTTGACGTCGAGCATGGCGTAGATATATCCGACTATACTTTCATCTTCGAGAAGCAGAGTAGCTAATTGTAACACTGGTTTCAACTCATCAAAAGTGGAAGTCGATTCGTAGCCCAACCGGAATAGATCGTCCGAAGTCCAGTTGTCTTGACGGAAGATAGGATGAATGCGATTATATTCATTCAGCTCTCCGTACTCCCCTTCGGATGTCTCGTTCACTTGAGCGTACAAGCCTATACGTGTCTCATACTCTGCTCGCCATCTAGCTGCCTCCAAAGCTCGATCGCCATCATAGCCAAAAGTCTGATTTGTTTCGATAGTGTCCAAATTCACGTAACCTCTGTCATTCAACTTTGTAAGGCCGATCGATGCCAATATCACTTCGATTGGGACCTTGATGTCGAAACCGCAACAAGCGTCAAACTCATGATACACTACCTCTACCACCACGATTATCATGTGGACGAGGAAGATTCAAACCTACTTGGCTGCTTGTACTCGGCCACGAGACGCAAAGGCGCTTTGATCGAGCATTCGAGAATGTACGCCATGGGTAAAGAGTACGGCATTCCAGGATTGAAGGCCGTGGCTTGTGCCAAATTCCACAGACTGTCTTGGAACATACTCAACCATGCTGGCCTGTCTGCAGCTATCATAGTTGCGTACAGCACCACACCAGAGACGGATAAGGGTTTGCGAGACGAGATCCTGCGAGCACTTTACGTTTGCCGTAAACGATACAGTGACGAGGAAGAAATTCAGCGAATCATCTCGAGTATCCCGGAGCTTAGTTATGGTCTTTTCCGTAGACTGCTTGAGCGTGAGATGGCCGCTCAGACCTGATCACAAGCTGACACGCAGCATGAAGAGGTCGGGCAAAGTTGAAGGGAGAAGACAGAGAGAGAGCAACATCAGTTGGCATAGTAACATGGAGCATGAACACAGACAACAACAGAAGATAATGAAGACATGTTTCTCTGCAATCATGCACCGTGAACAGCAGTGAAGTGTAGAAACGTGCCAAAGGTCTGTACAAAGTAGCCCAGTGGGCCAACAAATATGACCGTGCATCTCCGCAACAACGCCAAGAATGCTGGTGGACGTCGATACAGCTACGTAACTTTGCGATTCGCGGATTGTATTGTTGTCGCGTGCATTTTCCATCCCAACCTCAATTGTCCGCCGCCTTTCTCATCTGCGCGCGCACCGGCCGGACTCCCCACCATTCTCCCTCTACCACGGTCACTTCGCAGGATATAAGAAAGAGCAAGGAACTACTCGGGAGCGCGCGCGTCTTTCGCATTCATCCACAGTTGAAGCGCCATTAGCTTGGTTGTCTTTCACTTCGTCGCCAATTTTCCGTCTCTCACCGACTCTTCTATCGAATACTCTCACTCGCCAGAAAACGCTACATTGCGAGCGCATACCGCCAACCCCTACCTTATACCTTCCAGCGCACTACGAACATAACCCCTCGCTCCACGCGCATACCTACCCCTTCCTCTCTTCAAAATGTTCTTCCTCCACGAAATGGAACGAGTAGTAAACCTACACCCCTCCTACTTCGACAAAGACACACACAAATACATCACCGACACACTCTACCAAGACGTCGAAGGCACCAACACCGGAAACTTCTACATCGTATGCGTCGTCAGTGTGATTGACATTTCGGAACCTCGCGTGTTGCCAGGAAGCGGATTCGCAGAGTTTACAATCATGTTCCAGGCGGTGGTTTGGAGACCGTTCAAGGGCGAGGTTTGTGATGGCATGGTGAGTAGTGTGGTTAGTAATGGGTTCTTTGTGGATGTGGGGCCGTTGAATGTTTTTGTTTCCAAAGCTGTGAGTTTTCTCCTTTGCTGCTCTTTCTGCAGGGCAGTTCCTTGGAATCAAGCGGGGGTGCTGACAAAAGTACAACAGATGATTCCTAGCGATATCAAGTTCGACGGCAACGCGACGCCGCCGCAGTTCACCGATAATGCCGATCAGGTCATTGAGAGAGGCACTCACATTCGCGTCAAAATCAAGGGTATTAGAGGTGAGGTTGGTCAGATGTACGCTATTGCGACCATCAAGGAGGATTTCCTGGGGTGAGTTTTCTACTGACACTTGTCGCCTCTTCTTACGCGATTCACTGACTGTCATTGTAGACCCCTACTCGAGGCTTGAGAGCTGCTGGCCACAGAAGCATATCAGATATGAATTATTACGAACAAACAAAAACAAAGCAACTCATCCAGCGAAAAAGAGGAAAGGAGCACACGAAATTCCATATATCAGATTCTGTCTTCAACAGAGATTCAGGCGTGAAAGTGGTGCGGCGAAGATGGCTTCGCGAGCAGTAAATGCGTTTCATCCTTCCACCATTTATCAATCGAGACACTGATGGAAGACGGCTGGAAGACAGAGAGGAAAGAAGCAAAAAACGCCTTTGATTTGATATCATCCTTTGAGATAGAAAAACACCCCCGCCCATAGCCTCCTTCCCAAACAGTTCAAAAAGAGCATCATCCGTATCCACATCCAGTAAATTCCTCAAGCAATACCAGTGACCCTTCTAACACTACGTCTCTGCCCTTCGCCCGAGATCAACAACTTGCCTTCTCCCTCAAGCGCACGCAACGCTTCAGCCAACTCGACAGACTCGACAGGAACGGTCGAATCCTCGCCAACACGTCTCAACACATCTTGAACTCTGACACTCGAGTTACCGCTCCTAAGCATGTCGTCTACAGCACTGAGCACCGCATCCTTGAGATCACTCTTGCGTTTTCTTTCAGAAGCACTGGTGCCTTCAGTCAACAGTCCCATGTCGATCAATCCAGTTCTTGCGTCTGTGGCTGATTGCTTGAGTGCTGACTGAATCAGACGGACGGCTTCGTGGACATCGTCGGCTGTGACTTCGCTGCTAAGGCGCATCTTTGCGTGTGCTTCTGACAAGCGGACCATAGATTCTAGTTGACGCGTTGTGGCTGTGATGCGGCGGTCTGCTGAACGTACGTCGGCGCCGAGGGCGCGCATCGAGACGTAGGCGTCTACTAGGGCTTTTGAAGCCTCTTCTGAGATCTTTGGCTGGATGTTGTTGCGAGCGTAGGAGATGTAAGAGGTTAGGAATTCGATAGGCTATGTTTTGGTCAGCGATATGATCGAAAGATCAAACGAGCAAAAGAGACTTACGAGAATTTCATTCGAGCTGGCGTTCTCAGGTGTATCGTCAAGGTACATGCCAACCAAATGCTTTGCCATGCGACGATCATTCATCTCATCAATGCGATCAAGCACGAGATACACCAGGTCGAAACGTGAAAGCAGAGTTGGCGGCAGATCGATGTTCTGCGGTACAGGCAAGTTGGGGTTGTACTTGCTGCCGATGGGGTTGGCAGATGCTAAGATACTGGTTCTTGCGTTCAGGGTGGTAATAATACCAGCCTTTGCGATAGAGACAGTCTGCTGTTCCATGACTTCGTGAAGAACTGATCGTGTCGAGTCGTTCATCTTGTCGAATTCATCGATACAGCAGACACCACCATCTGACAAAACCAGAGCACCAGACTCCAGGACCAGTGTCCGTGTTTCAGGATCGCGAGTGACATAGGCCGTCAGACCAACAGCGGATGAACCCTTACCACTGGTGTAGACACCGCGAGGTGCAATTCTGTGAACGTATGAGAGAATCTGCGACTTTGCTGTTGAGGGATCACCACAGAGCAAGACGTTAATGTCGCCACGATACTTGGGGCTCCCACCCTTCTCGAAAGATTTGTTGGTGCCTCCGAAGAGTTGAAGTAGGATACCCTTCTTCACATCATCCATTTCGTAGATGCTGGGGGCCAAGGACCGTGAGAGAAGGTCGTAGACGTCGGGACGAGCGCCAGTCTCGAGAATCTTTGCCTCTTCTTCTGCGCTGACCTTCCTGACCTCTTCTTTACCACCGGAAGCTTGCTCTGACAACTCCTCCTCGAGCGTTGAGATATCGATACCCATACGACGCTTGTCGACCTTCTTGATGAAGACACAGTCAATATATGTCTTGAAAATGTTTTTGACTGATCTCTGACGAGGGTTGATGCGAACTTGGTTGCACTTGAACACACCAGTAATCTCAACCCTGTCACCTGCCTTGCAGACGTCTACGAGGTCATCGTACACGCACAACGAGACCGAGTGTGGAGTTTGACCATCAGGTACACGATCAGGGGTCTCTTGCAACTTGATGACTTGCTTGTTGGAGAAGACGCAGCGGTTGTGTACAATCTGCATAGAGTTGGGAGAAGCGCACACTTCGCGAGGGCAAACAGTTGGCTCAGCAATCTTGCCACGATCGATATCGACTTTGACAGTATGATGACAAACAGAGCAACGGAAGAAGGCTTCTCTCATGTCGGGAATGATAGGTGTGGTTCTGATAACAAGACCCTTGACGCTGACCATCTTATCCATGTCTCCAGGGTTGAGGTCGCGCAGGTTGATGGTCTTGCCCATGTTGAAAGGTCTGATTCTGAAGATGCGGCTCTCAACTTCTTGGATAAGGTCAGGAACGTTCTCGTTTTGAGTGGGTCGTGGTGTTGTAGCATCGTAATCCGATGAAGGCATGGCTGGGACAGAGCTATCTCTGGCCGATTGGTGACGCTGAGGTGGAATGCGCATTTCCGACATGCGCTTCTCTGCCAGTTCGTACATTGTATCCTTCAGGGCTTGATCGAAGATGGGAAGAATTTCGGCAGGGAAGTTCTGCATCTGGTACCACAGCTTTTGTGTCGAAGGATATGCCTTGAGGTTTTCCATGTCCAAGTTCAACTGGCTTGTTCCCAGATCCAACATCAATTCAAGGGCATCCATGTAGACCTTCTCATTTCCAGGATGATCGGCGGGCAAGTTTTGAGTCTCTGTGAGTTCTCCATCGTAGCGCATGCGATACTTCTTCTGGAAGTCACGGAAGAAGCTCTGACATGTGCTTAACGTATCCGAAACACTGATGTTGGTACCCCAGACGGTTCTGGTCGAGTGTCCTCCAAGAATGTTAGCTTCGGAAGTGTGAGGGTCGACATTAGAGAAGGTAGCAGTGTCGGAGTGGGATGTTTCATCGCGTGTGGGTCTGCCTTGCTCGTCGACAAAGAGTCTTCGTCGCCCGCTTCCAGAAAGAATATCTGATTCAATGTCGTGGCGTCTATTGGCTGCACCAACTGGACCCCCCGAGTAGGGGGAACGCACGAACAGGCCGCTGCTGTCGCTTCGGAGTTGATTGGTTCTGTTGCCTGCCGTCAAAGGTGCTCCGCTTGAACTAGATGCGTAACGGATTGGAGATGAATCTTTTGATCACAGTCAGTATCCATGCGACTCTGCTGTCTGTAGACAAGTTTGTACCTCCAATGGTCTGCCCTGAGGCTCTTGGTGTCGGGCCGCCATCGCTTGGTAGTGTGGACTCAGCCCTCATGGGCGAGCTCATGCCATCTGCTCCAGCATTGACGGCAGGTGAAGAGTGGAAGAAGAGTGGTGAAGAGGCTGGCGGTTGTTGCGAGTTCTGAGTGGTTCCGTCGGTAGGGGGCTGTAAGGAGTTTTGAGACGCTGCTGCTTCGTTGCGTAATTGTTCGTCAGGGCCATAGTTGTCCTGAGGCGGACTGCTCGGTGCTGCTGGTGGAGAAGACATTGCGATTTTGTTATACACAAGAGCATAGACTGGCTATCGCTATGGTCGCAAGAAACAAACAGTGCGCTCGGACAATTTGTTGTGCCTGTCGCGACGTGCTGCTTTCGTGGAGAGCCAATCAATCACCCCTTTTGGGAATAGCCTCGCTCCTCTACCAAAGTGTTCGACATCAACATTTGAAACCACTCAATCTTTCACCAATCCACTACAGATTATCAAAATGGCTCCTCCTTCACAGCTCGCAATCGCGACCTCAGCAGTCAACCGCCTTGTCAAGGAAGAGGCTAGCTACCACAAGGAGCTTGAACAGCAGCAAGCCCGCATCGAAAAGCTCAAGCAGGCTGGCAGCGACGATGAAAACGCTGAGTGGAACATGAAGCAAGAGGTTTGTAGAATTTCAATCAATGCTTCTGAACTTTGCTGTTGACAACATTCCAGAACAGAGCACTCGAAGAGACCAAGGCCATGTTCCCTCAATTGCGCAACCGCATCCAAGAATCTCTGGCAAAGCTTGAACAACAACTTGTAAGTTTGATCAACAGATCATGATGGGAGTTCACATCTGACTTCAACAACAGAACCAAGAGCAGAACGACCCTGAAGAAATCACAAAGGCAAAGAAAACTGTGGCTTCGGCTAAGAAGGCCATCAGAGAGACTTCTTAAGACTCTTGCCCTCTCGACACGAATGTAATTATACAAAAGCATGAATGAAACTCATAATGACCACAGGAATTTTCAAGGGATCGTTTTGAAGCGCGATTTTGGGTTAAGTATCTAGGTCACGTCCATGTGCTCGCCTTCTTCAACCGAGTCTTCTGCTGCTTCTCCTTCTTCAAGCTCAGAGACTGGTGCAGGTTGTGGCGTGTCACCAGCCTCCATCATGTCCGTATCCATTGGCTTCTCTGCTGGAGCAGGCACGGTGTCTCCAGCGTCGGGCGTTTGTGAGTCGCCCCCTGCGGCAGGTGTGTTGGCTCCAGTGCCTTGTGATGGTCCTCGGCTGCGTTTTGAATTTGCATCATCGTCCTCGCCGCCAATCTCAGGTGCAGGTGTGCCCATTCGGCTATTCTCCTTGGTAGCCTCGCCATCTTCACGTTCTTCGCCGTCCTCCATAGCCTCGTCTTTCTCTGGCTCGTCCTTTTCACCCCTAATAACCCTGAGCATTTGTTTTCCAGCGGCCATAATGTTGTCAAATTGCTCCCTGCGCTCGATCCAAGTCTGCTCGTACTCCTGACCTTCATGCTCCAAGTCTGCAATCTCGGCATTCAGCTTCTCTAGATTTGCGCGCTGCTCTTCACGCGGCTTCAGCATGCGATTGTTGGTAATCTTCTCGGCGAGCACGTCGTATTCCTTGCGCAGAGTCAAAGTCTTTTGAGCCTCTTCCAGTTGTATGCGCAATTCTGCAGTGTTGTCGCGTACGGCTTGCGCAGTCTCCAGGATTTTGTTCTTCTCGTCTGCATATCTCTGGCGCTCTTTTTCGTTGCTGTCCTTCAAGAATTGTATACGGATGAAGGTGCTCTCTAGCAGTGCAAAGTCGAGCATGACATCTTCGCGCCATTGCCTTCTCTCTTGCTCCTTCTTTTGACGTTCTGCTTCCTGGTCGGCGTCAGACTCGTCGGGCGGCGGCGTTGGTAGTTGAGCAGGAAGTCTGAGAAGCGACTCTTTGCCTAGTAGTCGTTTTGAAACGCGTGCGAATGGTCGCTCCTCTACATTCAGCAAGCGCGCAGTGTGCAATGCATCTGTAATCATGTGTTACTATTCTGTTTCTGATCGGAGACTAAGTGGGAACTACCTTCTTCTGACTGCTCGAGCAGTCCAAATGGGTGGCCAGACATCGTGGTCTGTGATCTGGCGTGACGAAGAATGTGATGTTTTGGAGGCTGTCAAGATTGACCTTGTTGGCAGCGCAAGCAGCAAACGCCAGAGACGAAAGCCGCGCGCCGATCAGCCAAGCATGAATTACCCCAGACTTTTGCTGCAGCGGGCCGAGAACCGAAGCACATGCCCTACCCGCATGGGCCCAGCCAGCCCGTCGAGGTCAGCGGCTGATGACTGATTGTCATTGTCATTCTTGCTATTTCATTGTTGTTCACTCGCTTTTGTTCATTTGATCAACCAAACGACGCTTGCTCCCTTCGGCTTCTTTTTTCTTCGGATTACGATTCATCACTGGCTGCCATCATACCATAAATTAGCGATACATTTTACTCCGTAAATCTAACTCCTGGATTCACAAGATCTTGACAGAGGGCTGGGACTCGACGACACTCGGCAGAGAGTATTGCTTCTAGATGGCAGCCACATTGTTCGATATGGCACAACGTGCCTGTATCAGGAATGTCATGGACATGTACGACGTCGGCGAATTGCGGTACGAGACAATCAGACCCGTCCTCAAGAACGTCACCAATCCAGCACAACTAGTAAGCCTTCACCAACCACTTGAATATTCTGCAGTCATTAACACTGCTCTAGCGCCAAATCGAAGAAGCTTCACCTCACATCGCCGAAGACGACGCCGAACTCTGGCAAGCATTCATCAGAAGAGATATTTCAAAAGCCGAATCTAAGCTTCAAGTAACACGGCCAAAGAACCCTTCTTCGTGGTGGAAAGTCTATCGCAAACTCAAGAGAGAGGATGAAGCAGAAACACGGGAGGCTGAAGACAGGCTGAAAGCTGCGCTGAACCGACACAAGGTCGACAAGGGAGCTAAGCAGACCAACATCGTACATGCCGTCATACCCTCCGGCGAGAGACGTTCTGGCTGGAGTTCAGGGCCGCGCGAAAAACCATTTGGCGAACAGGCTTTGAAGAATGCGAAGACGGCGGCACAGAAGATCACAGTCCTCAAACGTCAAGCTTTGCAAAGACAAGCAGGTCGCAGTGTCGCTCAGTCTGTCCCTATGCATCAACTTTCCCAACTCAGAGGCAAGGTCACCGAAGCTCCCGCCCATATGATTCGAAACTATGCTCAAAAATCCGGACCATCGAGGCCACCTCCAGCTTTACCACAAAATCAGGCATATAGGCCGGTCTTTGCTCGCCAACCACAAACCCATGCTGATCGCGCTCTCACTAATGCTATCAACCATACCAAACAAGAACAAGAGGCCAGAGAGAAAAGGTTACTAGCCTTGACCAGTGGTTCATCAGCAAACAAGCCCAGACCTGCTGCTGCTACTGCACAACCAGTGCAAAGATCTTCGACAGCAACAGCACCGCCAAGGAGATCATCACCGGTACAGAGCTCATCAAGTTCCACACTGCCGAGGAAACGACCTGCATATGATCCATTCTTGCCTGCTCAAAAGAGACGAGCTTAAGGAAACATGAATATATGCTCGTGAACGAGCTCTTGAAATATTATCACCCAGGCCTGGTGCCGACCGAGACGTCTTTCAGCATACACAGCGTGCCGACATTGCATCAGATTTGCATGGACGGATGCTAAAGAAACAAATCCATCGTGGTGTCCGCGATATACGCATCAGAAGGGATAAGATGCTAGATTACGTTTGAGTAATACCGATGGAGATACCGCTAGAGCATGATTGCATGAATGAGAAAAGCGATTATAGAGAAGGATTTGTTCTTGTGGGGCCATGATTTCATTCATATGGCAGGGAGTACCATGCCATCTGTAGCACAATTGTAGCATCTTATCTTGGAAACAAAGCAGTCTTTCTCTCGCTGCTCTTCTTCTCCCTCCACCACGATCAAGCCTTGCGTTTCCATCTTGTAGAGTGAGGTGCCCATGCTTCTTTCGTTGTGTGTCAGAGTTTTGCTGCAAGCTCTTGTGTCGTTCGTTCATCGTCCACCACGGAGAGCAAGGACCAGATGGAGAGTGGCGCCACCTTCGAGCTGGTACTCGCTGGCAGTCTTATCGTCGTTCCTGTATACCCAGAACTCGTCAGTCGCGTGTCCACTGTCTTTTGATTTCGGTCCCAGAGAACGGTTTCAGACATACATTTGCTTGCCGCCAAAGATGAGACGCTGTTGTGCTGGGGGAATGCCCTCCTTCTCCTCGACACGCTCCTTGATGCGAGAGACCTGTGAGTGGCGCTTTGTCAGCCAGTGTCCTGTATTTCTGAAGCGTGTCGATCGTCCTGGATTGGTGTGTAGGAGCCGTGGTTCAGATGCAATAGCGTACTTTGTAGTCAGGCTCAATGTCAAGCTCGATCTCCTTGCCGGTCAGGGTGCGCACTCTACAGGATAACACGATTAGCTGCTGTTTGTGGTATCAGATGTGGGTCTCTGTGCGCTCACTTGATCTGCATTGTGTCGGTTCTCCTTCAAGCTTCTGGGAGATAGTGTGATAGAAAGTTAACTGGTTTGGTCTGGATGACAAGCGACCTTGAATTGTTCAGATGGATTGGATTCTGTTAAGGCCGACAATAATGACGGAGCACGAGTTGTCGGCCGCTGTTTGGCGGGGCAGGCACTCACCGCCTTCGGAACGAGTTGTCGCCTGCACCAATCCAAACCTTGCCATGTCCTCCTTGAATCCTTCGTGAGAGCACGTGGGTATTAACTTTCACATAGGAGTCTGACACTTTCCAATCGCATTCTGATTGCGTGTCAGTGTCTCGTAAGGTTCCTGTATGTCTATCAGGACTGTGGGTCTTGTTCAAAAGCCATGCCTTCGCTCCTGCATCTGCTTGCGTGACTTCCGTCCTAGGCTGTACGGCGGTACTTATCAGCTTCGACTAGTTTTGTGATTCACGTCTCGTGGTACATCCTTAGGCGTATGCACTGCAGCTTCCTCACACCTTGAGAACACCGCATCTTCGTCCACTGCGGTTTTTGTGGCCTCTCATCTCTCGCTCGCTCCCACCAACATGGAGACCTCACATTCAGGTCACTGGCCATGTCCAGCTTCCATCTTCGATTTCATGGTCTCAATCTGCTTGACCATCCTACATTCTGTCAACCGCGCGGCGCGTATCATCCGGCCATTTTTCTGGGCTGCCCTGGAGTGGACCGAGAATGTGCTCGTGACTGCAGGAAACGCTCTACTTGCCGCTACTCTGGTTCTTCTCTTATGGTTTTCCATCATCTATCTATGCTGCTTCACGATCTACATGTTCTGCAGACTGCTACGTCGACACCACAAGTACCGACAACATCGTACTGAACGTCAACCACTACTTGCTAGGCCCCCGAGGCGGAGGCGTCTACCATCCTGGACACTGTCAAGTTCAAGCAGTGAGAGACGGCGATTTCTTCACGATCATACAGCATACAGAGATCTCTTTCGAGCTGATCTGGACCGGAGACGTCAGGATGCCCTCAGGCGAGAACAACACAGAGCGGTCGAAACTCGTAGTCGAGAGTACCGCGAGCGTAGACTCAGGGAGGCACTTCGACAATCCTCAAGCACGCCTTTGTACGGCCAACCACAGACCATCATCAATTGGTTGCAGGCTTCTAGCACCCCAACAATCACCCATCAACCTAGTTACGGCACTCTCCCCATGAGAGGTGCACAGCCGCGACCTGAACGACGCGCTGATCCACCGCCGCCATATCCGCAGAACTTCAAAGAATCACCACCACCATATTCGAGTCCTCGAACAGATCTGCCGCCCTCTTATGATTGACGACTATCACAAACCCGCCCAGGAATGAATGAATGCTATGGATCTTACTCTTTGTGGATCGGAGGGCCTTTTCACATGACACATCTGCCTGTTGTTGCAAAAGTTGTACATAACACGATTAATGAGCATTGATGGATTCAAAATTGCATGGTTGTTATCAGCGGGTATCATAATGCATGTGACTCCTACCCAGTATCCCCCGGTGCGCCAAAACAAACCACCCACCCATCCTTATCAAGGTAGCATCATTCATGTCTTCGTTGGTCACATGGGAGCAACTACGAGTGTTGCCTTCTTCTTGGAGAGTCAACTACTCTGCTTCGAGAAGTTCTTCTTCTTGCGTCTTCTCGCTGCGGTCTGAGGAGTCCATATACCCATGAATAGATCCTCGCATTCATCCTCGTCCTGGCTGTCGAATTCGACATCATCCAGCGCTCCAGACTGACTCTTTGCAGCGACACCTCCAGCTTCTACCACAGTGTCTGGTTGACCCTCCCAGCCACTGCTCCGACAAGTCCTTCTGGTCTCAAGAATGAACTTGCCGACTTTGTACTGCTGGGACTCTTCTTCGGCAGCGACGTATTTCCATCCTAGCACACTGCCGCATTGCGCACAGCTGATATCGCTGACAGTGTGAGCACCAGTGACAAGCTGTCTTCGCGCAGGCTTGTGCGTGAAGATATTTGGAAGGTTCGGCAGAGCGTCTTTGGAGCTTGAGTTAGGAGCAGCTTGAACCCAGCTATCGGAAGCAGAGACGAGGTATGCGCGTCCATGACGGCCGGTGAAGCCCTTAGATACGATTTGGCTTGTTAATGCTAGATCGGCTAGACAACGCGAACATCGTAGGTGGGATTTGTTGCCTTCTAGATAGTTGTCGGAGCTTGTGCTGTCATTCGTAGCGGTACTTGAGGTGGAGATGTTGGAATCAGTGCTTGATTTACGAAGTCGAAATGGTAGAGAAGGCACGAGATAAGACGGGAAAATGGATGGAGACATGTTGAAGAGGTCAAACTCTCGATCTCTGCAAGTATCGCGTGTTCCGACAAGAGACAATAGCTTGTTTGGATCGTTCAAACAATCAGCGTTCAAGAGTGAGATGATCAAGCACAGAGCTCGACAGAGCAGAGACTCAGGAAAACAGTAGACAGCTCACAACCTCGGGCGGCATTTTAATCTTCTTATCCCTCCCTATCCGGCCCATCGCGGTGTTTCGGACCATGGGAGCGCGTGACTGTCAGTCGACAGGTCGTGACGTTCGGCGGAGATCAAACTCCCCCAGCCCCCGCGCAATGCCGTTGGTTGGAACGCGGTGTGGGTGGGTCAGTGAGCCTTCTTGCATGTGACACGACATATCTTCTCGCGCTGTCAACCACGAGCATATAACTTGCTGTGACAACTATATGATATGGTATCCTATCAGAAAGGACTGTAGAGCGTGTCGCATCTTGAGCGGCTGTATGGATTGTAATAACAAGCTGCACGCTCCGCATTGTAAGTGTACACAGGTTGAGGGCAGGAGCAAGCAAGACGTTGCTTCCTTGCTGGGACCTTGTTGGGCAATGACCCCAGCACTGTAAGTTGGACGTCTACTTCTCTTCATTACCCATCGTGTGTGTGTTGTCACACAAGTATCACGTTTGGTACCATCTTTACGCCGCATTCTTTTTGACCATCATCTTCATCATGCCCGTGACTCCCAATATCCAGATCCTCCGAGTCTTCGAAAAACGGCCCTTCTCAACTCGCAGACGAGACGAACGTCGCTCACATTCTCAGCCAAGTCCCACTCCGCTACGCACACGTTCACCTGCACCAGTCGGAACTCGTCCCTGTCCAGTCATCTATCTTGGGAATACTCCAGTGACTATCGTCGACCATGGTGCCAGCGAGCTCAACATCCAGTCTCAACAATCTCTCAATCTGGATCCTGAGCCTCTTGAATCTCCATTGAACCGACTCCGCCGCAGAACAAGCAAGTGGTTCGCCAATAAGCGTACTGCCAAAGGTATGCCTTTCGCCCTCATTTTCTACCATACCCTTCTCTTCGCACGTCTGAACCTTGAACGTTAATGAAGGTTCAGACATCTTCCCTCCCGATCCTTCTGCAGCATCAATCTTACCTGTTCCAAGGGAAGCGAATGAGACAACGAACCTTCGTTCGGCAATCAAAGCCCAAGTCGACATTCAAGACGAAGCCCAAAGACTCTCGGAGATCCCAAAACCCCCCAAAGCAGTTCACTTCGATGGCGCCCCGGAACACATCGAGGACAAATTCGACAGTACCACTTCTTTGGGGAAATGTCCCTCGTGGGTAGGCATTCGGAGCACCATATACTACAGCATGTCGGACTCTGCTGAGAACCTCAGTGACCTACTACAGCCTGACACTGTCGTCCGACGTGCTTCTCGACGCCGAAGATCTGGTTTACCTATCGAATACCGCAATGACAGTAAGACTGGTTCCTCTTCGGGCTTCGACAACGCCTCTTCTGCAAGTCCACTGAGCCAGAGGTCAACAGGGCGAACCTCGCTGTAGGTCAGCGGCCCTAATTCTCGTAAAGGTTCTATGTTTGCAGGCCATACTCCTCCAGGCTCGATCCATATCACTGTTCCGACCACAGTCATTTCCTCCAGCTCAACCATCATAGCCCCGAGCACACCCAAAGACCTGACCGAGGTACTCAAAAAGTTTCCCGTAGATGAAAGATCTCCCAGAATGCAGCCAACCAAGATTGAAACTATCGAGGATATTTCCGCGGTCAAGGTCTATCTGGAAACGTTCTACAATGAACGCTACATCCAACCGAGATCCGAGCGTTGTGTTCGGAGACAGCGGCTACTCGACCATCTTGCCCAAAGCTCATTGTCATCCTCCGAAAAAGATGCGCTACTTCGATCATGGGAGCAGTCCGAGTCAGTTCATCTTCGGCAATTGCGTACTATCAAAGCAACCTCAGCCACAAGGCACGCCAGTAGAGGTGTATTTCATGCAGGCTTCCAGGAGGTTCGCATCCTGGGCAGAGGCACTTTTGGACTCGTCAAACTTGTCACTGATGCCGATCAATTTGTGACCGAAGACCCATCACCATGTATGTTAGACGGTACACCGTGCCCTACGTTGGTACCTCGCGGATCGCAGAACCCTCATCTCATGAAGGATCTTTACGCCATGAAAGTCATCCGAAAGGCAGAGATGATCCGAACCAGTCAAGAGGGCCATCTTCGTGGTGAACGAGACTTTCTTGTCAAGGCCGAGGGTTCGCAATGGGTGGTTCCCTTGATCGCAAGCTTTCAAGACAACACTAATTTGTATCTCGTCATGGAGTTCATGATGGGAGGGGACTTTCTCCAGTATCTGTGCCGTCATGATATTCTCAGTGAAGAAGACACCAGGTTCTACATGGCAGAGATGGTCCTGGCCATTGAGGAGACTCACCGACTAGGATGGATACACCGCGATATCAAGCCAGACAACTTCTTGATACATTCCTCTGGCCACTTGAAGATCTCCGACTTTGGCCTTGCATTCGACGGTCATTGGTCTCACGTGAATGACTACTACGACACAACGCGGCACTCCATCTTAAACAAGTACAAAATCCACCTGCAAGGTGACGTTCAGGATATTCAAGCTACAGCACGCCGCACCCACGGCATATCTCGTATCACAAGCGGTCATCTACCTTACGAGATGAACAGTGCGCGAGATATGGCAGAGCTCTTGAGAGAGCCTGAGAGGATGCGGAAGGAACGTCCTCAGAGTCTTGTAGGCACGAAACAGTACATGGCTCCAGAGATCGTTCAAGGTCACAGTTATGATGGAAGATGCGATTGGTGGAGCTTTGGCTGCATTGTCTACGAGGTATGTCTGTTTTAGTCCCTTGGTGCAGCGGCGATCTAACAGTCCTAGTGCTTCTATTCGAGAACCCCATTTCTTGGTGTCGACAGGCAAACAACTGCAAGAAACATCGTGGTATGACCCTCATTCCGACAGTACAATACGGAATACTGACCAGATAGCAACATCGTGATGTGCTTCGATTTCCCTCAGGCGAGCGTCACTCCGGTGTTGGTCTTCGCTACCCAGCACCCAGTGATTCCGCACTGGCCCTCATGAAAGATTTGCTGCGAGAAAAAGATCACCGACTTAGCTCAGCAGCTTACGATCCCAGAATCTGCCGCCATCTGAGAAGGCACCAAGACAACATTGAGCCAAAGTTTGTCGCTTCTGGTGATGCGGAGGATATCAAAGCACATCCCTTCTTCAGAAACATTCGCTGGGGCATACTACATCGATCAAAACCTCCATTCGTACCCGAAGCGGTTGAAGACATTGCGATGTACTTCGAACATGAAGATACTTTCGTCAATGATGTTGGGACAAGCTACATGAGTTTGCGAGAGAAGGTCAGACCACATGCCGAACCGGATGTCAATGAGAGACTGTTAGGTCCTTACTTTGAGAGATGGCAAGCCGAGCAGCGGGAGATCGAGAAGGTGCAGATGGGCATCGAAACCTGGACCGACGCCAATCTCGAGGCATGTCAAAGAGAGAAGGGCGAGCGCTGGGAGGCTTTCAAGCAAACCAGAATCAGAAGAACGCGCGAACGCAAGATCCGAGAAGGCAGAGATCCAGATCTTGAGGTCAAGCAGATTCTGGGACCAAGACCTCGGCGATGCAGACCCAAGGACATCATGGTGCGCGACTTACGTTACGGTGAGCGAGTTTTGGAGCGAAGGAAGGCGGGAGCATTTTTGGGATACACATATCGAAGCCCCCGGTACGTGTTCCCAGAGGTTGGCAAGGAGAGAAGGCCAGTCTTTTCACGACCTACGATCTTACCTGTGACTGACGACGACGATGAATGAGATGGTGGGGAAAAATCGGGCTGTCATTGTTCACTTCTTACCTGGATCCTTTAGACTTTATCTATTCTAATCCTTTGCTTCTATATGGCGTGCATCTGGATGTTGTCAAGTACTTGTCTTTTGCATGCAAAAGTCTAGATTTCGATTCTTCTTACAACGGATCAATATCATCACAACAGTCGTACGCAGCCTTCGATGTGCCTCTCACTGTGTCCCGCGATTGCAGCTGCAGCTGTGGTCACCTTTTCGGTGAAACCAGACTCTATAAGTGATATGTCCGCGCATCAGTAGTACAAACCTTCACATATGTCTCTCAGTATTTCCAGCACGACTAAGGGCCCAAAAAGCACCTCACAGCCTGGGAACGGCGTAATCACAATTGAAGCCTCCGAGGTCAAGAAAAGTAGGGAAGATTGAGAGGAAAGAATCTTTTGTTCTATTGGCGGGATGTATAGTGGAACTTTTCGGATGACTGATTAAGAGGGTTGGAAACGACGAAGGTTTCCGACAAACAGAATACATCCAACAGCATACCGAAGCATTTGCCTAGACCATCTAGAAAGGAGGCAAGAAGAAGGGGTAGCCACCGTTCTTGATGCGGAAAGTGCTGAGGAGGTAGCTGTACATGGCGAGCATGACAAGACCCCAAGCAAGAGTAGCGATACCCTGGGTGCGAGGCTCTGTCATACGGGGCACCTTGAGAGCAAGAGAGATGGTTGCGAAAGCAAGGATAGCGTCTGATAACAATCAGTAAGAACTTGTGCTTGTGTATAAAAAGAGATGAACTTACACATTGCAGCAACAATCTGAGTCTCGAGACCGAATTGGTTCTGGAAACCACCGGCAAAGTAGGAGATTCCGCCCTTGCCGTCGCCTGCGACGTAGGGGACTTTGCGGATGTGGTTGAACATGTGACCGCTGGTGAAGAGGAGGACGGCGATCAAACTGATGGCTGCCCAGAGGTTGCGGCTTTGGATGATGGGGAGGACGTAAGGAGCAGCTACGGTGCAAGCGGTGATTGTTCCGAGGATAGCTGTGGTGGTGGTAATGATCTTGACGTAGTTGACGGGACGGACGACTGGAGGAGTTGGGCCTGCAACATGGCGAGCGAGCCAGGCGTGGACGGGTTCAGCAGCGATGATACTGGACTGGGGTCAGCTAAGGGTTGGGTATAGACAGGCTTGGAGGGTCATACCCAGTAGTAAAATCGAAACGGAGGGGTTGAGAGTCGGGCTTAGCATCAGGACCAGTGGTAGGAGGGAAGTAGAGTAGGACAGGTGCAGTGGTGAGCTGCAGAGATTGGAAAGTTCTCTGGCCATTGACAAAGTCGAGGGTTCCCATAACCAGTCTAGACTCCTGCTTCTTGTCTCCCTTAGCCCAAGATCTGCCCAAGAGGTCCCATTCAGGCTGGAATTCGTGACAGATAGAGCATCCAAATCTGGCCTCGAGGGCAGTTAGAAGAACAGCAACGGAGTAGTCGCGGGGAGACGAGGTCAATCTCGAGTATTCATTGTCGTCGAGCTTGAGGGGAGCAGCTGCGGCCAGCTGTTGCGATCGGTAGTCGGCGAACTTGTCGGTCGAGCTCTTCTTTGCTGCTAGAGCTGTGAGCGGCAGCAGAAAGGCTGTCACGGTCTGGAAGAACTTCATCTTGGGGTGGATGAGAGCAATTGGAACGACAGACAGACAAGCAGATGCTAGACAACCATTGACTACGTATGCTTCGTGTCCCCAAGCTCGGCCATTCGGTGCTTGGCATTCGCGGCTTCGGGGGAGGAAGCTGCGGCCGCAGAGACAAGACAGGGCAGGACAGGGCTAACAGCGGATGTTGCCGTGCCTGCGATAAACAAACAAGCACGCCGTCACGTCTGTCGCATCACATTCGCTTTCGCAATCAAGAGCCCAAGCCAGCCTGCGGCCGACGTGCGACTATTCTTTCCATGACCACCGCAAATATGGTCCCTATCAATGCAATGCATACTTCCACAAGCACTAATGTAATCTCCTCTTCTCTCTATCCTTTGCATCTTCGCATACTGACCCTCGCAGTACGATCAATCACTCCAATCAGCATCGCTAGAACTCAACTATGAGCGCACCTCCCACCTAGTCGACATCATTTCCAAAGACGAAAACCTGCGTAAATTGCGTTTCGACATGCACAAACTCGAAGACGACAATGAGGAGTTGCGCGAACTCTTGACCCAGGAAGAGGACCGCTCAGAATCTCTCGAGAAGGCTGTTAACGACAACCTCACTCGCGCTGAAGATGCCGAAGCACACGCCGTCGATTTGCAAACCGATCTCCAAGCCGCCGAGCAAGAGCTCTCAATACTCAGGGTATGTATTCTGCCTCGCTGTCGCGTACATTGACTTACCATGATCGCCCTTAGGCCGAAACAAATGCTCTACGAAATGTCACAACAGACTCTGAAAAGCTTCTGACCGAGAAACTCGACCTTGCAAGACAACTATCCACCCTCAAGCCAGAACTCGACCATCTCCGCGCTCAAGTAGAATCAAACCAGGACCTCCTCTCCGAAAAGCTTGCCCTGCAACGACAAGTCAGCGAAATTCAAGTCGAGCTTGACCACGCCAAATCTGAAGCTAAGCGCGCAATCGCCAAACGCCGCAATACTCAACATGATCTGAACCAGCAAGACACAATTGACGACCTGCGCAAGGCTCTAACGAGAGAAAAGCGATTGAGAGAAAAGGCCCAAGAAGATCTGGAAACTGTTCAGGCCGAGCTGGAGCGCGAGAAGGAGAACGCCCAGCGCAAGAACACAACAGAGGCCGCAAAGGCTGAAGAAAATGCCAATGTCCAGGTCGAGACGGAAGAGCTGCGTCGCCAACTCGCAAAGGAGCGCAAGGAACGGGAAAGGACTGAGAAGACACATCAGAAGATCCAATCCGACTGGGACGCCACAAAGGCAATTCTTGACGACAAGCTCAATCAATTCCGCACAAAGCTGAAGTCAACCAAGGAGAAGCTAAAGGAGACTGAGGCACAACTCGAGGAAGCTCAAAAATCTGCTGCAGCCGACGCGAGATCAGCACCCGTCGCGGCTGAGAAGACCACCAAACAACCAAAGAAGAGAAGCGCTGCACAAATGGATCCAGATTCGCAGAAGCTAGGAACACCGGGCAATGCCAAACCCGCAAAGAAGGGCCGTAAAGCTGCTGCAGTCGGTGATAAGTCAACCTTCTCTATCACACCATTCCTGAACCGCACAATGAGCGTTGCACCTGAGAGCCCTGAGCAAGCCGAGGAGGCTTCAGCAGAAACAGCCGCTCAAGAATCGGAATCGGAAGCTGAGGCTGAGTCTCCAAGCGCGGCCAACGTCCGACCATCCACAGAACCCGCTCCCAAACCCCTAGCAACAGTACCAGCCAGTAAAAGTAACATCAAGAAGGCCAAACCCGCAGCTGAGCCAAAGGCCAAGAAACAAACGAAGAAGCAAGCACTGGAACAAGTTGTTGAAGAGGTCGAACCCACATCTCAAGAAGAGACTGCAGCAACTACCAAAGTGCCTACGTTCAAGGCCAAGAAGTCTGACGGAGAGACGAAACCAAAGCCCAAGCAACGCAAGTCTCTTGCTACTTTTGCTGCATTCACCCATGAGCCAGAACCGGAGAAGAAGCAGAAAAAGCGTAAGCTTGGTGGCCTGGGTAAGACTCTCTTTGATGACGAGGATGATGCGCCTAGTAAGCCACTTCCCGGTCGTGGAGGCGGTCTGTTCGGCGCATCACGTCTCGGCCCTCTTGCAGCTGGTGGTGTAAGAGGTAGCTTCATTGGCGGCATGGGCAAGAAGAAGTCTGGCCTTCTGACAGCGGAAGATGGTTTTATGTTCTCACCTCTTAAGAAGGAAAGAAAAGCTATGGCCAGTTTCATCCAGTAAATTTTTGGGTTTTTAGGTCGTGGTGTCTGGGGATTGGGTATGTCCAGTGACACTGACGGTGTGAGGAATCTGGCGTTTTGTCTTTGGGTTTTTTATGATACCTCATTGTATTTGTTTTCTTGTCAAGCATGAAACTTGATAAACGAGATCTTTCGACAGTACTACTGTGTCCACATTTTCTCATACTGTCTCTCTACGCTTGCATCTGTCTGTCTCAGCATCTTTCGGAAGAGTCCTCAATGATGACCATCATGGCGTGTGTATGAGCAGGGTTGCCCTCACAGACTAGTGGCAATCAAACAATGCAAACAGGGGTGTTCTCTCCAACCACCACCAGCCTCAGAGCGACCTTCAGCTGCTCTCACCAGACCATTGCTGTGTCATCGACTGCCTCGCTAATCGCGATCAGATCACCAATACAACAAGACGGAAGCACGAACATGCTGCAATGCCTATGGTGGCAACAGTGAGCCTTGATCACTCAAGACATGCCTTTGCAAACTCGGGACAAGCTGCATGAGTAAAGTAGGTTCGGTTTGCCGATGGTACTTGCCAATCAGGTCCAGCATCCTGTCATATCCCTCCCTTGCAATGTCAGATACCCTGAACCACGGATCTTGGACACGCTATCTTCCAAGACGTTCTATACGAGCTGAGAGCCCTACTAGCCAGCATTCCGTGGTATGAGGCTCCCGAAAGCCCATCATGGCGACCTGCATCGGCGACACCGAGTGGCTTGCAGTCTGCCCATCCATGTGGTAACCAGTCAATCCTCTGACAGACACTTCACTATAGCGATCAACGCTCAGAGATGCTCCTCATTCCATTATGCTAGTCCGAGAACCACACGGATGTGAGCCCTCCGGCGAGCATGGCTCTCGGCTTTCATCTCGTTGCATTCCAGTATCTCACCATGTAAGTCTGTCAACAAGTACATCATGAAAAAAGGTAGTTGCGAATTGCCGCTCTTCCCTATGTGCTGTCTCTTCGCGAAGTTCAGTCAGTCGTTCTGCGATGGCGATGCTCCTTCACCTTCTGCTGCTTGCTTCGTGGACCTTGGCACAGTCATTCACTCCTGCGCTTACTAGCCCGAGCTCTTGTGTCAAGCGAAGCATCATAATCTACACTTCTGACTCTTCTACTTATTTTGCAACTAATGTCGGCACTTCGAGTTTTCCATCAACGCCCACTTTCTGCGCTAATATCTCTGTATCTACTGTTATTACTACACAGCCAGCCTCAACTGTGACGGTCTATACGCAAGCGACATCAGCTCAACAATCTGCTGGCTCGCAAACGTCTGTCGATTCTGTCATCACAGACAACGGTTTCGAGGATGGCACATCTAGTCCCTTCAATTCCTCTTCTTCGGGATCTACAGTCACCGCTGAGGTCGTTCAAGGTGGTATATATGAGCCTCATGCTGGAAATAATTATCTGTATGTTGGGACGACAGTATCTTCAAGCCCTAGCTGACCCTGTGCCTAGTCTCATCTCTTTCAATGAGACCAATGCAGCTCAAAAGCGTGATCGCCGGCAGTCGAGGGGCCCTAATACGACTCTTGTCTACAACGTGACTCAAATGTTCTCAGCATCGGCGGGCACTTCGTACACGTTAACAACTTGGGCAGCTGTGACAGAGCCAGCCGATAAACCATACTGTTGGTTGACGATATGCGGAGACAACGACTGTAGCTTGGCTGATCCGATCACAACCAATTATACTCGCTTCTCTTATGACTACCAATCTCCCATCGACGAAACTGGTGCTATTGCCACTTTCGAGGTTGCGTGTGATACTTCTGCCTATGTGGCTTTGGACGATGTATCTGTCACTAATAATGCGTTGGCTGCAAGTGCCAGTAGTGCCAGTGCAAGATCTACCGCTACCATCACAGTGTCCAGTACCGTAACTGTTCTACAGAGTCAGATCTACACACAATTTGAGACGACGACGTTCGTTAGTGGTTCTGAAATTGTTCTGACCACCTCATTGCCTACAACTATATACCAGACAATCAATTTACCGGTTACGGAAACTCGAACGGTGTCAACCATTCTCGTATCAACTCAAACAGCCACGACGGCAGTGCCACAGGTCCTCAATATTACAGTCTCGAGTGTTTCGACAAGTACCAGTGAGTACAATCTTCCTTATTGCTGATTTCTGTTGTCTTTTTGCGTTTTTCTGCTTGGATCTGACTAAATCTAGCTACGATAACTACCATTCTCAACTCGACTGTGGTTTTGTATCAGCCCTCTTCGGTCGTCGAGACTCAATATGCTACATCGACAGCTCTTGTCACAACGACTCAACCAGGCGCAACACCACCAGCTTCGACGATTTATCAAGAGCCATCGACAGCCTACGTCACTCTGGACCCGATTACTCTGGTGACCACGCTTGAGCAACCAATCGTCACCGTCACACCACAACCAGTAACTTGGACGTTCACGCCAGATGCACAGACTTCAACATTCGTCTCGTACTTGGACATCACTGACACGATCCCGATTACCTTGCCTCAAGAGACTGCCTATATCACCCCTTCGCCCGTGACCAATTATGTGACCCTTACTCTCGAACCCGAAACCACGACAATATATGTCCCGGTCACGCTTCCGCCGCTGATCGAAACGCTGCAAATTAACGTCACACCTGCTGCAGAAACGCAGATACAAACATTCACGGTATCGCCCGGGGTGGAAACTTTGCAGCTTACTACGACACTACCGCAGAACACTGACACGCTTTCGACCACACAAACTCTCGACATCACAAATTATGAGCCAACCGTCACTGAAACTTACACACCAATCTATGTACCACCTCCGCCATCTGGTGTGCCTGCGGTTGCTCTCGCGCGTCCGACAGCGATTGTCGGGGATGTGAACGGCGCACCGTCCAGTGTCGACGATGTCGCCTATTCTGTACGTATATCTCGGTCTTTTTCGGGCCTGGGCTCGGCTAACATGTCCAAAAGGTTTCACTCCCTGCGAACCTTACAATGTACAATCAATCTAGTGCAAATATTCGTGTTAGTTCCAACGGTGTAAGTTCTTTCAATACAGCCTTCTGAGGGTGATCTGACAGTATTCAGCTTCTGGGTTTGGTAGACCTCAACTGGGAATACACTAACTACGCTCTTCCGTACGGGGGCAACACGGGCTATGGAACCTCCTATCCCGCTTGTCTGCAGCAGCCACAACCTCGAACAGACACTAATGGCAACGTGTACCCAAACTCTTGCTTTGGTGATGTCGTTGCCTTCGGCCTCTGGGATGATCTTTTCATCTACCAAGGCACTCAACAAGGTATCTACTACGAGGTTGATGGCGTCGCTCCAAGCCGTCGGACGTCTTTAGTGTTTCGACAGTGACTAGTAAGTGGTACAATAATTCGATGCAAAAAGCGCTGGCTGACCAAGTATAGCCACTCTGACAAGTACACTCAGTTCCACTGTCATCTCCTATCAACCTTCGCTTGTTGTTGTGACAGAGTATGCAACATCCACGGCTCTAGTCACTGCTACCCAGCCAGATCAATTAGCTTCCACCGTTTACATCGATCCGTCAACTGCATATGTGACGCTCAATCCCTCGACTGTGGTTGTCACATTACAACAACCCGTGGTCACGATAACACCCGACCCGATCACACAGACTTCTATGTTGGATGCTCAGACATCGATATAGGTGTCAGTGCTCAATATGACTGAGACTGTATCCACTACTTTGCCTCAGGAAACAACTTATCTTACTGCCGATGCCTCAACACAATATGCTACCTTCACCCTTCCACCAGACGCGACAACAATCTTCATCTCAGTGACCCCTCCAACAGTAACAGAGGTTGTCAGTCTCTCAATCTACTTACCTGCGGAGACTCAAACCGAGATCCAGAGTCTGACACTGCCTGCGGAAGCTCAGACACTTCAAGTAACGCAGAGCTTGCCTGATGTTACAGAGACAGTCTCTGTGACTCAGACTTTGATGGCCACTCAGTATGGTCCTACGATTACTGAGACTTATGCATCGAGCGAGCCTAGTACGATCGATGGGGTTGCCTCGAGTCCATCTCCAAGCTCATCTTCGTCCAGCTCGTCTTCGTCAAACTCATCCTCGTCAGGCTCATCTTCCTCCTCCTCCTCCTCCTCGGCAGCAGCAACCCCCACTTCCATCTGTAACACCCCCTACACAGACCCCTCCGTCTCTCCCTCCGCCAACTACCAAATCAGTTGCACAATCGACTACCCAGCCGCAAATATCGTGCGTGAAGTAACTTCCTCTCTAATCGCATGCATCCAATACTGCAGCTCTAATTCCCAATGTGTGGCTGCGGTGTGGGTGCAATCGGGACAGGATCAACAGTGGTGTTATCTCAAGGATGCGAATACGGTTGCTCAGCCTGCAAATTTCCCGGATACTATTGTGGCATTTTCGGCTACGAGGACGGATATCTAGGGTGCGGGATCGGGCTTTAGGGACGGAGTTAGGAAGATATTGTTCAGTGATAGAAGACTAATATGATGGCGTTTTCTCTACTTGACCCCAGTATTGTGAATCCTCGAGGATACTGATTGCCTGTGTGAAGGATGGTCATGATCTCAGGAATGATGGCTCCATGGGACGTACAAGTGATCGAACGAAATATCATTTGAGTCTACTCGTACCTCCAGATCTTTGAGAGAGATCAGTGTGACACATCCGGAGACCACTCCTTCAGAAACGATTTTGGCCCTGGGATACCCCTTCGTTGCACTTTGCTCCATTCCAACAAATCTTTCTCGGTATCATGCTCTGGCTTCGGTTGTTGGTCGTCCCACTTCTTCCATTCCTGGAGCTGTTCATCAAACCCGTGTGCTTTGAGAGCTGCCACAAGCATCCGTGCCCATGCATCTCTGCCTTTGTCGTCCAAGGAGAAGCCACCAGTATTGGCGATCGGGACAGTGGCGACCCAGAACCTAGGGAAATAAGCCGCATTCGCCCAATCTATGACTGCCACAAGCTCATCTCCACTGTCTGACACAAGTATGTTGGTGGGACCCTGGTCGTCGTGGAAGAGAACCATAGTGTCATCGAATTGAAGCGGTGGAGCGGATGATATGCTACGCATATATTCTCGATACTCTGTTGCTGAGAAAGGCCCAATCGTTCGTGGGAACCAGTTGTGAATTGGACTGTGGTGATTGTAACCTTGCATAAGCCGTGGAGTACGAATACCATAACCTGAAATGGTTTGAAGGCGACCGCAAGTAATGGCGGCCAGAGTGGCAGTATGAGCTGCCACTTCTCTTGCGACATTCAAGCGTTGCTGATGGGTCATTTGCAGCCATGCAGATTCCAAAGTGCGAGCCTTAATTCGTCTCATTATGAGAAACGACCGGTTGATCGAAGGGTCGATCCAAGAATAGATGACTTTGGGGACTGGTATCGTGGGCGCTTGCTTACGAACAAAGGCAATTGTCTCTGATTCCGATTGATAGCTTTCCTTCCAAGCTTGAACCTTGCAGACTGCTTCGTTGCCAATGGTCCATACAGCATTTGCTGAGCCAGCCTCGTAAATCAGGCGGTGCTCCAGTTTCTCTTGAGGAAAATCATGCGGCAGGACGGGAGGAGTGTGCTCAGTCTTTGGCAAAAGGTAAACTACATTGTCTCCGTCTTGCCATGAGGCAAGACTGTCCAGTGGACGTGTAACACAGGCTCTGGCGCTCGCACATGCAACAGACGTGCCAATGTTCAGCGCCCCAGAGTCCGATCTTGAGATAGACTCGACGCCGCGCGGGTCCATTTCACTGTACGCAGTCAGCAAGGCGCCTGTAGGTTGTTTGGATCGAGCGGAAGACGTACCAAAACATTGCGATCAGATCAGAAGTATTACAACTCGATAGCGAGGAAGAATGAAATTCGAGTGTGGAAGTGATGAGAGTAACAAAGGAAAGAGCTTTTATATTCATCGCGTCAGGCAGCAATATAAGCGCCAGTGTATGCCGCGTGAGCCAATGCCTGCTGCACATAAGCGCTGGCATGCAGCTAAATGACGAACTCCGACATCTACTGGAAAGCGCGGATACCTAAGCGCCAACAGAGAGTGTATGCGCCCTGTGGTCACCCCTTCATGAGAGCTATTGGAATGGGAAAATGCATCATGCAGTAAGTCATTTACCTATGTTATAGTTAAATTGAACAGTCTTATCATCCAACTCCTTCTATCTAGCACAGTCTGGGCACATTGTATACGCCACATTTTTGCCAGTCGTCGATCATCTCACAGCTCCAGTTGTCCGCATCGTTGCTGTCTCCAGATCCTTTGTAAGTAGTGCGGTAAGGGAATCTGCAATGATGTCTCTCCATCTGCACACCCTGAGTGGGATCATCGTTGACAAATTTGGTACCAGTCATGGTATCTGGTGCCTCGCCCTTCTCAACCCAATTGACGATATCCCAAACCACATTTGAGGTACCATTCTGTGCGTTGCCATTTTGACCAAAGGCCCAGGCACCGATCCCGCCGGTGCAGTGGTACATGCCGCTGATGCGGAAGAAGCGCAAAAACTCATCAAGACCAGTGTGGTCAAGACCCATGTCGCGAGCGACATCTAAGTAATAACGTTGGGAGTTCTCTGGAGTGATGGCAGGATCCATAAGGCCATGATACATGATCAGCTTCTTTCCAGCAGCGTGGAAAGCGCTGAGATCGCTGTTGAAAGAAGAAACATTACCATGAAGCACATTTGTCTCATCGGCCTTTGTATAGTCCGTTTGAGAAAGAGTTAAAGGATCCCACGAGGAATCATTCCAAACACCTGCACCGAACCAGTCCTTGACATGGCCTTGGACGCCGTGCAAGACGCCATTGGTAGATGAGTACAATTCAGCTCCGGGAGAAAGGCGAGGATAGTAAAGGTTACCATCTGGGTCGTACAGCTGAGAAAAGACATTCCAAACGGTCGATGTTTGTTGGAAGGTGAGGCAGTTGTCGGTCTGGTTACCAACGCAGGTCAACTTGGTGGCATTGAAGTCGCAAATAGTTGAGTCCTCGATTATGCCATCAGCGACACCATCAAGAGGCTCGTCGCACTGCTTCAAAACTTCATTGTGGACAATGACCCAGTCGTCATAGGTGAGATACTTCGGGTCGCTCGCGTCTGCACCAGTGAGGACATACATTCTGCCAGACCAATCGATGTGGTGGTTGAAATCACTAGCAGCAGATCCTGCGATGATACCGTCAAAGTCTTCAGGGAACATTTGAGCAGACTGAAGAGCTTGGCGACCACCATTGGAGCAACCGATCATGTAGTTGTAGTCCGCGGCTCTGCCATAGTTCGTCTTGATGACCTGCTTTCCAGCCACGACAGCAGCGTGACGAGCTCTGTAAGACCAATCGATGACCAATTCGTTATTGTTCAAGAACTGTTGAGCATCCATGCCGAGGTATTCAGTGTTGTTGTGGCCGCCGTTATCACCTACAACACTGAATCCAAGGCTTGAGGTATAAATCATGTCGTCGTAAGAAGGGCAACCCGAGAGACCCTTGTTGTCGGTAGCCATGAACCTGCCATTCCAGGCATCTTGACCAGTAGGGAGCCAGACCTCGACATAGTTGGAAGAAGCGTAAGAGGTGACCACATCTAGGGTGACTCTGCGGAGATCGATCTGTACTGAACCGCCATTGCAGTTGGAAGGTCCATTGGGAAGAGTGAGAGCGGTTCCGGCAGTGATGTCTTCGCAATCAACAACATATACCTGTTGGTCAGGGAAGGATAAAGCTTGGATTAAAGCCTGGCAACCGGAAACAGCTTGGCCAGCGGAAGAAGAGTTGGTGGCAGCTGCAGTAGCTGATGTGGACGTGGCTGTGGATGTGGCAGCTGCAATAGCACTGGATGTCGCCGCGGCCTGAACGGTAGATGCAGCGGCTGCAGCACTTCCAGCAGTGTTTTTGTTTGTGAAGTGGAACATGCTGCTGATGAGCTGTCCAAGAGAGATAAAGTGCACCATGGCAGGAAAGGGCCCTTGAGGGGAGAAACGAGTGGCTTGGAAAAGATAAAAAGAAAGAATGAGAGACTTCTGGCACCAACAATCGACCAGATGGCACGAAGCAGTAAGAGATGCAGAAGGCAAGAACGATAGAAGTGCGAGCACCTACCTATGTATGCCCCATCCGTAATCGATCTGATCTACGACCAGGACATATACGCGGCAGATCCTTGACAGAAAATAGCAACTTCTTTCCAATCTCCGTGGTAGACCCATGTCATTGCGTGTTGAGCTGGGTGCATTGTATGCCGATGCGGCTCAGATGCAGGTACGGGTCGCAATGTGGATCTGAGACCTGGTCGCGCGCCGAGCACGCCGGGCCGTGTCATGTCGCAAGTGGAAACGGTCAAGCCACAACAGACTTCCTGAAACGGCTATCCACATCTTGCACTACCGAGAAGAATATCAAATAGTGCTCCTCGAAATTTGATTGCGCATGCTTTGTACATCGAAAAACACATGTTAATGACAAGAAGCTCGGTTCATGATTAGCAAATGAACAAAAGGTTTTGTCTCACGCGACTTTCACGAGCAATTACATGCTTTTTTGCTGCAAAGCAAGCCCTAAGCAGAAAAGTGACCTAGGGGGTGCAGATGCGACCGAGAGGGGACGAGCTCAAGATCGATCCAGAAGTTCTCGGTACTTTATCGAAAATTGTCATTGCACAAAGTACACACTCCGATGTCCTGTCTGACCAAATTGGTGCCGATGAGCCGTCGAAGGCCATCCCGGAGCGTGAGTGTGCTTCAAATGTGACATCCTTGCGACTCATATTGGCGACCTCGAATCACCTGGGATCAAGACTCGATAACCCAAGCAGGTGAGGCAGCAAATGCCAGAGTGGAGGCAGTTGACGTAGACGTGGCGGTAAGTTTTGGACATCAATCCCAGCTTAATAATCTTCGAAGCTGGTGTTTCCTGTCCATCAACAAGCATCATAAGCAAGATCATTCTGCTGATCATCACAATTCTTCTCTCCCTCTTTTCTCCCACCATCCTCTATAATCCTCTCATCAGCATCATCACAAAGCTTCCTATACCCCGGCACATTCATCAACACATCCACTTTCTTCGACATACCTACCTGTTTCCTCGTATAAATCGAAAACGCCCCATTAGCTTCGATAAATACACACTCCAACTCCGAAACATCCAGAATATTCTTCTGACGCAGGGAAGCGTAAAAATCTCCTAGACAAATGCGATGGCGAACCATGACTTTGGTCAATAGTTTACCACGGAAAGCAATGATTATTGGTGGTGAAGTCAAGATCCAACCATGTTGAGAGGGCAAGCGAGCGCCGATAAAAGACATCAAGTATTGAAAACCTAGGATGGTGCAGAGGGATAGAAGACCTCGGACGAGGGAATTTCCATTGCAGATTCCGGCTAATGTGCTGCCGATGGCGACGTTGGCGATCCAGTCTGTGACGTTCATGGCGGCGATGGAACGGTTGCTGAAGAAGCGGAGGGAGGTAAAGAGGACTATAATGGCTATGGAGCCAATGACCAGTGGATGCAGGATAGAGGCTTTGACAAAGAAGTCTGCTACTTGGATGGTGTCTGGGCCTGCTACTACCAGAGTGCCATTGCTGCCATCGGTACCTGAAGACATGATGATTTGGTTTTGATATGATGGAGACAGAGTAGTTGTCGTAAGAAACACAAAATGGGAGTTGCTCTTGTTAGTATATCTCCATCACCGAGGTAGATCTGCTCGTCTTCTCATGCCCTTGGTTCGTAGGCCAAGCCTGGCCAGGTACTGCACGTCATGTTACAGGTACCGAGCTTTTTATACTTTTGCTCAGCTCTCACCTTCTTCGACTTTGTGATGTACCATATCTGTCCTGCAGACATGTCGATCTGGAAGATCTGGAAGACTGAACAACTTGCTTACTGCCAACGCAAGTTTGTAGTGCAAACTACATATAACCTCATGGGTGCCTTCCATGTGCCGTCCTCGTACCACCAGCCCTCAAACTCAAAACAGCATAAACTTCTGCTTGCCGTGTTTCATGAGTCCGGTCTTGCGGCCCAGGAAACTCTATACATGAATGCTGATGGAGGTACATCCTGGCTCTACGATGGCATGCCGTCTGCAGCATGCTGACAAAAGTACTTCAACTGCACAGTGACGGTGATCGAGGTCGGTGGCTTCGAAGAAGTTTGAGAGGTCAACAGCAAATGCATTGCCTCGAAGCTAATCTACCTGATTGCCGAGCATACCAGGTGACCGATGTACCAAAAGTTCCAAAACATCTCTAGCTACGTGATCTAGCTGCTTGCGTGCAGTATTATCCGTCTACGCAGCTTCTCTGCGGAAGAAGTAGACGTAGGCAAACTTCTTCATCTCGTCAACATCTCCACCCAATGCAACCTTCTCGTCGTTGAACAGAATCCATCCAGGATCCTTGCGGATAAAAGCGACATAGTGACTATTATGCTTGTTAGTTCAGTTCGTTCGGCAAGCTATCAAGATGAACTCACCCAGCATGAATTGAGCTGCCTTTGTGGCATACGATGGACTGAAGCTTAAATTTGGCAGGCTTGTTGTCTTCCACGGCTGCCTTTGGCTCGTTCTGCAAAACACTCGTTAGCAAACTGACTGTGAAAGCATCGCTTTTTGCCTGAACTCACCTCAGCCTTGTCACCAGAATCCTGTTGCTCGTCTCCAAAGTCACCTGTCGCCTCAGGGTGGTTGAACAGCCATTCAACTGCACGCTCCATGTCACCGTTGGTCTCTTTCAATGCCTGGCGTGCCTGAGGTGGTTCGAAGCCCATATTTCCAAGCATCTCAATCTTTTCGGGATCGACTGCGCCGCTGGCACCAGTATTAGCTCCTCCTGAGAGGTCCATGGGTTCGTCAATGTCTGGATCTTCCATGTGCTCAAACAACCACAAGCTTGCTGTCTCCGCATCTGTGTTGCCAGTAGCATGGAGTGCCTTCTCACATCTAACTCGAGGGAAACCCATGGCTTCAAGCATACTCAGAGCAACCTCGTTGGGGACGAAGGCATTCGATCCGGCACTGGCATCGGCGGCATCGTCGGGAAGGAGCTCTTCACCAGGCTGTTGACCCTGGCTGCGGTAAGCTTCGAAGTCGATAGTACCCTCATCAACAATGACGGGAACATCTTGTTTGGTAGGGACCCAATTCACGATTTCGAAGCGACGAGCGTTGACGGCCAGGACGGTAGGGAAGGTCTTGAAGAGGGACTGCTTGCTGAAGTTCTTGCCTCCACATGCACTGCAATTCAGCTCAACCACTTCTGGTGCAGTGAACTCATCTAAGCAACGTTGCAGAGTCACAGACTCAAACTCCTCGGCCTCCTTTTCCGCAGAGCCATCAGGTCCAGGAGTCACGCCTTCCATCTTGGTGTCCTTGGGCAAACGCTTAATGGGCACGGCCACTGAGATGTTCTCAACCTCGTCTTGACGATAGCGGACCTTGTTGCAGTTCAGGCATTGTAGCTTCTGTTCCATGACGAAGCGGAAGGCGTCAATGGGGTCTGAGATATCCTTGTAGTGGTCCTTTGCGGCACGTTGTGAGCGAGAGACGAGCTTGAGCAGATGAAGCAAGAACTCAAAGGCATCTTGTTGGCGCATAGTAGAAAACTCCTCGTGGCCTCTGCCAATAAGATGCTTGAGCATGGCAGGAGCCAGACCCTTCTGATGCGGTTGTTCTGTAGTATCTTCTGAGGCGATAACATCCGAGTTGGGGACAGCATAACGTCCAGAGAGTAGGCCATCGGCCATCTTGCGAAGCTGGATCTCAAGATCTTCAGCGGGGTTCGATGTAGGTGGTAGCTTCTCGTCAGGACGGTAGTATCGCTGGGCGAATTCGGGCATGGCGAACAAGCTTTGGACAATACTAGCAAGGTAGCAGCTGTTTCCAAGGTTCTTCAGACCAGTAAGACCAGGACCACACATAGGTTTGAGTTCCTTGCCATCCTCATTGGTCATGCTGAATTCCCAACGTAGGTTTTGCTCAAGTTGCATCTCTGTCAAACTCTTTTCCGTCTTCTCGCGACCAGCAATGTCGATGCCCCAGTGGGCAAGATGGGCGACAAGTTCGGGATCAGTACGTTCTTCGTTGCAAGCGTAGCAGTAGATGTCGGCGTTACCATCGGCGGTCAGAGAGCCTAGCTTCACGGCGACAGGGTGTCCAGTAGAATCGGTATGAGCCACGCCGTGTGAGTTGCCGCCAACACCACCAAACTGAGCTCTTCCGCAACCCAGGTTACCACAAGTAAGACATAGCCACAGATTCTGGTTCAGATCGCACTGAGAACAGTGACCGAGAGCTTGCGAATGGATCTGGCGAGCAGCCTCTTGCTCTAAACACAGCGTGTGCTCACACGGAACCATCTCTTGCTCCCATGCCTTGACCTCCTCTTGCTTTGCGAAAGTGTTTGCCTTGAGCACACCGTCAACCACGGCGGCGAGAGTTCCCTGGCTCTTGTCTAGATCATTGTTGCCACACTCGAAACATTTGACGGACGAGACGGTGTCAAAGCGATCTTCCTCTGTCTCGGCATTGATGGCCAGCTTCGACATCTTTTGTGGCGGCTCATCTCTGTGCTTTTGCTTGCGTGTGCGCTTGATGTTGAGAGCTAAAGGGTGACTAGCTTCTCGAGCGTGCTTTGCGGCATGCTGGCGTTCGGTGGCACATCCTCCGTTGAAGCAATGCAGACAGACGTCGAGGCCTTCGGGCGAGTCGATGCTGTCGAAGCAGAGTGTGCAGTCCTCCCTGTAGACAGATTGATTGGGTCGAGGTGGGCTGAGTGATGCTGACGATATGTGTGGACAGGTTGACATGATGGACGGGATACGATAGAGTGAAACAGAAGAAAGAGGAGGAGGAAGTGGCAGCTCGATGAATTGTTTGCTCTCTCGTGCTCGCAAGCTCCAACTCCGGCTGCGTCACGACCATCAACAAACGCGGGGTCAAACTCCGCCACCCGAACATTTCACTAACGCCGCATCACCTTCAAACGTTTTGGTTAAATTCTCTCCTTCATTACGGCGTCACAGCAATAAGTTAAGATATTTTGTACACGAAGTCGTCCATCTCTTCAGCCCTCCAGGCTCCAGCCTAAACTCCCATTTCCATGTCCATACTCCATTCGCTCGCCAACTTTCTAGCATAATACCACGGACTCCCCTTGGGTCCATCATCATCTAGTTGACAAACAAACTGTCATTGTCAGACAGGCTGTACTGCTTGATCATGTCTGCAAGCTTCTTGCCTTCTGCCGACCAGTTGACAGGGCCTGCTGATGACACTTGGTAGCGTACCCTGTATTCTGTTAGTGTCAACCCTCAAAGATGAATCGCGCCGCTGCTTACCTCTGCTGGTCTTGGAATGTGTCCATCTTGGCTCTGCATCTGAAGACGTAAGTCTGGCAGACGGCGTTGGCGAAAACTTCCTTCTCGCCGTTGCTCATCTCATCTCTCATCTTCATGATGTCGTTGGCAGGTCTGCCCATGATCATTCTGCCCACATCGTCGAACAAGCTGAGCCACATCTGTCCTGTGTGATCACTGACGTTGATGCTCATGATGTATCTCCATTCAGGATTGGGCCAGCCCTTGTCACATCTCTCACAGCGCCATTCTCCTTCTGCAACCTCGACCACCTTCTTGTTGCATCCCTCTGACAAGCAAGCAGGGTAGGCGAAGGTGGTATCTGATTTGACGAAGACGATGGTTGCTTTCAGGGAGAAATAGTCTGTCGACTCACCCATGCCCAAGTTCTCGTCACGCACTTGGGCAATGGTCTTCATTTGGTCGTTACGGCCACTCGTTGATGTCGTAGCCATGCTATTGGCGTGTGATGAGAATGTGTCGTTGCGGCCCTGAGCGTCGTACCAGCCCTTGAGCTTGTGGCCCTCGTCAATGTCGGGGTTGACATTCATTGTGCCGGAAGACAGGAGTGAAAGACTGCGACCGCCAAAGTCGCTGACCTTGACGCCCTTGAATGCAATTACAGTCTCCGTGGGAACATCAAAGTTGAGTGCAGTGTTGCCCCAAATGGTCAGGCGAACATTGTAGCCGGTGTTATCGACCAGAGTCAGCTCTCTCTTGCTGAATGGCTTGGAGGTAGTCTTGGAAACGATCTCGTTAACATCGCCGACTTCCTTGAGCACACCAATAGTATCGATAGTTGTGTCCTTCTCGACGCTCTGAAGGTCGGCGAGGGTAGTGAAATTGTATGTGATTTGAGGAACGCCCTCGTTGTCTTCTGCCTTCTCAATGCTGGTGTCTCTCTCGAAGGTGAGCTCGTAATCATGGTTAACGTTGGAGAATTGCTTCTTGGCCAATTGGACCTTGCAAGAAGACACGTAGTAGACTGAACCTTCTTGCAAAACATCGTACCACTGGTCTACAGCCTCCTTGAAACCAGTCGCTCTGATCTCGCCACTCTCGTCGAGGAAATTGCAGCTGAAGAGCTTGCCCTCGCCGTTCTTGTTGTGCCACGTCTTGATTTCACCCTTGTGCGAACATCTGGCCTTGATGGTCCATCTGGGCTGGTATGGTGATAGAGCTTCGATGGGATAGATGTTGCCTCCATGAGGAGCGTTCTGGGAACGTGTGGGCAGTTGTCTTTGTGGAGCCGATTGTTGCGGTTGGGGCTTGTTGCCGTAGAACTGGTTGCCGGAGATGCCAGCAGGTTGTGCTTGAGGAGCTGGTGCTGCAGCTGGTGCTGGAGCGGCGGCAGGTTCGGACTCAGACTTGACTACCTCGAGCGGACCAGGCTGCCCAAGCTTCTCGCACTCGCCATATTCGTCGAGGACTTCAAGGTCGATGATAACAAGGATACTGTACAAGAGTCAGAGAAAGCAAAATGCATGCAGGATGCGGCACTCACGGCTTATCCTTGACTGAGTTGGCCTGGAACGACTTGAGCTTGACAAGCGAGCCCTTCTTCAGCTTGCCGTCGTGTACGATGTGGTTGGTCTGTTGAGCAAGCATGCTCTGGATGAAGTTGACAGTGTCGTTGAAGACGACGCGGAATCTCTCAACACCAGTCGCTGAGTTGTTCATAGGCTTGATCTGAACACATTGAACAATGGGGTCGATGATCTGCTCGCCAGCGAAGACGCGGCGAAGACAGCCTGTCGTGATGGCGTCCATAGGGTTGGCCATGATGAGGTGCACTGATGCTTGCTTTCGTGTTTCTAGTTGTTACACACGTCGTGAAAAGCTTCCAGGGAATGTTGGCGGCGAAGTGAAGTTGATTGTCCCAATCTAAGAAGTTGCTGCGGAAAGAAGGCGTGGGTTGCCTGCGACGCGCCTTCTGCAACAAATCTACCTGGAGACGCGTCTCGCGTAGAAGTGATTTCTTGGCGCTGGGGTTCATAATTCTCGAAGGCATCAAGATGGTATCATCTCTAACATCACCGCTCCCGAAACACAAATGTATCTTGCAAAGAGTTGAGCAATCTTCTTGACTAAGATCTCGTATGCTCGCTGTAACATGGCGGATGCCTCAATTCTGATACAAGGCAAAGACTTCAAACAACGGACATCTGGATGCTTGGCAACCATATCTGTCTAAGGGTGCTTCAAAGGCCAGTCTGCTTCACCAACGCCAGCTTTACCGTTGTGGTCTTGCCTTCTCCGCTACCTAGAAGGACATCTGATGCAACCGACGTCCAATAGCCAGGTCGACGTCGACATGCTCGTGGTGTCGGCAAGGAGATAGAGGCTACGGAGTGGAAACACGATTACCATTTACATGGAAAGACAAATAAGAAGGTTCGATCAATGAAACAGCCAGGTAGACCTTGAGGTTGTTCTTTGATCAACACAACATACTTACTGTCGACAAGGAGAAAGACTTTTGAATTGCAACCACGATTTGACCATTCAACTAAGCATGACCAAGGGAAGTGGTGGCCATTGGCCAGGATATCAGGTTTGCGATCTTTGATTATCAAAGAACATCTTCCGTCTCGCTCCAGCTTCTTGCACAATCTCAGCACTCAACCTCAAGCTTGGCGCAAGATGAGCCAATCTGTTTAACTCTGCAACCACATCGGAGATGATCGCTTCCACAGATATCGTAGGAGGAAGGAGAGCAGCAAGTTTGGGTGACATGGTGGCACCCATGACCAACAACGTCTGTGAGACGAGACTCAGAGCACCCTGCCAAAGATATGGAAGATGTCCGACTTGACTGAATTCCTATTAGCTACATGCTCAAGATTTGAACAAGGGAAACACTCACTGTGCAGAAACATGATCGATCTGCCTCAAACATGCTTCAAGACACTTTCGACAGTTTTCTTTCACCACCGGATCCGCAACCGCATTCTCGTCCGAGAGCACGGCAAAGACGTAAGGTCGGAAGATGATGGTCCGACATGCAAAATATCGTAATCTCAGGCAAACTTGACCAGGCGAACCCGAACTGATTGTCGTCATTGGAAACTTGATTGGTGATGGAAGACCCTCAAACCACTGTGACAGCTGGAAGTCCAATTCTGCAGTGACTCGCGCCAGCTTCGAGGTCGGAGCAGTCGTTGGCGTCTTGACATAGAGTAGATGACTAACTCTATTGAGAAGTCTGCGTAGCGCAATCTCTGCAAGGAAATACCACAACTCATCCTTGCTAGTGTATTCACCTTCTACGTCGGAGAAAGGACCAGGTAGGCCCACTATGTCTTCGAAGTTGACAATGCCAGAGTGTGGTAGCTCCAATTCTGCAAGCAAGTCTGACTCGGCCAAGAGAGTGTCCCAGAACAGCCTCACAAGAAGCTCTCTGTGCATAGCAGGTACCCTGTCCGGCACACCAAGCACCAGCTGTAATTTTGTGGAAGCAATAGTGATCATGTTCCATGCCTCGAGTGGTCGGACAAGGTAAAACAGGTATGCTGCGGCTAGTATGTGGCATTGAATGGCTGGTATGTCGTTCCGTATCGCCAGATTTGGTATGATCTTCCAGGCCGAAGCGAAGTAATCAATGCCACGAGGTTCCACGTTATGTGGATGTCTTGAGATGCTTCCACCATGAGCTGCCGCGCCTAACGCAAGAACCAACATTACCAGACAGCTGTCTGCTCCTTGGATAAAGCCAACTGAGGTAGCGTCACGATAATGGGCAGACCACGCATTTGGATTGACACATGCATACCAGACATTTACCAGATCAAAATATGAGGATGCATAGACTGCTGTATTCGCCATGTCCGGCCGAGGGAAGTGTGGGAGGTTGATAGGAGGTCGGGACATCTCCATTTCGACTAGAACCTGCGGATCCAAAGGTTGCGAAACTAGATCGCGGATGAGTGGCCATTGTAAGAGGTTTAAGGCAGGTGTGGTATGTCCTTTGGGCATAGTCGAGATGTTGACACTACTGTCCCAGGTTCCCAGTCCGTTCAATCGATTGTTTTCCAGAGCAATGCTACAGCTGATACGTCTTGCAGCAGTATCATCTGTAGTGCTAGTGCTTGCGGCAGGGGATGTGCCTATATGAGCTGCTGCCTTGGTAGCATTGACGCTCATTTGTGCGCTATTCATGGCAGATTGTAACATTTCCTCAAGATGAGACAATCTTTCCAAGATGAGTTTGTCGCCTGCATCAAGTTTGATGCCAGGTTCCCGATAAACACATCGCGCGCCGAGTTCAACACACAATTTGCATCTCGCTACCCTGGTGATCAGCCGAGACAAGATGTTCGGTCAGGAGTGACATACGTTTTCCGCCATCGCATCTTGACTTGCGACTTCGGCAGATCTCGCAAGCAATCATGGCTCTCTTTCGAGGATAATCAAGTGGCTCATGAGCCAGACCCCGCGATGGAGCTTCGTTCGGCGTGCCATCTTGAGTCGTACCGTCTTTCGGAGATTCTGACACGGTTCGCGGCCTTTTAGATGGACTTGCCTGCGACATGACTAGATCTCAAAGCTGCAAATTCGTAAAAAGAATTCGCGTGGAAACTAGAGGGCGGCTTCCTCGATTAAAGATGTTCAACAGGAAGGTCTCAGAGGCAGAAGGAGACGTGTTCATGTTCCTGCGAAAAGATTGCTGAGTACAACCGTGCGTATTGGGCCTTCACGCAGGATTGAAGAGCTTGTATCGTCACATAATAGAAACATTGCGGTAGGTAGACGAGTTGCAGGACAAAGAAGACGATGCGGAGTCGGTGATTTGATCCTCTCCACCTTCCTCGTTCTCTCAAGACCGGGGGTCGGCCTCGGCCCGCTCACGCTAGCGCGTTTAGCCCGCAGATGGCATGAATTTTTTTGGATCCCATCAAGAGGCGTCGCATCTTTGTCGCATACACAACCCAACACATTCACAATGGGCAAGAGAGAACGCGAAGAGGCTGCGGCCACTGTTGACGCCGAGTCCCACAAGAAGGCAAAGAAGGAGAAGAAGGACAAGTCTGAAGATGCTGAGAAGGCCGCTCGCAAGGCTGCCCGCAAAGCCGCAAAGGCCCAGAAGAAGAGCGAAGGAACTTCTGGCGAGACCGACGCCGACGAGGCAAAGGCAGAGGCCAAGAGACTGAAGAAGGCTGCAAAGGCTGCTGCTAAGGCCGAGTCAGCGGCCACCTCGACCACCCCCTCCGAGACCGTCACCGCTCCTGTCGCCGCAACTCACGGCTACACCGAGCACCCTGGTCTGACCGCCCTGCCGCAATCCGAGATTGACGCCTTCATCGCCGAGAAGTTCATCACCGTCACCGATGAGGCCAAGGCATCGCCCGCCTACAGACCCATCACTTCGTTCGACTACGTCCCCATCACCGACAAGGCCCAGCGCGCTCCCTTCGCCAACTTCAAGACCCCCTCACCCATTCAGGCTGCCGCCTGGCCCTACCTCTACGCCGGAAGAGATGTCATTGGTGTTGCTGAGACTGGTTCCGGCAAGACCATGGGTTTCGGTGTTCCCTGCATCAGATACATCTCTTCGCTCTCTGCGAAGGAGCAGAAGAAGGGCATCAAGGCCTGCATTGTTTCTCCTACCAGAGAGCTTGCTGTCCAGATTCAAGAGCAGCTTGTCAAGCTGGCAGAGCCTGCTGGTCTCAAGACTGTCTGTGTCTACGGTGGTGTCAACAAGGACCAGCAGCGCGCAACTCTCACTGGTGCTCACATCGTTGTCGCAACTCCCGGTCGTCTCAATGACTTTGTCAGCGAAGGCTCAATCGACCTCAGCAATGTGACCTACGCTGTTCTGGACGAGGCCGATCGTATGCTTGACAAGGGTTTCGAGGAGGAAGTCCGTAAGATTCTCGGAAGCTGTGCCCCTACCGGTCGTCAAACCCTCATGTTCACCGCAACCTGGCCTCCATCAGTACGCGAGCTTGCTGCTACTTTCATGAAGAAGCCTGTGCGTATCAACATTGGTGAGAACACCACTGGAGAGCTGCGCGCCAACACTAGAATCGTTCAAGAAGTTGAGGTCATGGACCCTTACGACAAGAACGACCGTCTTATTGCTCTTCTCAAGAAGTACCAGAGCGGCAAGAACAAGGAGGACCGTATCCTGGTCTTCTGCTTGTACAAGAAGGAAGCCACCAGAATTGAGGGCTTCATTCGTTCCAAGGGCTTCAATGTTGGTGGTATCCACGGTGATTTGAGCCAGGATCAGCGTCAAAGAAGTTTGGACGCCTTCAAGGCAGGCAAGGTTCCTCTTCTTGTTGCTACCGATGTTGCTGCCAGAGGTCTCGATATTCCTGCAGTCAAGGTTGTCATCAACGTTACTTTCCCCTTGACTGTCGAAGATTACGTTCACCGCATCGGTCGTACTGGCCGTGCTGGACAGGACGGTAGAGCCATCACCTTCTTCACTGACCACGAGAAGGGTCTTGCTGGTGCTTTGATCAACGTTCTCAAGGGCGCTAACCAGCCCGTTCCTGAGAGCTTGATGAAGTTCGGAACCACTGTCAAGAAGAAGTCTCACGACGCATACGGCGCCTTCTACAGAGATCCTAGCGAGATGAAGGCTGCCACTAAGGTCACTTTTGATGACTAGTTTTGTTGTTGGGTATACCTGAATGGAGCATGCATATCACGGCGTTATGGAAAAATTTTTGTACGACATAGATGGTCCTTTAGTTAGAGTCGAACCAAAAGTATTGTCTGAACCTGACAAAAGACCCTACCCATGTGTCTTGTGACTTTGATTCGCCTTGAGGAGTAAGCCCATGCTCTTGCAAGTGATCATTGCTTTGGACACGGGCCTTGGCAGATTTCGGGGATGACAGCGGGCACCGTTGCGGACCATTCTTCACGTCGGCGACCTTCTCTTCTTGATTCTAGATATATAGTTTCTGCAATAGCTTCAGTCCTCGACGAAACAACCTTTCGATTCAACCTTCATCAATCGATCAGCAAGAATGTGTAAAGGCGCCGTGTGTGACAACTGCAGTAGGATTTCCCCGCCACTCAACGCATCTCGCATCTCAGCCAGCCTTGCCTTGATAAACTAATATCCCAGCCTTCTTGCTGACCGCTTCGATAGGCAAGCGCACTTGGTTCGGCTGTGGTATGCATGTACCATCAGTCATGGACTCAGTCCCCAAGAGCGAATGGTGTGACTGCGAGCCAAAGACCGAAAAGAACGGCACAGAGTACCCTCCCATGGGTAAGCTTGATCGTACATTTTGTATTGCATAAGTCCGAACTGATGACTTGCAGGTAGCATGACTGGCGTAGCGAAAGCTATGGTAGGAAAGTAGCAGTGTTTTCTCTCTTCGATTGGATACATCACATTTGATGAATTTGGATGTTTTGTTTTTTGGACTTGCTCGTCGTCTTGGACTTGAAGCACGATAATCGAAATCTTGGATTCCACGATCTGGCGACCAACCTTCTGCCTTCTTCTTGCAGCTGTGACTTCATTGCTCTGCCCAGTGATCCCGCCATACCAACCATCTGGATTATATGGTTTTGAGTTGCATTGGCTCCTGCTTCACCAATCTTACATTCTTGCTGACCAGTAATCTGTGTTTCCCAACCCCTCCTGTAGCGCCACATCGAAAGGACGAGCGCATCAGAAGAGAGTCAATTGCTACCAATTTTTTCATTCGTCGTCAAATGTGTACATCCGCTCAATCAAGGATGAGGAGCCAGAACAAGGTTTTGAGGAGCCGAAGTTTGTACCTTACAAGGGGCCAAGTCTTTGACCTTGGTCGCCCTGTTTCCTGCAGAAAGTGACAATGACTTTCATCACAAGGCAGAAAATGCCATGGCAGACAATAGCGCCTCAATGATGCACTCCACACAAGGTAACTAACTCGATGGCCTCAGCAATAAAATGACAGCATAGCACAGTTGTTCCAAGGCTGCTGACTATGGCTGGCATTAGATATCCAGCCTTTTTCTTTCTTAGATCTGCGGGTTTCCTCTTTGTACGAGCATCTCTTTCCTCAATCTCAGCAGTGTAACATGTCCCACGCAAGCGAAGCACAAGCGGGTATCCTTAGGCCCATGTTCTGGGCTCATGTGTCCACAGACGATGCAGGCTTCTCTAGCATTCTGCACATGCGGGAGTCTGCTCACCTATCTTCTAACGAGCAGAGTCACGGCCCAATCTCGACTGCGAGCTCTATATCCAGTACGAGGTCAAGCCATTCTCATAGCGAGTCAATCGCCTCAACTTGTTCAACGGTCTCGACAGACATTACAGCCTCATCGCTCGAGAGCTCTGAAACAGAATATCCAGTCCAAATCAGAATCCAGCAAACACCACAAAAACGCAAGCCAGTACTGCGAAGATGCTGGTCACCCATCACTGAGAGCTTACGCGAAATACGACAGAGGCAATCCGAAGAAGACCTGCGCAATTTGTACGAAGCGCAGACTCTGGCATATCTGAACGATGCGATCCAATTCTGAAGCTTGCGAGTACGACGAACACGGCGACGCCTGGAGCATTGTTGCCAGGAACGAGAGAGCTTAATAGAAAGAAGATTGGCGGAAGCCTCGGCTGGAAACCAAAATTGCGTCACGGCAAAACGACCCCACCAAAAAACATCACGGTGCTTACTAAAGCCTCATTTTGACAATTGCCGACTTATCCTTTTGCGACATTGATCTTATTTTTCTGTTTGGACATATATTTACTTGCGAAAATTGATCATTGACCTTACACCTTCACGATCTTATATTCTACAAAACTAGTCACAATGGTTACCATGCGTGCAGTCGGTACGTCTCCATGCTGACATCTGAAGCTTTATCGGAGCTCTCAAAGCTCCTCAAAAACATCCAACTGACAAGAACTACAGATATCAAGGATGGCAAGGGCCCCGCCACCTCTCTCTTCATCAACGAGATCGAACGTCCTACACCCACCGCCGCTCAAGCTCTCATCCGCGTCAAGGCCTTTGGTCTCAACCGCATGGACCTGATGCAACGCGAAGGCCAATACCCCGTTCCTCCCCAAGCCCCCAAGACTCTCGGTGTCGAATTCAGTGGTATAATCGAGGAACTAGCTTCAGAAAGCGAGAGCGGTTTCAAAAAGGGCGATGCTGTGTTTGGATTGGCGTATGGTGGTGCTTATGCAGAGTATATTGTTGTGAGCACGCACATGCTCGTCCACAAGCCTGATGAATTGAGCTTTGAGGAGTGTGCTGGTATCCCCGAGGTTTGTTTTTCTTTCCCCCTTCCACTCCCTCGTCTACGATCTTGTTGCTGACAAGAGGAAAATCACAGACATGGATCACAGCCCTGCAAGCAATGTACATGGTCGCAGAATACAAACCCAACCAATCCATCCTCTGGCACGCCGGCGCCTCCAACGTCTCCATCGCCGGAATCCAACTCTCAAAAGCAGACTCCGCCTCCAAAATCTTCGCCACAACCCGCTCGGACGAGAAGAACAAATTCGTCGTTGAGAAGCTTGGTGCTACTGCTGCTTTCAACTCTGAAACCCAGGACTGGGCCGAGGAAGTGCTCAAGGCGACAGATGGCAAGGGTGTAGACATTATTGTCGATTTCATGGGTGCGGGCTTCTTTGCTGGTAACTTGAAGGCTGCGGCTAGAGATGCGCACATCGTTACTCTTGCTGCAATGACGGGATTAAAGTTGCCTGCCGAGACCGAGATTGGCGCTTTCCTATTCAAGAGAGTGAGACTGGAGGGTTCGACGCTGAGAGCAAGAGACGAACAGTACCAGGGCAAGTTGAGGGATCAGCTTGTCGAACACGCTCTCCCCAAGTTCAAGGATGGTTCTTTCAAGGTTTACGTTGAGAAGACTATCGATTGGGAGAAGATTGTTGAGGCGCATCAGCTCATGGAGTCTAACAAGACCAAGGGCAAGATTATCATGACCATTGACTGGTAGAGGAGCTCAGTTGTACGTAATAACACACTGCATACGAAAAACGAAGTCACATTTGATCGTCTTGGTTCGAAAACTTCCAGTCTGGTCAAGTGCCTGTCTCACAGAGTGTCTATCATGATAGTAGGAACCTTGCACTGCTAACAATACAAATCAGTGATACGCGATGGCTTCCTCCCCTCCAACCTCACACAATGGCCAATAACAGCATCAGCCGCCAGCTTCCTCGCAGGTCGATTCCACCTCTCTCTGACACGAGACCACATCACCTGAATCCCAAGCCTTGACAAGGCCTCGATTTGATCAAGAAGATCGACCAAAAAGTCCTTTTCGCCAGGTTCACCAATATCCAACGAGCTTCGAAGTTGGTTACTCGACTTCCAGCTGCTTATTTCGTCCAGCAAGACTTGCGAGTCGGTTGCAACTATAAGTTGGAAGCGTGCGACTGCTTGGACATCAATTTCTGACCAACCGTAGTGCGAGGCAGCGCTTCGCAGAGCTTGTATCCTGTCTGGAACAATCGCTGTACGGACTGTTTGCAGTGCACTCCTCGCTGCTGCCAAATGAGGGACCAGACCACGAGATCCCGAACGAGAACACTCCAGCTGATATGTCATATTGAAGGAATTGGAGATGTTCAAGATGGAATGCTCGTTGAAGAACACTCCAATACCCGCAGGCCTGAAGTATTGATGTCCTTCATCTAAGGACACTGCTGCGATGAATGCTACAAGCGATCTGCTGGTGGCGCCTTCTGCGTCGTGATGTGTATGGTGAAAAGGGTGGGATGCCCCTACTGCTTTTTTGCCCTCTAAGTTCGGACGAAGCCATAGCAGATTGCAAAGGTCACAATCGTGTAATCGTAGGTTGAGCTGAGAAGGGAGAGCAGCATCATCTACCGTCCATCTAGTGGATTCTGTTTCGTCCAGGGAACCAAGCGGTGTTGAGTCCGACATCATGTCATGGCGTTGGACTGGTGGCTCCTGAATCTGGTTTTTTCGTATCTGGATTTCCAGGTCTTTTGCTTCGTCCGCGCTTGTATGGACTTTGTCAACCACAAAAGGCGGTTCAGATCGGTATTGGGAATGGTTCAAGATACTCCCGAGATGTCTCTTGGAGCTCGAGGAGAAAGTCGAGAGCTCTTCTTGGTGGTAGGTGCTACAAGGTGGAGGTAACCAGAGTGACGAAATGCACGAGATGTGCTTGGCCTTTCTGACGGAAGCAATGGTTCTCCTTGGGCTGAAGTCCGTAGTCGTGTTTGTTGTTGAATCGTCCTGAATCGGGAACAGATCGTCGATCCATCTCTTGACAAGAGAGGACCTCATGTTTGTGAGCGATGGATACCTAGGTAGTAGGTGTGATGAATGGCATAAACTTGATAAAGATGGACAATACCCAGAGCTATCGCGAGTGGATGGGCGAATGTGATTATACGGATGTGGTAAGCAGACTTGGAAATAGGAGATTGCCAAAGGAAAGAGCTTGAAGTCGAAATCGGGCATGTGCTTGCGGGAGAGAGGAAGGAACGAGTCTTAGAAAGACCCTTTCCATTCTCACCGCTCCACAAGAGGCTCTGAGACATGGAGTTGTCATGCAAGCAAAATCTCATGAACGAAAAGATTCACCGAAGTAATAATCTTGAGAAGACGCAAGTTGAGCCCAGTTTCTGTTGTTGATGATGAATACGTCTAACCGGTAGAATCAATCTTTGCAAGGCTTTTGACATCAAATGCACACTGTCAAGATCAAAATCAAGTTGCGGTGAGCGAAGAGACACGCATTCCGTCTAGAAGCTTAAGGAAGGTCGGTCGGGAGAGTCTGCGTGCTGCTGTCTTTGTTTCAGTCCGCACGGGTACCTGCATATTCACCCCTGGAAGAAGCTTCCATCAATCTGCAAACCATCTGCCTGTCAAACGATAAACCCATGATCTCGCGCGTACTTTGCGTTTGTCGTTGCATAGCATAATAGTTCATAGGCGGAATCTTACTGGGAGACTTGCCCTCGAGAAGCAATTATGTCAGCACAGGTCCAATCTTTAGAGTACTGGAGGCCTGCGGTATACCCTCACCTGAGTCAGTGTGACTTCCCGTCAACAGCGGCTTGCCACAGCGAGAGTGCGTTTGTTCCCGCTTGCAGGTCTCAAAAAACAGCAGTGCGAACAAAGCAAGACCAGTCTTTACCAAGCAGAGATTGAGGACCATCTGTTGGGTCTTCAACCCATATAAGCTCACTGCTCACCGAGGTACGTTCTTTCCTTCTACAACTCGCCGCTCCTGCCTCCAATCTAATCCAAGAGTCAAAAGGCCGACCTCGCAGTCTGCTCATCAATTTCAGCATCTAGCTTATATCTAGCCTATCTGGTCCAGCATCGTCAGTATCACTCACCACAGTTGTTGCACCCACCTTTTCATCTTACCTTCCTATTCCACCTTCTCTTCATACACTACCGTCGCTTTTCCTTGCTTCGTGTCTTCACCTAGTCTTCATTGACTCACCTTCTGACCTATGCTTCCAGTCTCAGACGCTTCGTTGGCTTCGAAGTCTCAAGAGACTTCTAACCTTCCAACAACACCACCTGAAGCACTTGCTCTTCATTCTTTCCTCTCACCACCCGCGCCTTTCTGTTTCACCTCCTCACATTTTCTGCATCCGCGACGTCACCCATGGCACTTGCCTCTCCCGAGGTCAAACTATCAGAGTTACTGCGTTGTGATCAAGACGGCTGCAACAAGTGGTGGAGGAGATTGGACCTGAAAGTCTCCGGCAGTAACGATTTCCGCAGGTGTCCACACTGTCGCGAAGCCAACATTACACCTACCGAGTACTGGATTGGCGGTCTGAGTGGACCCCGAGAACCTGCGTACCCTTATCCAGGTCGAACACCGCAAATGCATCCGCCACCTCTCAGGACGCCCGGCGATCGACCAAGCAGCACGAAAAGGCAGGTGCCTGGTGACTCATCTTCGCCTTCTCCTACACAGAACAAGAAGCCAAGAAACAATCAACATCAGCAGCAGGTAGGTTATGAAGGGAGCGTCTCAGCCTGCAGACTTGGTTGCTAATTGGAGATCAGTCAAGTCCGATGAAGAGTCTATGCGTCGCTGAAGTCGCCAGAATGGAGCGCAAAGACAGCCTCCAAAGCACTCCGGCAACTCCAACTGCGTCAAAGACAGAAGCCAGTCTCGATACAGAGGTGTTGAACACGCTAGCAGCTTGGAAGGCTTGCAAAGGATGCCCAGACGTTCACCTGCAGAAAGAGCTCAAAGATGCCGAAGAAAATCTGAGAAAGGTTCGCGAGAGTATTCCAAAAATTGAACGTAAAGTCAAGGAAACTCAGAAAGAGCTTGATGCAGCCGGAGAATTCTTGAAGAAGTGCGAAGTACTCGTCGGGGATATTGACAAAGCCATAGGAAAGGCAGGCGGCTTGGACGTAGGCCAACACAAAGTCGTGAAGGAAGATTGGTGCTTTCGTCCAAGGAAACATGCTCAGCTGGCTTATGAGGAGAACAACCGCTGCTCCAAGTCATGGCAGAACGCTGTCCAAGACAGGGCCGATGCAACAAGACTGGAGAACCAAGTCAAGAAGAGAATCGAACGAATCCATGAGGAGAGAAAGCAGCTGAAGAAGTTTGGCGAGTATGTTTCTGTGCTTCCATCAAGCACTGGCGTCTGACTCTGTCGGGCGATTGTGGATCTGGGACCTGCAATACTTTTTGCGATGCTGACTTAGCTTGGATCTGATCACGGACATCTTCGAGGGCTCGAGTGTGCTTTCTTGTTGTTCTTTGAGATCTTCTTTTGTTTCTGTTTTTCTTCTTGCTTTCCCTTAGGCAGTGTTTATGCATTGGATCTTGAGTATGCAAATCCTTGGTTGCCATGCTTTTCGTGAGTTTTGTCATACTGTCTATCTGTGATGGTGTCTGATGTTGTAGATTGTGAGCTACTTACAATGCATCTTCATATCTCAGTAGAATGCTATCCGGTCTGTTGAATACTTTGCGGTCTTGCGTTGATCAACTCATGATGTGAGGTTGCGAAGTGTTCTTGAGATTATCATCACCCACAGCTGGAACAACTTCTGCTGGAGGTCCCTCTGTGCTTGCATTCTGCTCTCATCTGTAGTTGGGATACGGTAGAATTGCACCGTGCACTCTTCATTATGGTATCATGTCTCAATCGTGTGCTTCTTTGTCTAGCTACAATCTTTCTGTTTTTATCTCCCTCTTGTTCCAAGAATAGCAAATCGCAGGAGCGTTCTTCATTGGCTAGAATTTTGTCCTATCGGAACCTCTCCTCAGTTTACGATTCTCAATGTGAGCAAAAGCCTAGAGCTATGCCTCTCATGCATGTCAACCTTGCGCTAAGTCCACTTTACCTTACCACATGCCATGTTGTGGGAAGAACGTGGTCTCATAGTCCTCCCAAAGGCCATCATAGATCGCCATTGGACCCGTCTCCAATTCGTGCTCATGGTCTTGTAATATATCTTTCTCATCCGCGACAATGGAAACAACTGAACGTGCCATAGTGTTGTATGTACGAGGTCCAGTTTCAAGATTGATGAGCTCGACACGTCTCAGATTGGATAACTTGCCCTTGACACGCGTAAAGAATGAAGTCCAGTCTACTGGGGAATGGTACGTTCTACTGTTGTAGATTCGGAGTCTTTGCAGAGTGCTTGAGTGGCGTAGAAGGAACCGTATCAGGAGATCTTCGTTGCTCGGGTTTCGCAAACTGCAGGCTCGAAGTTTTGGGAGAGGAGGTGCATTTATCAGAGACAACATCGAGGAACCCCACCTGTAACCGAAGCCATCTTCGGTCCCGAAACTTTCGAGAGCTGGTGCGGAGGTCAAAATGAATGTTAGGAAGTTCTCAGGGCAACCATTCTCGCGGAGGTGCTTCAAGTTTGTAAAGATTGGTGTTGTGGGAAGAGTAGAACCCTCAGAGCACACGAGTCCTAGGTCGAGCAGCACAAGGGATTCCAGTGTTCGACCAACCTCATGAATAGGCTTGAGTAACTCCCAAATGTCGAAAGTCATGGGATCCCAAGTAGATAAGTAATGAACTGCAGTGTGTGTGTCGGGTGAAGGCAAGTCGTTCTGGTAAAGGCGAATTCTTCTCCTGGACAACTCAGGGCTATTATGGTATCTGCCCTCGATGATGAGATTTTTGAGCCTTGGACATAGCTGGAAAGCGAGGGCGATACTGTTGAACATGCAGTCTTTGGAAAACTTCTTGCGTTGGCCGGAAGCTCTGTTTTGGTATGCCTTCCATTTTTCGCTAGAGTAGCAATTATTCATGCGTCAAGGTCAGAAGGCAGTACCTCCTACCAAACTTTCTCTCTACGCAACCTTCGTACTGTCCGAGCATCTGAGATGCCCGCAGGCATTTCCAAACTCTGTAGCTCTGCTCGGTATGTCGGAGTTGGTATAAAGAATCGAATCCAGTCATCATATCTCGGACAAGAGCTCAGACAGGATGTGTCGACAACCATGGTAGTCACTGAGTGCTTCAGATCAGGATGGTTGGTGATGTCCTGTATCTCCTCAAAACTGCCGGGATGATTGTGCAGGAAGATGCGCGGGAGAAAGTCACGACAAGCAGCCGAAACAAGGGCCTTCGACGTCAACCTGAGTGACTTCAGATCATTGGGTGTAAGGTAGCTGCAGACACGCTGCTTGAGCTCAAGCGGTAGGGTGTCCATGTTGGTAATAGAGTCTGTGGCGAGTCGATGAGTCGCACCGGAGGTGGTCAAGAAGAGGATATGGTGGTTGTTTTAGAGAGCAGAGGAGGTCGAGTTAACGAAAAGGAAACGGACACTAGAGTCGTACGATAGAGCAGCTCGTGGCCGCAAGTGTTGATGACAGTGAGGGCAAAATGGATGATCAGGTTTCCGTGAGCAGTGTGTGTTGAGGTTGAGAAGAAGAAGAGATGCCGGAGGCAACAGCGGACCTGCGCTTGTCGGAGAGTCGAGTGAAAGTGAAGGTCCGTGGTCCGTTGTTCTTTCCTCGAGCAGTGAACAAGAGATCGGCGTCGGCGTCGTCTTCGAGCGATTGTTGGCCAAGAGTCAGAAACAGAAGGTGTGCACGGAACGCAGCATGGCAGCAAAGTCGAAGGCACGTTGCTAATGCCGCTCCAGCAACTACTTAGTCTAGACGACACTGTCTTGATAATGGACCTTACGAGCTCTCTTTGTGTACACGTCTGCTCAGCCAATCAATGTAGGCGTGTATCACAGAGGTCATAAACATTTAGCATTTTACTTTTCCATCGCTGCATTCAAAGTCGATGGGCATCCTACATACCTAGCACTAGCAATGGCTTCAAAGCGGCAATCTCTTGTGCTTCCACTGTCTGCTGCCACCTGCTCCATACATAGCTGCACCTTGCCCAGAACCTTTGATTCTGTACTCGTGAATGCAGAGACCTTCAAGACCAACAGGTCCTCTGGCATGCACCTTGTTTGTGCTGATACCGACCTCGGTACCGAATCCGAAACGCATACCATCTGACATTCTGGTACTACAGTTCCAGAACTTGCAAGCACTGTCAACGCCATTGCAGAAGCGATCAGCGATTTGTTCTGAAGATGTAAGAATGGCATCTGTGTGGTGTGAGCCGTGCATGTTGATATGCTCGACGGCAGTATCGACGGCTTGAAGGGCATCTTCCGTCTTGGGGATGGTCTTGATAGCGAGAATCAAATCGAGGAATTCGGTGTCGAAGTCTGACTCGCCAGCGTCCTGCAACTTGGCTGCCTGATCCTTGTCCAGTGTTCCCGAGAGTGCGGCCTTGGAAGCAGGATCGCAACGCAGTGAGACACCTTTAGCGAGCAAAGCTGATGCTACACCGGGCAAGATAGTCTTAAGTGCGTCTTCGTGCACTAGCAAAGATTCGAGGGAGTTGCAAGCTGCAGGGTAGTCTGTCTTTGAATCCACAACAACGCTTGCTGCCATCTCAGGCTCGGCATCCGGGTGGATGTAGTAATGGCACAAACCATCAGCGTGGCCGAGAACTGGCATGTGAGCCATACGTTGGCAGTGGCGAACAAGCTCGTTTGAACCACGGGGGATCACAAGGTCGATGTACTGACTGAGTTGAAGTAGAGGATCCACAGCATCTCTGGTTGTGACAAGCTGAATCGAGTCATTAGGGACCTTTGTGCTCTCGAGTGCCTTTGAGATGACTGTAGCGATGATCTTGAATGATTCTGTTGACTCTTTGCCGCCTGTTTGTGTTGTTAGCTCGATTAACCTCATTCGGATCCTGATCAACACGAACCCTTCAAGATAGCAGCGTTTGCAGACTTGATAGCCAGTGAAGCAATATTGGCAATAACCTCGGGGCGAGCCTCAAAGATGATCAACAAAACACCAATGGGACATGACTGGCGTTGCAGAATCAGACCATCATCCAGTTCTGTACGCATATCAACCTTTCCGACTGCAGCAGATGTCAGCAACTGTTTTCACATTACAATTCTTTGGGTATCAAGAACACACCAGGATCTTCAAGTCCCTTAACGTCCAGAATTCCTTTCAACATATCTTCGAACTTGCCAGGTCTGGAAAGATCCAATCTTTTCAAGATACTCTGACTTAATTCACCATCAGCAGCAGACTTTGTTGCGATCTCCAGATCGCGGGCATTTGCTTGTAGGATGTCTGATTTTGCTGCCGAGAGTGCATCGTGAATTGATTGGAGAGCAGAATTTCTGTCTTCCGTTGAGAGGATGGCGAGAGTTCGGGATGAGAGTTTTGCTGCTCTTGCAGCTTCTGCAGGAGAGCCATTGGTGAGAGACATGATTCTTGGATCAATCGAAATAAGAAGATACAAAATTCACAGCTTCGATTGGTGTGCTGCAGTACAATGGTGTCGATGGTCTACTTTCGAGTCACAGCGTGCCAAGCATCTCGACTTTCAATTCAAATTTTTCAGCAAACGTGACAAAACATTTGACCACCAGTCATGATAATTGTCCGTGTCACCAGATTGCGCTCACAAAGATGATCGCACGTTCTGGAGACTCATCATCTTAAAGAAAGCACCACTTTGAAAGATCGATATATCTGTTCATTAGTTATCGCCATGTCTATAGGCAGGCAAATCATCCTCGTCCTCAACCACCTGGCTCCTTGACTGTCCCGTTTCAGCCATTCGTCTTTCCATTTCCCTCAACTCACACTCCCTTCTGATTCCGCCCGTGGTGTTCCAACTGGTCTCCTTGTTCTCCTGTCGCTGGCTTGGAAACTGTCTCTGCAACTTTCCCATTGTTCTTGCAGCCTCATCTACCTTCTTGGCTCTTTCCTCTGCACTTTCCTCTGGGTGCGCTTCCTCTAATTGCTGAGCATAACTCGATTTCCTAGCTTCTAGGTCGTCCCACCGGTTCATCTCATCATCCCACCAGAAGAGCAGGTTCACAAGAAGAGAGAGCTTGTGCCGGGTGATCAGAACAATCTTTTTGGCCATAGCAGCGCCATTGATGGACGCAGCATTCAAGTGGTTGTCCTGGCGGGTGAGGATGTCGAGTTCGACTAGCTGACGATGAACTTTGGTCGCGGTCCGCTCTTCATCTAAGTGGTGGAAAAGAAACTTGGTCAGCTTCGATGATTCGAAAACTCATGCGTTGTCGATTGGACAATTATTCATGAATGCGCTTCGCGGTCTGTATGAAGTCTAGACTATGGTCGGGTGGAAGTAGTCAGGACACAGTATCTTGCGACGCTTTGGAGGTAGCCGTTCTAAGGACTGCTGATTCATTTACCACGCAGAAGGGACTGATTAAGCAGCGACTGCTCATGATCTTACCGCAAACGTTTCCAAAAACAAGCGTTTTCGGTGTGATTGTCTTGATATCCTTATGAGAGATCTGATACATAAACACCTTGTCTTTGGTTGCTTCTGTGAATGTATCATCGTGGAATGCCCAACTGTCCACACTTCCGTTGTGAGTTGCTCTTCTAAGTACTTTGGAAAACATCGTGAATATAGTGTTCGGAGAGATGCGATAGCAGAATGTGGTATATGTTTGGCGATGGAAAGCTTGTTCTTATACAGTGCCATAGCGGGGTGGCGTTCAAGCCTCGAACTGGAAGAGTTTGGTTCCAAACAGTAATTATAGCATGTGCTTGATGAGAGCCGTTTCATTGGACAAGGTAATTCCTCGTTCTTGTTGATCTTCCTGACCTCTTCCTTAGATTAACAGACGTTGTTGCGTGCTAATTCCTACACCCAAGCACGACAAAATCCTACGTAGGCAAATTTCACCTCACCCCGACGTGTCTTGCCAATTGTCAATATGGCATGGGCAAGAGCGCGCTGCCAAGTGCTGTCGCGACGCTTGTACAGTAACACACTTCTATGTCTCATCATCTTTCACAGCTTCCGTTCATTGATGATGATGTGTTGAAAGAAGTCGCGCCCTGCAAACAAACATTTCCAATGCTTTCCATGTTGGTGGCTGAAATAGTCTCTACAGACATTGTCTGATGTGAGCGACGCCGAGCAGCTATTCTGCGACCAGCGTGTTGCTTCTAGATGTACACGGGATTCATTGATGGGTCATGTCTCTTGTTTTTGTGCAATGGCAAACATCGTCTGTCTTCACCAGCATGACATCTATGTCTTCACCAGCATGACATCTAGAAAACGATGAGATGGAGAATTTCTTCTCTCATCTCAGTAACTTGCTTCTTGGAGTAGAAACTGCAAGATGGAACGCGAAACCTCTGCCCAAGGTGAACTCAAGGAGTATCTGTTGAGAGACCCGGAGTACATCAGACTGGCTGAACTGCAAGCCAAGGTATGTTCAATTCCATGACGAATAACTTATTCGATGCTGATTACATCTCTTCAGGGCTGGCAGAACCGAGCAGGCGATACTTTCTTCGAAAAGCGACGACGGCAATCCATAAATGCGGACGAAAGAAGCCAGAAAATTCTCTTCGACATGATGGGCAGGATCGCAGAAGAAATGAATGCTTCTACTGGCGCTTTCAACATCTCCAACGCCATGCCTGCGGTTCTTGATCTTTGTGTAGCGCCAGGAGGTTTTGTCAAGTATGTCCTCGAGATCAATCCTTTTGCAAGTGTCGATGCTTTCAGTCTTCTGGAGCAGCACGGTGGCCACGAGATGAGGATTCCTTCTGGACGTTCCGACCCTCGTGTGTCAGTTGCCTTCCAGGATGTTACATTGTTCGCCGACGAATTTGGACTGCCAGACATCTTCAAGGACCCCAAGAACGAGACAAATCTTGCACTTCGCTGGCCATACATGACCGAATGTTACAACATGGTCATCTGTGACGGACAGGTTCCACGCCAGAACCAGGTTGAAGACGACTATTTAGAGCCTCTCCGTCTCACCTACTCTCAGCTGTTCTTAGGCCTGAAGAGGATCGCATCTGGAGGCACCATGATCGTGCTCCTGCACAGAAGCGGTCGCGTTCGTATCTTCAGACTCCTAGGCATGTTCTGTCGATTCGCACAAGTCCTATTCAAACTCATCTGGGAGCGCGCAATGCTGAAAGACGAAAGTGCATCATCGACTCTACTCTACAAAGATCTTGTTCAGGTCGAAAGATCCTTGCAGCCCGAGCTCGAAGACTTTGGCGAGAAATTCATTGAGCTGATCCGTCCTACCTACCTGGAAGATACAGGCGGACGCTCTAGAAAAGGCACCTTTCACAACGGCTGCACGTCCAATATGTGCACACTACTTCAAGGGCAAATGTGCCTATGGCGACTCTTGCTTCAAGTCTCACGAGCTGCCGGCTGAGGAGCTATGATCAAGGCAAAGGTTTTGAGTGGAATTTCTTGTGGCTGACAATGCAAAGCTGAAAAGATTGCGGCTATCTAAAACAGAAGGAGCTTGTCGGTCAGAAGACTGTCTCAGTTCGGCATGAAGGTCAGGTCCAAAGAGGTAACGGAGAACTTGGCCGTCCAGACACGCACTTCTTTTCTTTTTCTTATTTTGGAACAAAAATTCCGAGAGAAACATTTTGCTGTGCCTTCAGAAAAGCGTGTCGGCGTGAATGTCAATCACGACGCAATCAATCACTAAGAAACACAAATTGCAAAGAGTTGTCTTGTTCAAAAGGTATCCATTACATTTAAACAGACCCGGCTTCCTTGGTTTCCAGAAAATCCAGTATCTGTGTGGTATCTACATACATGACTAAATAAAAACCCTTGCGGGTAGATCTATCCATCCCGAATCTTCTCCAATTTTAGTGGCCTACAAGACCAAAGGGGATAATATGAACAAATCCAAGGATGAGAGCCAGTCCTCCTTGTTCGTAGAAAGGTGAAAAGTATTATAAGAAAATCTCGGTTCGTTGCCGGCAACGATGAGCAGAAGGGGAAAGAAGATTAGACACCTCCAACAGTGACCAAGAGTTGAGAAGGCTGTGCAACTGACAGAAGACCAGCCATATCAACACCGCCAGTAGGGGTAACATCGTCGTATGCGAAGGCATAGCCCTTGCCATCGGCCTCGTAGTCGTGCACGTACTTGCTGTACCAGTTCGCAGCTCTGCCGCTCTTGGTATAGTAGCCAGAAACATCGGACATGGGTTGGATGTTTCCACCTTGGATCAGGAGGGTAGAGCGATGGAAGGCAGCACACAGGCGAGGAACAACGGCACGGTGGATATCGTTGTCGCTGGAGATGATGGCGAAGGGACCACCGTTGCATCCGAAAATATCGGCAGCAGTGGGCTTAGCGTAGGCTCTGTTGTCGCCATCGCAGTTGAGGTAGTCGCCTGTGGTTGTGCAGTTGACGAGGCCGGCAGAGACTTGAGTGTCAATGGTGAGGGGAGTAGTGCTGTAGTGAGTCCACACGTCGTCCACATAGGAGGTCCAGTAGTCTGAGAAGGCGTCTGGGTATAGTGAGATGTAGTCGTAAGGCGCGAGAACACGGAGAGCATTCGAACTGGCATCGTAGGCACACAGATCGGCCCAGGGGTATCCGTCGATGCAAGTTTGCTCTTTGAGGTCGGCACAGATTTCTTCGACAGCATCGCTGTAGACACCCAGTGCTTGTTGGACAGTTCCGTCACATGCAGTCAACTTCTGTCCAAGAGGCAGACCGACGAAGTCGACATAACTCAGGTTGGTGTAGATGGCAGATTCAATGTATGTCAATTCGATGAAGCCCCAGTTTACTGCTGCAGAAGGATCGGAGGGGTTGACGGCAGAAGGCTCGACCAAGGCGACTTGACCACCAGCGTTGACAGTGAAGAACTGCAGGTCACCGTCGGCAAACCAGATGCGACCAGCGCTGATGTAACCGGGAAGAGATATCGATACTGTCGAGCCCTGTGCTCCAAGAGGAATGGCGACGTCCGCTGTGACAGGCTGCGGTGTCGTAGCTGTTGTTGCTGGGGGATAATACCAGGTACCATTGGGGTACAACATGACAAGAGCGTTATTGCTGTCTCTGCCAGTAACATAGGCTTTGACATTTGAGCTTGCCATCTTGTTGACGAATGATAGCTCGATGTAATCTGAGTCTGCGGCGGCGAACATGTTGACTGGAGGACGTGATGCTGCGACTGCGACTGCATCTGCCTGTATCGATTCTGTTGTGTTGACAGTGTTGTCATCCGTAAGGATGATATGGTTCGCATCTCCAGGTGCGATGGCGAAGGGTGCGGCCACAGCAGGCACCGCCAGCAGAGCTGTAAAGGCACATGAGAGCGCCGTCGAGAAACGCATGATGTGTTAGATGAGTAAGAAGCACAGCTGTCTTTACTCAAGGTAGTAGGTCGAAAATTAGTTGTTGGTTTATGTATAGAGACAAAGTGTTTGGATGGTGATGGAGTAATGTAGGAAAAGGGTTGGTTCTGGCCACAGCCGCATACATACTTATAAGGCCTCGATTCCCACAGTATAGGAGAGAAATTTACTTATCCTTTATCCAACGGTATAAAGCCGTTGGAGAGGTTGGCTGGGTGGCGCGGATGATAATACAGGTGCCGAGAGGGGGCTTGCTGTAGAACAGCAACTGGACTGTGCACATTTGTGTAAGTAGCTGGTCTCGAGATCAAGATGTCACATCGTGATTGAAGCTCCGATAGCTTCAGGCATGACATGTGTTGTAAATGCTTGCCTGAGGAGAATCGAAGTCGGTAAGATCCAGACTCGGCTTGTCGCACGTGGAATTGGGAAGTAGGGGGATATAAGGCTGGGGACCGTTGCTTCCCACACCACAACGGCCAACATCCATATCAAAACGGTGGATAAAATTACGAGGCAAATGCGCAATCGCACATGACGTGGCTTCTGTTCTCATCGTTATGCAAAAATACTGGTCGCAATAGCCTACACAAGAAAACAGCACAGCTTCTTTTCGTCCACACAACACCTTACCAAGCCTCCCCTGGTAACTCGATCGTAAATTAAACAGTCAGCCTCAAACCGCTAGCCGGCGCTCCGATGGCGCAAATCTCGCACACCTTACAGACCGTACCCTTGTACTGTGCCTGATACTTGACGCCATCGTAAGGGCAGCTTACGCTTTGCTCGCCGCTATAGATTGGTGTGTAGGATGCACCACAAACGTCAAACTCGGCAAACGAGTCATACTCGATCTCGACCGCATCACCGGGTTGACGTTCGCATACAGCCTTAACCTTCTTGGCCTACAAAACAGTGTTAGCTTGGTTTTTGGACATAGCATCAACGATAACTTACATTCTCCTTGAAGCGAGCATTTGTTCCTCTCTCAATTAGCGCGTTGGCGAAGTTGAGTGCACTGCTCAGCTGCTTGTTCTTGTGTGCAAAGTTCATGGCAGTGAACAAAGCCAAGGTCTGATGCTGGGGCTCAATAGCAGGCACTGTGAAGTAAGCTGACAGTTCAAGGGCCCGCTTCTTGTCCTCGTCAGAGAAAGAGCTCAGATCTGTGGTACCCCCAACAAGCTCTCTGCGAGTCAACTCGATTGACATGGCAAGAACATATTGTGCAGCTGTCTGGATCAGCTCCTTGGCCTAGTAAATGTTAGCATCATGAATCTGTGACATGTTCAAATTCAACGTACCTCGTTGACTTGTGCTTGCGACGCAACAGCGTTGACAATCAGGGTCTGCAAAATCTTGCGGAATATTTGAACACCATCTTCGAGTTTGTTCTTCTGCATCGACTGCTTTCCTGCTTGCAGGTCTGTTGTGGTTAGAGTCTCAAGATCGCCAGGGATGAATGGCAGAATCTTTCGTGAATCGGTCTCCTTGAGTGTGCGGCGGACATAGTTGACTAGTGGCGGCAGCTCAGGGTTTGCGGGCAAGAATGTGCGCGAAGCAGTGTAAATCTCTTCGAACCTGGCCTCGAGAGGTTTGAAGTTGACTGCACCAACTTGCCTGTTGAGAAGGTTCATGGCAGACTCGTAAGATCCGGCGGCAACGTGGTCCGCGGCAACTGGTGAGTTACGTGCCCATACGTCTGCTTCGCTGCTACCAGCGCCTGCTTCGACAGTCTCAACGTTGACAAACTCTTCTTCAGCCTCGGCAAAGCTATCGTCGCCCATGTCCCAGCCAGCAGCATCCTCATCATCTTCCTGCTCGATCTCGGCAGTCTCCTCGGGGACTGCGGTCTCAGCCTCAAGGAAGTCAGCGTCATAGCCATTGGTTGCGGGTGCAACTTCCTCGGCACCACCGTCGGCGAGCAATGCTTTCTCGAAGGACGATGCACCAGATGACTTGACGGGCCAATTTGACTGGAAGGTGGGGACAATGACGGGTGGTGTCGCAAGCGGCTTGCCAGTGTCAGGCATAGTGACTTGGTCTTCCGTAAGGCCGGCAGCTTCAAGAATGTTCTGGCACTCCTCCTCCATACCGTTGGCCTTAGCGGTCAAGTAAGCAAGAGGGTATTGGTCAATCTCCTTCAGCATTTCGATTCTGGATTGAACATCACCAAGGTAGAGAGAGTTTTGGAAGCGAGAAGTCATATCGCCACGGTGCTCGGCAATCTTGGCCATTCTGTGTAGCTTTGACTCGTCACCTGTTGACAAGTACAGGAATGAAAGCTTGTCAAAGTTGCGGAGCTTTTGGTAGGTCATTTCGACAACCTGGTGATTGCCATGAGCTAAAGCTTCTGTGCTCAGGCGTTGCCAGAGCTTGGGGCGGTCCAACTCCTTGGCCATCTCGACAGCAACCTCGAGGTTTCCACACTCGATAGCCAGCTCGAATCTGGTTTGGGGATCCTGAACGAATTGGAGAGCAATCTCGGGGTATCCCTTCTTCTGCAAGTAAGAGATGATGCTCTGACCAACAAGACTGGAGTTTTTGATGATGTTCAGCATTTCGTCGTAGTGTCTCTTGACAAGAGCCATCTTGAAGCGGTATTCTGTTGGGTCGATAGTCATGACCTTGGGCTTAGCGGCTCTGTCCAGACAGTAAACACTTCTACCCTTGACGCGGACGAGGTAAACGGTTTGGTCGAGAGTACGAACAATGCCATTGTCGCCGTTCATGAGAGTGTACTTGATGTGGTTGAGGGTCGAGTAAAGAAGGACACCGGTGTCGTCCCAAACGGCGCTCTTGATGCGGATAGTTTCGTGTAGCGTGCTGACCTGTTCTAGGGACTTGTTGACGATGGTTACGTTGTGCTTGCTAAGCAGAGCGGCGTACAATCCGTCAGAGGACCAGACAACATACTTCACACCGTTGACAGCAAGCTCGGCAAGCTGCTTCTTTTGTTGAATGTCGTAAAGTACAACCGAAGTAGGAGTGATGAGCAACAAGCAGCCAGTGCCACCAAAGTAGATGTCGACAGTGCCTGGTGGAGGCTTGATGGTCTTGGTTGTGGAGTTCTGAAGATCCTTGATGTCAATCTGCTGGTTAGGCTGGTTGAATACAGCAAAGCGGTTACGGGCGACGAAGACAGCTGAAGTTGCAGTGCCGCGCAAAGAGTTAGTAGGCTCCACAGCACCAGAAGCATCTCTGGGCAGGTTGATCAACTCGTAGCAACCACCATCGGCAGGTGAGGTAACCAGAACGGCGCGCTCCGCAGGGTTGTATGAGATCGCACGCGGAGGTACCCAGGGGCTGCCGAGCTTCTTGAGTGAGAGCATCGAGGGACTCTCGATGTTCTTTGTGAAGTCGTAGGAGCGAACCTGTTTGTCCTTTGTGATGTAGAAGAGGTTGTTTTGGTAGACGGCCGAAGCAGGACGTTCACGCTCGAGTTTGAAGACCATGACACCGTTGTCGTGACCAGCGGCGAAAAGATTGATCTCAGGATGAGCGGCAATGGTCCAGAATCGATCGTTTTCGCGCTTGAATGACTGCACAGAAGAACGCTTGTTGAGGTCCCAGACGCGCAAAGTCTTGTCCTCACCAACCGAGAGAATCAGGTCCTGGTGGGGGTGGAAGAGAGCGGCTGAGGCGTTTTGGAAGTGGCCTCTGCATGTATCGACCTCCCAAGCTTTTGTTTCGCTCATTCTCCAGAGCTTGATCAAGCGATCATCGCCAGCTGAGACAATAAGCGGCAGGGTAGGATGGAAGGAAACCCAGTTGACACCACGGTCGTGGCCCTCGAGCACAAACTTGACAACTGCGTCTGTGTTGCCGAACATGTCGGCCTGATTTGCGTTGGCGCGGGCCATCTGGTCTTCGAAGGTCATCGATGTGGGAGCCGAGTGCTTCTTGCGGAGGCCTGAAATGTCCCACACGCGAACGGACTGATCGAGCGAGGCAGAAACGACGAGGTCTTCTTTGGGGTGGAACTGAGCACACATGGCATAGTGGTTGTGGCCGGTCATGGTACAGACTGCACACAACTGTTAGAGAAAATCTTGTAGCTTCGAAGGAAGATGGTTGGCGTACTCAGCGAGCGGTTCTGCCAGTTCCAGATGCGGATGGTCTGGTCATCCGAGGCCGAGATGATCCAGGGAAGCTCGTGGTGGAAGAAGACAGTGCGGACATAGTCGAGATGGCCGTTCAGGGTGAAGAGACAGCGACGAGTCTGAAGCGACCAGACCTTGATCTTGTAGTCGTCACCACCAGATACGAAGAGGGGTTGCGTCTTGTGGAAGTCGACACCTCGTACAGGACCATCGTGTTCTTCAAAGCGGTCGATCAAGGTGCCCATACGGTAGTCCCATAGTTGAATGGTTGAAGAGTGCAGAGAGACGAGAATCCATGGTCTTGTGTATGATCAGCATGCTGGCAGGTCTAGGTTGTTTGGATTGGGAAACGCACCGCTTGGGATGGAAGGCAATGCCCTTTGCTCTCGACGACTTGGACTCGAACTGCAGCAAGTTAGACTGGAGGCAAAGGTTGAGGTGCAGTGGAGCGAGCGAACCTTTGTGAGCATGGTGGGATATGTGTTGGACGACATGTTGATGGATGTAATTATAGAGCCGAAGCCGCAGCTTCACACATCGAGGTTCGGGCTGTGCGCAATTGCCAGAGGGAAGCTTGTCGGATGCGCAGCAGCTGGCGACGAGGGAGCGGCAGTTGAGAGGTGAATTGGTGGATTGTTAGAGGATGGGATGGACAGACACAGCTAGGTATCCTTATCCTTACTGCCACGTCTATTTCGCCCTGAATCCATCCCTGACACGCAGCGGCTTCTCCACGCTTGCCAAGCCCGCCCTCCTTCCAATGCCTGCAACCTCCTTCTCTGCTCTTTCCTGCTTGACGATATCTTTTCGAGGAGTCACTTTCTTGTTTGATCTTTGACTCCTTCTATTCAGAATCATGTGCTAGGTGTCCATCAATTGCCGTCAGGACGAGCTCGCCGCAGGCCATCTCTTCGACTAGAGTCTCTAAGCTTCCCCAGCATTCGTCCATGCTCCGCCAGCGTCATAACCTCGAATCAATCAGATTTACAATGTTCAGCAAACTCTCGCGCGCCTTCTCATCCTAATAGTCTTCTAATTTCCTGTTTTGTTCACTTGCACTGAGCGTCTTCGACAACGAACAACGCCGTCTCGTCTGACTGTCATTGCATGATGCCGCCTCCTGCCTCCAATTCTCTGTTCCCGTCTATCTCGCCGTATCCTTGATTGAGCCTCTGCTGCTACCTGTCTTTCACAAAACTTCCAGGCTTGCTCAAGATTATGGCAGGCCATGTTGCGATCGAATCGCGCATTCTCTCGTCGCCCTTTGGATCTACCCATTCCGCCGAACATGCGTCACTCTATGCGCCAGAGCATTCTTCGCCAACCAAGCCCGCTCCAGTCCCACAGCACAACTTCGACTTCGACGTGGAAGAACTGTCAGACAGCGATGTCGATTATCCTCATGACGCCCAAGTCTTGCATCCCTACGAGTTGGAAGAGGTCGACACTCCTGTTCCAGACCACGGTCATGTCAGTCCACCATCAGATATGAATGAAGGAGATGATGAGGATACACAAGATTCTGATTCTACTGCCTTCGCTCGTCAACTGCGTCGTTTGCGCTGGAAACCCGCATCTCGACCTCACGCCTCCACTGGGTTATCACCCGCCCAGACAAATTCTCGCAAGCGATTACGATCAGAGGCTATAGACACCGACACCAACTCGGATGGCTTTGACAGTTCCCACGCACGATCCGAGCCCCCAAGGTTGCGCCGGCGTATACAAAAACCTGACAACACACTCACTGTTACCACCCCTTCAGACATGAGCGGCGCATCTGCCCCACGAGTAACCACCACTGGTCCCATGTCTGGCGACCTGATGGATGTTGATGAACAAGCCACCTAGGTTCTCAACCATGTTGCTTCCATCTACGCCTAGTTTCTACGATTTTGCATTTATGAGCGTCCTTTTATATACCCAATCTGCGTCAGCCTTTTATCGACACATCGATCACCTTTTCAAATATGATATCAACCTTTCACACTCCTCTTCGGCTTGCTCTCTCAACTGAATTACGTCTATGTATCTGTGGTTTGATTCACTGCTTGTATGTAAGCTCACGCTCCCGTCCTATTGGCGTCACGGGTCCGAATCCTCATAAACTTGCTCAACCCACCTCCGTCTCGCGTCACGGATCGGTTACGAAGCACCAGGCTGCCATATAGCAACTTATGTCAGCAGGCCCTCGTTTCCGACTATATAAACACCCTCGACCCCCTGTTCATCCTTCCATCTTTTCATTCACGACCTCCACCAGAGATTCTGGCTGCACATGTCTATGATGGTACGTATCCCTTCCTTTCCATGCACCAAACTTCTGTCACAACAGGCTCCACGTCTTCGTCGTGTGACAGACTAGTACGCGCCCGACTTGAGGGATGAGGAGGGGCATTCTCGTGATAATGTCACCGGCCCGTTACCTTAGGGCGATGGGGAAGCTAAGTCAAGAAGGACCCCGCGGGCGCCTTTGAGCCTCTAACACTGTAGATACTGCTATTTATTTTATCGGTGCTCGTGTTCACTGTTCGCCATACTTTTTGCCATTTACTTGACCACGTACGACTAACGCCGTAGGTACTGCTATCTTGGTGTACAGGTGCTCGTGATCACTGATTAACATTTAATCTGCCATTTGCTTCTTTACTTCTGCTAACGCCGTAGGTACTGCCATTTATTTGCTTTTCTAATTTATATCGCGGACTTCATTGCTCTTTTGGTCTGCGGACCGAGAGGTAAAGAAGTTCGATGCGTCTGACATACAATACGTAGACTTGTGTGCAGACAATCACGGTATGGCAGCAACTGTGGCCTCTTCTGATGTTGTTGTCGCATATGTTATAGGTGTACGAGAATGCGAAGCTGTCTTGACCAAGACTTGTTGCTGGGGGAGCCACCCTGATATACCTCTTGACATCGCTCAACGAGCGCATATGGCCTTTTGGGCGCGCCTTTACTGCGATAGTCTGTCCAAACACGATCCTGTCTGCTGTTTGGTGTGCAGTAAGTAGAGAAGTCACTGATTGGAGGATAGATGGCTCTTCGAACATGATGTTCGGAAAAACGCCGTGGAACCCATGCATACTTGTCGCATTGATCACGATGAATTTGAACACAAGGCTAACCAGAAATCACGATCTTTTGAGCTCTTTCACTACTGCCTAACGAGTTGATACCCACTAAGCAATCGTCTTTCAAAAGCAAGCTGGCATTCACCATGTCGTTGCCTGTACTCGACTGCAAGTGAAAGGCCACGAAAGGGTAGGTCTAGATGACGTGGGGGTTTCGACAAGGGCCAGCGGCGTTGATTGGCCAGATGTCGCCAGCAGCACAGCTGTCCCGACTCCCTCCCCAGACAATCTACGGAGAGCAATAACATAGACCTTCTTATAACCCGGAGCTGATTACACCTTGTTCCGCCGCAGCTTCTCGCCGTCGGCTACATCTATCAGCACTATGGCCAACCCTCAAGGATACCCTGCCCAGGGCTATTCGCAGGAAGAGTACGATCAATCGCAATCTGGCACCCCCGTGCCCGCTCCCACTCAAGCACCAGCAAGGAAGAAGAGAGCCTATGCCGGCCAGGCTTTCGAATTCGGCGCCGGTGCCAATGCCGGCGCGCCCGCGACACAGACACCTCCTCCTGCCGCTGCCTACGGTGCCGCTCAACCCGCTGCCGGCTACGGCTACGGTGCCCCCGTCCAACAGCCCGCAGGCTACCCTGATCCTCAACAGCAGTCCGCCGCAGCATATGGCGCTCCTGCCGCTGGGTACCAACCTCCAGATGCCTATGGCGCCGCCCCCGGAGTGCCAGGCATGACACAGCAATTCGCGCAGATGGGCATGGCACCGCAACAACAGCAGCCCGCACAAGCTCCTCAGCAACCTGCTCCTGTCGCCCAGCGTCTGAATCCTCTCCAGCCTGTCGACATTAGCGTTCAGGGCGCTCCTTTCCATGTTTCAGATCTGGATCTGTCTCCTCCCCCTATCATTCTGCCTCCTAACGTACGTCTGTCCCGCTCTTGTCTTGACTCGATCACTGACACATGCAATAGTCCAGCGTGACCCCCTCACCCAACGCCAATTGTCCACCTAAGTATGTCCGCTCGACATTGAACGCTATTCCCTCGACAAACTCCCTCCTCAAGAAGTCCAAACTTCCTTTCGCGCTAGTCATTCAACCTTACGCTACCCTCCATGATGCCGAAGACGATGTACCTGTTCAGCCCGACCAGGTGATCGCAAGATGTCGCAGATGCCGTACATACATCAACCCCTTCGCCACGTTCCTCGATCACAGCCACCGCTGGCGCTGCAACATGTGCAACCTGACCAACGACGTTCCCCAGGCTTTCGATTGGGACAACATGAAGCAGCAAGCTATCGACCGCTGGCAGCGACCTGAGCTGAACTACTCGGTCATGGAGTTTGTTGCTCCTCAAGAATACATGGTCAGAGCTCCACAGCCTCTAGTATATCTATTCCTGTTCGACGTCAGTGTCGCTTCGGTTCAGAGTGGTCTCCTGGCAACTGCCGCACGCTGTGTCGCCGAGTCGCTCGATCGCATTCCCAATGCCGACCGCAGAACTCGTCTTGCCTTTATGGCCGTCGACTCGAGCTTGCACTACTTCACCATCCCTCGCGACGACAGCGGTGTCACCGACTCAAACATGCTGGTAGTAAGCGATCTCGACGAGCCTTTCCTTCCCACACCCGATAGTCTCCTCGTAAGCTTGGCCGATTCGCGTCAAAACATCGAGACTTTCCTCGGAAAGCTACAGTCCATGTTCCAGAGCACCCAGAACGGTCTCTCCGCCATGGGCTCGGCTATGCGTGCTGGGCACAAGATGATTTCTCATGTTGGTGGAAAGATGGTCGTTTTGACTGCTTCTCTGCCCAACCACGGTTACGGCAAGCTTGACATGAGAGAGGACAAGAAGCTCCTTGGAACAAGTAAGGAGAGTTCCTTGCTTCAGACCGCCAACGCTTTCTACAAGAGTTTCGCAGTCGAGTGTTCAAAAACTCAGGTTTCGATCGACATGTTCCTCTTCTCTTCACAATACCAGGATGTCGCATCACTCAGCAACTTGCCTAGATACACTGGAGGTCAGACATATTTCTACCCTGCCTGGAGCGCAGCACGTACCGAGGATGCCATCAAGTTTGCCACAGAGTTCAGCGATTACCTGTCTTCGGAGATTGGTCTGGAGGCCGTCTTGCGTGTCAGAGCCACCACTGGACTGCGCCCAAGCACTTTCTATGGCAACTTCTTCAACCGTAGTTCGGATCTCTGCGCTTTCCCTGCATTCCCTCGTGACCAAGCATACGTCGTCGAGATCGCCATTGATGAGTCAGTCACAAAACAGTTTGTCTGTTTGCAGGCTGGTGTCTTGCACACAACATGCAATGGCGAACGTCGCATTCGTGTCATGACCCTATCGATTCCTACCACACAAAATCTGGCCGATGTTTACTCAAGTGCCGATCAACAAGCTATTGCTGTCTACTTCAGTCACAAGGCAGTTGAGAGAGCTTTGTCCAGCGGTCTCGATGCTGCTAGAGATGCTCTCCAGGCCAAGATTATCGAGCTTCTTCAAACATACAAGAAGGAGCTTGCAGGCGGTAACATGGGTGGCGGTGGTCTCCAGTTCCCTGTCAACCTCAGAGGCCTACCAACTCTGTTCTTGGGTCTCATCAAGAACGTAAGTATTCGAAACTGCAAGGCTGGAAACTATATACTGACATAACCGCAGCTCGGTCTCCGCAAATCTGCCCAAATCCCCAGTGATCTCCGTTCTGCGGCCTTGTGTCTACTTTCGACGCTTCCCCTGCCTCTGATGATCCAGTATATTTACCCTCGCCTGTACTCGTTGCACGACATGCCCGAGACTGCTGGTCTTCCCGATCCGACCACTGGCGCCATTGCTATGCCTCCTCCGCTCAACTTGACTTCAGGCAACATCGTTCCCTTTGGTCTGTACCTCATCGACGACGGTCAGACACAATTCCTGTGGCTTGGACGTGACGCTGTTCCAGCACTAATAATGGACGTCTTTGGCACTGATGACAAGAATGCACTGAAGCAGGGCAAGACTTCATTGCCTATCATAGACAGCGAGATGAACGAGCGCGTGCGTGCCGTGGTCGAGAAGAGCCGAGACCATCGTGCCAAGGGCTGTGGCAGTATCGTAGTACCCTCGCTATATCTCGTGCGCGAAGACGGCGACCCAAGTCTCAGGCTTTGGGCTCAAAGTCTTCTCATCGAAGACCGTGCCGACATGGGTGTCAGCTCAGCTCAATTTATTGGCATGTTGAGAGAAAAGGTGAGCATTTCCTAGGACGAGATGGCGTTTCAGAACACTAACTTTCACCACAACAGGTCATGCAATAAACTTTAGATACCAGCCAGACACAACTGTACGAAACGAGAAGAAATGAGCAGCTGTCCGGACTCTTGATAAACAGTAGAGCGTTCGCGAGCCGAAGATGAAGCGTATAGGCGATATCGAATTGGAAGCGAGACATTATTTGAACGAGAGCACCCAATACCGTGCGGTAAACCTTTCTAGATAAAAGAAGGAAAAGGCGCTTTCGAAACCGATCCATTTCACTCCGATGCCATTGCCCTGATGCAGGAACCACGATCCTTACCACCTGAACATTCAAGAGTGCATGCTACCCGCAAGTTTAAGGAGTAGGAATGGTAGAGCTGAACAGAAAGGCGTCCAGAATGTGGCTCGGGTAAGCATATAGCGAGCTGATATACATAGCTGAGTGACAACCAACAATTGACCAGGGGAGGGCAGCGCAATAGGCAAAATAGGCTTTTGATCGTAACTTTTTCGTGAATTTGCGAGTGGTACCTTGCGGGCAGGTGATTGCTCCGGTGCATCCCCCTCTCTCCACCACGTTTATTGGCGCCTCCCACTTTGAGTTATCCGAGACATTGGCTGTTTTTATCCTTCGCGTGCCTTGAAAGTTGATCGAGGCTTGCTTTGCGTTTACGAGAAAAAGAGGGGCTCAGCGCTTGCTTGCCGTGCCTCTTGCGGGTTCCTTGCACCAGCTTACAGTTCGTTCATGTATACGGAGTACGAGTACAGAGAAATAGGAGATCTGGAACACTGGGCACCCCGGACTTTCTTCTACTTGCCTACCACGAGTCACTTTGTCGAATTGTACACAAGTGACAAGCTGAGCGTGTGGTTGTACAATGGGGCGAGATTTGCGCGTCAACAAGAACAATGGAAGTACGATCATGCATCTCACATTCACACCGGTCGAGAATCGGAGTTTAGGATATCTTTGATACCCGCGGAAGAAGGATGCTGGAAAGAGTGTAAAGTGCGTGTCTTGCGCAATCGCCTCTTGCTCTCTGCGTGTCAGAAACTGTTTCACGACAATGCCTCTCCCACAGTGACATACTTCTACAGTGACAAATGCACAGTTGCTTACGGAACAGAAGGGTGGATGGCCAAGGGAGTCATCTCAATAGGTAAAACTGTTTCCATGAACAACATTCGTAGAAGACAATGTATACACTTGTAGCTATGGTGCGGACGGTATCTAGCACACGGGGTGGGGATTGTTCTGTTTATTCCCACCCGAATAGTCTGTCGCATGACGAAAAGATTGCCACGATGCGAGTTTAGATCAGCGCAAGCAAGCATACGCACATACTAATTTGTTCAGGGGCACGTAACGATCCAGGCCTCTTCTGATTCATGAAAAATGTCTTGCCCTTGCAGCTCCAAAACTCTCCGCATGAGAGATGGCTTGCAAGCCTTCCGAATGGCAACAAAGGAGTGCGATGTGGAGGAGGGGCAGAGAGATGATTTTCACATGATAAAAGTTTAAAACACTCTATTGTGGTACCTGAGATCTGGAGTGGCACGCACGCGCTCGCATGTACTTCCTGCAAGGCATGGGGTTTTCGAACTCGACAGGAGCAAGCGATCCAACCACATAAACGTTCGGTGGATACCGACTCAAGCTGTCAAGGATCATGAATAAGGAGAGGCAGGCGTGCTTGCCGGGAACGCTGCTCTCTGTTCATGCAGGTCAGCGGTGCTGAAAATGGACGGAGGAAGGTGGTTAGCGTTCAGGTGAATCGCGACCTGACGAATCGCCTGGCTTTCAAGACACATCATCGGCATCATCACCATCACTGTGAGAAGCTTGGCCTGTCTGGCACCACGCTGAGTCTTTGTACCTTTTTCGTATCCCCTTCTTATGCGCAGCCTCGACTAGCTTTTGACTCGGGACCTGAAACCTCAGCAGGCCTTGGTAGAAGACTGGGCGAGACGCAATAATCTGACACCTCTGACAAGAGCATGAATGCGATGGTAAGAGCAAGGCACGGATGAAACATGATCGAGGAAAAGCAACTCCGGCTCCGAGGGATGGTATCGAGACTCGAGAGCATCCTTTTGATCACATTGTCATGCTAACGACCCGTTCCATCCCGTTTGCTCTTACTGTTGTTCCTCGTTTTCTCTACTTACTCCCTCCTCCAACGACCTTCACCGTCTTTGTGGCTTGGCGGTGGCCGGGTACCGGTGCCTTGGCCGGGTTTGTTCGCTGGCGATGAGTGGTCACCTCTGAAGCACACCGTATTTGTGGGAAGGGTAAATCGTCTCGCCCGATATTCCATCGAGGCACGTATGATGTGGGGGGTGTGTATGTGTGGTGTGCGTGACCCAAGAGTTTTGTACAGTAGAAGATGGGGCCCGAGCATAACACGGACTGGCCGGCGGCGCGCACGCGTATTCAGTTGCTGATGCTGTCTTGCAGAAAAGGTCAGAGTAGAGGGGTAGACAGGTACATGGACGCATCGGCTTGCGTTTGCCGTAAACTCTGGTTGGTTTGCACCTGAAATATGCACCATCATCATGTACCTTCTTGTACATTGCAGCTGCGCACACCCCACCTCTATTAGTTCGTGTTGAGGGGTACCTTTTGGAGGCCTCTGCGCTCGCTCCCGGCTCTGTTCTGCGCAAGCCTCCAGTCAAGCACAGTGGTAGCCAGGGCGTGGACGGGTACAGGCATGCGGTAGACATCTCGTTGGTTGGTAGGAGAGCTTGTCCGATGGAATGGTTGGCTGCCCGCCTGTCAGTTGGAAACGTTTCGCTCCAGACTTTCTGCATGAGCAAGCGCCCATTCGACATGTTCTCTGCCGATCCGGCGCGGTAGGCAAAGTTTATGGGAGGCATCTGTCCGTGCTCAGATATGCGAGGGGAAGTCATCATCATCTGCAGTCTGCTTTGCCTCGTGGATGCTCTCTTCTGTCCCGCAGTGGGCGCGCTGCTGCCCTCGTTTTGACTCTTTTGCGGCCCTTCTCGGACGCTTGTTCCTGCGCCCTGTCTTGGTCATCGTAACTCTAGTTTTGATCGAGCCCCGGAAACAGTAGATTGTCTGACCGTTGGATCGCCGAGTTACGCTACTCGTACCTTGGATAGCCAACTCTGATTCTGACGCAGCAGCCTTTGGCAGGATCACCAACGTTGCGTGTGGCGGGTTGGCTGCACCTCGCCGCTCTATCCATTACCTTACTATTGCTGCACCTGCTGCTGCTTGCTTATCACCCTTGCGACCCTTTTGCCGCTCTTCTCGTCAGACGAGTCTCCGTCCTCTCTTACGTCTCCTCTACCACGACGCCGTCACATCTTCCATGTCCCATCGATTTACCGTCTCCTAGTTTTGTCGACCCCATGTTCCGTCAACCCCATCATCTTCATGACATGCTCTGACCTGACCGGTACGCCTTTTATATGTGCATATACGTCGGCAATACTGGGGCCGCTCTTGTGCCCCATTACCAACGAATTATTTGCAAGTCTTGATATGACGAATCGACTGATCTGAACAAGCCGGTTAGAAATCGATTTCATCCCAACCCGTCTGGCTTTTTGATACTCGGTCATCGCTCCCCCACCCTCGCGCCAGCCATGTCGACCTCCCAGAACAGCACGAGACCGATGCTTGTACCAAGTAGCAGAAAAAGAAGCAGTAGCACGACCGATGACTACCAACCTACGACGCCGCGACTCAGCGCGCGCTTTTCCGATCAACCCGCCGAAGAGATTCCCACCGAAGACTCGACACTAAATACACCGACCAGACGAAATTTCAAGTTTCCCGCCGACAAATCTAATTCCTCTCAACAAGACGGCGATGGCGCTGGAGTAACTCGCGAAAACTCGCGGCGGTCGGTACATTCGCACCAGTCTAGCGATTCGCAAGACATAGACATGGACGATGGCGATGACGACGGCCATGATCAAGCAGGCTCGGACAATGAAAGTGACGATGACGGAAAGCCGTCTAGGAAGAAGAAGAAGGGCCAGAGATTCTACTGCACCGACTTTCCGCCATGCAATCTCAGCTTTACTCGCAGTGAGCATCTGGCCCGGCACATCCGGTAAGCATATGGTCAAATCCGCTGGAAGAAGATGCAATACTGACAAGCGCCAGGAAACATACTGGCGAACGCCCCTTTGAATGCCACTGCTCCCGCCGCTTCTCTCGACTCGACAATCTGCGCCAACATGCCCAGACAGTACATGTTAACGAGGAGATACCTGGTGACTCCCTAGCAGCGACTGGCACCAGGTTCCAGAGACAGATCCGAACAGACCGCGTACGTCCACAGAACGTGAGACCTAGAGCATCGACTGCTGGTAACGGTGGACACAGCGCGTACAGCAGAGGGCACAGCAGAAATCTGTCAGCTTCTAGCGTCCTCTCAACTACATCGAGCCTGGCCATGTCGGATATTGGAGAGAGTCGTCCACGCCCGTCTCCTTTGATGTTGAACCAGGACCCCGTGGCAAGGGCGAGACTTAGCCTGGATACCTTCAACCCAGCGATTCCCAACAATGGTCCTCAGTTTGGTTACTACCAACAGTCGCCTAGTGGATACAGCTCTCCGACCTCGTCCAACTTCTCTACTGGCGAAGGCAGCCCTAGATTCCAAGCCACCATGCAGTCACCATCGCTCCCGATCGCCAGGTCATCCTTCTACAACGGCACTAGAACACCCTCTCGTCGGTTATCTGTACCATCCGGCGTCAGTCCTTACTCACCACAAACTGCAACCTACCAGCCTGTTTACTTTGCCCCGCTTCCTTCCGGTCCGACTCCTCAGTACTCAAACACAAACATGGTCGCTAGTCCCACTGCCTCAACATTTTCCAACCACCGCCGTGCTGAGTCTGACGCAGAGCTCGAGTGGAGGAGGAGAACATGGCATCCTAGCACTCACGCAAACTATGCCAGTCGTCCTGCAACTAGTGGTCTGGCTTACAACCAGACTCCTGACGATGCTGCTCCTGCTCTTGCCTCCCAGCCGGCAGCAAGTCAAGTCACCAGACTTCCCGGTATCGAAAGCTTCGACCATGCGCCTCCCCCTCCTGTTGTCCCGTCACGCAATGCCACCAGTCCTGTGCAGATTGAACCTGCGCGTCGTTCATCTATACTCGCAGGGCCGGTTGAGCCTTCAACTTCAGCTCCTGGAGACCGAAGAAGCACAGGGTGGGAGCACACTCTCCATCATGGTCTAAACAGATTGGAGATTGCTCACCCCCCTGTGGATCCGTCTCGAATACTGCCAAGCCAGCTACCGATTGAACCCCGTCTTGAACAGCCTCAACAGCCTGCTCCTGGGTATGCATTGCCTCAGTTGCAGCCACCTGCGGATATACGTCCGGTCGCCGATGACCGTGCAAACAAGCGCCAAGCCTGGTACGGTGGTCCGATGGGGCCTCCCCAAGGGAGTCAGCCGATCATGATCGCGCATCGTACTTCACCAGAATCCAGTAGCAGCGAAGGCATCCCCACGCCTTCAACTTCTCAAGGCAGAGAACTGCATCCGGCTATCATGCACGCAAATGGCATGGTTGAGCTGCAGCCTCCGGATGCTATGCTGACTGATGAGCAAAGAGCTCTTCAGGCGCATTATCAGGGCAAACCCGAACCCACCAGGGCAGACTCTGGCTTCCACAGCTACTTGCATATGCCTGGTCAAGCACATCCTGTGTATGTCATGCAAGCTGGTCACAATATGCAGGTTCAATCTCCTGAATGGCGTCCCGCGCCTGTCAATCCTCGAGCCAATCCCGATATGGGCAGACTTGAAGCACTTGTGGCTGTTGCCACAAGCGAGAATCGAGCTGTGGAACACCGCAGTTGATCTCAACCGCTCGCCTCACAAAGCAAAACATCAAACACCGTTCCTTTCTATCCTCGACATCCACTCACACCTACAACTAATGTTTCATAATTTGATGAAACTCCCCGAGAAACGACCACGACCCGCGAATGACCTTTGATGACCTCCCCTGCGAATTTCGTTTTCGAGCGTTGATTTCTTGATTTTATCTTTCTGCTATTTACTACGTGCGAGCGTGTTCTTGCTATGCCTTTCACCCATTCCCCGAATACCCTTCTTCCCCCCCTTTTTTGTTTTCTTCCTTGCAAGCACACCAAGCGCCATCTATTGTCTTCTTCAACTCTTGTCTTTTTGGTGCGGTTTCAGTCAAGTTATTATTTCGATACCCTGATACCCCACTGGTTTTTTTTATGATTTTCTCTTTCTACTACCCTTTTCTGTTGTTTCTTCCCATGCTTGTCTACCACGCACGATCTATGAATTTTCTTTTTAGCTTAGTTTCCCTCACTTCTACTGTGGTTGACATCAAATATATGCTTTTCTCCCTTGATTATGTCTTGCTGCTGAGATCTTTGTTGTAACGATGAAGAGTGATTGCTGCCTTTCGGCACATGCTTGGGTGCCTCTGCCTCCAAGCACAAGTAGATACTGCAGTCAGTTGAATGTGAAGTTGAAGCTGTAGTTGAACTCTTATCCTTTGGGATTTCTATGATAATCCTATCTACTGACTGATTATGCATCTACTCCTTTCTTCTTCAACAATAGCTACTTTCCGTAATGTCCATCTTACTGATTCGATGGAATGAAGATGCGCCTCTTATGCAAACGCCGAACAATGCCAAAGAACATACTGATATAACCCGACCCAATCCGCCCAAACGCCATGCTTTTTCCTTCTCAAATCTAAGCCCAAAACAAAAACTGACACTTCAGAAGGGGAAGAAGAATGCAGAAAAACGGCTCAAGCCATCACACCGGCCAAGCCCTCACGCATGCGTTCGACACCTTTGATACCTACACCCTTCAATCTGCCCAGTTCACCTACATGTCTGATCTCGTCGTCCATCTCGCAAAGTGCATTGACGATCATTTCTGCCTTCTTGGCACCCACGCCTTTGAGCAGACGGATTTGAGCGACGTCACGGCTGTTGATGATACGCAGGATGTGCTTGGAGCGTGGGGTCTGGTCGGGTCCAGTGTTGATGAGTGAATGTGCCAGCTCATCTTCTGAATCAGAGTCTGCACTGTGTCGTTGCGAACACGCTTGAGGTGCTGCTGCTTCGTCGCGGAACACGCTGAGGTTTCGGCGGATGGCGGGTCTACGTGGTTTCGCGCGTTGGTGATTGTCAAACACAGACTCGTCCTCGTCGTCTTGATCGTGCGCATCGGGTTGGTAGTCGTCGTCGTCGCCGTCATCAGCCATCAAAGGCACTCCACCGCCAGATTTTGGTCTGCGTTCCTCTTCTTTGCGGTTGATCTTCTCCTGCAGCTTGAGCATCTTCTGCGCCAGCTTTTGGTTGTCTGGGAAGTAAGGTAATGCGAGCTGGTACATTTTGAGGGCGCTGACTTCTTCACCGCGCACGGTGTGCTGTTTGGCCATGAGCAGGTACTGTAGGCCCTCCGCGCGTGCTGATTCTTGGTCGATGACTCTACGCTCCAAAGCGATCAATCGTGCTTGTACGTCTGGTGAGATTTCTGTTCCTGCTGGAAGCTTTGCGCTAAGTGCCTGCTCGGCTAGCTTTTCGGCCACCTTCCTCTCGATGAGCTCTTCAATTGACTTTTGTGACATGGTCTCTGGTCTGGCTGCTACAGTCGACTTGAGCACCTTCGACGGTCTGTTAATAGTTGGTACAGCTTCACTACTAGTGCGCTTCTGTGCCTCAGCGGTACGCGGGTGGCCTTGTCCAGAGAGGTGGCCAGGGCGCGAAATGGCAGTTGTCTTGGGCTTATCAGAATAAACAGAGAAAGCCTTGACTGGCTTCTCGATCTTGTCCTTTTCGGCTTGCTCCTTGCTAGGGACAACGTTGTGTGACAATGCTTTTGGCCTCAAAGGCTGGCGGTTAGCCAGAGGTACTGAAGGAATTCCAGACTTGGATTCAGGCTTTGGTGCAGTGCGGAAGAAAGGTCTGTTTTCGACTTCGTTGACTTCAATCTTCTTTGTTCGGTTCGCAAAGTTCAAGGAGCTGAGAGTATCAAGGTGGTAGCTTCTGACTGGTGCCAGGTTCAAGATCATGACTGTCAGACCGTTGTTCTGACCAAGAGACAGAATTCGTGTCATCTTGGACTCGCGGTATGGAATGCGACTTTGTTTCTTGCTGATAGCCTCGACGCATTGAGCGAGAACGAAGAGAGACTTGTTGATACTTGCAGACTCGACCATTCTCTCCTTACCATTGTCGGTGCGGCGGTTGTCTTCGGAGCCAGCCAGATCGATGGCGCTTGCTGTGCTTACACGAACCTCGTTGCCAGTTACTTGAGTTACCTTGACGCAGAGAACTGCATGAGAGCGCGAGGAGTGTGCGTTCAACTAGACATGTTGTTAGTGATATGGGCCCGTGGATGTATTGAAAGAAGAGCACACCTTTGTAGCAGAAGTAGAACGGTTGACATTGGCTTGGTCGTAAAGAGATTCAAAGTCCTTGAGCGAGGTGCAAGGTCTCTCGGTCAAGCCAACGACAACCGTCTTGCCATTGTTGTCGCGAATAGGCAAACCAGCAGGGGTGCGCTTCTCAGGGGCTTCGAACAGATCATAGACGCGGTCGTTGTAGATTTCGTAGTAGCTCATGGCGACATCGACTTTGGTATCGCCTTCGGTGTCCTTCTCAATCTTACGACTTCTGCGGTAGATGCTGCTGAGCAAGCGTGGGATGACACCCCTGTCTGCCAGTAATTTTCCACCACGCATGGTGTGCGTCTTTCCGGTTCCTGTGACTCCATATGCAAAGATGGTCACATCAAAGCCCTTGAACAGATGCTTGACGGTGGGAGAAATCTCGTTGTCAAAGACTTGTTGTTGTGTGGCCTGCTGGTCGTAGACGCTGTTGAACTGAAAACTGAAAGCTTCGGCCTCGTTCTTGGGATTCGGGATGCGCACGATCGAGGGAGCAGCCGATGGCTCTGAAGCGGTTGTTGCGGCCTCGACAATAGTGTCCTTCTCCAGTTCCTGCTTGAGCAAGGGTCGGATACGCGCGACGACCCGGACGCTCATGGTTGGCTGGGGGTCGAGGGGGCTGGTTAAAAATGGGGTGGGTGGATGGTCGATACGCCCTGCAGACGTGTCGAAGAATAGAACAAAGAAGAAGAAGAGAAGAATCGAAAGGCCCTCCCTGGGCTGGCCGTGTTGGAATTGGCTTCGCGCGTGCCTCCCTGCTCCTGACTGACGTGAAGCTGCAGGAGCCGTTCGAGACTTCACGCTTTTTCCCCACGCCAGAAGCGATGCGATGTCAACAACACGTCGTTTTCCTCGTCGACCCAGAAACCGTTTTGGCTTTGGCTTTGTGCCCCTTCTCCTTGTTCAAACTTAACCAGCACCCGACTGCTTGCAGGTTGCGACGTCGATTCGACAATTCAGCACTCTGCTTATGCCTGTATGCTCTTCATGTCTTGATGTTTGTCTGCAATCTCGTTCATGGTTTCGCATTTACGATCGCGCTAACCGAGTCGATCCCGCCTAATCGTGCCAACAATCGCGACTTCGATAACCTACTCGATAACCTAACTGTGCCAACGCTTGCCAAAAGCAAACTGTAGTTCGGAACGTGCTCATGACGACTCGCGCTTGCTTGGTGCTACGTCAGGTCCTGAAACCAGGCATCGTGCCGTGTCTAATCGTGTACCATTTCGAGTCGCAGTCACTATGATAATCCTAGGCGAAACAATCTCCTTCAAGATCGTATTTCCGTGTTGCAATCGCGGCTGTTGTTTGACGCAAATATATGAATTGCAATATCATGTGCTCAAGGTATCTATATTCAGCCTATGATTCATTCTATCATATATGAGTATGTCAGGTGCAGACCAAGTCCTCAGCCTCTAAACATTCTATGATGTTGTGGCCTTCTTTACCTGAGCAGGCGTTGGTTTAGCTGCTGCCTTTTGCGGTGCTTTGGCACCAGCGGCCTTGCTACTTGCCGCAGTGCCATTGGATACTGCCGGTTTCTTGCTAGCATTTGATGCTTGAGCTGGCCGCTTCGTCGCTGTTGATGAAGCCGCTGTTCCTGCTTTACTCGTGGCATGTGCTGTCTGCTGCTTCTGCTTGTTCTCAGCTATTTTTTGTACACCTTGTTTGGCTTTTTGCATTGCTAAGGTCGATATTGGTCTTGTGATAGCAGTCTCGGCAGGTGTCATCGGTAAAGACTTGCGAAGGTTCGGTGCAGGCTTTGAAGACGCCGTCTGCGTAGCTCGCATCAATCGCCGTCGTGTCTCTTCGTGTGCATTGTCGATCGTGTTCTTGAGTTTAGGGTCGAGGTTCCGTCCAGCTGTCAACTTCTCTGTTCCATCTGGCAGAGGATGCTGCCGCATGGCTTCTTCCATCTCTCTCTGAGTCCGAGCAGCATCTCGTGTAATCTTCTCTATAGCAGACCCTTTGATTGGTGGACCACCTGCTGATTTCGAGGCATACGTCAGAGCTTGCCGCATGTCTTCGGTCGACTTTGGCGCCTTGGGTGCTTTTCCTGCCGTGAGCAGATTCAATTGCTGCTGCTGAGCCACTTTGTTCAGTAGCGCATCGAAATCGATATTCCCGGGTGCGATGTCTCCGCTCGAAAGTGCTGTTGCAGCAGCAGTGATGGGAGCAAAAATGGCGAGGAATTCCTCCCATCCACCTGCCTTGACTTCGGTGGTGATGAACTTGGCAGTCTTGTTCACTGGTTTAATGACTTTCTTTTCTCCATGACCGTTACCATTTGCAAGCTTTTGAAGTGCAGCTTCTGCTTGCATGGCTTTGATCGGGCATCCGGCAGGGAATGAGCCATGGCGGTAGAAGTGCTCCAGCAGGTAGTCTTTCTCGGTCCAGCGGTTCTTGAGCCATCTCTCAAAGGCTTCGTCGTTGTCGATTGGGATATCGCTGATCTTGAACCGTCTCCAGTACATATTGACTGACTTGGGTGGACGACCCTCGAAGAATGAAGATCGAAGTGTGAATATGTCCTGTCCGAATTGACCTTCCCTGTCTTTTGTGTCAGCTGAGAACGATCAAGTCGAGGAATATAAACACATACGGAACACCCTCGTAAGCAATTGTACAGTCGTATAACCAATTTGTTGACTCCTTTAGACGCTGAAGACAGAATTGCAGTCCGGTTTTGCGAGGCAACAGTTGATGCTTCATATCGCTGATACCTTGTTTGTCTGCCCAGGCCTTGCTTTTCGCCCGAGTAGTTTCGCTCAAGTTTGTGCCTTCTGGGAATATCAGCAGCCACATAGGGTCTTTGGGATTACTGAGTTGGCTCAGATGCCGTTGGAAACGACTCTTGTCCGTCTCCCATTTTCGTGACAAGAAGATGAAGTTGTAGAACTGGGCACCCCAACCGAAGATGGGGACGTTCTTCAGAGATTCTTTCAAGATGATATAAATTCGTCCATGCATCTTGTTGGTGTATGCAATCCACCAGAGGTATAGCCAGTCCGTATAAAGCTACTTGGATCAGTATCGGCACTTTTTCTCCATGGTTTTTCCCGGAAGCATACCTGATGGTTGGCCATCATGACAAGTCTGTGAGGAAAGTTGCATCGAAGACTTCCATCTTCCATCTGATATAGTTGATCCTTCATACTCTCGTCTCCAGTGACTCTGACAGCAGTAGGCGCCCACCATTGAGTCATGGTCGCAGTAAGGACAGCAAAAGACTCTTTAGTCCATGCCATGTATCCATCGTAGAACTTAGGATCAATGAGCTTCAACGGAGCACCAATGAATTGCGAAGCGCTTATACTGAACCGCAGTATGCTAATCAGACACGAATCCTCGAAAACATATTTACACCCTACTTACGCCAAAACTCCTGAAAGGAAGGTTGATGCAGCAGAGAAGGCTCTCTCAGCCTGTCCCATGGCACCATGTTGAGGTGGCCCTGCTGGATGTTGATCTCCAGCTTTTGACTTCAAAATATCGAATCCTGCCCCCAGCAAAGTATCGCCAATGGCTTTCGAAGCTGCCTCGACATGCGGTCTCGACATTTTTACTTCGATAGAATCGCAAAGATTGAGGAAACATCGAACAGCCACAGATCAGCTATTCATTTGATCGGACACGAAGCGAGTGACTTCGAGGCCTTCAGACCCTGGCTCCGGCAGTGGCAGCATTCCTGCTTTTCGACGAGTTCTTTCGTCGACTCGCGTCAGCAAGCGACGTGCGATGAGGCAATGTCGCACGGTGCCGGTGCCAAATCGAGGTTTGAGCTGCATTTCTCAGCCACGACCAACCTGATTCGCGCCCCGCAAGGAAAAGTAAAATGACGTGTGGTTCATGAGCCGCTTTTTCGATTCGAGTCCAGCCACCCTACCTTGCTCAAGTGCCCTTTAGATCTCGAGATCGCACCCTTCTTCCTTCGAATTCCACGTTTAATACCACACAAGCCTACCGCGGAGCTTTTACTTGACATTTTCTTAAACCAAGAGACCTCCCCTGCCTTTGGAATCCTACCACTGTTCGAATAAATATAAGCATCTGTCAGGAAACACAGTTCCAAAACCCAACAAAACTCGATATGGCCAACGCTCCTTCCGCGACTCGTCCTCACACCAACCAATCGCGAGCCACCAACGGCGTAGCCAGGACGAACGGTGCCCCTCGTGCGAACGGAGTAGCTCGAACAAATGGTGTAGCTGCTGGTAAAGCAGCCGCATCTCGTCCAGCAGCCAGAGCAAACAGTATCTCTTCTCAGGGAGATACACCTGTGAACGGAGTCGGCTCAGCATACGCTATCATGGCCAACCGAATCGCAAACCGTGTTGCTGAGATGGCCGAGAGCATCACATTCGTCGAGAGGTATGTTCACACGACCTGAACAATATCAAGTTTTATATCGCTCATACAAAATACAGACCAAAGCCGCAACAAAATGGACAAATCTTGAACGAAGAGCCAACCGAGAAGAAGCGCCCTCGCAAGCTCGAGATGCGCCTCGATACCGGAAACGATGTCAGCTTCAGCGCCCCTTTCCTCGACAACACACTTCAGAAGATGCTCGCACTCCAAAACCGCATGCTCAAGAGCACAGCAGACCTGTCGAAACAAGAAGGTGTGGATGAAAAGATCATCCGAGAATCGGCTGCTCAGAGCGCAGAACTGAGTCGTATCATTGCTCTTATCTGTGCGGAGAAGGCTCGTCAAGGAGCTTAGAGTTTTCCCCTTGTCTCGGAGCGCGGAGAACAACAGCACGCATCGATGTTTCCTTATTTTATTTAATCTAATGACGAAGGGCTATGGAAGGGCATGGTTTATTGCTCAGGTTTATTTGCTTGGCCGCGGACGATCTGTCTCTGTATCAATACCACGTATCAGGCGTTCTTATATTTCTGAATCACAAACATTCATTCTACCAATCGCTTCTTGTGCCTATTGCCGCGCTCCTGAGTAGGATTCAGAGGAGTAGATCTTACCGGCCCCTCACTCCTACCAACTCTGCTTGCCCGTAGAGTTCACCGGCCGTCGATCGAGTCGCGTGTTGTTGCACGAATGGGCCGCTACGTAACCTAGACGGCTGTCCAACCGTCGGCCACAACGGTTTGTCTCACTCTGCCGTGTGACATCTCGTGCCACTCCTCCACGTCTTTTTGATGCGTTGCGCCACACTTTACGTCACTTTTGCGACGTCCTTTCCACGTAAATGTTCCGTTATCCTTGTACACATACGCCAGCCCCCCAGATCGCTGCCAGGTTTGCGGGAAGAGTTGCAAGGGATGCTTATGCACAGTGATGCTCTTTGCTGGCAAAAGATGCGTCTGGATCATTCGTTTCCTCTCTCGATCACGGTAATTTGCTGGTTTGTGCTTTCTCTTTGCTTCTTGATCTCTTCATCTCTAAACTTCCTTTCTGTGATTTTGCAATCTGAAGCGTGCATAATTGATATATCGAAATAATGGCGAGCTTCATCACGAATTACATACAAAATACTGCCATGGGCATGCTGTCCAGCGGCATTACCGCTGCTGGAAATGTAGCTGGTAATGCTGTTGGCGGTGTAGGCACCATGATTCAAAGCAGTGGACAAGCTGTTGGCAGTGGTACGAGCCTCATCTGATCTAACACCGTCCAAAGTCATCCTCTTTCTAACACGTATTCACAGGCATTGAAGGCAGCATCAAGAACTGGGGAGACTACATCAATAGCTACGGCGATCGCGCAATCGCCGCAACAGCACCAAACCCAGGCTCTGGACCAACAGCAGTCAAGAAGCAAAAGGCTCTCCCTGCACCAGCCAAAGGAGCAGGCGCAGTCGCGAAACAGAAAGCACTACCTGCTGCTCCTTCCTCAGCACAAAAGGCTCTTCCTGCTCCTGCATCCAAGCCCAAGACACTGTGTGCAAACACACCTTCTTACGCAGGCGCAGTTAAGAAAACAGCTGCGTCTGCAGCATCAAAACCCAAGAGTGCGGTTGGAGGAGGAAGCCCTGTGCCTTCTGTTGGTGGTCTACCCAAGCCTTCTGCACCAAAAACTTCGTCTCTGCCTCCGGTCAATCCTAAGCCCTTGTCTCTGCCTCCTGTCAACCCTAAGCCCTTGGGCTCTTCAGCAGCAGGCAAAGTCAAGATCAGCCCGGCGAGTAAGCCAAAGACCAGTGGAGGACTACCCAAAGCTCCAGTCGATGGATTGCCAAAACCGCCTGGTGTGAGTGGACTCACTAAAGCTCCTGCTGCTGCGGCGAATGGTCTGCCCAAGGTTACAAGTTTGCCGCCTGCCAATGTGCCAAAGCCTCCTTCGAGCGGAAAGGTGAGGATTGATCCTGCTAGCAGACCCAAGAAGTAATGAAATAGAGGAAGAAGAGGTGGAGAATGCATGATGGCACCAAGGAGCGGATATGGATGCATGAGAGGAAAAAAGGGATATGATTTCTACGAAGGACATACCTCTACATGTACTAATGATGTTTATGACAATGCGTTTACGTTCCATCAATCTTACTTTGTTATATCTATCACAGGAAGTTCAGCAACACTCTTTCTTTCGCAGGTACAGAATGCATACAACCCCAAAACGGAAACTTTCGGCGACTGGAAATTCGCTATTTCCATGCAGCCTCGGCATCTCCATCTCCCCCCTCCACCCTTTCAACCAACCACGACCTCTTGAATTACATCCTCCTCCTTGCTATACCACTATACATTACAATCTCTCACAAAACAATTCAACTACCTCTACGATCGCCAAATAATCATCGATATCCTTCTATATCAACAACAAAATCCCAAAGCAACAATGTCCAAGTCCATCACAGCAAAGGAAGTTCAGGAGCACGCAACCCAGGAGAAGGGTCTCTACATCATCATCGATGGAGGCGTGTACTCGATGGCCGACTTTGTTGATGAACACCCTGGTGGTTCCAAGATCCTGAAGAGAGTGGGTGGAAAAGGTGTGTTCTATTCCTTATCGATCCTTTCCACTCGTCCCTGTCTGTATAGACAGTTGTGGAAACTGTCGTTTGAGAGATGCAGTGCTGATATGACTGGAAACAGATGCAAGCAAGCAGTTCTGGAAGTACCACAATGAGGCTGTGTTGAAGAAGTATCAGCCCAAGCTAAAGATTGGCGACCTCAAGGAGGAAGCCAAGCTTTGAGCACGCGACTTACTATTCGGAGTATGGGTTTTGATCAAGGGATATGGCTTGCTTAGAGGAAACAGAAATCTCACAGCATTGTAGAAGAATAGAACTCTCCAAAGACATAAGATGATGTTCTAATTTCGATGCAAATGCTCAGCTAGAGGGGTATTATACTGTATCAATCAGTACCAAGCAACAGCAGTCCAAGAATAGAAGAAGAGCAAGACAAGGCCACTCTACAGCTCATCATGGCCTGATCCAGCAGAAGGAGCGGGTCTACCAGCATCCTTTTGCAAGTCAACTCCATTCTTCTTTCTCCACTTGTCCCATGTGTTCCAGAAGTCCTTTTCCATGTTCTTGTCCATCTGATCTGGCAACACGACAACATACTCGATGTGCAGTTTTCCAAACTCGGGACCCTCTTCGTGGCGCCAGATTGGCATGCCTTCGTTTCCGAGTACTTCGACTGAGTTTGGTTGAACGACTTGACCACGCTTGCGTGATAGTTGCACGATGTGGCCATCCAAGTGTGTGAGGTTGCGAGTCCAGTCGCCCAGCCATGCCTCCCGTAGACTCAAGACTTCGCGCCAGAACAGATCATCGCCCTTGCGACGGAAGAAAGTGCCATCTGTGCGATCGTGCTTTTCCTCATCCTTGCCCAGCTCCGGCTCTTTCTCTGTAACCTGCACAATAAGGTCGCCAGCAACGTAATCCGGACTCTCGTCTCCTTCGTTTTCGTAGTTGATCCTTGCGCCCTTGGGCATGCCCTTTTCAATGTGCACACTGAAGGTCTCGACTTCTCTGACATGACGAGAGCCGCCGCAGGTCTTGCATTTGTGTTGGATGGTTGTGCCTTTTCCGCCGCATTGATCGCATTGCATTTGCATTTGCTGGAAGATGCCCGGTGCGAGTTGTGCTTTTTGAATGATCATACCGTGGCCCTTGCACTTGCCACAAGTATCTGTCTTGCCGTCTTCAGAACCAGAACCCTCGCATGCTGAACAGATGGCCTGCTTCTCCAATGCAATTTCGTGTTCGGCGCCGTTGTAGAAGTCGCGAAGGGGTACTGAGACACGCACTTCCATGTTAGGGCCTCTGCGTTGACCAGGAGCATGACCAAAGTGACCGCCGCCGCCGAAAAATCGAGAGAAGAGATCGAAGGGGTTGCCTCCTTGACGGTGACCTCCTTCCTTGTGTTGTTTGAGGCCTTCGTGGCCATACTGGTCGTAGATCTTGCGAGTCTCGGGTTCAGAAAGGGCTTCGTAGGCTTCGGCAATTTCGACAAACTTCTTCTGGACGGTTTCATCGCCACTACATTGTCTTTTGGTCAGTGGATGTTCTGAGGTCAGGGGTTTGCAGGACGGAGGCAGGGTGCGACGGACGGGTTCTTGTCAGGGTGGTATTTCTTGCTCAGTGTTCGGTATGCCTTCTTGAGCTCGCGTTCTGATGCATTCTTGTCAATGCCGAGTAGCTGTGCATCGTAGGTCAGCACGGATAAGATAAGTGTAAACAGTTTTTGGATGATTACCTTGTAGTAGTCCTCTGCGCAGAGTGCCACAAGCGGCAGCACGCACAGCAGGAGCCATGCGAGTTTGAACAACATGTTTGTCGTCCGAGACCAATTGTCCAGACAATTGAGAACGCTGTGCGAAAGGACAGATAGAAGTCGTGCAACTTTTGGGAATGAGACAGTTGTCTGTTACAAACCCCAAACGCCGATAACGCCTTTTCGGGGAATCTTGATGCGAAGGAGCGTCATCAGCATTATTCTTTCCCAACATAGCATTTCGGGTTGAGATGAAAGTGTTACTACAGTTATAAAATAGAAAAGAACATCCTGCATAATTCTCCAAGGCTATAGCACAGCGCGAGAGATGATCAGGTGCTAACAGTTCATGCGGGAGAGGACCTGAGACTACAATTGCCTATCTGAGCTTTTGATGTCGAAACATGCAAGTGTCTATTTCCGAGGCAGCAGCAACATACGTAGGCAATGAGTTGTTCATTTTCCATCCGGAACGTACATGTATCCTTAAATTGTCTTCAATCAAGAAAACACGATGTACATGTTGGCAGAGAGCGATTTATACACTAGTTGAGGAAAGAGCAGGGTGCTACTCCAGACAAGTCTGACATGGTGCGTTGTTGCGCTAATTACACCAAGCACGACTTATGACAAATTGTCGCACAATTCGTTTGATAGTGTAGTCGATATACATTAGCACAACAACATGGTGACAGAGCACTCTTTATTCATATAGCAAGCACCAAAAAACTCCTCCGGTTGACTTAGGCAGGAGCATCAAAATTTTGCTGTACCCGGGCACCAGGCTCATAAACAAGTCCCTCGCTTTAACGCTGTCACATCCCAAACAATTATAGCTTTTCTTTGCTCCCAATTAGTCTCAGCCCCAATATGGCGCTCTAAGTCCTGCGAAGGTAGATGCTACTGTGCTGCTAATATCTGCTCCACCATCATCCCTCTTACGTTGGCCGGAGAGCTGTTCAAGTTTGTCAGTCAACAGATATATCCTCACGTCAGTTTGATGTCATATCGTACCTCCAATTGAATCTGCCTATGCACATGGACCAGCCAGTCAACATAGCTCTGAGCTTCGCCGTTGCGGTCCTCGTACAACAGACGAGCGAATTCGTACTCCGCACCATCCAACCCTTGTCTGGCCAGTTGAATTGTCAAGGCCTTGGAGCCCCTTGTGATTTCCATGTACTGCAGAATATTGCGAACTTGAGCGTTCAGATGAGTCTCAAGCACAGGCAAGCTAGAGCTGAAGGGATCCAGATGCTTGAGTTCGTTGTAGCCTTGACCATACAAGTCTTCGAGCAGATTCGGCGATACCTGAGAGTGCAGCCAGAGCAGGCAAACCTGTCCGTTATCAACGAGATAAGCTCCACCCTCCTCAATTTGCCCGAATGACGCTCTGATGGCAGCCGGCATGCGCAGACGACCGTTTTCGTCCGCGAAGCCGTCCGTCTGCTCCAGGTTGTGAATGGCAATGATGCGAGGGTAGAGATATAACGACAGCTCCATAGGTCCCATCGATCTAATCAAGCGCATGTCATGAATTCTACGATCGCTAGGCTCACGACCACCCTTGAAGGCTCGTGACTTGATCAGTCCTAGCATATACATGCTTAGTTCCTTGAGGTTCTCAGGCAAGACAAGCTGGCCAGGTGGATGCGAGCCAGAGAAGTTCTTGCGATAGCCAGCAAGTATGTCGATGGTCTTTTCGCTCAGAGAGTTGCGAATCTCGGTCAAGGTCCTTTCGGAGACTCTGGACGCGGCCTCTTTAGAGATAACACTGACCACAGCATCCTGATCGACGAATTTCATCGCCTCAAGAGCGCTCTCGCTCACGCTTGCTACAGTGTTGGTGCAACGCACTCTGCGCTCACCTGTCGCGGTAGTATAGAGAAGAGCACTTTGGAAGTGAGCATCCAGCTTTGCGTCCAACTTGCCATCGTAACTGAACATGACCGTAATCGCCTTGTCCGCATCAATTGCGCCAAATTCGAGATCAGCACCAAATGTGTGTTGAGTGAAGTTACCGTGGTATGAAGACAGTTGAAGACCATTCGAACAGCGAACCTTCATAAGAGCCTGGAAACCAGTTTCACGGGTTACTGTGTGCTTGAGCTCCTTTGCTAGTCGCAGATCGTCTCGCGGGCTGTGGAAGTTGGGATAATAGTAAGTTTCGCCTCCAGACACCGCACAGCAGTGTCCGATCGTTGCAATATCAAGATAACCTCCACTTGGTGCAGCCATAAAGAAGTCTATGCCTACGCCAGCTTCGACCATCTTCGCAGCCGTGCTTCTCCAGCCAGGATGCTCAGTAGTGTAGAGTTTCTTCTCGGCATCCGTATCACGACCTTCGTTCTTGTCGCGAGGGAACAGTCGTCCAGGACCAAATGTGGGAAGGCTTGACACTGAGCACACAATCTTGCCTCCAGTAGACGTAAGAGCAGCCAAAGCGGCATTGACAGCAGGAAGTAACGCGAGTTCTGGACTCTTCACTGAGGAAAACATATCCGGTATCCGGCTAAGAAGAGAAGTGATAGCAGGTTTAGATGCCTGAGGATCCACAAACAGGCCTTGGCTCAATGGCACAAACGGATCCTCGATATCAGGCATGACAATCATTTGTGCTTGCTCAAGTCCCGGAGACAGGTTGTAGAATTGCACTTCTCGGTCAAACGTGACGAAACCAACCTTAACACCTGAAGGAACATTGTTTGTACCGTCCTCAGCATAGAGCGCGTGCAGAATACCTTTGCACATGGAGTCGAGGAAACCTCTGCTCGATGCCTCTAGACTGACGTCAATCACGAAGAGCCATTGGAGAGGGACAGGATCTCTGGTCCAATACTCCTTGGGAACCAAGAAGTCGACAGTACCCAACATCAGCTCAGGTCTTTGTGCACGATCGACTCTGATACCTGTTGGATCGGTAGGCGCAAAGTACTCGGATGGCACATCGTTAGGATGAGTGCACAAGTTGCAGACAAACTTGTTTCCACCAGAACGGAATGACATGAAAGGATTGATATACGTTCTGCAACGCCTGCAACGAGGCGGGCCGACATCTCCAAAATCAAGAACAGGAACAGGCTGCTCACCGTCCTGTAAGGGAGCCAGAGGTTGCAAAACAAGGCCCAGAGGAAGACCAGTAGTTTGAAGAGCCTCGTTTGAGGCAGGAATGTTGTTCAACGTGAGACGAGCAAACTTCGGAGAACTGTTTCCTTGGTCGAAAGCAACAAAAGGAATAGCGGCAGGTGGAGGGAGATGTTGCTCCATGGTAGGGTAGATGCGCTCTTGATAGTGGCGAGCAGGAATGTCGCGTGACCTAGGGACACCAGGGATCTGTTCCGGGTCAACGCGTCCTGACTGGGAAGAAACAGGAGCCGACAAGAGTTGATCACCTTGACGGGCAGCATGTTCCATAGGAGTTGCAAGATTGGCGGGCGCGAAGGTGGACGCTGCGGCAGGGAACTGCGACATGGCGGGTGTGATCTGCTGGGACATGTATGGGGCGGCTGTTCCCGGAATGGGGGCATTTTGAGTATTGTAGAACTGCGACGATGTGGTTCCTGGTACGGCAGCTGGCAGAGGTTGAGCAGCGGCCGGTGTTTCGATATGATGGTATGCATGTCGGTCCTTCTTTTTCTTATTATGCGAGCTCGGTGCGGCACTGACAGGAGGCTGGCCAGCCAGACCCATTGCACTCATCTGATTCGACAGCCCGTCCATACTTTGAGGTTGCAGTTGCTGTGGTGGGACTTGTTGCTGTGGTTGAGCAGGGAAGTAACCTGCTTCCGAACCAGCTTGTTGGTATTCCGAGTAGGGACTTGGTGCGACTGGTGGGCGGAATCTCTGTTCTTTTTGTCTTGGGTTCGAGCCACCCGGTGTTGCCAGTGGTGTAGTTGCGGGCGATCCGGTCAGGGAGAACTCCATGATTAACGAAAGTGGTCGTGGTGTTGTGTTTCGGCGAAGCTGTAGACAAAGCTACGTGGTCCTATCCACTCCGGCCTTTATCGTCACCAGTCTGTCCGTAATCGGCTACTGGGTCTGTGTTGTTATTATTCCTTCTCTTGCTCCGTGATATGCGCCCCTTGAAGTCCAATCGACACACGAGTTGGGTTGTTTTGCGAATAGGGAATAAAGTGCCACCATTGCTCTCCGGGAGTCTCGCCGACGCCAAGCCCCGTATACCCCTGAGAGGAAGGAGCAACCACAACAGTCAGTCACAAAAGACGAGACAAGTAGGAGCATATCAAGCCATTATTGGTATTATCGTAATGTACAGCACAAGAGCTTTTCGATTTGAAGCCAGTCCGGCTTTTTCGCCTGTCCACCAAGCCAGAAGCTCCTTATACACCTTGCTACCATGAATCCTTTCCCATGAAACGCCTCAGCCCTCCTGAACAATGTTTGCACCTAGTCAACCGAGACTAGACAGTCCGCCTTGCTGCGCAAACTTGAGTTGATACTCACGAAGATCTGCCCAGTGACGCTGCTCAGTCTCCTCGTCGTTGGGGTTATGAGGGTCGTCATGTCCAGGGTTCACGCGTTCCAGCTTGACCAGAATGTCGAGGAACGCTTTGAGGTACTCCTCAGCTTGCTGTGCCACTTGTCCCTTGCGGGACTTGGGTACCTCGAGGAGGGTGCTTGCTACTACGCGAATTTTTGTTGTCTGCAAAACAAATTAGCCACTTGCTGCGTTTCCCCTCTTGTGCCAATGTACTCACAAGACTGTCCGCATTCGGCTCCATGTTCACCCTGTCGATACTGCTCAGAACAGAAAGCAAGTCCCTGACGATAACTTCGCGCTCTTCTGACATCTCACGGTCCAGTGCGTCAGCAGAAGATCCATCTGAGAGCAACCCATCGAGCTCTGCAGCAACTTCGCTCGACAAGCCAGATTCGGCGTTTTCTGCCTGTAGCTTGCTTCGGGCCTGCGCCTCGATCAAAGTAAAGTATTTCTCCACAATATAAGACCGTGTGCAAAGACCGCTACCGTGGATGTTTGCTTTTTGGATCTCGTATTGACGTCTTCTTCTGTCCTCTGGTGTAGCATCCACTGTATTAGGGTTCAGGGTTGCTGGATCGCGTGCATATGAAGTGCTTGAGAAATCCAGTCCGAGTTCGTTTCCGTTGTGGTTGGCGAAGGGGTTGTTGTCAGTAGGCCAGATGACAAGCACTGTTGGCAAATCTCTGGTGGCTGATTTGCATCGTTCGAGCGAATCGTGAAGGACCTTCTTCTGACGATCGATATCAACCAAGGCATCAACACCCCAAGCCAGCTCCATGGTTGAAAGAGGACTGTAAGACATGAAGATCCTGACATTAGCATTGAAGCCGGCAATCATGGGAACAAGACCAGGAGGCTGCGGCTCGATGTGTCCGGGGAAGATGCAGAAGTCGTCGACCTCAACAGGGAGTGGAGGATAAGGCATGGATGGAGTCTCGGGCGGGATAACAAGCTCGCTGAAAGCAGAGCCACACTGATGGATAGTCTTTGAGCTCACAAACATGGTCCAGAAGATTCTCCTGCCCATCTCGAGAGTAATGTTATCAAGGACGTCGTCACGATTGCCTTCAGTATTCGGACCATTCGAACCAACAGCTGCTGGCAACATTCCTAGTCGCGTGAAGTTCTGCTCGGTCGGTTTGTGTAGACCAAGAGCTCTGATGATAGTCAGGCATTCACTCCAGTATAAGCGACATTGACGCCATCTGAATGTGTAGCAAGCTGAGAGACCGAGGAAGTAGCTGGTTGCAGCATCATGGACACTCAGGTTCTCGTTGTCGAGATAGCCTGGTCCACGAGCATCGGCGCAAACCTTCTGACATTTCAGCACAAGCGCCATGTGGTTGGGGAAGTCAAGCTCTCTGCGTTGTGCCTTGAGGTGCAGTCTAGGCTTGCGTGGGAAGGACGCGACAAGGGCGGCAACCATTGACGACAGCAGTGCTAGGAAAGCACGGTTGTTGTAGTCTTCTCTTCTCTTCCAGGCCTCACGGAAGCTGGGTTCGTGTGGGAAGGGGCACAGCGGGTGGATGTATGTAAAGAAGTCGTTGACGAGAAGATCCAGGGTCTGAATGTCGCAAATGGATTCGGCCGAGATGGGAGGGTGAGTGGGATGAGAAGACAGAGCTGCTAGAGCTTGTGCGGCATGAGTAGGAGAAGAGGGCGTCGACTGGCCGCTAATGTGCGGCGACTCCTCGAGACGGCGACGCTTAATTGCTTCTGCATGACGATTTGGAGGACCACGACGGCGACTTGGACGTTCGAATGTGCAAGGGATATCCAGAGCAGCGCAAGCTCGGCATGGCGGACCAGACTCGTCACACTAGGACGCGAAGTTAGTAGGGAAGTCGTAGAAGATGACCTGGCACAAAAGGTGTAGCGTACCTTGACCTTGCGAATACTGCACGAGTCGCATGCCTTGCGCAGACGATTGGCTTTTTGTGGAGTCTCCCCTTGAACTTGGGGACCTTGAGGTTGTGCAGTTTGCGGTGGTGGAGGGGGGCCTAAGGGAGGTTGTTGATGTTGGTCATGGTGCTGGTCGTGTTGTTGCAGAGGATGCTGATGTTGATGTTGGTGCTGATGTTGAGGCTGAGAGTGTGGCTGTTGCTGCTGCAGCTGCTCGATGCGCTGTTCGATGTGGTTTGGCGCGTTGGGATCGACCTCGCCTTCGGCCTTGGGATAGATGGCTTGACCAAGCTGACCGAGTTGACTGAACTGTAACTGATCCTGCTGGACAGGGTCCAACAATTGTTGCTGGCCCGGAGCAGGATACAAAGTGTAATGCTGCTGGCTGTCGGGCTCAGGGTAGCTGGACATCTGGTCGTCCATGCAGGCGGATTGCGCCCGTGTCAGGCGGCAGAACTGTGGCAGTCAGTATACACCTTTCTCTCTCTACGGACAATGTCCGGGTTGCGACGCGTGCCATGATTTAACTCGAATGCGCCGGGAAATAAAACTTACATTCTTGTAGGAGCTGCACACTCGATGATCGGTCGATGACGCGACGTTTTGCACTCGGTTGATTGCTACGCGATGGAAAGATCGTCAAAACTCGATGGGAAATATGCAGAGCGCGTCGACGGAGCCCGAGCAAGTCGTAGTTGAGATGCGACTTCCTCAAGACGCTATGACCACCTAAGTCTGACAGCCCTTCTGATAGAACTCGTCACTCATGCTCGAGTGAAACTACTAAACACTCAGAGACCAAGTCTTTCTAGATTTCTGCTCTGTATATCTGGGATACTTGGTGGCTTCATGTTCCGGACTATGGAAAGATAGGCCAACTATCGATGGTTCAAAGCTGGTACGCAAGATGCAGGACATGTAAGTTTGATAAGACCAAACCTCCCAAAAGGGCTCATAATAAGATGGTAAGCACAACCTAATTTCCATACTCCATCACCTGCCAGAACAGAATCTTGCAGATATACCTTGACAGACTTCTCACCTCTACTCTACACGTTGTGTCTCACAATGTGGGAGAGAGCAGAGCCTCGGAGCAAGAGTGTTTGGGTGTTCCGCGCTACGGGCCGTCCAAAGGTGGAGTCGATGCATCCCGGGCGCGTGAGATGCGCATTCGATCCCTCATCCGCTTTTGTTGTCTACACACCGATTATACTCTTCCTGTCCGCCATTCTCCTTTTACCAAGTCAATGAATACACCATACCAGTCGCCTAGCCTCTCAGAAATAACAAAATCAATCCCGCGTACACAACTTTGCAGATCATGCTTTGCTGAAGGCATATGGAGGCTTCACCGTGGCACAACGCTGTAAACACAGCCAACACGACCACATCCTACGCGTCTTTGCCCAATGGATCCTGCAACTTTCGCTCACTCAGTAGCGGCTCAAGAGCCCCGACATGTGGCTGTCGTAGATTCTGGCTCGACAGGCCCCTAGATAGTCAAAATGCATCTTCCGTCCTCTGCGCCTGCGGCCATCACGCTTGCTTCCACGACGTTACAGTCGACTCTGCTCCAACTGCACCTACCAACCTGATGCGACACAGCAGCGCTCCTTCTGTACCCACAAATCAAGATAATACCACGCTACAAATTCAACCGCCCGCCGTTCCTCCACAAGATGAAACCAGACATGATCGAATAGAGTCCTCAAGGGCTGCACCCTTATCCATTGACATCTGGGGACGTTTGAACAACTTTGCGCGATGGCAACAAGACCCCACCTGGATTCCGTCCACTGCACCGGCCAGTGTTCTGTCATATGAACCGCAACCAGAGCCGCAGCAGACGTCCAGTGAGCCGTCGCCGGTAAAGAGTACAACGTCCAACGAACGGCCATATGCCTCACTCTTCCCCAACATGGACGGCTTGATGGCCAGCCCTACCGTTCGAGGAACACCCACCGCCGATTATGTACCTGATTCACTACAAGCCGATGCACCTTCCGACGCTCAGCAGGATCAAGGGGAATCTCACTCAGTTCACGACCAGCCTTCGATCCCTACGGACTCCAATACAGAAGCACCTGAAGTTGTAGACACAAAACCGTGTCTGGAGGTTACGAAATTCGTCGAAAGCAAACCGCAAGAGGCACCAAGTACACCAACCAAAGCCGTGACGACCGATGTGCAAAACATTCTTCAGAGCTGTGTTCGGCGATTAGAAACGCTGGAGACTTATTCTTTCTCGCACGTACCCCTTGACGAAGTACATGAAAAGTTCGAGCTTTTGGACGGTCGCTTACTAGAGATGGAATACTGGAGAAAAGACATTGACGCTCGTCTTCAGCAATCTAAAATGGCCCTCGAGGACAAGGATTCGCAAGCATCAACCTTTTCCCAGGATCTTCGGACTCGTGCTGGCAGCAAAGCGCTTCTTTCGCGCGTGTCCGATGTCGAGGATCGATTGGCGGATCTGGAGAGCGCACAGCCTTCATACGCCAACCCGTGGGAGATTGAAGTCGTCCTTCTTCCCTTCGGCCGTACATTGAAAGGTGTCTGGCATGATTCAACCGACAACAATCTAACGGATCCCAACATGCCTACAGCGCAATCCAACCAAGTTGGGTCATCAGGTAGCTTGCTTGCCCCGACCGGAACCAAGGAACCTGCTTGGACTGCAGATACGATCGAGGCCTGGGCGAACACCATCAATCCATGGCTCTGGCCTAAAGCGCCTGGTCCAAACAGCAATCTGTTTAAACGCCTCCAAAGTCGAGGACTCATTCGTAATGTCAGCATTGTCGACACTGGTGCACATGGCATCTGGGAGTCAATCAAGGACGCTTTTGCAGACTTCGTTGATTCACAGCCATTCTATCGTACAAACAATCAACAGCAACCATACGAGGCAATGAGAGAAGCATTCGTGCCGTTGCGCAAGATCAAGAAGTCTTCGTGGCTTCGGTACCTGGAACCACATGAGTTGATCACTCCTGCTACGTGGAATATATCTTTCCTAGATTCGGGCGTCTTCATGAACGGGAAAGGCGGCCGCAAACGCCTTTATATGACCACTGCCGACGGATATATCCAGCCAGGAAAGACCGGCTGGACATGGCAGCAGATACGCGATCTACCACGCTACGAGAACGTCATCGCTAGGTCTGGCTCATTGTTCAGCAGAGAAGCACCCTCGGAACCATTCTGGGCACACATGGCCGCTCTCGATGACGCACCCACATTCTCTTCTTTTATATCGCAACACAGCAACACTTCTCTCGGCAAACGTCGCAGTTCTGGTGTCACTTTCGAAGATTTGGAGATCGGAAGCCCCTCCGCCAGATCTTACACCTCAAGCTCATCTGGCGACACAATTACCCCTCGCTTCTCAGAATCTTTCCCTATTATCACGAAAAGAGCATCCCAGTCAAAACGTCGCGAAAGTCCATCATGCACACCGGTCGCCTACCAAAAGCGTCGTCGCACATCTGGCTCTCCTAGTAGATACCGAGGAGGACTCGAAGAGTTGACACCGAGATGGTCACACGAGCCCCCAACACCAATGCTGGAAAATGCTTGGGAGACGCGCAGTCAATGCAAAGCAGGATCAAGCAGAAAGAGACTCAGCACACCTACCGCGTATGCGACGCCGCACAGCCACAACGTCGCTAATGTCGTCGACCTTGCTATGGCAGATGGAGGGGACACAGAAGTCGAGTCTGTAGGCTCCGGTCCCGCTGAGAGCGAGCATGAATGGGCGGGACTTGATGAGGACGGAGACGTTAGCGATATGTCGCAATTGACCTCGCAGTCCAGCTTCTCTGCCAGCGAGTGGATCGAGGACGAAAACGAGTCTTTCGAGCAGGATGAAGATGATGGCGACAGTCTTTATGAGCCATGAGGAGTCCTTTGGAGTTTTTGTATATCTCTTTTCTTGGTTGTACACACATAGCAAGGAGCGCATTTTCGTGGGTCTTTGAATATGGATAAGGTTTAGCATTATATCTCGGAGGTTGCAATACATATGGAACATATTTTCAAAATAAAGAAGTCTTCTCATTATGCTCTTCAGTGAGCTTGGAATCGCTATCTTATGTGTCTCTCTCTGGACTGCTTGTGAGAAAGGAGGGGTGTTTTCGCCAAGCCTCTGTGCTTCGACCCTGGAGCAACCTCCTCGATTTATCTACCTGCATTTCACCACCAAGAACAAGTAGTGCACATGATGCATGTTCGTGGCCCACCTCTTACGAGGGTGTGCTGTTGACACAATGATCAGGGTCCGACCATGACTTTCGCCTTGCAGATCACGACGCGCTCAACCTACAGATGTGTCAGTTGAGCACAGACATGTAATGCTCTTGCGTCTTCTTACCTTCTTGTCGATGACGACGTCTTTGTACACGATAGGGAAGAATGAAGCTTGAACAACTCCACCTTCTTCTCCATTGACCTCGTCCATCCTGTCAGGAAGAAATTTGCGACGGAAATTTTCCTTCGTTGCCGTAAGGAGAACAATCGAGTAGTCGGCCTCCTGGTGGTGCAAGGCTTGGATGACATGGATATGAGGTCTGATAGCAAAACGAAGTCCAGCGATTGTAGGGCTCTCCAAATCCCTGCCTTCTTGTCCGAGGTACTGCTCGACCTTTTGAACAATCACCTGAGTCCAGACGTCCAGAGACTCCTCGACAGAATCTTCATCCTTGGAGATCAGTCCGTTAGTGAGCATAACCCACTGTTTCTTCTTTTCGACAGCCAACGCAGGTATCGCTTCACAATAAAAATCAGCTGGAGCTCCAACGGCTTGGGTAGATCGCACTTACATTCAATTTTAGCGTTCAGACGGTTGGCCATTGCGATCAGAGAATCTGACTTCTCTGCAGCCACGCCGAAAACCCAGTTCTGGTTTGAGCTTTGCACAAGAGCTTTGGACACGAAGACAACAAGCGCATTGACCTTATGAGTCGAGGAGCCTTCCTTGCCCCGAGGAATCTGATGATAGAGCCACTCTGATACACCTTCATCCATCGAGTCGAACACTAAGCAAAGGTGGCATCAGCAAAAACTAAGTGCTTTCTAAGTACGAAGTTGAGTCTTACAAGCACTGTCTCGACGCACACTGTCAACTGCCCAGTCTCTGACAGCATGGAAGAGAGCATCCATCTTGCTCTGGATGGTTGTGTCCGACAGCTGAGTCGGACAAGAATTCGAGCTCGAGATGGTCTTTTTGTAACGGAGAACCTCTTTCTGGAGCTCACGAATCTGGTCGTTCTTAGCTCTGCCGCGGGCTTGAAGCTGTTTCTGTTGCTTCATGGTGTCGTCGCGCCACAGGCTTAGTGCGCGGTTCTGGTCGCGAAGAACTGTCATACATTTGACAGTCTCCTCGTACTCTTTGCGCAGCAACTCGTTTTCGCCTGCAAGGTTACGCATCTGCTGGTCCACATCGTTCCTGTGCTTGTCAGCCATGTTTCCAATGCAGCGGAACCGATCAACATACCACCAATTTGTCCAATATGCAAAATAGGAAGTCATTTTGCGTGGTGCACAGAGTGCGGATCGAGTTCAGATTGGATCTGTGACCCAATTCAAATATGAAGGCTCACGAAGGTTCTCGGAGCTCAGTGTAAGAAGTTCAAGTGATGAGGGTGTAATGACTCAAACGACTGACTGTAATTCACTAAGGTGAGTCCGGAATCTGTTTGTCTTGGACGCGGCGTCTTGAGCTTGAGCGCAAACACGCTTCACTCGCACACCTTTGGCCCGTTTACTTTCACTTGCGCGCCAGTCCGCACGTAGTACAAAACCGTCAACTTATTTTCTCTCTTCTACACTCTATCTTCGTCGACCTTCATTGTCTTCTACGCTAAAGTTCTTCGGGTCCACAACACCATCAATCATCATGGCTTCTTCTGGAGGTGATCGCTTTGTGGTCGGAGTTGACTTTGGAACCACATATAGCGGTGTGGCCTTCACATACAGTGGCAATATCGAGGCCGCTGATGAGATTGCCGTCGTCAAGGAGTAAGTCATGCATCAAAAGATCTATTGCTTTGCGTATACTAACAGAGCCCAGCTGGCCCGGAGCCAACAACGTCTCGTCAGAGAAGGTGCCGTCTGAACTTGCCTATGTCCCTGCTTCAGACGCAGACGAATTCGAGATCATCAATCCCGACAGCTCTGACGCTTTCGAGATCCGCTGGGGTCTAGAGCTTAAGCCCGACCAACCCAGACTGCGTTGCCTGAAACTCAGACTCGATCCTCGTCAAGAACTCCCCCACTACGTCTCCAAACAGGACCTTGACGACCAACTCAATACCTGCGGCAAGACCACCGAAGATGCTATCGCTGATTATCTCTCCGTCGTCTACTCTCATGCTAAGGAAGTCATGGTCAACCGCTTTGGCGAGCAGATGATGAGCTCGACGCCCCCCGAGATCGTTGTGACTGTTCCCGCCATCTGGAGTGATGCCGCCAAGGATGCCACGTTCAGAGTCGCAAAGAAGGCAGGCATGGGCACGAACATTCGCATGATCAGCGAGCCCGAAGCTGCTGCTATCTACGCTTTCAAGTCAATGGAGCAGGAGACCAAGGTGCTTGGTGTAGGCGACAGCTTCATCGTCTGCGATTGTGGCGGAGGCACCGTGGACCTCGCCGCGTTTTCTGTCCGTTCTCTTGCACCTCTGAGCCTTGAAGAATCTGCCCCTGGCACTGGCGCTCTCTGTGGAGGCGTCTTTCTCAACCTCAGGTTCCAGGCTCTGGTCAAATCTCGTATGGGCGCGATTGCCTTCAAGAATCTCCTTGACAGCAAGCCCAAGGCTTGGGCCGTCGCTCTTCGTTATTTCGAGGACTATGTCAAGAAGAACTTCAATCCTCTGAGTTCTCGCTCAAGATACGACGACAGCAAATTCAACGTCCCCCTCCCTGGCGTTGAAGACAACACCGCCGCTGGTATCGATTGTGGTTTCTTCATTCTGTCATCTTGTGAAGTGGCCGAGTTGTTCCGCCCGCTTGTTGACTCAGTTATCGAACTTGTGGAGAGGCAGCGCAATGTGCTCTTGGCCTGCGGCAAGACACCCAAGGGAGTCATACTTGTTGGCGGCTTTGGTAACTCAGCATATTTGTTCAAATGCTTGAAGTCCCGCTTCGCCCACGACGATTCTCCGCCCTCGTACAATCAGTCTATCTCGAGATTTTCACCCGAACCCGAGGTCAAGTTCGTAGTGCTGCAGCCTGCCAACGCTTGGACTGCCGTGGTCAGAGGTGCTGTGCTATCCAGTATCCAGGAAAAGGTTGTTCACACTCGCAAGGCTCGTCGTCACTACGGGGTCCGCCACCACAGTGTTTTCGACGAATCCAAACACTCCATCAAGAACAAGTTTTGGGATGTGCTCGACGAGCGATACAAGGCCGACAATCAGATTACCTGGTACACCAAGAGAGGTGACGACTTGCCTACCGAGGAACCCTTTCTTTTTGACTTCAGGAGAAAGTGGGCTCATGAGGATCCCATCCCGGAGTATGCCTCCAGCTCCATCATGGTCAGTGATGATGACTCAGCTCCACAAGAGTATGAACGCTCGGCCACTTCCAAGACGCGCACCCTGTGCAGGCTGCATGTCGATCTCAGCGACGTTCCGCGTCATCTCTTCAAGGAGCATGTGAACAGCTTGGGCGTCCGCTACCGTACTCTGTCCTACAAGATCGGAATGACCGTTGAGAGCGGCTACATTATCTGGGATCTCCGTGTCAAGGGCATCGTCTATGGCGAAGTCGAGGCAGAGTTCGAGTAAGGATGCGTCATCCTGTTATAGACATTCTGTCTAGACTGTCAATTTTTCGAACAAAGGGTATCTTTGGTAATCAATCGTTTACTGAGTGGTCATGATCGGTGGAGGAAGAGTTCTTGATCGCAGAAACACCAGAGTAAAACAAGGTCAGAAGAGAGATTACAAAAAGAGGGTTGCGGCAAAATTGGACCGAGAAGGAAAGGGAAAGAACGAAGAAAACAGAGAACATACAAAAGCACAAAAAAAAAAAATACAGAGTTTTGCTCTACCAAACAATCGTTCCATTCTCCTCTTGCCTTCTTAAAGTGACCCAAGCACAAATCGTCAGAGAATAGTCGATCATGTTGTTCAGGAAGCAGCGAGTCAACAGATAATGCTGCACAGAAAGGATGAAGAAGGCATGAATAGGAAGTACGCTCCTCACCAAAGGACATCTCGCTCGAAAACTACCGATGTAATGCACACCGATGTGGAAGCTGATACTTCGGTCATTGAGACAACGCTACATAAGATCAGAGTGGCTTCATGTAACAGGAAGAAAGCACGACCAAGGAAAAGCTTACGAGCATGTGTCCACATTCCTTCCTCCAAAACTCCATCTTGAGTGTGTTAAAGAAAAATAGCAGATGTCTTATTTACATAGCACACCGCTCTATCAACTTCCAGTGTAGCTATCCATATTCCGAATCAACTCATAATAAAATTTGACACCTCCCAAGTGTGCTTGCATATCAACTCTCTCATCCACAGTATGCGGACCCTTGGCCGTTTCTTCCGACAAAGGAGAAAAGCGGTATATGTTCCTCGTCAATGCCCAGTAGTGCGCTGTGTCTGTATTGCCAGCCGAGATTGCACCTACAGGGATAACTTTCTTCGCTGATAACTTTTCTGCCGTATTCTCGAAAACCTGGCGGATGGAGCCTGCAAACACGTTCCAGATTTCTACGTCTGGTCCCGTTGGGGTGATTGGAGCTGGCTGGAGGATATTCATCGAAGAGATGTTAAGGACACCAAAACCGCGGTCGATTTGCGCATAGCCTGGTCCTTGAACTGCGATACTGTAGTTGTTTGCAAGAGGAGCGAGAACATCGGCGACAGTTTTTAGGACACCGTCTATTTTGTCGCTCGGTAGGACGCGGTAGTTGATTATAGTTCGTGTGATCTCTGGCAGTTGATTATCCTTGATGCCGCCGTTGATGATGTCGACTGACTGGCTTGTTTGAATCCACCAACGAACCTTGTCGCCGCGTGATTCGATAAGCCTGTCTGCAAAGTCTTCCTTTTTCTCTAGAGCCTCTCGTAACCATGGCTCTACTGTTTTAGGCGAGTTTTCAACTTCGCATTTGAGGTAATTCCAGAAAGGATTGTGCTCGTCGATATGAGGATTGAAGGGATGATCTTCCATAGCTGCGATGAGTCGCGACATGATGCCTATGTTTGTGTTTTTAGGTGGTGCAGAGCTGTGGCCGCCTGGAGTGTTCAGTGTCAAGACGATGTCGAGGAATCCTTTCTCGGCAATTTCTGGCACTGCGTAAGTCACGCCGTCTTCCACAACCATACCACCGCCCTCATCGACAATCATTTCAATACTGTTCTCACCATACTTCTCCTTCAGATGATCGGCCAAGTGTTTGGCACCCCTGAAACCACCAGTCTCTTCGTCAAATCCGAACGATAGGATTATGGTACGTTTGTTCTTGAAGTCCTGCTCAAGAAGTCGTTCCATGGCGCTGTAAACGCCGATGAGAATACTTTTGCAGTCAACGGCACCCCTGCCCCAAAGCCACTGTCCATCAAAGTATGCCTCAAATGGAGGATGGCTCCATTTCGACGGATCTGGTACAGGTACAACGTCCAGATGAGCCATCATGACAAGCGGCTTCAAATCTTGAGAGCTCCCGGGTAAGGTGTATAGCAGACCATAACTGTTGACTTTCTCCAGAGTCATCTTCTCATGTCTGCTCAAACAGTCAGATTGGGTAAAATGATGATTGCTGGTTCGCATACACTTTTGGGAACTGTGTTTTCAGAACCTCATGCAAAGTGACAAAGGCATGCCATCTTGGGTCTATGTCTACATCATCGTTATCATCATATGAGATCGACGGAACGTTGACAGCAGCACTGAGTCGTTCAACCTGCCGCTGTATCAAGTCCTTGTTGCTTCCAAAACCGGCCAATGAGATCAAGCCGTCTTGTGACGGAGCCGGCACTTGTGGTACGGGACACCATGTGCTGACCACTGCATCTTCCTGTGGTTGTTCATGTGGTTCAGTGCTAGTGTGACCGTTTGCTGGAAGGTCAAAAACTCCTTTTCTTCGCATCACAGAGCTCACGGTGGTGAGAAGCAAGAACACGATTACCATGAACGCAAGCAACCGCGGCCAAGCCAGTTTGTCTTTCCAGCCTTCGGTGAGAGCCATCGTGGAATGCGAAGCCAAGCTTCAAGTTTCACAGATAGCTTAGGGATCAAGGCGACATGTATCTGAGAGATGGTGGTGCAAGCAATCGTGAAGTGATAAGGTCATGGTTAGTTTGTTCGGCCCGGAAGTGCTTCCCGCGCCCCACGATCCCTCGGGTGCACCTTCCATCTTCGTCACCACATCTGGACGACATCAAGTATGAATGGACAGTGAAGGTGAAAGTGATAATACTGAATCTGCCTCAAGATAGCGGCTGTGGCACGAATAACTTGAGCAGGTAGAATGCGTGACAAGGATCTGACCAGCTTTCTCCTTGCAAAGCTTATCTTTAGCATTGAAGAAACATCTACGAGAGATTTCCTAAGGGGGGGGGGGGGGGGGGGGCAGTTGACTGCTAGTGATTCCCAAAGTCTTACAACAGTTACTGCAGACCAACATTCGACTCTCAAGTGAAACTAGGTTTTAATACTTCACCCGAGGATAAGGGCCCACACCAACCATACATATCACAGCGACATTGCTCATAATTTGGGCAACTGGAACATCACACGTTAGTAATGTAATAGAGCATTCAAGAAGTATGCACTCACTTTATCGCATCCATCCCAAAAATGAGATCCCAAACTTTTTCAAACACCCAACCCACTGCAAAGTCACCCTCGCGACTCTGGTCAGCCCATCTGAGCATTCTCTCATAATCCGACCTCGGTCGCTGAAGTATGCGAGCCCTAGTGACAGCAAATTGTGCACAGCAGACATTGCCAATATGCCGCGGTATTTGCTCGCGCGTCACATCGAACAGCTCCATATAGATTTCTGCAAAGAAAGCTCTTGTATCCTTGTTGCGAATGTCTTGCTCTGTAGGATCTAAAGGATTTACTGCGAGTGGGCATCCAGGAACCAGCGTGCAGCGTAGGTTGGCAAAGCCAGTGGCGTTGATATGTTTGAAGCGAAGGGCCTTGATCGTATCTGCTGCTTTCTGTCCGAGGACGTCGTTGTGCCATTGCTCGTCTTTTGCGTGCATAAACACAGAATACTCTGGTAACGAGTCGTAGTTGTCGATGAGATAAGACAAGTAGGCTGCAGTTTCTCTGCCTTTTCTTGAGCGTGGAGCCAGGCAGCCAGGCTCGGCAGAAGAATCCAGAGAGTATATGAAAGGTCGAAATGGCAAGTCTTGGTGGAGTTCTAGCAACCAATTGACATCTTCAAGTCGTGTTTTTGCCATGACAATGCCTATGTCAGGAGATGCGTGCTCTGAGTCAAAAGCTTTAGCATCGTTGCGGCTTTCTATAAGCCTACGGAGCTCTGGCTTGAGACCTTTCGTCTCGGGTTCCGCGGTCAAGATCAGGAACAACGCCAAGCAGAATATGCAAAGAATTGCAGTCGCTGCATATCGAATCGCCAATGGTCTTGACCAGTTGCGGCTCCACATAGCACTCATTGTCGTCCGAAAGAACCAGGGAGGTTGGCAGGATAAGAAAATGCGACAAATCTCACTGCCTGGAATACTTACATATTGGCGTCCTATGCAGTGATCCGCATCATGGACTGTGCTCAATCTATCTTTTCCTATACGGGGCGAAGGATTCAAACTGTCCTTTGGTTCCACTCGGAGGTTACATGACTTGCGTACGCGCGTAAGTGATGAGTTGCTGCCTTACTCTGCAACGTAACCACAATTCATACATAACCTGTTCGCTGACGAGGATGAGCATTGTCGGAGTATGAGATGCACTAAAATTTGCATCAACTCGCGAACAGGGCAGCCAGTCCAAGGAAGATTTCCAGCGATAGTGTTGTGTGACCAATATCAACAGATGTCCGAGCGTACACTTTGCGTACCGGTGATGTGGTTTGGTCAGACGCTATATCTTGGCACTAGACATGTGACCGACAATATGGCGCCCCTATTTGACTTGAGAGTATTTTAGCCGTCGCGATGAGGGACGATGCTCTTATACATCAAAATAGACAGATGCCTGACTCTGAACAGTCACGGAACCTCGGCGAGCTCGGTAAGGGCAGGTCGGCGGATGTGATCCCCGAGTTCCGAGGTCAGCCACACCCAAAAAGGAAATGCTTGCGAATGACTCCAGCACAACAGAGTTTCACAAGTAAAGTCGATGCAAATAATAATATCCCTGAAAATCTTCAAACAACGGTAATTCTTGATCTTGATCTTGATTAACTAGGCAGCAATCGGATCTAGTTCTGCCAGAACCTCAGGTGTGATTTTCTCTCTACATTTCTCGTCGCTTTGTGTATCGCCAACACCCATTTCGCCTAGCAAGCATGGTGTACGGGGGGTAAGGCAGAAAGGCAGAAACCGACAGAGATAGAATCGAGTCAGCTAACTGAACGAAGCAAGCCGAGTCGAGGTTGCGGTACCTGCAAGAAGCGAAAGATCAAAGTGAGCAACCAGTTTTCTTTTTCAATATGCAAGCCACTTACCAAAATATAGTGTGATGAAGGTCGACCAACATGCACACAATGCGAGAAGAGCTCGCGGGTATGTCTAGGCTATAAGGACGAAGCGGACTACATCTTCCGCAACCAAACCGAAAAGGTGATCACAAAGACAAGGAAGCCGCGAGCAACAAAATCTGCCGATTCAACGAAGTGAGTGCTGCTCGCAAGCTATGTACGATTTGGGACTAACACGATCTGATATAGTAGTCATAAGGGAAATGAGGTAACACGTCCAAAGGCCGTTACAACCGATGTCTCGACCACGTTGCCAGTCACCCTCAACGGCACTCAGCTGGAGTCTACTCCGAACAACCAATTAGTGCTCATGCAGAAGCCTTCGCAAAGTGACTTCGACGCATTGACAACTATATGCCAACAACCTTCTTTCTCGATAGAGGAAGAGGTTGTCAATGTTTACTTTAGGAATTTTGCTCGCTTATACAGAACTCAGGATACTGTCCGAGGATTCCTTCCATTTCTGGCTCCTATGTATGGAAACTCTCAGAAGGGTTCCTTGCTACGGACCGCCACTCATGCAGCAGCATTATGTGCCATATCACAATTACCTGATCAGAAGCCTTTGCAATATCGTGCAGCCGACACTTATGGAAAGGCTATGCGAATTGCTGCAGAGGCTCTCCGAGACCCAGTACAAGCAACATCAGACGAGACTCTACAAGCGACTTTGCTGTTATGTCTCTACGAGGTAAGCAATCAGCAGTGTAATGATCCAGAAGATCCTTTTATTGACAAGCTTGACAGTCTATCAAGGCTACAGACCACTCTATCGATGCATGGTCAAATCACGTAGAAGGTGCGAGCGCGATTGTTCAGAGCAGAGGAACGAAGCAACTCGAAACCGAGCAAAGTTTGGCACTCTTCCGAGCGGCAAGGACCCACATGCTCATCAACTGTATAAGACAAGGCAAGCCTACAAGACAGCTCGAAGCAGGGATGAACTGGTTATGCGATACTACCGAAGACGACCCTCTGGCTTATCTAACTCATTGCACCATCGAACTGCCGTCGTTGATGGAGAAGACCCGACGAGTGTCTGAGCGACAACGTAACGACGAGAGCATGGCAGACATGGAACCGTTGATTGAGCGAGCTTGCCATTTGGAAGCGACCATGCAGAACTGGGCAGCATCGCTATCTGATGAATGGCTTCCATACACGACCGACTATATACCGGAGAAACCAGTCGATCCTCTTAACGCAGACGCATGGGTAGGACCTGTTCACGCCTTTGCCGATGCACACAAAGCCAGCGTTCTGAACAAGCTACACTCGTGCCATATGCTCTGCGCTGCGGTGATCTTGAACGCACTGGAATGGCTTCGTCCATACGACTACCCCATGGACGACCGCTATATCCACACGCGATGGATTGAACAGCGCACCGTCGATGACATCTGCTCGAGCGTTCCGTTCTTCTTAGGAATCGGAAGACAAAGGGCACGAACACCGGATCAAATGGACACGATAGCCGACTTGATCGGTGGCTACTCGCTCATATGGCCTCTGCATGCAGCTGCCAGTTGTCCTCGTATCTCGAAGGACCAATGGTTGTACATCTATGGTCGTCTTGCCAAGATAGCAAAAGAGTGTGGGCTAGAACAGGCTCTCATCATCTCGTCGGATTTCAAAGACAGGTCTGTACCTGGTGCTTGAGCATAAGCTTTAACCCTTGCACTGAAGAATCGATCAAGATTCATCAATCATGTGAACAACCAAGAAAGCTTGATACAAAACGATTACCTTCAAGTGGTTGGTCGGATTACCCTTACTAGATGAGGCGGTAGCCACTGGAAGTCTACTGTATAACACGCAAGCAGCTAAACCATGGTGTGCTCTGAAGACAAAGGAGACAACAGGTTTGCTTTTTCCAACGCTCTCATTGATCCAGCTTGTCAGTTGTTGTTGACCTATACGAGCTGACATGGAACAATTGCCGAGAACTATTCTAGCAAACCGTTGTTGGAGGTGCCGGTCTTCGGAGTGTACTCAGGACACTGAAACAGGTATCATTCGCCGAGGCAGGGTAGGGCTGACTATTCAAGCTGGAGTAATCTCAGCTCTGGTCCGGGACGCCATGATACAAGGTTCCTTATCCAAACATCAGCGAGACGTTTCTCTAGCGGTTGCCTTGCTATGCTCGTATTACAAGAAGTCACAGCGATCGTAAGCAAAGCTGAATATCTCGACATGTATAGATAGCATTCTAGAAGGAAGAGATTGGTGCACAGGCGTCAAAGCACAGGGATGGGATTAGATAACTGTATATTTATGCATCTCCAACGATCCGCGTGCACGTCCCTCGAGTGAATCGCGTTCGGAAGTCGGCGGTTGCTGGAACTTGTGAATACGCAACCCTAGTGGGTTCCCAATCTCAGAATACGAATCAATCAATCCAACTTGCGATTCTCAAGCCTTCGCTCGTCTTTCTCGCAGAACGGCTGCACCTGCGTTGTTTCACCTACCGTCTTCCGCTGGTCATCTCCCGGACACTACTCCTACCAGACACGCCGCGATACCACGACCGCAACCATGGGCGCTATCGCGAATCTCCTCCCACTCGTCATCCTTTTCGTCTTTGTCGGCGCATTCGCTTTCGTCGGCTACCAGGTCAGACTTTCTCAATCCATATTCGTCCACACGCAACGGGTGCTGACATGGCCCAACAGATGTACCTCTGGACCAACGATCTCGCCAACCAAGGAAAGAAGTCAATGGAGAAGAAGAATGTCATGTTCACAAAAGACGGCATGAAGGTCGGAGTCAAGGAGATGAGCGAAGAGGAAGTTGCAGATAGGACACAGAGGTGCGTCTTTCTTCCACCCTTGCACGCGACATTCCAACACACAACACCATCTTTTCGATCCTCTAGATTCTCTTGCTGACTGGAAGTTGCGGATAGCGTGCTGGTCAATACATGGAACCAGACCTCTTTCCCTGCATACAAGAGCAGGTTTTGGAACATGGATGGACAGGCTAATAACAAAAATAAGGCGACATCTTCCGGCAGGGCCTAAGGGCTCATAGTTGCATAGAGAAGCAAAATGACGCGGCCTTTCTTCCTCTTTTCCCTATAACGAAAGCTACATCTGATTCTTCTCCATCAATGGGTATACTGCTGTGCTCTATCTTTGCTCGCGCACTCACCGCCTTGTTTGCGACAGTGCGCATCGTGCAGAAGACACTCGATCAGAAAGATACTTCGAAGTTGGTTCCAATGTCAACAGGTACGGTCAAAAAACTCACATGTATACAGCTGTCAGATCGATTACGATCAACCGGCAACGCGGGATAAGCATGAGCCTCGCGATGACAGCGATTGACTCCACAAAAGGTGAAGAAATACGAAACCAACATCTGCCTTTCCGGAACCCGCGCAACTGCAGCGCAACGTTCTACAGACCCATCATCAGCTCTCGAGGGGAACCGACTTGCGTGCAACATGAATGACATACAGTGTGCATTTCTGTGTATGACAACGGAGCCTTATCGGTCTTTGAAACCCGCCCGAGAAGGATATTCTTGTGACAGGCACTTATACGATAAGCCCTAATGCTCAGCTCACCCTCCAAGTCCCGAGCCCGCTTGCAGCGTAACTGGGGATTTATGCTTGAAAAGAACGTTCTCGGCTAGTCAGTGGAGGGGGCCGGGTACATATACCATGTACACGGAGAAAATACGTATCTGTAGCTTGTGAAGCTTCCGCTGAGTCGTGTCAAGCTGAGTCTCTGACCAGTGACAAGTCGAGAGGCCCATGACCGCACAGTAATCTTTGATAACCACTGAAAGCGCTGGAGTCAAGCTTTTCCAAGGGCTGTCAAAGTTTGGGGTGGTTTACTACTGTTTAGGGACTGTAGACAATGTTTGCTCTCGAGGCCGAGAGGATCCGTATTATTGCGACGTTGTGGCTCCATTCCTTCGTGTATCCAACACACACGACAGGGACTATGCGGGAGCGGAACCACAGCTACAAGCGCCCAGGCTCTTCCGCCAAAAGACTCTGCGTTATTGTGACAGCGGTGTGCCCTGCTTTCATTTGCACGTCACTGGAAAACAAACGGTCGGAGGCTGACTCGGAGCACGTCAGTCAATAATCCCTGCCGCTTTATTACGATAGAATCCCGGAAATGGCGAGTAGCTCTGAGACCTGATCGAAGTGTATCTCAGCCCTCGGCGCAAAGCAAGGAGGTACGTGGTAAGACTTGCCCGTTTTCCTGGGCTGGATGGCTATCGGTGGCGGTTAGGGTTTGATACTAGCTCGTACGTACCATGCGTCGAGCCAAGCTTTATCCCGTCCTCGTGGACAAAGTCCTTAAATTCGACTCTATTGCTGATAACGTAGGCCAGATCAAAAACCCAAAATCGACTTCAGACGACACATGACGCGACCTCTACCAGAGAACGGGCCGACAACCGTAGCTGAGCAAGGAAGTGTTTGAGCAGCTCTCGTAAGATTGCTTAGGATTGCTGCAGTGTCCACTTTTTCTTGCTCGTAATTGGGAGATGGATTCGGAAGGAAGAGGAGGCCGACCACTAAAAGTGTTCAATGAAAAAGGGCAAAACAAGCTGATAAGAGTGCCGAGATCTATTGGATCTTGTCTGAGCTCGCAGGCGGAAACTCTGTTAAGGAACTTGGGTCAGATGGTGACATGCTTCTTGAGGTTGGCTGTCAGCCTGCCACCACATAAGAACAAGAGCCTCCGCAGATCGATTCTCTGCGATATCCCTGAAGGATGTCGGTGCAAGGGCTTACGTGGCCAACACTGCGTCTTCAATGCGTGACTTTGTGGATGGTCGGGGATATCTGTCTGCTTTACGATGTGGGAAGGCGGATACGAAGTTTGATTTGACGACGATCCAGCGCAACGCAGGAAGAGGCGAAGCCCTAGCGTTGTGCCACAAAGACGCCTCCAAACTCTTAAATCGAGCTCTTGTCCTTCTGGGCGTGGCATGACGGGTATGCATGGCGACGTTTAATTCTTGGTGCTTGTGCCAGATTGAGATAGGACCGTGTCTTGCTGGTGGGGACAGGAGCTTGGCCTGTCTTGTGCCTTTTCTTGTCGCTCTTGCACAGCCTTCCTTGGCTCCGCCCTTAGCTGTCTCGTCCGGATCGGCGCCAGGGCGCGCTGAGTCGCACTATGATCGAGACAGGCTACCAAGCGCGAGGTCAAGAATGCTTGGCCTAACTACAAGACAGAAGTGGGAGGGTGCAGCGAGAGACATCGGGGATCTCTGGCAGCGAGTACGACTGCAGGCTTTCGTGACGCCGCGATTAGGGCTTTTAGAGCAAGCCATCATGATCGTGGATTTTGTGTGACAGCGAATGGATGACGAACGACCGGAGACTCACCTTTTTGGGAAGTAGCGACTCGAAGGTAGCCACCCCTGCAAAGTTCGCTTAAACATGTCGTCGACACGAGTCGATCCACCAGTTTAACGTTAATTTTAAGTACATTGCTAGCTTGAACGTTACCCACGTAGGGCAGGTTAAAGTAGCCGGCAAACCCGAGCACACTGCAGACAAGACAGAAGAGTCTCTCTGGATGACTGTATCGGTGAACAAGATAGACACTCTGGAATCAAACACGAAGGAGAAATCTCCGCTCATCGAACCACATCTGTATCATAGCCAAGACGAAGATTGGCTCCTGTGAGGGCAAGAAATGTCGAGGTCCAGCCAGGCCAAAACTGGGGTACCATAAAAGAGGGTTTAAGCGTGCGGCCTTAGCAATTCTTGGTGTCTTGGTGGTTCATCAAAGCGAAGCTAACTTAGTTTAACTACGGGCCAGTAAGCGCATGCGCAGGGCATTCCTTCGCGTTCGCAGCTGCTCCCCAAATCGTTTTGTCGTCGCTCTTTCCTTCCTGCTGCCTGCTTCTGAATCTTCCAACCTCTCTTCTCCACCTCCATCACTCCGTAGACCCAGTTGATTTACGCACTTGCAACTTGTGCTAAACAAATCGAAGACTGCCCCACACTCTTCGAACATCAGCAGCCATTTCTTTTCTCAACTAACACTTGTCTCCGCCTCGACAGGCCAGACTTCACCAAGCCATGGAGACATACTACGGACACGTGCGAACGCCAGGAGATGCCATCCTACTCTTCGAGGCCTGCAGGATTGGTCTGTTGCCCAGAGTCCAGCGCCGCCTCTCGGAAAAAGAAAGGCTGTCGATCAAGTCTGGTTCCGTATTCGTGTGGGATGAGCGCGAAGCGGGCATGAGACGCTGGACAGACGGAAAGTCATGGAGCGCAAGTCGCGTGTCGGGCAGTTTCCTGACATACCGCGAGATGGAGGGCAAGCGCGGCGGAAGCACCTTCAGCGCTGCTCCCAAGGCGCCTGCTGCCAAAGACCACGACGCCTCGGATGACGGTCCTGACGGCTACCGCTACAAGCCTGATGGTCTGATCAAACAGTCATTCAGCATCACCACCTCAACCGGCCAGCATCTCCATCTCATCAGTTACTTCGCCCGCTCTACCGCCGTCTCGCAGAACTTGCAACAGCCTTCCACCGATCCTCAGCTGCGTCACATTCGTCCCGAGAAGGGCATGTACCCTGAGTCGACTGTTCACGAACAGAACGCCATCCCTGCCGTGACAAGAGGTCCTATGACTAGCCCAGCCTTTACCAACGCGCCTCATCAGTCTGCAAACATCGGCGCCCCTTACCCTCCAAGACCCCAGTACACACATGGTCCTATGTCCTACGGCCCTCCAGGCTGGGCTCCTCCGAGTCCAATGCACACCCCGCCGCCGCACTACTCACCCTACGGCGCCTATCACCACTCGCCAATGCACCACCTGCATCCCTCACAATATCCTCCTCAACCTTCTCCGCACTATCCACCTCCGCTCACTGCCTTCGACCGCGTCCCCGCTCCGCTGTCCAACAACTCATTGCCCGCCCCACCTTCTCACCACCCACAACTGACTCCGATCCACAACCATCCGCCACCTCCTCCTCCTCCCTCTCTGCCTCAGATCAACCATGCCCACCGCCCTTCTCTACCGGATCGCCCTCCTAGCCACGGTCAGCCTTCGATCGACCCTGCTCTGGCCAACGACTCGAGAAAGATTGCTCCTCCTCTCCCAAGCCCTAGATCCATGGGCGACACTGCCTCAGGCGCTCCTACCGAGTCCGCCAAATTGCCTCCTGCTACTCTGCCTCCTGTCAGCGGCGGTACCACTATCCCGAGTATCAGCTCGCTCATTCACGAGACAAGCAACCCTCAGTCACTCAACTCTGGCCGCCCTACAAGTCGAAGCCCCATTGGTGGCCGTCCTCAAGATATCCCCATGCACAAGATGGGCTACGATGCTGCACGTGATGTTCAGGCGCTGAGACATCTGGACAAGGCCACATTGAGATTTTGAGCTTGGTTTCTGTAACACTTTTCTCTGTCCTGTATTGGTAGCAAGCGAGAAGCGTGGGATGCTCTTTGCTGGGAATTGGCGTTTCGGTTGTTTGAGGTATTTGAACAAAGCGATGGTTGCATGAAGTGGCGTTTTTGTTAGCTGCCCTGTTGGTACACGAAGGATGTATTCTCTATCTTCTTGAATCCTGTATTCACTTATACTAAAATTTCGCTATACTTTCTTGACGTTGGCCCATTGAGATCGTTATGAAGCATTACTTGTACTCGTGTGAATCAATCTGCGGATGGCCTCGTCTGTTTCCACTACAGCCATCAAAGAACAGCGTCATTTTGCTCTGTAGCCATGTTCAGGAATCGCCTATCTCACAGGCCCACAGTCAGCGGTGCTTTGCTCGAGATATGCTAAAACGACTTTTGATGTGAGAAATTGAGGGAATCCGGTGTTAAAATTTTGTTAATAGAGGAAGACACGACCCCTTGAGTGCGAGTGGAAGGCACGATCAGCAAAGATCGGAAAGTGCAGCTATGAACCTCGACCAGGAAGTAACGATGGAGTGACCAGCAAAAGTGCTCAAAATCCAGGAAGCAAAGAGTGCTCGGTCGATGATTTGGAAGAATGAGAGCAGCCAAGGAGCAGTGTCGCTCGAAGATAAGAGCAATCAGGTGCACAGAACAGGGAAGGATGAAGGTAAAGTTGAAGTTGAAGAGGATAGAGAGCAAACAAGTGAATGGTAGATGCCATGAATTTCTCATAGATAACATTTTCATGCAGAATGCCGCTCTAGATACCGACGAATGAACACCATTAGATGCGACAAAATTCTTTTCATTCACTCCAACACATCCTTCAGGAGAAATGCTTCTTTACACCTCGGCCTTGACTCTTGGCTCGAGCAGAAGCTGTCCAGCAGGACCAGTCTTCTCCACGAACCCTTGCTCGCGAGTATGGATTCTGCGACCACGAAGCCAAGTCTCCTTGACAACACCTTTTAGAGTCTTGTCCTGGTAAGGACTGCACTTATTGCGGAAAAGCATAGTGTTGGGCTGAACAACAAACTCAGCCTTGTCGTCAAAGACTGCAATATCACCGTCGAGACCAACAGCAATATCTCCCTTTTGGTGTTCGAGACCGACTTGCTTGGCAGTGTTGAGACAGCACCAGCGCACCACGTCTTCAATGGTGATGTTGCGGGCGGCGGCTTCGGTCCAGAGAACACTGATGCCCAGACCTACACTGCTGATGCCGCCCCATGCGGAGAAGAAGTCTCCTTCGCCTTTTTTGCTGGTGGTCTCAATGGCACCAGGTACGTTTGCGGGAAGAAGTTTGAGGTTGGGTGTGCAGGGAGAGTGGTCAGAGACTACGGTCTTGATGACGCTGTCGTCGGGTCTGCACATCTCCTGCCAGAGTCCGTCTTGGTTGCTTTGGCTGCGGATGGGTGGGCAGCACTTGTGTCTTGTGTCTCCGTTCTTGATGGCCTCTGCTGCGAGCGACAGGTAGTGGAAACATGTCTCTGCTGTAATATTGACACCCTTGGCACGAGCCTCACGCAGCATTGGAATAGCCTCAATAGCTGACAGATGCACAATGTGCAAAGGCAATTGAGGTGCTAGATGTGCCAAACTCAAAATTTCCAAAATGGCATATGTCTCGAATGTTGATGGACGCGAATCGAGGAAGGTCTGGTAGACGTCCAGAGGGCCGGATGGAACCATAGGAGGGTCTGATATTTGTACATCGTCGCCGACGGATTTTGTGACTGGGGGAATCATTTCTGCGTGGAACATGACTGTCGTGGGCTCATCACCAAGCTCGCGGAAAACTTTGGCAATGTCTTCGGAGGATACGGCGGGGAACTCTTCGACCTGGATGAGCGTTAGCTTGTGCACTTTGGCTACCGGACATAGTGTGTACATACACCACTATCGATGAGGAAACCTTTGAAGCCTCGGACACCCATCTTGACCAATGGCTTTAATTCTTCGACATTGCCAGGGATGATACCGCCATAGAAGCCAACATCAACCCAGCACTTTCCTTTAGCAGCAGCAATCTTCTCCTCGAACCCTGCGACCGTCGTAGTGGGGGGAATGGCATTGAGAGGCATGTCCACCACTGTTGTTACACCACCAAAAGCAGCTGCTCGTGTTCCTGTCCAAAAGCCTTCCCATTCTGTTCTTCCTGGCTCATTCAAATGCACATGTGCATCTACCAATCCTGGCATCAAGATGTGCGGCGAGTGGTCGACATACGGAGTCCCAGCAGGGAACGACGAAGCGGGCAAGACTGACTCCCAGATCGACTGGATCTTGCCTGTGACAGTAGAAATGACTATTGTTGCGGCTGTAAGATGGCCTTTGATTACTGCTCGAGACGATGCGAGGACGGTAATGTCGGACTGTGCTTGCGTAGGTGCCGGTGAAGCGGCCTCCGAATGGACGGCAGGAGAGAGAGCGTGAGGTGCCATTTTCTAGAGATCCAAGAAAACTTCTGTCTGGGTGTGTATCCGGTACAACTTCTCAAGAAGTGTTTACGTAGTGTCCTGTGTACAATGATAACGCAACAGTATGAGCGAAGGGGAGGTTGTTGTTTGGAGAGTGTAAGGATATTCTAGCAAGGAGGAAAGGGAGAGGAGGAAAGATGTCAGAGTAACAAAACACATCTGGGGTAGAGGGGCTCTTATTGTATGGGGTACATAGATGTGTTTCAAGGGCAGCCGCCTATCCACCCGACTTAGCCATCATGCTTCTTCTTTTGACAACGGCACACGCAAAGACTTGAAGAGAGCCAACAGGAAGAAGGGGCCTTTGGCAAGGCAAACAGCGGCCTACTCAACAGAAACGGCCATTGAGTTGCCTCTCGGGGCCCAGCACATCCCATAGATTCAAGAGCATTACTCGATAGAAACTCCAGGCCAAGTTTGCGGTGAAGAGCCGCTTGCATCGTTGGGCGGGCGTTGCTGATAAGAAAGATCGCGGCCGGTTCATTCTCGGAGCCGACCGCGAATGACTTTTTGAGTTTGGCATTCCGACCGAAGATAAGAGCTGATACAGTGGTAACCAGACGATAAGAAAACACATATCAGTATATATAGGGCCTGGGTACGTCGTGTTACGATCGTGAGAGCGTGTCCATGGTATCAACGACGAGTTTGCAGAGTGAGCGATGCGGTAGTCGTCAAGGCCAAACACACTCGAGTTGCGGAGACGGCCGGAGAAGTCGACAACGTGTTCTATTTAGCTTTCGTTGCTGATCTCAAAATCGCCTAAGCTCTGGATGTGTTACTCGATTTTTATTCGATTCGTTTACTCGATAGAAGAAGCTGGTCAACCGCAATCGCCGCTGTCGGGCTTTCAGCTGCCGTCAACGTTGGTGCAGGCACGTGATTCTCTGATCTGTCTGCAATGATAGCACGAGCTATCGTGAAGAGAGCGCTGTAGAAATCTCTGGAGGAGACTACGGTGTCAGTATGTGAATCAGCCGTTTCCAAAAGCGACATGTTCGTGCCTCTGACGTTAGCGTGATTTGACGCTGTAAGTCTTCCGCATTGCGATACTATGTAGTGGTAGCAACGTAAAGATGTCAAGGTTGGTAGCAAGACAAGGATTGTCGAACAAGCAATAGCGAACCTCTAGTCTCTCTCTCTCCTTCTCCATTCTGATTCATGTCTTTCTTTTCTTGCTATCACCAAGCATGCTGGTCAAGGTCTGCTACTTTCTCTTCGATGAATGTGCTTGTTTCGTGGTCTTTGAGAGCCCTATGATGTCTTTGCTAGAGTAAAGACTTGCTTTCAGGCCATAAGAATTTGAGGAGTCGATGTCGAGGTAGGTGTAGGCATCGGTCTTGTAGTAAATTGCGCCGTCGGCAGCACACGGAGCAAGGCCGAGCTCAATCAATTCTTCGAGCACTCCCCTGACATCTTCGAGATCAGAAAAGTCGCTGGTGTAGACACAAATCAGATGACTTGCTTTCTGCTTCTGGACGGCACTAAAGAGATCGGGCGGGTCTGCTGGGGCGACTTTAGCTGTATCGCCCAACCTGCCGTCGACCACCGCTTCAGCAACGAGCTTCCACACCCTGTTGACATCTTCGGGCTTTGGAAAGAGCATCCATTTGCCGTTGGTGACTCCGCTACCCACCGCAAGATCTAATATGTCTTCCTTGAGTCGCTCCCTCAAAGGACCCAACTTTCTGGTAATGGTTGACTGCGTGGAATTTGCATAGGCGCTGACGAGTTTCTCCTTCTCAGCAGCGAACTGGCTTAAAAGAGCACGAGCACGGCCCATCATCTCTTCGGGTGACTCTTCCAATCCTGGGGCGTGTATTGGCTCCGCTGCCTTGCCTTTGCCTTTGAGGATAGGGCAGGTCACCCAAATCCAATTACTAGTTATTGTAGTTCTTGGTGGTAGGCGCTTGAGAAACTCATCGACTGTCTCATTCAACTGTCGAGCGGTTGAGACACCTTCTAGTCTGTTGTAAAGAGTCCGCTCCACAGTGTTTGATGATGCCACTGAGATGGAGGCGACCGGATGTGTTGCCCGATCTCTGTCCCAGCGCTGGACGAGCTGTTTGGTGGTGGTCTTCTTGCTGCGTGATTCGAGCTTCTTGCGTGTTTTGGTGGTACCTGTATGTGACTGTAAGCATATATAGACACCATGAGGAGCCGAAATCAGCTCACCATAGAAGTCAGAGTCATCGCTGACGTAGCCTGCAAATGGGACCAGGTCCAGGTCCATGTTTGCTGTGAAGAAAGTCACAAAGTGAATACTAACTTATCTTGGTTGTTAGGAGGGGTCGTAAAAACGATGGAAATGCATGCGAAGCATAATAGACTACAGCCCTGAGCTCATCTCGCTGCTAGAGGAAGGTGCACATGGCCAGGACAGATGGTCCTTCCAAAATCGGAGAAGAGGCAGCTGTAAGTGGGTGGCTACATTGACTGATTGCTTCCTCTCAACAGTCCGTTGGCAGAAATCTGATTTCCTGAACAAATCAAGATGAGAGTGACAGGCATCTCAGAACATCATTGAACATCAAATATGATTGAAGGAAGCTAGGTTATTTTGGATGGCACAACAAGACCGATGTGTCTGCATAGTTGTGCATATTTTGTGCCACAAAGTCAATCAAACGCGGTTCGCGCGGCGCGTCTTCGCCGATTGAGCGTCTCGTCAACAATCAAGATCATTAACCAACACACTTTCAGTCAAGTATACCACATTATTACAGACCACGAGATGCCTCACGCTGAATCGCCAAACCCGCCGTCTTCGCCGCCCGTCGATGACACAGTCATGGAAGAGGCTGTGTCTGGTGCTCTCGACGAACAAGCAGAATCGCAGAATGAGACGACCCAATCATCACCTGCACCTGCAGTCAACGACGCCGAGAAGGCATCGCTGGAGGACATGTTTGACGATGACGATATGGACGAAGATGATGAATTCTCGTCGAGTGCTCAGACTAAGACGCAGGCATCATCACAACCCGAGCCGTACGTCAGCACTCTTCATCACTCAGTCATATACTAACGCAGCACAGGAAATCTGCAAACTCCAACGTCGGCAAAGACGCAGAAGTCTTACGCGCTTTCTACCAGAGACTCTTCCCTTTCAAATATCTGTTCCAGTGGCTGAATCACTCCCCAACGACAACGACCGACTTCAGCAACCGTGAATTGGCCTTTGTCTTGCCTAACGATGCTTACATCCGTTATCAATCATTCAACTCGGCCGAAGAATTGCGGAAGCAGTGTATACAACTCACTCCCACTCGTTTCGAGATTGGTCCCGTATACTCCGCAAATCCTCGCGACAGAAAGACGCTACGCAATGCAAGTGCCTTCCGACCCTTGGCCAAAGAACTTGTTTTCGATATCGATATGACCGATTACGACGAGATAAGAACGTGTTGTTCTGGAGCCAGCATCTGTCAAAAGTGCTGGCAGTTTATAACCATGGCCATCAAGGTTATAGACAAGGCCCTGAGAGATGATTTTGGTTTCAAGCACATCATGTGGGTTTACTCTGGTAGACGTGGTGCTCACGCCTGGATCAGTGACAAGCGAGCAAGAGAAATGGATGACAGCAAGCGCAAGTCAATCGCCGGCTACCTCGAACTGTTGAAGGGAGGTGACAAGACTGGTAAAAAGGTGAATCTGAGAAGACCGTTACACCCACATATCGAGTAAGTTGCAAGCAGCTAATCCAATATCGCATGCTGACACCGTGCTCAGCCGCAGCTTGAAAATCCTGAATGGCTACTTCCAGACTGATGTGCTGCTGGAGCAGGACCCCTGGGCCACCCCTGACAAAGCAGCACACTTGCTGCAACTCCTACCGGATAAGAGTCTTACAGCGGCATTGCAAAGGAAATGGGACAGCACGCCACAACGCAGCAGTACGCAGAAATGGGCAGATATTGATGCTGTCGCTTCCGTGTCCGGCTCTCTTTCTAGTCTAACACCCGAGACGCTCGTACACGCCAAACAGGACATCCGTCTCGAGTACACATATCCACGGCTCGATGCTGAAGTTTCGAAGAAACTCAACCATTTACTCAAGAGTCCGTTTGTCATTCATCCAGGCACAGGGAGAGTTTGTGTTCCCATCGATGTTCGGCGAGTCGAGGAATTCGAACCCGAGAAGGTGCCAACTGTGCAACAATTGTTGTCCGAGATTGATTCATGGCAAGGCACCGACGACAAAATCCAAGACTGGCAAAAGACGAGCCTCAAGGCATACATTGAGCTATTTAGGGATCACGTAAACGCGGTGATGAAGGAAGAACGAGCGGCTGAGAAGCGAGGGCGCGAGGAAAGCGGGGAGGGAGTAGATTTCTAGGTACTCGAGTAGAGCGTGGGTGCTGCAAGGCAAGGATTGACGGACGATGTGCAGTATAAAGCAGGAGCTATGGATCTGACAGACAAGTAGCGATCAGAATGCGATACGGTTGTGCAACAGGAGTTTTGACGAACCGGAGCGGGGTCCACTGTACACTGCAGGCAGTTGTGCGGCATCGGTATCGAGGCCGAAGAGTAGTGGGTCTGGATGAATCGATAAGTGGCCAGAATGGCTTACGGGAAAGCGGCTCAGCGCCTTTACGCTGTGGCGCGCGGTGGTTCGGACGGAGCTGCCTCCCCCTCGACAGGAAACAGCAAAGTGTTTCGTAAGATGGCATTTGGCTACCACAATCCCAAGAATGCCATGATGATGCACCCATTATCTCATCGCTATAGTATCTCCGGTCACAACACTCAGACATATCATTAGACGCAAGCCGTCTAAGCTGCTGCCTCTCCAAACCAGAGCCCTATATCTCATTGAAAGGAGCCGGGCGAGCAAATCCCATCTGTCGGCGAAGGTTTACAGCCCCGACACTTTGTCGCCAAATCGCCTAATACGGACACGTCTGTTAGTCTCGTCGGTTGGCTTTGACTTGACGATCTCTTCAAAAGCGACAACTCGCCTCGTTGCTCTCACGACCTTGCTCTCCAGACGGGTCTTGGGCCCCATTGCAAGTCGGTGGCTCAGCTTCGCGTCCCGAGAGCAATGAATGAGCGCTCTCGAGGCAAGCACGCAAGCTCGAGGAGGAGCTCGGGGTCGGCTAAAGAGGAGTCGCCAACCAGCGGTAAAGCTAAGCGGCATCAGATAGCTGTTGCTTGCAATGCTTGCCGCCGCAGAAAGACAAAGGTATGATCCACGTTTCTTTTCGAGCCAGCACCATGTGCGACTGGGGGGGACCAGCAGCAGCCTTCTGTCCACCGTCCTCTTGTCCAAGATGCTGACCCTGATGCACAGTGCGATGGCCATCGTCCTGTCTGCTCGGTCTGCGTCACAAAGAACTCGGAATGTACCTGGTCGGCGGATCCAGATGCCACGCCCATGGTTGCCATCAAGCGAAAGTACCAAAACCTGGAAGCCGAATCGCGCGATCTCCAAGACCTCGTCCAGATGTTGATGGATCGTCCACGCCAAGAGGCAATCTTCATCCTCGACCACATGCGTAGGACCCGAGACGCTTCCTCGACCCTTGCCTTTATCAAGGACGGAGACCTGCTCACTTGGGGCTTGAATGGCCGCGAGACCCAATCTTCCGAGCCTGCCACTTCCGACCATGATCCTGTGCGCGACATCACCCAAAGGGTCAACCTAATGAACGGCCAAGAAGACCTTAGGGAAAGCAGTCTGGAAGCCAGCGAAACTGTCACCGAACCCACAAACTCACCAAAGAGGCGTCTTGCCATTTCGGATCTGGTCAACAGTACATGATTAGCATCAAGGTCGCCATTGCCTCGCTTTCTCTTGCATCGCCTGCAACAACGAAATCCGACCAACACTTATCCTTCAAAGGTCGACTTCACCCTCGCCAAGATGCCATTGGGGCACATCATCTGCTCGACGCATCTTGCCGTTAATATGTGCTATTGTGCCAAGTCCTCGAGGCATTATGCATGCCCTCCATTCGTCTTTGTACATCAATACGCACATTCGACTCTGGTAGAGGTCAACGCACATATCGCCGTCACTCTCAACAGTCAGGGCGCGGCTCCAAACACTCAACATGCTGTTTGGATTTTGAGCAGCTTCGAGCAGTCAAGAGTTGGACAAGGGTTTTCCTGGATCTACCCGAGTGTAGACTCGGCATCGATGGTACTCAGTCAGCGCTCTCCGAGCTTGATTGGATTCGAAGTTCACCGCAGCAGAGCTTTTCCAATGGTACGCCGGCTTGTCTTGCGGTTGTTGGTGTCTCTGGATCGTGCTGGTCAATATCATCGAATTCGTCATTACCGACGTCCGTGGCGTTACAAGAACGATCACTTCTAAACTTGGCACCAATTGTCAGTATACCCCAATGTAACTAGATTTCAGCAGGCAACTCGACCCTGCAAGTAAGGCGCATTTCCCTGCCATCGCCAGTCACTTCTCACCGCTTTCTGTCACTTGCCTTTTTGTGTCACAGACTTTTTGGAAGTCAACAGGACTTTGTTTGCTTGTTGATATCAGCACCTGCACCGGATTGGTAGTCGCGTCGTCTTCTGTGACATACAAAGCAATGCGCTGACCTTGCTTGACTGAGGCTTTGCAGAGAGAATACTGCCGTAAACGTACCTGAATGGTCTGATCAAATGCCGAAAGCGTGCTCTTCAATTCCTCACATCGCCACCATCGCTTACGCTATCCACACATCTCTTCTAAGCATCATGCAGACAAGCACGGCCGAGTTGAAGAGCGATGACAAGGGCAGCTTAACGTCCAGTTGGAAGCTCTGCTGCGCACGCTGCGGCTAACTCCAAGGGTCTCGACGGAGCCGCGGAGGCAAAAACGCTTTGGATCCCAATCTTGACACCTGGGTATGACCCTGGCCCTCCTTGCTTGTAGCAAGACGAAGGGATTGATGCTGCTTCCGACCATGAACCGCGGAGTCGTCGATTGTCATTCTCAGCAGATGCTTCGAGGTTGCACGTCCTTGGCAAGCATGACAAAAGGGTGAAATCTGGACGGAGTAAACCCCGTAATCACGCGCGCCCCCTTGTTTCCCACCCAACATTTCACCAATGCTCCCTTCGCGTTGCCTCGGCCAAGCGGAAATGGTACTTGTGCGCTACGAAATCGTCGCATGAAGTGCTTTGGACAGGAAGTGTGACTTTGGCTTCTCTAGGCGCGAAGACAGAGCTCGAATTGAACGGAGTTTACTCCAGCAGTATGATTACTTATCACATTGTCGTGTTTTTACTGCTGAATGCGCGACCCACATGCCCCTGTCCGTTGTGCCAGGTATGCCACACCGCCCACATGTGCGACTACTAAAACATGATACTTCCGAGGCAGCTGTCGAGTGAAGCCTGCTTGCAGAATGGCTATCTCAACAGCACCTCGGCATAGCAAAGAACAGAGTGTCACTCGCAAGGAGAGCTTGGATGCAGAGGTGCCTGTAATCAAGCAGAGCACCTTGTCTCTGCAAGCACGTGCGCAACACTATATTCGATGAATTCATCCCGTAGCTCGTATACAAACACACTCCTCTCGCATCCAAAAAGCCTCAAATCCCTCAAGCCTCACCTCATTGTGATCCTCTTGTTGCACCACCATCACACCCGGCAGATGCTCAATTATCTTCCTCATCACGCCATACATGCAACACACAAGGGCTGGCCTTTTCAGAATCCCGTCAATCAAAACATGGCATTGTTAGAAGGCAATGGGATTGTTAGATGGGAATCTATAAATTACCGCTTACCAGCGGGCCTGTCTCCTGTATCACGAAAAGAGCAGGTAGGTGGAGGCCAGACCCAGTTTATAATAGCAATGAGTTAGTTACACTGTTCCCACTGCTCATCCAATGCCGGCACTTGATGTCTAGTGTGTTACCGTAATGCGAGGCGGTAGCGTCTCCGCCATCTTTGGCATGTCCGCTCTACTTGGTCTCGGTAGTAGCTCCGCCTTTACATATCGTTCGGTGCCAGTTCCGAAAGCAAGATGTATCTAGCATGGTGTTATTGGTTCCGGCTCTCTCTCTCTCACGAACCACCAAGAGGTTTCCTGCATGAAAAACTCACAGCAGCGTGCAAAATGCATCGTCGGATTTGGACTTTTTTTGCTCCGACCTTTTGCAGTTTACGAGTTGAGGCATTTTTCCAAAGAGGCATTGTGGATTCTTGTTGTGTACTTGCAGAATAATAGGTCGCTAGTTTGTACATTTCCCTCTTTACGATCGGAAAATATACATACTCGCAAGGAAGGAACCGAACCGCCCCGAGAAATGTCAACCCGCCTTTTTTTCTTGAAAAAGATATGTGTTGCTGCTTTTTGCAGAATACCAAGTGGTAAGAAGAACCAATTATATGACCTGTGTTGCTTTGGCCAAATGAGAAATCGCTAGTCGCTAAATCGCTGTTTCCCTCCCAATGGAGGATGTCATGTTTACAGTGGTCTTAATCCGCCGTGACTTTTTTGTTATTGTGTCAAAATGACTTCATCCGCCTCCTTGTTGTCTTTCGTCCAATGACAAAGTCTGATGACCAGCATCAATCTTCGCCAGGCCTAGGTGCGATGATGGCACCGTGATCTCGTATGCTCGGGAAAACATCGAGCACGCGTTTTGAAAAGGTCCAATTGTTAGGATCACACGCGTGGTCTTCGAACTGCTTTGTGAAGCGCAGACATCCAGTGACCTCGTCGTGGTACACCGTCTTGTCCAGGTCATGCTGCCAATTTATTACTGGAGCCGCAGTGATTTGGTTTTCTGGTGTTAGCCATTCTTCATTGAAGGCAGTCATTAGCACGCCGCGGATGGCTGGGCTATGTGCATGTTAGATTTGTGGCTCTCAATTTGAGTATCTCCATCGGAACTCACTGAGGTGCAAGGTCGAGAGCTGGGCTGTGCGGTATAAATCTCTGGCTAGGCAAGGGTCGCATGAGTGCTGGTATCCTTCGATAATGTTCCGACGTAGGGAACAAGATCCACTGTGCTACATTAGCACGGGCACGAGGCTGCGCACGAAGACAAAGTCCAGTCTTACCCTCATCAATGGCGCCATCAGAACGATAGAAGCCAACTTTGCGTACATATCCGGGTTTGCAAGACTCTTCATTATCTCGCATACAAACGTACTGACTGAATGGCCATCCGTAGGTAGTCGTTCGCGGAAATAAAGATCCAGGTTTACATAGTCGTGTGATCCGAGCACGTCTCGAGCAGGCATTCCATCAGCTATCATCTGCAGCGTCGCGTCCCTGAAACTCAAGTATGCTCTACCAAGAGCCTCTTGTTCGAACGAATGAAGTGGTAACATGCTATACTCGGCAGAGGTGCTGAGATTCTGTAGTTGTTGATGTTGAATGTGTGCAGGGTAGCCATTTGCCTTGATGGCACTTGAAAATGGTAGGTTACCAAAGTCGGCCTTGAGGCCCTTATTTGCATGCCCAGAATGAGGATGTGGACTTTTAGACATTGTCCCTGGGCTTGCCATTGCAGTTTTGTTCATGGGTACATTCCCCGGACTTTGTCTGTTGTTGTCTGCTGACCAAGGCTTAAGCATTGTTAGTGATGATCATTCTTGTAGTAGCTTTGTGTCGCCATACCGTAAGACCGTCGCCAGTCTGTGCTGGTGATATATGAGACCAGCTCACTGATCCTCGCGAGTCGTCTTCATGTTTTGGAACGACGGGACGCGACCCGTCAAAATCGGCAAAGTCAAAAGGATTCGTCTTGTCGTCCAAGCTAAACAGCTCACGTGCAAATGAAGAAAATTCACTGCTGTTCTCTGCCAGCTGTTTGATCTGGGCAAATGCAGCAGCCGAGGATGAGTCGCCGGTCTCAAGTTTCTTCAGCACGCGAAACACTTTGGACAGGGCCTTTTCGCTGTTCCGAAGTTCCCTATTGCGTTCTTGTGCATCTTTTCGCCCGTCAAAGACACATTCATTGCCTTCTGCCACGCATCGTGAGCATGGAGCGGTGCCCGTGCACTAGATGGACAAGTCAGTTGGGCTGATGCCGGATTTCCGCGATTGCCATAGCAGACAGTATTGGTGCAGATGGGAAAGTTCGATGGAATTAATTACCTTCGACCTTCGTTTCCTACAAGGCTGACAAGCAACGTTGACTTGTTTTCGTGGCTTCCGTGGGCGGTATTGTGGCGGTAATTCAATGGGCTTGCTTATAGGCTGCGAGACGATGGGCACGACAGGGCGATTCGAGGGCTGACCATTAGCATGCGAGGCATGTGCAGCAGTCGCGCTGTTCTCGCTGCCTGCAGAGGAGCCGTCTGCCTGTCGGATCATCTGCGTGGTTTGAAGAGTCGTAGCGATTGTGAGATTGTCGCAATTCTGGGCGCACCTGGAGAAAGGCTCCGCAGAAGAGTTGGTTCGCTGATTTTGAGCTGACCAAGTCTAGAAGTCCCGTCAGGGCCCGACGCTTGTGTTTGATCGGCGATCCTGTTTTGACAGTTGAAGGGTCTGGACTTTGGCGGAATGTTTTGGCGGCCGCACTTTTGGCCGCGTCTTGGTGCGTTTCTGGTGCCTCGTACGCACCTTCTGCGCCATTTCTTCACTCCCGCATACGCCATACACGTACGTGCAGCGACGTCAATCCATCTCAAAGGGCCTTGAGTGTCATCACCAAGTCTTTAATGACAGAAGTGGACCAGTGGACCAGTGGCTGTGCAGGTGGCGCTAAGGTCGGTCAAGTTTCCGGCAAGCAGCGCCCGAAGGTCTATCTTGGAGGCTCCAGGCACGAGCGCCTAGGGCTGAAACAGAGTGCGTCAATCTGTCGTCCAGAAATGACCATTTTGACAAGCCGCTGACACATTCCTGACATTTCTGCTAAAAGAATGACAGAGCACCTCCACAAGCTCCACTGAGAACTCTTGTACACTGGTTCAAGACTGATGTGTGGGTGACATAGGTGGAGATTGGTTGACAGCTTGCAAATTTGCAAGAGGTTGAAAATGACACTCTACGTGTGATACACGATAGATATACCGATACACGAAACTTCGTGGGTTCATGTTTCATTGCCATGATCTATAGATAAAAGCACCCGAAAATTCCTCCAAATGCATGTCATGCTGTCAATGCAATATGCTCAAAGTGTCTCCCAACCTCCAGTGTTCATATCACCTTCAAGTCTTCTTGAGATCACACTAGGAATACCATGATTAAGCCATGCTTCTCTGAGCAGCTTGTCGTATCTCTTCTGATTGAGGAAGAGCTGGTGGTGGCGACGCAGCGTTGGGTCGACCTCACCGTGACGATCCAGATAGGGCGCATGGTACCAGCTACCGTGGCTGTGGTGCAGGAACAAGACCATGCACTTCCGAATGTTGATGAATATACCAATGTTACCGCTGCACCTGCGTGGTTGTCAGTCGTGTTTGATATCGTGAACTTCAGATGACTTACTTCTCTCGGTGCTGGTAACAACCACCCTTGTTGCGGTCTGTCATGCAGCAACTAGCTTGACTGCAGAAAATCTCTCCACAGAACAGACAGATGGCCGGATCCGTGACTTCCTTGCCAGTCGTAGGACAACGTCTTTTGATAGCTTCTTCTGTCAGAGTGTCATAATGCTTGGGCAAGCCAACAAGCTCAAATATCGTTGGATGACTGAGATACTGTGCATCTGTTCGCAGTCTTTCCTTCGCGGCAGTGCTGACGAGGACACTGTTTATCCATCGCGCAGCAACCATCTGGAATCGTTCATCATTACCGAGTTGCCCTACTACCTCTTGCGGTGAGGGGAGACGAAGGATTTTGCTTAGACGTTGCAGCTCTGACAGCTCTGTGTTCGCGTGGGAGCTCGTGAAGTCAACACCGAAATGAACATGAGTCAGGAGCAACGCCTTCCTGAGGAATGTAAGAGCGTATGCATCAATCAACTTGCCCAGATCCGGTACGTCCCAGTTTAGATCCCAGAACTCTTGCTCCGAGAGACGTGATCCTGAGATGTTGGGGCTAAACTTGATAGCATCGTGCTCTTTGCACCAAGTCTGGAAGAGCTTGATTCCTGACAGATCCCAGCTGCCCAGATGAGAATCTTGCTGAGCATCTGAAATTGAATCGCGACACAGGAACGTGACGATCACCTTGATCAGCTCTGCAGAGTAACAAAGTCTGAGAATGTGATGCATGTTCTCGCCCATGAGCACTTCGTTGACAGCACAGCTCGCGAAGAAGGTGAACAAATCATGGCCGAACAATGAAGCATATGGAAGTGCTGGATCTTCGCCAGATGTATCGCCAAAGACCTTCTTCAATTGGCCAGCCCACGCGTTGTGGACTCTGGTTTCTCTGAAGTACTCGGGCATGCCGCTCTTGACAGCAGCGGTAGCCGTCGCAGTTCGAACAGTCTCAGAAAGGATACGCAAGGTCTTCATGCTCTGTTCTGAAATCGCGTCAAGGAACGTGCCAGTTTCACCATCCATAGGACTTGCGACTCCACGATATGAAATTTCGATACTTGAAATGGTAAAGGCCAAGGTATTGCAAAGAGTTTCAGCTAGGCGGATCGTTGAAGACTGCGTTCCAGGTTCCAGGCCAATAGTGTTGGGCTTCAAAGCGCCGATCGGGCTCAAGCTCTCTTCGATACGATTGTATGCTCTCTTGAGCTCTGCAGATGGCGTAGCAGGTCGGTTCCGAGAGTCAAGTCTGCTGGCCAGGTTAGTCAAAGTTTCCAACCTTGGTGTCAGATTGACGAGCGTCTCCAACCCAGGCAAACCAGTTGCATTGAGCTCGAATTGATCCGCCACTCTGCGAACCATGTCCGGTATAGTCGACCTGGACTCTTCTTCAGAGCTCTGCGTGTCCGAATCCGGGTCCGTCGTACGAGCTTCCATAGCATGCGAGGAAGAAGCTTGTGGGAAGGAGGATGCGAGCGTTGGGACTAATGCTTTCTGCATGTATTCCATATGAGCCTCACGAACGGAGACGCTTGGAGGCAACTGGCCTACTTGGTCGGCGATTCTGTGTGTTTCTTGGTCGGAAATCCACTGGTCGAAGGTCTTTGACTGCTGATCAAGGGTAGATGATGAATTATAGTGCTTCTCCTTCCAGATGATTGGCAGAAAAGTGTTCCCAAGTGCTTTGCAAAGGGGACAGATGAACTCAAATGTGTCGGGTCGCTCGGGATGATTGCGTGAGATATGCTGCGTATGTCTTCTCTTGGTCGCTGCCAGGTATGCTTCAAAACAACCAAAGTGCATAATATGGCCGCAGCTGTTGAGGACAGGACCTTGAAAGGCATTGTTGTGCGGGAAGCCCTTTCCGAGACCTCGTTTCTCTTGTGTTGCCTTGGAACCATCGGTGTTGACCTTTTCAACTGTCTCTGTTGCAAATTTGGCGACGCCGAAAGGTCTTATGGCGTCCGCAGACTGGTCAAGGTTTTCCGGTGTATCCAAAACCTCTCTTACGAAGTCTTTGTCATCCAGAGGCGTTTGCCTGAGTATTCTACTCGGCGCGATAAAAGCAAATGTGCCGTAAATTCTACTGTCATCGGTGTCTTCTTGACACAAGATACAGGGCTCCTTGGGGAAGGGGCAGACCTTGGTTTCGATAGCCTTGTCTTTCTCGTCATCTTGTTCCATGTCACTGTAATCATCTGCTTCCCAATCTAGGCCTTGATTCTCCATGAATGATGTTTGCTGTGCTTTGAATTGTGCCATGACCCTTGCTTGACGTTCAAGCGCAGCTTTCTTCTTGGCCTCCTTGTCCTCGGATAGAGTAGGTGCGGGCTCGGCGCTCTCTTCTTTACTATCAGGTGACAGCCTTGATTTGGCGGAGGCAAATTCTTCTGGCCACTTCGCGGACATTTTGTTGAGAATATGCAGAACTTTGGGTGTACAAGATGCAAACGCTTTAACCTTTGACAAGCGGAAAAGGGAGTCGACAATGGTCTTTTCTGCGCTCTCTTCGCTGTGTGAGACTGCTAGAGCCAACCTGACAAAGCTATCTTCTGCCACCATCGGCTTCGGCCCATGTGGAGTTGCGTCTTCTATCACAGCCAGGAGCGTGAGGTGGAGGATTACATGTAGCATCGTCTCGATCCTGGTGATCTGTGCACTATCACTTGCCTCGTCATGGCGCAAGCAGAACTCCAGACCCCAATAAATGATCTCACTGAAGAGCGTAGTTTGTGTGAATGCACCAAGAGTTTTGAATAGTCCGGAGTTGATGGGTTGGAGATGAGGCTCAAAAACGATGTCTGCGGCACTTTTGTTGATTTTCTTAGCCATGTACTCTCTGTAAACGGTCTCGGCTTCTTCGCGTTGATTACGGTTGTAATACGCATAGTATGGGTCAATGAGCTCGATGAAACGAGGATGCAATTCGAACGTGCCTGAGTCATTCAAGCCTTCAGGCGCACGGAAATTTGTCATGCTCTCGAGGATTGAGTCGAACTCTTCCGAGTCCGCGACTCTATCAGTCAAACGGCTGGAAATGTCTGAGAATGACAAAGGCTTGAAGCAAAGTACGTGTGCGATGTCACGCTGCAAGAGCTTGACATGCTGACTGGGCTTATCCTGGCCAGGCAAAAGATTCTGTCTTTCGCTGAGCAGGATGATGAGCAGATGGAAGAACTCTTCAGTGACATCAAGCCTTTGTTGCTCATCATAACCTGGGTAAAGATCGAAGACACCATTGACAAAACCGGACAGATCAAATCGGTCAACGATCTGGGCCAGGAATCGTTCACCCAATGATTCATCCGAGTTCCCGCACAGCACAAGACCTGCTTGCAACATGAATATATCACGCTGATAAGAGACGTCCCGTTGAACAGTTCCGCGGTACTGATGCATCTGGTGTCGGAGAGTTACGCCATTACGAACCCACATACCGGCGCGCATCTGAGCAAGCCAGGCACAAACACGCAGGGGATGCTCAAAGAGCATAGTAATAATCTCGGCCGGATCAAAATTGGTAGTCTGCGGCGCGGTCTTCCAGCTTGTCTGCCAAGGGTCTCTGAAGTCGGCTGAGGTGAATTGCAGCACTCTCAGCATTTGCTCGCGCGTAATATCTACACCTGCCTCAAGCAACCACGATAAGAGGTAGTGTAGAGGGTGATGGAAACTCATTGCACCAGTTGCTACGTCGAATTGAGGTAGACTATAGCTTTCGTCACGGCATATCGCCTCACGGTCGATCGCTTCGACATGACTTGGTCTCTTCTTGATAGGTAGTCGCAAGAAGGTCTGGGCTTCCTTAATCTCAGCAGCCGGGAATCTGTTGCGCTCAAGGCCAAAAGCGTTTATGAAAGTGACTTGCGCGGCATATCTGATGGCTCTCTGTACTGGAGTTGTGTCATCATCGTCAGACCATCTGAATGCTTCTGCGACTTGACGACAAAGCCTGTTGATCTCCTTGATGATCAAAGTAGCGCTGATCCACGCGTCCGCTTCATATTCAACGTGCTCGCCCACTGCTCGAACGTTGGGACAAATGCCCTGATGAAGTTTGACCAGGTCTAAGAACTGCATCAGATAGCGAGGTTCATTTCGAACCTTTTCTTGTACAAAGGCTGATTGGAACATGTAACGTGTATCGAGGAAGAAGTGGAACATGCGTCTGTTGGTAACAGCGCCTGCATCAAACGCAAGGGTCGCATTTGGATTCACGTCCTTCGGGAACCCAACTTGACGGGTGGTGAGAAATGTGTAGAGGATGGCAAGAAGATTGGTAAGGAAGTTGCCCCTTTCCACAACTTCTGCTGTGATAGAAGGAGTTGTAAGCATTTGCACAGACAGATTGATGATGGAATGATCCGGCTCGCGGTCAGCGATAAGATAGAGCTGAGCTAACATGGTGTAAAGGCCAGCAAATCTCAATCCCAGTATGCGCTTGAACTGAGGCACAGTGACGACAGTACTAATGTAGAGATGGCGAAGATCAATACGAAGAGTTTTCCACATCCTCAGATCGTACAGTATGAGATAGTCAAGACGAACTCTTTGCCAAAGGTCTTCCGCAGGGGTAGAGGCTGACTGTGATCTGTATTCTTCAGGAGTCTCTAGCCAATAACGAGCAGGACGGATGGGACGGTTGGGCTTGACTCTAAGCTTTGGTGTTTTTGGAAGATTAGAGAAGGGTGCCGACGGCTGAGAAGGTGGATCTGGCCTTGATGATGGGTGTTGTTCTCCGGCGTCAGATTCGTTCACAGTCACAGATCTCGTTCGACGACGTGTGGTCGGTGGGGGCGGTGGAGGTGCAGGATATCCAGCTAAAGTTGCTTCAAGGTTTTCAGCAGGACCTTCGGTGTCGATATCTACAAGGTCAAGATCCATGTCGTTATCATCAATAGCCATAGCGAGGGGATCATTGTTTTGTAGGTCCAAATCCATGGCCTCTTCAGCGCCGAGATCCTCGTGTTCTGCCATAAGAAATTCCTCAATAGTCATATCGTTCTCATCATCTTCGTCCTCATCATCGTCGGCTTCTTCGTTCTCGTCGTCGTCGTTTTCAACATTGATTCTCACAACGTTGATGCCGGCTAAGGGACGGAACCATCTAGCTTGCTCTCTTCGGTTATGGACATTTTCTTCATGCTCGTGATCGTCAATACCTCCCTCTCCTATTGAAGCGTTCGTGGCTTCGCTACCCATGCGCCACGGTCGCAGCAACTCCTCGCAAATCGTATTGCGGAGGACATGGGGGTCGGATGCGATTGAGCAGCCTGATATATCCGAGATCCAGTCAACGATTGTGCTGCACATTTGCTCGCGAAAGGTATCTCTGGCAGACCGGACAGTTACGGTGACCTTGAGCTGTTCTATAATTGCGGCCATGCGAAGGAGTTCGGCAAGATCGTGCGAGTAATGGATGATGCTCCTGCCATTGTCATTGACCTCCATGGCTTTCTGCAGACCAAAGCTCTTGGATTTTCTGCAGGCTTTGGCTACCTGGTTCTGAACGTCGGTGACGGTGTGCTTTTCATCGTTCCACAATACCAAAGCATACTCTTCATCTGACTCGTCAACCTCGGCGCCACCGTAGAGGTGAGACGTGAGACGTGACAGAAGCTCATCCCTGCGAACAGTATCCTCGGTCTTTTGCAAGCGCAGTTGCTCTGGCGAGCAGGAGAAGACATCACACATGTAATCGAAGGCCTTTGCGATGGTCATACGAACAGGTGTGAGTAGCTCGTCAGGCAAAGTTGGGACTTGGCTTGTCTTTCCAGCGGCTTTGAGGCCAGGCGCATCGTCGGCACTGTGAATAGTGCAGTGGACTGGGCGAACCCAAGCTTCATCGTCGGCACAATCGCAGCAACCACTGTTGCCTGGGGAGACGCTGATATAAACCATGTGGCCTTCGTGGTCGGACTCGGCGAAGCATCTTGCGCAGAGAACGCATGTATCATCGGCGGCACATGTCTTGCAGTGGTATGTTGATTCGCCAGCCTTGAATATGTGACCGCATGGATGACCTTTTGCGGCAGCTGTGTATTCTGCGCCATCTACGGCGCCCTGGGCGTCGCGCAGTACCCATTTGTCTCCTTCTGACACACCATCAGGGAACAGAAGAGTGAGGTTGGATTCATCGTCAGCGACGAGAGAACGAAAGAGGCGAGAGCGGAGGAGTGAGTCTGCTTCTTCTGTGTAGCGGTTGTTGAATTCTCGGGGCAAGTCCCTAAGGAAGACTCCCAGGGCCCTTTCCAGGTCCGAGATCATCGTGTTGCACCAAGGTAGTTTATGCGCTTAAAAAGAACATGCCGCGGCGATGCGGGCGCGGGGCGGACGTGAGGTGACTTGGTATTATTGATGGGCGCGTGGTCGGGGTGATACCTGTAGGTGACGTACAGATAATCTGAGGGAAGGTAGTAGGTGGTCGACAATCTGGCTGTGGTAGGGAATTAGTGAGTTGGCTCGAGTTTTGTCAATTCCACAAAAGTGCAAGAGCAGAGCAGAGCATTCATCCACTTCGGAGGTGACGTCCATCACGCGGAGAAGCCCAGACAGCCCGCACCTGCCCTCGCAACATGTATATCCCTACCCAGGCACTCGCTCGTATACAGACCTTTCACACGTATATCTGCTGTACTCGATGACTCTCTCTGAAGTTGTGCTTCACTCAAGACAAGTATGCATTTCCATAGCTTATTATTTTCTGTGCCATTTGAGAGTCCAAGAGCTACATGGACGAGAGGTTCACATGTTCACCACGCTGTTGTGAGCTTCGATAAGATTGGATATCGTTTCGTCTACCATCAGAATTGTCTGTATGATTACAAGTTTGAGAAGTCATCAAGCACCAGCCGCCAGAAACGCCGATCCCGCTATGCATCCACGGTCAAACCTCCCTGCATCTAGTTCAGGTCGGCTGTGACGTTGGAGAACTCGCCCTTCTCGAGCTTGGTCTTCCAGAAGATGGGGTTGGTATCGTTGAAGCCGTGCTTGACCCAGCCCTCCTCCTTGACGTGGTACAGGTTGATGTAACCACCCGAGTAGGCATCTCTGTGTGTGGCTGCCAGAATACTGCGGCGGCCGAGCTCAAGAGCATCCTCGTCTGATAGGTCGTAGTTGTATTCAGCGTCGAGCACACCGTAGGCGAATGTCTGACCGGAGCCGACACAGAAGAGGTTACCAGCAAGGCGAGTGCCGTCACTGTCGATGTAGTAGAGAGCAGGTCCTTCTTGCGGTGTGACACCAGCGCACATTGTGCCCTGTTAGATAATGTCAGTCATCTTGATCTGCGCTCTAGAAACAGTGGCAACATACCATGCTCAATCCCATGCCCTTGTATTGGTAGACCAAGTTGGCCAGAATCTTTGAGGCGGCGGCGACCGAGATGCGGCGCTTGTGACGGAGCTCGTGAAGACGACATTGCATACCGAGGTAGGCGAGCCAGTACTGGCAGTCGGCAGCGCCACCAGCCATGGTACCCAACAGCTGAGGGTTGATCTCAATGACCTTCTTGACTGTCTGACTGGCAATCCAGTTTCCTGCAGTTGCTCTGGAATCTGTTGCCACAATGATGCCACCCTTGAATCTGAAAGCCAGAGTAGTTGTTCCGTGAGCGAGCTTGATGGGGCAGTTGGGGTTCGAGTGGTCGTCGGTCATTGCGCGGAGCCATGATTGCGCCTGCGAGATGGTCAGTCGATTTCCGACAAGTTGACAAAGTCAAACTCACTTGTGCGACAGGTGGAAGTGCAAACTTGAGATCGATGGAGTTAGGCATGCAGTCGACGAGCTCCAACTGGTCCTCCTCGTGATAGCCCTCGTCCTTGAAGGCCGGTCTGCTGTACTGCGCCACCAAGCTGTCCATCTTGTGCTGCGGTTTTGTGTGTCGTGTGTGTTTGGTGTGGGCGGTATCGAGTGATGAGTCAAGCAACGGAAAGAGCGTGCAGATGATGGCGTGTGAAGTGCTTGGTGGAAGTGATGGTTGACGAGTGTATGTAGGAGGCAGCTGTCGGAGAGAGCTCAGCAACGTCAGTGTTCCGACCTAGCGTAGTCTCCCAAGCTTTGGGCAACACCCTGTCCTGAATTTCGAAGCGCAATAACAACACAGCATCAGTGATTCCTAGGCCACTGGCGTACAGATAAGTTAAGGGAATATTATGGTAATGTTTTTCTGTCTTTGCAGGTCATTACAACTTGCTTGATGGGCTAGAGAAAGCCAACATGGACACGTGATGGGAGAATCGATGATTGCCCTGATTGAACGACCGCCAAAGGCCATATGGAAGCATACCTACCGACGCAATTGAGCAACACACGAAACAGGCCATACATATTGAACTTCTATCTCATTGCTATTGGACACCCGCCACAGGCATGCTGCCATCAAATCCAATGTCAAAATCTGTCGCAGCAACTTGCAAGCTTGAGTGTCTGCTGATGTTCAAAACCTCCTTCCCAAGGATGAGATGATCGGGAAGGAGCACTTGATGATAAATCACCGACATGTCTTTCACAACGAGACGTAGTGATGAACTTTGAAGAACCGTTCGTCACTCAAAAGCTCTTGAAAGCTCTCAGAAGCAAAACTCAGATTGGGACCTATGTCTGCAACACACCAATCTTTGGGAAAACGTCTCGTTGATTGGACTCCTCTCTTCTTCAAAGACCAGCTGAAAGCCGAGTCATCAATGAAAAGTGCACACAAAGTGTGTGAAATAAAAAATTCCGCCCGCCGAGCCCCCGCAGGAGATCGGTAGAGGAACCTCTGCGCGCTGTGCAATGCACGAAGTTCCTCTAGACTTCCGGCCTTCATGATCGCCAAAGCCCAGACAAGGTAAGTATAAGGAGAAAGAAAGAAGAGAGAGGAAAGAGCTTGCGTTTGGCCCGAATCTGACCTTGCTTTTATACTGCCTGGTTGCCTTGTCTGCTTACTAACCAGAGCAAACATCGAGACACTGTTTGCTAGAGAGTGAAAGATCACTGTTTGCACAGTGCCGACTCTGAAGTGAGAGACTGGTTGCTGGTGAGCTGGTGGTTCCGGAATCAAGTGAGGAGACCCCCAGCTATCATGCCAGCTGCGGAGGCTTCACCGGAGCAAGTGACAGTCAGCTCTGAAGCTCCAAGCTTGCCAGAGGTGCGTATTCCAGTCTAGATACGTGGAAGACTACAAACATGCTCGTGGCTCTCTGTCTTACTAGCGGCATCTCATAGAGCCTCAATAGACACTACTTGTCGACACTTGCCATCGATGTGTACGCGTATCGTTACATGGAGATGACGTTCGGAGTGATATGGGCCGGTACTACCGAGCTTCCTATTTCATGCTTTCTCCTCTACCTTGCCGGCAAGGTCAACGAGGTACTAATCCACACAAGTAGACTCCTACTCAATTGATCATTTTCTTCTATCACCTTCCACCTATCTTGTTCTTGTCATACTCCTAACAGCCATGGACACCTCGAAACACCTCGACCCATCAGACCTCTTCTCAGCCAAGGGCCTCACCGTGGTCATCACAGGAGGTGGAAGCGGTATGAGTAACAACAACGTGCTCATATGGATATCATACTGATGCTCTATAGGCATCGGCCTCGCTTTCGCGACAAGTCTGGCTCGCTCCGGAGCTGAAAAGGTGTACCTACTGGGACGCAGAGTTAAGAATCTCGAGGATGCTGCCAACTCAATCGACCCCAACATTGTCAAGCCAGTCCAATGCGATGTTAGCGACCCATCATCCGTCGACGCTGCTGTCAAGCAGATTGAGAAAGAATCATCCCACATCGATGTCCTGATCAACAATGCTGGAGTGACCGGCCCGATGCAGACGGATGTTCACAAAGCTCAGAGTGTCCAAGAATTGCAAGAGATCTTGAAGAGAGACTGGTCAGGCTGGGATACAGCATTCCAAACAAACACATCTGCCATTGTTGCCGTCAGCGCTGCTTTCTTGCATCTGCTTGACGCCGGCAACAAGAAGCGAGGTTGGGCCACAGGGAGAAGAGAAGTGCAAGAGAGGGCTGAGGGCGCGGAATATGATGCAAGCGACCCGAGAACAAGTCAGATTATTACTGTTGCCAGTATTGCCTCTTTTAACCGCTACCTCACTGCTGGTCTGGCATACTCTGCAACGAAAGCTGGTGCTGCTATGCTGGGCAAGGCGTTGGCTACTCTGCTTGCACCATTTGGCATCAGAAGTAATGTCATTGCTCCTGGACGTGAGTATACATCTGCCGCCATGATGTTGAATGATAGACTGACTTGAGCTAGGATTCCCTTCTGACATGACCGCTGGAGACAAGACTTCATTTCCCGTCAGTCAGATTCCTGCAAGCAGATCTGGTTCGTATGAGGACATGGCTAGTATGATCTTGTTCCTCGTCGGCAAGTCCGGAGCCTACCACAACGGCAATGTACAAGTTATCGACGGTGGTCGCCTGAGCATGATGCCCGCGACATACTAATCATTCACATATCCTTACTAGTGCAATAGACTATGAGGTATATACAATCGAAAGTATTCACTTAGTACCCAATGTACTCGCTGATAAAGAAATGCTGCCTGAGTTCGATCAACCTGATGGTGCCCAAGCCCAAATAGCGGTCTGCCCAGCGACCTTGAACTCGGACTTTAGTCACAAAGTCAAATAAAGAAAGAAAGATACACTTAGGCATCAAGGCGGTCTGAATATGCACGCCAAATCATAGAGCCACGGTACTGGATCCTCCTTGGCTGCCCGACGCTGGCATTGACGAATCAGCGTCGCCGTTTCGGACGTCGGACGGGTTGCGTTCGCTCGAGGAATTGGGTACGACACGGTCTGGCGAGTTGAACGACATGCCATGACAGATGTCAAGGGTGTACTGCTAGCTTCGCACGACATGCAATACGTCTACAAATCTACTGGACAGGGCCTCATTGCCTGATGCCACGTCTGCCCAAATGCATCAAATCGCTCTGACAGCGGCAGCTTCGGGTTGCGAGACGACAGGCTCCACGAGGCACTGCATGGCAACCATGAACTTTCAAGGATCCATTCATGCGAGTGCCCGTATGGCTTGAATCATTGGAGGAACGATACCTTCAGCTTAGCCGAAATGAGTACAAAGGCAAGGGGTGATATAGAAGGAACGAACCCTCGCCTAACTCGCATTCATTGGCATTCAGCTGACTGTTGGGTGACGCGGGAAGGGTAGTGTCAGGTATCTGAGGTGGTGAGATGGAAAAACAGATGTATCGAACAGGTTTCGTGATAAGGGACGAGGGGAAAGGTTGGAGCAAGTGGTCGGAGGTGGATAAGTAAGTGCAATGCTACGCTCATCTCAATCGTCTCATCCTCTTCAGCTTTGTGTTCTCACATCATACTCACCAAGCACTTAGACAGGAACAATGCCTTCTGTAACATACTCATACTCTAGCCAGCCTCTTGCTCCCTGGGCTGTCTCGACAAAGACCCCGGCATACACGGCTGCATCTCACCCTTATCAACAATCCCCAGTCTATGGTCATGTTTACCAACCTCCGCCTTCGCGATCAGAAAGCATCACGACAGGGGGAAGTTCATACTCAATCCCGAGCAGAGCCCCATCTGTGAGTTCGTACTCAGGCAGCGAGAGCAACAGCCCTGTCGATGCACTGGGCTACATGGGAGAACGACTAGGCAGATCGATGGACCCTACCCCTCTGGATCGTAGTCTGGCAATGCAAGCCCAGAGGTGAATTGCTCTTTGGATCCTGAGTTACGTATCCACTAACGCATTTACTAGGTCAGGCGAACTGAATGCCAAAACTCGGGAGCTGCAAGCTCTACAAGCATTAGCACAGTCTCGACTCAAGTCTGCCAGAAGGAATTTTGCAGATGGGATTCAGGCTGCTAGAGACGTCCAGAGAGACCTTGAATGGACGCAAAGAAGAGTTGGGTAAGTCGATGATATGTACATGATACCAATTCAGGGGCTGACACGAGACCAGTGCATTGAACGAGCGGGTTGCTCAGAGATGGCCAGCTCAATACAGCACTGCGAGCTCACGATTCCCTCCTCTTGAAGACTACTGAATCCTGACCCTTCCAGATAATACTGGGTGTTGTCAAGCAGAATGTGATGGAAGAGAGTTGCAAAGACATGTATCAAGATTTACGGGACTTAGGTATCTCGCACAATGATAATTCCAGATTGTCCAGTTTGTGCAAGTGCAAACAAGTGAAAGACAGGCTACTGAATGCACCAACCTGGCCGCAAACGGAGGTGTTGGACGTGGTCGCACTTCACTCGTCTTGCTGTTTCCAATTTCCTTCCTCGATTCAACTGAGGTGAGCATACGTCAACATGTCATCCTCAGACGATCGCTCTACACGACTCTACAGATGGAAAGAGAAAAAGGAACAGGAGGATCTTCAGGTCTTTGGCAGACATCGCAAGGTAAGAACCTCCAGCGGCACTTGCCGTGCCAAGAAGCAAAAGATGGCGAGCTCTCTCAGGCAGGAAGTCGCAGGGCCCAGCCACATCTTCTGCATCGTCATTTGACACAAGTCTATCGACTTTCTATTCTACTTTCATCGCGTCTGCTCGATATTGACAGATTCCTTACTCAGTACACACCAAAGATTCACTATCGATCCGGTTCCAAGATGTCGCGCTCTGCAACCACCCTCTACGTCTCCGGCTTTGGTCCCGCGACCCGCGCTCGCGATCTTGCCTATGAGTTTGAGCGGTATGTACCCCATTGGATTAACCCCCATTTGCATCGCGCCACGATGCGCATTGTGCATCTGGATTTGAGAACAACTTGACGCTGACTTCGATAGCTATGGACGTCTTGTGCGTTGCGACATTCCCGCTCCTCGTACCTCTTCCAGCAGACTGTAAGTCTTTCACCCAAGTTTCAGCCTTCCAAACGCTTTACTGACCGCGCGCAGTTTCGCCTTTGTCGAGTATGAAAGCCGCCGTGATGCCGACGATGCTTACCATGAAATGCACAACCGCCGCATCAGCCGCAACGAAGAATTGAAGATTGAGGTGCGCTCCCATTCAACTTGCTCATCGATGACAACAGACTGATCTCTCCCGACAGTGGGCCAGAACCCCTCCCTCTGCTTCCTGGCGCTTCGATGCTGGTCGTCCTCCTCGCGGTGAGCGTGGCGACCGTGGTGATCGTGGTGACCGCCGTGACCGTTCTCCTCGTCGCCGCTCCATCAGCCCTGCTCCTCGTTCTCGCCGTGGCGACCACTCTCCTCGCAAGGATGACCGCCGTGAGCGCGACTACGACCGCCGCGACCGTACCCGTAGCCCCGAGGACCGTGAGCGTGAGAGAGACCGCGATGCCAGAGACCGTGACGATGACCGCGAGCGTGACACCAAGCGCGACGACGACCGCGAACGCGAGGAGCGCCCCCGTGAGGATCGCGAGGACCGTGAGAGAGAAGACCGCGAAGAACACGAGCCTAACGGCGAAGAGCCCAAGGGTACACAACCATCGACCTGAACGTTCACCTTCTCGTAGCTAACACACTGCCACAGAACCCGCTGTCGAGTCTCCTCCTGCCGCTGCTGCCCACGATGACCTTGACACCGCCGAGTAGATATCCTGCGCTCGAGCTATTCCTACACCACTAACCCCGTTGCTGCTAGTGTGCACTACTCCCACTGGGATAGTGACAGAAGATTTGGTGTCGCAGCCAGTCTTCACGCCTGGCCAGCATAATTCACTCCTCCCCAACTCCAGTGCAGCATCCTCGTCGCCTCCCGCAGCGTTCCATTTCATGGGTAAAAATACGCGAGGTTCTGCTGTCTGACGCCCCGTTCCACGTTTTTGTTTTTGTTGCTGTTGGGTGTGCTTTTCAGGCGGGCGTTCTTATCCGAGATTGATCAAAAATTAGCAGCAGTGCGGTTCGACCAGTTCGTACGAGGCGAGCGATTACACGAGCGACCCGATCCTTCGATATCGTATCCAATCAATTATCAACCCTTCGACGTCCACCTCCCCTACGGCCCCATTGATCTACGAGATCAAGCGAAACGCAATTGCGATCCGATTCCCTTTTTCCTCGTATCGTCCACGATCCACAACATGCATTTTTACCCCCGCCGTCGTTTTTCGTCTTCCGTCACCTTACTCTCACCGTTTTCGAGCCCCTTTCGCGACCGATCTTCACCTTATCCGATGCATCGACATTCTTCGCCTCTCAGCTTTTCTCAAAGGTAGCTGTATCTTGTTCGTAGGCTTGAGTTTGTTGGATGACACTTGTTTGTGTCTAATCCTTCAGCTATGGATGTAAGTCAGTGATCACACAAGGCAGGACAGACGTTGGTCTGCTCCTTTGCACAGTCTGAAGGTGCTCCTTGTAAAGTCGTCGGATCATGAATAGTAAACGAGATGTGCATGCAAGCTTTTGTCTATTCCTTGACCAGCAACATCGTTGTCTTTACGTCGTCTTCTCTTTGATGCATTACGTGAATATATGTCTCCAAGGCGGCCCTGTCTTTTGTGCACTCAGACTGACTTGACCACTCATGCCGTGTAACCAAATGTGAGACCTCTGCGTGGTTACTGATGAGATTTGGTGCGTCGTGTTAAAAAGACGAGAATGGGTGCTCGTGTCAGTAACCATGTGTATAACTTCAACCATGGCAGTGCACCATCCTGGGATTTATTCTCGGTATTCTAAGATGTTAGTATTCATAAGTTTATGAGATCATTCTATGTATCATCAAATCTGATTACCGGGTGCATAACGACTCCAACTTCTTATCGTCTTGCCTTTGAGATAGAAAACAATCGGCACTGGAATCATCGCTAAACACACGAATCCTAATACCGAGCACGCCCATCCAGTAGCCAAGCCCTCAAACATGGGGCCAGCAAATAGCGGGAATGAAGAAGAGACAATACTCCTGACCACAATATGGATAGACATTGCTGAGTTGCTGTTGATCAGGTAGGTGTCTACAATATACACTATACCAGCAATGAAGATTAGCAACAGGCCCAAGCCGACGAAATAGGCGGCAATCACTTGGGATGCCCAGTGCGTTTCTTGTGACCAGCCTAGCCAGAAGAGTGCGGGAGGGAGGATGAAAGCGCCCAGAATCATGGGAGGGAGACGATCCTCTGGTGGTGCACTTTTGTTCACGAGCCACCTCTTCTTGTACCAGGTCAATGTGAAGACGGAGAAGATGATCCAGGCGCTGATGATACCCAGAGTGATAGCGATGAAAGGTAGGTAGGAGACTGAAGCACTCCATCCTCGGTTCCGGAAGGAGAAAGGAATGGCTTGGTACGAGAGATAGAGTGTTCCGTACACGATTGTGAGGTAAATAGTACAGAAGATCAAGATAGGTTCTTGAACAAACATGCGCACTGGCTTGGTGGCATACTTCTGTACCAGAATCTTCAAATCGACAGGGGTTTCCTCGAATTTGGCATAGAGGTTGGTGTTTCCGGTTTGAGCACGAAGACGTTTGGCTTTGCGAGCGAGAAGGACTGGTTCGAAGCTTTCACGTATGATGAGTATGCCAAAGAAGCCGACTAGTCCGATATAGATGAGAGTGAGCCAGGCTGTCCATCTCCAGTTGAGGTGATTAGTCGCGTAGGCACCAATGATTGGAGCAAATGTTGAGCCAAGATTGATACAGGTTGCCGATGCTCCTAATCCCACACCTCGGTGGATCGGAGTCCAGATGTCGACAAACATGCCGCTGACGACAGCAAAAATAGCGCTACCAAAAAGACCTTCGAAGAAGCGGCATACGAGGATAGTCTGAACGTTCTGAGCAACAGCTTCCGGTATCTGGAAGATGCCCATCATGAAAAGGCCGATCCAAAGCGGAATAGTACGCCCAAGGACTTCACTCAAAGGGCCGAAAATGAGAGGTCCACAGGCGAACCCAAGAATATGGAAAGTGATGCCCAAGTTCATCACCTCATGGGAGACATTGTACTTCTGCGCCGTGATCTTGGTGGCTGGACCAAATATACTAGATGACAATGACACCGCAATAACGAAACAAGAGGCAGTGATGGAGAAGCAGACTTTACGCCACATTGGCCAATTCATGGGCTTTGCTGGATCGTCATCTCCATCCCAGAGTACAAGATTGGGATCTGTCTCGAAGCCATCATGCTTGTGGCAAGGCTCTCCTTCTTCGTCTGTAAGACCCTGCTTACACAAACGACATTCGGGATGGGGTGGTTTGCGCGATACAGTGCGTTTGAGTGTAGTGCCATTATCATCTGAGTCTGGGGACTCAATGTCTCGTTCGAAGGATTCTTTGCTGAGGCGTGGTGACTCGACTTCTTCAGTGGTGTGCTGTTTGTGTGGCCTTGGCTGTTGCTTTTCAACATTTGAATTCATGGCGAGTATTTATTGCTCAAAATATGGTGGATGATGGTAGACGGATAGCCTTGGGAGACGCATTGGTTTCCTCAATGTGCAGTCCCAGATATGGATGGAGTGTCTGTATCCTCAGAGAAGCAGATTATGTGCAAAACAAAGCAAGAAGGAAGACGAAGGAGGAACTGCGAGATCGTTCTCGGTCAAACTCGATCATGTCCCGACGATGAGGTTCGGACTGACTTGGACCGAAATCTTGCTCTCAACAGTTTGTTGGCAAAGCCCTGAAGACCACTCTTTTACAACTCTCTGCATTGCCGAGAAGGATTTCCGTTGGAATGACAAACGGTTGATTCGATTGCTGAGCGCTTCTACTTTGCTAGAACGCGGAGTCTTGAAAGTCAAATGCTCGTTGGTTGGACCGGCACTCTTGCGCGGTAGGAGGGCTTGTGCCTCGTGACGAGGAGAGTCCCTGACATGCGATGTAGAAAGCCCTCGGGTCAGACTTCCGAAGGCCGACCTCAACGTCGTTTGCTTCACAGCTCTTTCCATGTTTTGTCTCATGATAAAACAGCAGATATTCTACAGGGAACAGCAACAATGATAACGCAGACCTTGGAACCGTTGAATTGAACTAACGTATAATGCTTCTGCTGTATTGTGATCGTGCGAATGAGTATGCCCCTTTCTCTCTCTTCGACTGCTTGATGCATGAAAGAACCTCTCGACAAAGCTTCCAGAGCATTCCCACACCCCTCAGCTTGATTGAGCAGTCGCTTCCTCAAAACCTCCGTCGTAGCTCTGCTCCTTGCTCAAAGACACCTCAAAGAAAAATGCAGGAGCCAATACTGCCCATATCGTTCCTTCCAATGTAGGTCTCAATGCTTGTGACGCCTCAGCTGTTCTCCAAGAATTTCCACCTGTTCTTCATGATACTTCTGTTGACTTTCCAGATCTTCCAACCAAAGTTTATTGCAGTGCTTCTTTTCTTCTTCCAAGAGTTTCACCAGCTCTTCTTCCATGAGTTTCTTCTTTCCTTTGGCGAATGACTGGATGGCGCGGTTGTTGAAGTAGCGACGGACGGGATCCAGCTTCTTGCGGATGCAGATTTCTCTTTGCTCGGGACTCAACTTGGCGAGCAGGCGGTTTCGAAGAAGGTCGTGTTCCCATTTGGACAAACAGGCCATCATCTGGAGAGCAAACTTGCTGATGTCTCTTTGTTCTTCAAAGCTGAAACTGTGTTGGTTTTGAAGGATTTGCTTGTCAGTGGCCATCTCATTCATGATCTTGATACCCTCTGCTGAAAGCTTCAAGTCATGTCCGACCAGCAGGGTACGGACCACAGTCTGGAACTGAGCAAGGCCGACACCATGGCCCTCAACCTCGATCTTCTCCAACGTTTCCCGGCACTCAGCAAAGAACGCAATTCTCAAACGCTGCAGCTCGTCATCGAGAAGATTCTGACCGACGCCCATGTTGTCACACAAACATCTTATGTCGCTCTTGACGTTATCGACCCAGGTTGCGTCTTCGGTCTGCTTTTGTGCGACCCGATCTTCGTCGCTGCGTTCGCCGGATGCTCGTTGCTTGCCGCCCCTGAGGCGTGCTGCCGGGTCCGACACCCAGAACTCCATGCGCTCTGCGAGCTTTCTGATGTAGCTGCGGTCGTCGGCGTAGTGGTCGAGAGGATGAGGAGGTTTCTTAGGGTTCTTTTCGACCAGGGTGGTGCGGATGTCGGGAATGACATCGTAGCCCGGTTCGCTAGCCTCGTTGCCGTTGTCTACGAGAGTGTACTCGCGGTTCAGTTGTGCATCTCTGTCGAGACTCCAGCTGTCGGCCATGGTGGCATCGGCCTCGGAATTGGTCTCAGAAAGATGTGATGGCATTGTTGATGGTGTCGGTACCCGGATGTCGTCGTCGGTGGTACCCGGTTGTGTGCTTTGGTTGCGCCGCGACAGATCCAGGGGTGAACTGGTTAGGTGAAGTTTCGTAAAGGTGAACGAGCTGAGTTTGTATCTGCTGTTCGACGTGTATTCGTCTCCGTTCGCTCTCGGCGCTGCCGAGACGATGGCGGTGCCTGATAGAAGCCTACGGAGCATTCTTTCGATGACTCTGGTTGTGAGACCTGATATCCTGAGTATGGTGCTTTCTCCTGAACGTGGTATAGAAAACCGCGCTGTCTGCAATCCAGCAAAAGTATCCTCAATCCCTTGAAGTCGTGTTGGAGAGTGTTGGTATACCTACTTTCAGTCATTAACCTAGGTTTAGGGAGTGATTGAGCCTATCCAGCTTACATCTGCTTCCCCTGGATGTCTCTCATGCATGACACACACCATTTTACACCTGTAAATTTGCACAGTAGTTTGGAGATTTAGGGCATGATCCACTGAAAGTCCCCTTTTCACGGGCTCTCTCTGGACACAACTCTGATTTCGAAACTATTGTGCATTTTGATAGCTTGTCATTACTACTTACATCCATTGGGAGCACTGATCTCCTTGGGCCTTCTCTGGACACGCCTCTGATCTGAATACATCTGTGCATGGCGACAACCTCTACATTATTCTACATGTCCATTGAGAGTCTGCATACACTTCATTCTCTCTGGAATCGTCTCTGACCTAGTTACAACTGTGCATTTTTACAGTTATGGTTTACTGTGATTAGCAAACGGGAGTACTGGCGAGCATTCACGTCTTGTATAACGACCTAAAGGTCAATCAGAACTCCATTTTCCCATACCGTCCATATGCACCATGTATCCTGTTCTAGTCTAATAACAATTGTTCACTTTTCATCATAGTCATCTTCCATCTTGTAGATATCTTTTCGTAGGTTATGTCATCTGGTCAGGTAGCACATGATACCCCAGAGGCAACGGAATGCTTCTATCCTGTCCTTAACGTTAAACAAGTCGAACCACTTGGAGCGTTGCAGCACTGGATGACACCAGTCCTTGTCCTCAGGAATCTTCTCCGGGAAGTTGCCGGTGGCCACAAAGTCGAGGTAGGCACCGTGTACTCGTAGCTTAAGGATTGAGACATGATAGTACATGCTTGATAGCACGTAGACCTGTCACGTTGAATTAGCCACATCATTTGAGTTCGTTTCACAAGCCTTCTTACCGTGTCCCACTCGCTACCCTCTTCTTTACCGATCGCTTGATACTCGCTGTTAGGGTCCCAGAAAGACCTCATTGGCTCCATGGATTTCCAGATTTCGTACTGCGACCTCTTCTTTTTCTTTCCGTTTGCAAATTGAGCAGCGGCTTCTTTGCCCAATGCTGCAGCAATGAGATCGTTGGCATCATCCATATCAGGCGTTTCTGGCTCTGCCGCATCCGAGGCCATCTCGCTGAACCAGTATTTTCCACTTTTTGGGATTGGCTTTGCCCAAATCTTTTCTTCACGGCCTTGTCGCCGTCTTTCTTGTGCAAGGTGCAAGAGACTGCCAACCTCCTTCAGCTGGTCCAACCGTAGCTTGTCTCGCTTCTCGTCATCAGATCCCGAGTCAAAGTCTTCCAGCTCTTTACGGACGTACGCAGCCATGAGTGGCCCTTGTACCATGTGTCTCTTCTCCTTCTCTTTCGGCACACGGTGCACCATGAACGACTGGTAGTTGACAGGCAAGCGTACGCCGCTCAACAGAAGAGTAGGATGTACGCGCGGCGGACCGAGCTTGCAGCGGAAAGGAAAGGCGGCTGCTTCCATGAAGCCTTTGATTACGTCCATGCGGTAAACCCAAGGCATCTTACTGCCGGTAGAGGTGCGTCTACCACGGTATAATTCACGCAAGAAATCGTCCGAAGACGCATCAGAGCCATGAGAGATGACCTTTGAGAGCGGCGGAGATCCCTGGTCTCTTGCGATGAGTTCGCTGTAGGTTAATGGTGTAGCAGGACCAAGGTCAATAGGCTCTTCCAGATTCCGCACGTCAATCGTCATGTCGGGATCAGCGTATTCTGGGTGATCTTCTTCACGAACGCTTTTGCCGTCGTCATCCAAGACGAAGTAGTCGTCAAGATCTGTTTCCCAGTGCTCGCTCATGCTGTGGAGAGCCGTGAAAAATGTGCGAAAGTCACTGAGACGAATCTTGGTCAAGCCTTCAGGGAGGTTTGTGCGAGTGACGGTTCGGTAGGCAATGTCGTTCTCGGTCTTCAACTCGACAAGTCTGGTGACGAAATTGCCCTGGTTATTATTTGTGTTTTCGGCCATGGTCATGTTCCATTCCTCATCATTAGACGGCATGTACGGACGACTCTCGTGGTCTGTTGGGACTAGCTGATCGACAGGGCATGGTATGGCAAAACGGATGTTCAGGTCGGCGTAGAACTTTGCTGTGATGTCTGAGACCTTGCGTGACTCGACGAAATCGCGGCGCAAATTGGGACGGTCAGACTCATCGTGCCAGTCTCTTATTCTCAAGTTTTCTTGTCTGGCGTAGTTGGGCAGGCCGACGTGCGTCGGGGGATCGGGCTGGGGTCTTTCTTTGAAGGGGTCGATGTAGCTGGCGTAGTTGCTCGCTGTGTCGCATACAGTCAGACGGTGGGACGGTCATAGAATGGCACATGTGGTAGAAAGAGAAGGTCTGAGAGGTGCGAAGGCAATTGGCATTCAGAGCGCTATATGCGACTGTAGAGTTGAAAGGAACTACCATGCCGGATGCAATGGCTGCATATGCATATGTCGACTTGACTATGCGAGACGCAAGATAGCCTGGATGCGCCGGCGTGCCTCGAAGGATGTGAAGATTTGCAAGACGACAAACATACCAGCACCGAAACCACCGAACATGGTGGGTGATTAGTTGAGTCTGATTGCAGACAGACTTGTGTTATTACTTGGTATGGTAGGCAGGACACGAGTGAAGCGAGGGGTCGTGGCAGTCAAAACGAGAGGCGAGAAGATGGAAAAGAAAAGCGCACGCAGATCAATCAACAAATGGGCGGCAACATGGCGACAGGACAAGTCATTGGCGAGGGTGTTCTGGCAAAAAGGAAACACGAGGAATTGACAAGATTTCCAGTCGTTCGGGCGTCTAAATTTCTTGTCACTTCCATCGCACGTCTTCGGCGGTTCCCCTCCTCGCCTTGGTCCCTGCCTTTGCCAGTGACGGCGCGGCGTCCGGGAAAGAACGACTCGCCGCACTCACGGCCCGAATGTTGAATGCTTGTCTGCGCCCCCCAAGCCCGATGGCGGCATGAATACGGAGCCCCTCGAGATTGTGCAGAAAGGTCATTGCTCTGGGGGTGCCGTTACTAGGTCCGACTCAGAAAGAGCAACGACCCCACCATTTGCTTGGAGCTCCCGCTGGAGGAAGGTGCAGCCCTCAGCCATGCGGGTCATTAACCATTGAGGGGCAGCCGCGTCTTGTAGTCTGACATTTTTGTTTTCCAACTTGTTCAACACCTAGCTACTTTCCTTCTCATAACCACCATCAGCACAAGACACCAAAATGGTTCTCAACTTTGGCATCATCGGCACAAACTGGATCACCGAGTCCTTCATCAAGTGCGCCGAAGCTACCAAACAATGGAAGCTGGCAGCCGTCTACTCTCGCAGTGAGGAAACTGCTCGCACCTTTGCCGACAAGTTCTCCGTCAAGACCGTCTACACATCCATCGACTCCCTCGTCCAAGACTCGAATCTCGATGCCGTCTACGTCGCCTCGCCCAACTCGCTGCACTATTCACAAGCAAAGACCATTCTCCAAGCAAAGAAGCATGTCATTCTCGAAAAGCCCGCCACCTCAACCCTCGCCGAATTGCAAGACCTCTTCAAGATCGCAAAGGAAAACAACGTCTTCTTGATTGAAGCCTATCGTCACATTCAAGAAGTCAACTACAAACTCCTCCGCCGCGTTCTGTTTGAAGAGAAGAAGCTGGGCACAATCTTTGGCGCCAGTCTTAACTTTTCCATGTACAGTTCTCGCTACAACAATGTTCTTGATGGCGAGACTCCCAACATTTTCAGCCTTGAGATGTCAGGCGGCTCCCTAGTCGACATGGGCGTTTACCCCGTCACTTTCGCCCTCGCTCTGTTCGGCAAGCCAAAGTCGCAGACCTACGCTCCCTTCATCTGCCACACCGGCGCTGACGCTGGCGGCTTTATTGTCCTGCAGTACGAGAAGTTCGGTGTCCAGATCCAGCAAAGCAAGTGCTTCACTTCCTTCGCTCCCACCGAGGTCTACGGCGAGAACGGCACCATCAGCCTTAACTCCGTCACCGATATTGCAAGTGTAAAGTTTTGGGACCGCAAGACTAAGCAGACCGAGGAGTTGGCAGAGAAGAAGGTGGATCTGAACTTGCAAGAGGAGGCTGAGGAGTTTGCTCGTATCATCAACAACAAGGATGTTGATGCTGCTGCTAAGCTCGAGCAATTGAGTTATGATATTGTTTCCGTCACTTCTGACTTGAGAAGACAGAATGGAATCCTTTATCCTGCCGACAAGGCATAGATGATGACTTATATATAATATGCATAGATGAATGAGAACAAAAGTTACATGATCCTGAAAAGAGTAATTCGAACAAAAGACACTCATGTGTTCCATCTATCTGCTGCACCTTGCTATGCAATCCTTTTCGACAGAAGGAAAAAAGAAGTCTCTAGAAATATACACAAATCCAATTCCTCCTCTCGTTTTCCATTTTGCTGCTCTTACACCCTACTACTGTACCCACCAAGCACGTTGCCCTTTGCAATTTTCCTCTCATACCACTTCCTCCCCTCATCGACCCAGAACACCGTCGATGCAAGCAACACCAACCCCACCAAGTCTCTCAGACCAAGCGCCTCAGTCTGGAACACTCCCTGCAGCGGCGGGAAATAGATCACCAAAGCCTGGCCTAGCAAACTGCCTGCCACGGCATAGTTGAACATGGCATTAGCTTTATGGCCTGTAAATTTGATTTCGCCCAGAAGAAGGGATTTAGTGGCGGAGCGGCAGGTAAGGGCGTTGAACATGTCGAACAGGACAAAGGCTGTGAATGTGAGGGTTGTGTCGCGGGGTGTGACTTCGTGGGATGCGAGGTCGGTGGAGGATAAATTGGAGATGTAGGTATAAAGCGTGCCTGCCATGATGACGAGTGCGGATTGCAGGACGCGGCGGATAAGGCGAGGAGTAAGGACGCGAGCGTGACGGGGTCGAGGTGGGAGTTGCAGCATAGTCTTGTCTACGGGCTCTACACCCAATGACTGGGCAGGAGGTCCATCCATCAGGATGTTGATCCAGAGGATCTGCATGGCGTTCAATGGGTTCTTATAGCCGAAAGCGCTGCTCAACATGACAAGACCAAGGGCAGCGGCAGATGTGCTGAGCTGGAAGGTCAAGAAGTTTTGGATGTTGTGGAAGATTCCTTTGCCTTCTTCGATGGCTGCAAGAATGGTGCTGAAGTCGTCGTTGGTAAGGATCATGTCGGCAGCTTCCTTGGCCACATCGGTTCCTAATTTGCCCATTGCTATGCCAATGTCTGCCTTTTTGAGGGCAGGTGCATCGTTCACGCCATCGCCAGTCATGGCTACAACATCTCCTCTTGATTGCAATGCTCGAATGATCTTCATCTTGTGGTCCGGGCTTGTTCTTGCAAAGACGGAGGTGGTCGAAATTGCTTGAGCGAGGTCTTCATCACTCATCTGATCCAGCTGATCACCACGCAGCACTGGGGAACCAAGTGATGATGACATGTTGATAGGCATGCCTAGCTTCTTTGCAATGGCTACAGCGGTGGTCTCGGCATCACCAGTAATCATGATGACTTTGACTCCACCAGCCATGAGACGGCGAATAGAACGATCCACACCCTTGCGAGGTGGATCATTCATACCCACCAGACCAGCAAAACAGAGTCCAGTGTAGAGATGGTCGTCAGCTGCCAATGATGAGCCTTCAGGCTTGGGAGAAGAACCACGAGACGTGCGACGATCCTTGGATTCACGGACAGATCCACTTGCCAGGCCGAGAACACGAAGTCCATCTTGAGCCATGTTTTCAGCTGCTTTCAGCGCTTCTTGACGCCTCTGCTCGTCGAGGACAACTTCACGTCCCTGTGAGGTCATGTAGGTATCGCATCGACCGAGAACACGTTCGAGAGCACCCTTGATATAGGCAGTTGCAGCTCCATTGGGCTCGTGTGGGTTGTGAATGACTACTCCCATCCATTTGCGCTCAGAGCTGAATGGTGTCTCGTTGCGCCTGCTTCCAACGTTTGGTCTTATGTCGTCTTCACCAAATGCGTCCAAGAGATCCAGAAGCGCGACATCAGTTGGCTGACCAGTCCATCGACTTTTCGCATTCGTGAGATCACCTCCCATAGTCGAGGAAAGGATGGCGGCCGAAGCTGCTGTAGCATGAGAAGATGACTCGGATCCCAATCTTCCATTGTTTACAATGTTACCAATACGAAGAATGGTGCGTGTAGCAGAATCCGAGGGGGCCTTGGCATGTACCTTGACGACATCTACAGGCGCTTCGTCGTCAAAGTGCCACATCTTGGTGACAGTCATGTGGTTCATTGTGAGGGTTCCTGTCTTGTCGCTGCAAATAACATTGACAGAGCCGAGTGTCTCTACACTTGGGAGTCTTCTCACAATTGCATGTCTTTTTGACATACGTAGAACTCCAAGGGCCAGTGTGACGGTGACAATGATGGGCAGACCTTCAGGAATAGCAGCGACTGCAAGAGAGACACCAATCTGGAACAACTCCAGGAATGGTCTGCCACGAATGAAACCTATGAGCATAATGAAGGCGATGATTCCGAAAGACATGTAACTGAGCTCCTTGCCAAGGTTGTCCATAGAAAGTTGAAGAGGTGTACGAGGGCTTTCAATCTCTTGCAGCGAAGCAGAGATGGCACCGAACTCAGTATTGCCTCCAGTACCAATGACAATACCTTGACCGTAACCTGAGCGAACCAGTGTTCCCATGAAAGCAATGTTTTTCTGCTCGTTCAGGCGAAGGTCTGCACCCACAGTACCCGAAGCCTCAGAGGCGTACACAGGCGAGCTAGGGTATCCTTCTCTTTTTGATGCTGTGATGCTTGTTGCAAACTTGTGCACAGGCTCGTTCTCGCCAGTCAGGTTAGATTCGTCAATGGACAGGTCGGCGGCACGGGTGATACGGATGTCGGCAGGAATGCGATCGCCAGTATGAAACAGGACGAGATCTCCGACAACCAATTGGCCAGCGGGTATGGTTACAGATGCCTTTTCGGCCGTGGCCAAGGGAATCTTTTCGGCTTCCTCCAGAGTGTCATTGTCGGGTCTACGTTCGGCGCTGCGAATGACATGGGCGGAATGAGGTACGAGCGAGTTCAATGCTTCCATGGATTTTTCAGAACGGTATTCCTGCACGAAAGCGACCGTGACTACTATCAGGACGGCAATGGCGATACTGATGGCGTCCTCCAGATTGCCCATGATTGCCGAGATGAAGGCAGATGCCAATAGTAACAATATCAAAGTCTCTTGGAATTGTTTGACGAAGCGTAGCCATAGCGGCTCGGGTTCCTCGTGAGGTAGTTCGTTTGGGCCATCGCTATGGAGGCGTGTGGCGGCTTCGTTGGGTTGCAGGCCATGCGTCAACGAGGTGGACAGACGAGTAGCGGTTTCCTGAGGTGTGAGGACTGCATGGTTGGCTGTGACGGTTTGCTGTGAGGAAATGTCTTGTTAGCAAGTGAAACTCGACCATGTGGCATTTAGGGGTCGAGGCGCAAGTGTTGCAGAGCGCTCGAGGTGGGACATGGTGCGATGAAGACGAAAGAGATGGGCGATGTAGATACCGGAGTCCTTAGGCGGGTCAATGGTGGACGAGAGTGTTCAGGGGGAGCTAGATCCTGCCTCGAGGCATTGTACATGGGCAAAGCCGGCGTGGACGAACGGGACATGTCAATGGACCGTCGTCAACATGGAGCCCGAGATGCGAGTTGGGCTGGAATGCACGGCAGAGACAAAGCCGGACACGCTGAGGGTATTTGGAACTGACTTTCGGGAAGGGAGCAAGTCTGTCGAGGACACAGGCAGAGGATCAAATAAACCAACGCTCGAGAGTACTCAGGGTACGTGGCTCAGCCAGTCTCCAAATGTGGAGAAAGCGGTTCGATCTTGTATTGGAGGTTGTCTATTGTTGGAATAGGAGAGGGCTGATACTGAATTGGCCCTAGTCCTTCCAGTGGCTAACACTGCTTATTCACCAGGAAAAAGAAGCATCATCATCATCAAGGTCGAACAAACCTTGTCAGAGCCATGTCGTTGGCCATGCGGCGCCAGATGCGACACGCAGCTGCATCCCTACCAGTCCCGAGGCTTATTCCCGCCCCATGTCCTGGCCATGTATATAGCTTGTGGTTGCTGCACTCGATCAAGCACATGTCTCATGAATACCAGAAAATTGATCGAGTTACTGACAATTGTGTCAAGGAAATTCATATTGTTCCGGTAGCACAATATATTATCCTGCATTGACAATTGTCGGAAACTGCAGTAATACAGGATGGCGCAAAAGACGTACGACACGTGACTGTCTTGGCTGATCCGCCGGTTGCTCTGCCCGACGCGGTCCTAGACTTGGTTGCTCACCAACATCTATCTCGTCCACGCGCGCCATCTGTCGCATCTCTACAAAAACTCGTCAACCGCTATTTTCAGCCAGGCGATTGCCAAAAATCCACCCAGAATCCTTGCGCCCACGGTGTAGCGGGCTTGCGACAGGCCGAAGAGTCAAAGTCAAATCCCAGACGCGTCGCGCGTCTCTGCCTCTGTCGTCAGTCAACACCGCCAACTCTCTATCGTTTTCGCACACGCCCCAACACCACACACCATGTTCTATTCAGAAACCCTTCTGTCAAAGACGGGTCCGCTCGCCCGTGTCTGGTTGGCCGCCAACATTGAGCGCAAATTGACAAAGAACAACATCCTCCAGTCCGACATTGGAAGCAGTGTCCACACCATCATCAAGAATGACCAAGCTCCTATTGCTCTGCGCCTGAGTGGCCAGCTTTTGCTCGGTGTCGTTCGTATCTACAGTAGAAAGGCTCGCTATTTGCTAGACGACTGCAATGAGGCCCTCATGAAGATCAAGCTCGCCTTCCGTCCTGGAAATGTCGACCTTCCCTCTAACCAATCACACGTCGCAAATCCTGCAGCACTCGTGCTTCCCGACACAATCACTGAGCTGGACCTTTTCGCACCAATGCCTGATCTCGACGAGCTGCTACTCGACAGCACTCCTGGTCCTGGTCAAGACCCTACTCTTCTGGATTGGGGTACCAGCCAACTTCTGCCCGAGAGCATGAATAGTCGTGGAGATGCCAGTCAGACTCTTCAACTCGAGGACGATGATCTCGGTCTTGATATTGGCGACATTACCGAAGGTGCCGCCGGCGGAGATACCAGCATCGAAATCGGTCGACGCGCCGAGACTCCCCGCCCGGAAATGAACGACCAAAGTATGCTTTACAACGATGACCTTGATCTGGACATTGGTGGTCCCGAAGACACTATTGGGAAAGACATTTCAATGGCTCCTCTCCCTATGGATGACGATATTGAGATGGGCAATCTTGATCTTCAGATCGAGGAGAGCAACCTCGACGCTCTGAACCGTGCAGATGAGCGCCGTGAGCGTGATAGTGTCTCGCCACTCTCGTCTGTTCGCTCTAGCATCGAGCGCGATCTTGAGCAGACCTTCCAGCTTGAACACCAACCTACTGAGCTCGAGCAAGACGAGACCATGATCCAGGCACAGCAACGCGCCAAGCGCCGCAAGGTTCTTCCTGCTGATCTCACCACTGAACTACAAAACTCACAAATCCGCGCTCTACAAGAGGACCGCAGCAAGATTCTCAAGGCCCCCACTTTCCTCCCCAGAGATCCGGTCCTTCTGGCACTCATGGAAATGCAAAAGAACGGTGGTTTTGTGTCTAACATTCTGGGTGACGGTCGTAGCATGGGCTGGGCTCCTGAGCTGAGGGGTGTGTTGTCTCTCGAGGTCGTTCGCACAGCTGGTGAGCTTAAGCGTAAGAGAGATAGTGGTCTTCCACAGATTGAGATTCCTGAGGAGGAGGAAGAGACTCACCCTCTCGGAGCAGCCACATCGCCCGCGCTTGAAGATCTCCAAGACCCTACGCTTGGTGCTGACGACCTCGCTCCCGCTTTTGGCGGCGACGATGTTCCTTCTATCATCGAGCCCGCTCAAGAGGAGGAGATGGAAGCTTATTCACCAGCACCTGCTTTCGACGAGACTACTATGCCTGTTCTGCACCCTGCCGACTCTGGACCCGTTTCTCTTGGTACCAAGCACGCTGTGCATCTCTTGCGTGAGCGCTTCTCAGACGAATCTGGCGAGCCGCCATCACCCACAACTCGCGCCCAGCGTAGCGTCCTTTTCACCGACTTCTGCCCTGAAGCTCGTACCAGCAAGCAAGATGCAACCAAGATGTTCTTCGAAGTGCTTGTTCTTGGTACAAAGGATGCCATCAAGGTCGAGCAAAGTTCAGACGAGTTGGGCGCTCCACTTCGCATCCGTGGCAAGAGAGGTCTCTGGGGTGATTGGGCCGAAATGGGAGCTGGCGGCGAGATTGCGAGCCAGCGACCCGAGGTTCCCGTCACCATCTAATTGCCTACTACATCTTACGTTGTGACGTCTCTTGAGTGATTCCCAAGCGCTTGCGGGTTTGGTGTTTGACGGCGTTTCAAGGGTTTGTGATTGATATTCATGGCTTCATCGGCACAAAGGCATGGGAATTGTATCATGCTCGTTGAGCGAGCAGTGATACTTGGTGTGCATGCGCAGCCATTAGGGCACGGAAAGACTACTCTGATCTTGCTTTTTGATTCTTGTGATGGAATGGGCGGTTGCAATTCGAAGCCCTCACCTACCTACTACATGCGGTAGAGGCATAGGGCATTCTTTCTTCGTTAGTTTAGCAGTCAAGTTAGAGTAGAGAAAGTTTAACCAACACTTTTGGCATCAAACGCGTTGCGGTGCGGAACGAAAGCCACCCGCCTCCTTTGAGTTCTGTACCTGCATGTCCCTTTTCATTCTGAACCTCTTCGATTCTGCTCCAGCGAGGTCAATAAACCAAAGCTCGAGTTATGCTCAGAATTCTTCTCGAATCTTGAGTAGTGCAAGATACAGGAGGGCTCGTAAACTCCTCGTCTCAGCCAAGTCCCTGCATCCAGAAAAAAAACTTCGCTACACGCGTCGCGAATCTTTCCTACGCACCAAACACCAAGGCCCTGATAACCTTATCAAAGCATTTAAATATCAAGCCCTAGGTCGTGGAACCGATTCAACCGAAGCCCTAGTAGACATTGACTCGCTATTGCCTGAATAGTGCAGCTGGACAGGTTCATGAGTCTGCACGGAGCAGCAACTTGGTCCTCTGGACGCACCGCACTTGAACAAATCCGTACTAGCAGTAGAGGTCGAAAGTGCTCGCCCTGTATGATCACCGCGGATGTTTCCTCGTGGGACCTGAGCTGTCGATCTCAACACACCGGCAGTGATAACTTGCGAGATTTGTCGGCGGTCGAGCGCGGAGGAGCCCACGGAGTATGAGCATGGTATACCTCTATGTGGTCAAGCAAGTAGGGCTGGATGATCTACTGGTAGGTCTTTGTAGATATGAAGAGGTATAAGTATTGTAGTAGCCCTCGGTGTCTTATGCCGGATCACCAGATATTACTATTGCGTTTTAAGTCTTTGTCTCTTTTCTCTTCTCGAAGATGCATATCCCTTCGTTGGTCTCTGCCTCTGCTGCTCTTTCGGTTAGCGTTTCAGCACGCAGCTCCCTCTACGTCGAAAATGCTCCTGATTATGTCCGCCCCTATGTCATTGAGAGATACGCCAATGCCCAAGCCGTCGCCGTCGGCCAGCAGATCTACAGGTTCCCTGTTACTGGAGCATCTTCCGGCGGTGCCTTTTCCATCCTCATGACCAACTCTCCCGCATCAGATGCCCTTGGAGTCCTCCCTCACATCCATCAAACCCACTATGAAAACTTCTTTTGCAGTAAAGGTCGTTTCCAGCTCTGGACAGACAAATTTGGCGATGAGGAGGCTAGAGTTATGTTGCCTGGTGACTATGGCGCTGTGCCTAGGAACACTACACATACCTTCCAGGTTCTTGATCCAGATACTGAGATGCTTGGTGTGATTCAGCCTGGAGGCTTCGAGGCTTTGTTCTTCGCCATTGCAGACAGCAACTACACTTCCTCAACCTCCTCGCCTTATGTACCTAGCTCTGGCTCTGGATCCACCGATGCAGGAGCTGGGTCCTCTGCTTCCATGATCTCAGCTCTCGAGTCCTTTGACGTCTACGCTCAACTCGAATTCAACCCCCGCCGTGATCTGATCAACGGCAGCGCACCCGCAAACGCAACATGGCATACTGGCAAAAACACCGTCCCTTCAAACTCAGTAACCCCCTTCTACGTGGCCAAGAACCAAGGACCCATGTACCTCAACAGCGAACACGGCTACGAAATCATCGCCCCCTTCATCTCTTCCTCCGTCCAAGGCGCTGGAAAGTTCTCCGAAGGCACAATCACAATGTCTAGAAGACTTTCCAACACCACAATCCCTGTTCGCCGGTTTGCTGACCACATGGCATTTGAAGTGTTGGAAGGCGCATTGATGGTTAAGATGCAAGGAGAAGAAGTGCAGCTTTTGCAAGGTGATGTTGTGTTTGTCCCCGGCAGTACTACTTTTAGCTATTGGTCTGAGGTGGCATTCACGAAGTTTTTGTATGTTTGTGCTGGAAGTCGGGGGTTGGATGTGGAGTTGAGAAAGAAGGCTGTTGAGTGGGAGTATCCTACTTGGCCCACTACTGCTGTTTAGAATTTGCTGGAGATGAGTAATTATTGATTGACAGATAGACTACAGATTTCAGGATGATTGGAAAATTCTCTGACGTTCACTTAGTGTGTAACCTGGTGACAATCAGCTTGCTAATTGGTTTCAAACATGTTTTGAAGGACTGTGTCATAATCGTCATTAGCCAATTGGCACCATCTACACTTCAACTCATTGAGCTTGATGCCTAGAAATGCATTTGTGGCCCGGTGATCGAACATACTCTAGCTGCTCTTGTCCTTGAGAATACTTCATGATCTCATTGATTCTTTCCACTACCTTTTCGAGCCGGCCTGTGGTGATTACACTCCAAAACAAGCTCCCTAGAGCTCATCAGGATCAAAGACATCTTCTGTTATGGCAGCTCTGTTGCCACCTCTAGCAGCCCAATCTTCTCTGCGTCTACGTTCTCTTTCTTCCTGCTCGGCTTGTAGCCTCTCTTCCTCTTCTGCTCTTCTCTTGTCTGCTGCCTCTTGCTCTTCAGCACTGAGCACAGTAGTAGGATCGGTGCCATCTTCCAGCATTCCTTGGATAGCAGCCAGAGCACCCATGCGAATGACTTCTTGGGACGGCCAGGGCACGAAAGGGAGTTGAGAGAGTGGGTCCAGCATGGCTTTTGTTTCTGCGCTCAAGGTTGCCACGGCTCTGTTTTCTGGTTGGGCTGATTGGTCGGCTGTGTTTGTGCTATCACCGTTCTGGGCTGGTGTGGCCATGCCGTTTGTGATTTGGGTGGTTGGACCATCGGGAATAGCGGGTTGTGGTTGCGAGAGCAGTTCAGTCGAGATGTGGCCGCGGAAGGTAGGTGGTACAGTAGTCTTTGAGATGAACTTTGCATATGAGAGCAATTCTTCAACGCCGACTTGACGAGTGTTTGGAGGTGGTTGCGAAGAGGGTATGTCGAGAAGTTCCTTGCGGGTGTCGGCCAGAGTGCGTAGGGTGTATTTGATCTTCTCGTCTAGAGCGTCGGCGGTGGCGCGCAGCTCGAGGATGCGCGAGTAGTTTGCATGGTGTACGGCGACTGTTCACACTCAGTAAGCTTGAGTTCATGTGTTAGAAAGTCGTGTATCGTACGCTGTTCCAAGCTCTCGTCCAAGTCTTCGTCTGCGGCGACTAGTGCGTCGGCTGCTGAGATGGAGGGGTTGTAAGCTGCGACTGATTCGACCAGCGAATTCAGCGCTGTCTCTAGACGCTGGAAGCGTGTCTGGAATACACTGAGCATGTCTGAATGTGTAGATGGCTGCTAGGAAGGAAGTTGACCAATCAAGTGTCAGTCGCGTTCAGCAGCGTCAACAGATCGCCAAGCAATCACATGCCAGATGCGATTGAGGGGTCCCGTCTATTCTTGTCTCGACATCTCCCAACAACCAAGTTATAGGCGCAAGCAAACACCCAACTCAGCCTCAAACACCAGAGCAATCGCTTCACGTCGGCCTCGGCCATGTCATAGTTGTTGCCGGCTTGTCGGGCGGCTTGTCGTGGCTGTCCACTAAACATGTAGTACAAGCCTCACTAGGCCTGCTTTGCTTAGACCCAAGCTGACCACCTCACCGACCTGCTCAACATGTACTCAAGTAGTTTACGTGAACAGGCACTTGTCAAAGCCTACGTGACGGCGGCTTCTTGCCTCCTGCCGTCTTGTCTTGTTTCATGTCTTCGTAGCCATTCAGAGCAGTGACACTCTCTCTACGACAAAGTATTTCATGCCTTCTTGAACTCTGGTCTTGCAACAAGAAGACCCCGATTGATCATGGATGGCCATAACCTATCACGGGCCCTTGAGAAGCATGCTCGTCGTTCGTCATCTAGTGGCACAACCACTCCTGATCGCCTCGTTCCGTTCCCTATCCGTTTGATATATGAAAAGCCTCCCCGAAGACGTCGCTCCGTCTCTCCTTTCACAATTAAGCCTCGGAACGATGACTTTTATCGTTTCTGGGATCGTTTCCTTGCAGCATCTGCAAATCGTGCACCCAACACATCTGCACTCGGTCGTCGTCTCGAGCAGACCCTCAAAGACGCCAGTGACGAGGACAACGGTCTGCACACTCAAGAGAGCACTGCTGCATCTTACGAACAAGCCAAGAAGGAATGTGTCGAGAAGGTGCAAGCCATTGTCGACGAGTGCACTCGTCTGAACCAGAAATATCGTGACAGACATTTCGAAGTCGAGCTCGCCCAGCACGATTGTATCGTGCCTCTAGTCGATGCAGACGGTAACTACAGTAACTCAACCATGATACAGCCCTCTGGTGTCAAAAGAGTAAAGGTATATACATGGCACACACCTTCCACATGACACTTGCTCATGCACTTTACAGGACATATTCGAGAACCCTACGTTCAACGCGGAAGGAGCCTGCGGCGATGATGTTATGCAAGGCTCACTCGGAAACTGCTGGTTCATCGCAGCTCTCGTCTCCGTCGCCGCAAAACCGGGACTTATGCAGCGACTTTGCGTAGCCCGTGATGAGGCTGTAGGAGTGTATGGTTTCGTCTTCTTCCGCGATGGAACTTGGATACCAGAAATCGTCGACGATCGTCTCTTCCTACATGTCTCCGATGGGGACGATCTGTTTATTGGCAAGTACGTAGATGAGAGACAGACAAGGAGTACCTTTAACAACAGCAACGACATCACCAAGCTGAGAGAGACTTTACAAAAAGGGGGTGACGCCTTGTATTTTGCGCGATGTCGCGATAGCCAAGACACCTGGTTGCCATTGATAGAGAAAGCATATGCAAAAGCTCACGGTGACTATGGTTCCTTGCATGGCGGCTGGGTTGGTGAGGGCACGGAAGACTTGACCGGCGGTGTATCAACAAGTCTTGTGCCATCGGACATCTTGGATAAATCACTACTGTGGAAACAATTGATGCAGGTCAATGACACCTATCTCTTTAGTGGCGCAGCATACCATTACAGGGAGGCTGGTGGCTTCGGCAAACATGCGTATGCAGTACTGCAAGCCGTCGAACACAAGGAATTGCGACTTCTCAAAGTCAGGTCTGCCACTCCTTCCTCGAAGCACCTGAACAAAACATTGCTGACGTACGTCAGAAATCCTTGGGGTAACAACAAGAACCCAGATCAAGTCGACGGACCTTTCAACCACAAATTCGAGGAGTGGAACGCTGAGCTTGTCGAGCAGCTCAAATTTGACTTCAAGGATCCTGGTGTAGGTTGGCTGCAACACATCTGAAACATCTGCTGACATAGATCCAGGTCTTCTGGGTCACCCTCGACAACTTCCTTCGATACTTTGAATCTGTTCAACGCACTCGTCTCTTCGACGAGACATGGACCTTGACTCAACAATGGACTTCCATCGAAGTGCCTGCAGGAGCAGCCACCTACCTGGAAACAAGCTTCCACCTCACTCTGTCTCATGCAGGTCCTGTCGTCATAGTTCTCGCTCAACCAGATGTCTCTTACTTCCAAGGTCTGCAGGGTCGATACACGTACTGCCTGCATTTTCGTGTATACAACACCGGCGATGGAACCAAGTTCCTGGCACGCAGCATGCACGTTTCCAGTGGCAACTATACCAACACCCGTTCAGTCAGCGTAGACCTCAATCTCGACGCCGGCACCTACAATATCCTCATCAAGATTGAGCCAACACGAACATCCTACCGCACTGCAGAATCTGTCATCGAATCCGAGGCACCCTACAGAAAACAAAAACTACTTCAGACGGGTCGTAACTTCGAACTTGCACACGCAAAAGGCAAGCTTCGCGAAAAGGAGGTAGAAGTACGAAGACAGAAAAAGGAACAAGCAAGAGAGAAAACTCGTGAACAACAAGCCAAGATGAGGAAGCGGAGGCACGAGACAAAAGCTCGAGACAAGAAACGCAGAGATAGAATTGCGCAAGAAAAGAAAGTCAGGGAGACAGGCTATCTTCTGAGACGAGCTGGTTATGTTCCTGTTCCTCCTCCTCCTCAGCCCAGCAATCTCGACCCACCTATTTCTAATATGCCTTACAGCGGTAAAGTCACTGGATGCATCAATATTCTTGATGACGACCCTAATGCTGAGCTGAACGACGATGATTTCGAGTGGGATAGCGAAATGGACGGGGACGTCTATTCGTCATCTAGCGAGGATGAGAAAGACTGGTATGCTGACGACCCGTGGAATGCGCTTCTCGTGCTTGGGTTAAGGGTCTATTCGCAAGCAAGTGGTGTTACGATCAAGATCAGAGATGGTGATGAGACAGACGACGAAGAAGCCCCGCCATCTGCGAGCACAGAAGAGATCAACGATCTGAAGGAATCTAAGGCAGATGCAGGAGAACAGAAAAATGAGGATGCGCATGGCCAAACTCAACCAAGTGACTCGAAGGCGACTTCAAATGAGGAGGACAATGCAAAACAGCTCTCAGCCTCGTATGAAGCAAAACTCATACCTGAGGAAGGAGACAGGAGTCCAAATACCACAACAAACGCGACAACCCCCTCTTCTGATAGTGATCCAACATCCCCAAACACAAGCGGCACAACTACCATAACGACTGAGCAAAAGAACTAAGCCCAGAGACTAGAGAAACCCACACTAGCGACCTCGGGCGGAGAGAGTTATGTCTAGAAGGGATGACAAAATGAAGGGATGTTAGCGAACATAACATGGACAATGCAACCTGTAAAAATGCAAAGCGTTATACAACCCAGGATGATCTCTAAAGAAAGCTTACGAGGTGGAGAGCTTTCCGTGAATATTACCCTCATTCTTGAGAGTACTGTGCAGTTCAGTGATTCTGTTGTACAAGCATAGATGAAAGGTGATTCAGTACGATCATCGTTATCCGCATTGTTTCCATGATCAGCCAGATGCTCGGATAATTCTTTGAAGCTGAGAAAGACAAAGGATCCATGCCCGTGATGGTTCACAATTCTGTCAGCCGGAATAGGTCCAATTGAACTAGGCGAACAAAGACATTCGCAAGGAATTTGGGCTCCATAAACTGCTCTAGGACTCCCGCAATCGAATCATCACACAACACTCTCACAGACTATCTCGCGCTGCATCAAACCACAGCGATGACTAAATCCAAGTCAACCCTATTTTCGCTCACAAAGAACCCAGTCGGGCCAGATGGCCAGCCTCTGCGACGATCTGAACGTCTCAAGATCACCGAGAGCAAGGACGAGCTCTTCAAAGAGCATCAGAAGGATGAAGGCATCAACTACGAGAGGCGTGTGCTGTATAACCCTGAGAAGAAAAAGTTCTTCAAGCTCTACGCTGTCAGAGCAGTCGACGTCAAGCTTGACAATCTGTGGCCAGGAAGAATTGTCAAAGCAATCGATTGTTATCCTCAGACAGACACGAAAGCAGAACCTTATGATGGAACTATCGGCAAAACTACCATAGCAGGTCCAATCGCCGCCAAGTTCCGCTACATGATTGTCGTGTGGAGAACAGATGCTGGCGTGGCCGCTATCCCACTCTATACCCTGGATGAAGCCAAACTGCGCCAGACCAGGATGGATGAATATGTCAGTGTCTCTACATTACCTCTCTGGCGCGGCAACACCCCCTGGGCCGGAATGCCTATACTTGCAAAGTTCAACAAAGAGTACAACTGTGAACCAAAATGTTACGCTGATCTGTCCCGACCCCACTGGATCAGTCAGTGGGAGACTATTTACGACGATGTTGGCCGCATCGAGGGTGGAGAATACAGCAGACTGATGGATCTTCTCACCATGAAGGAGCGAGAATCCAGAACCGCTGCTTTTGCCAAGTTCGATACGAACGACGGCAACTCTGAGCCATGGTCACCTTGGAGGCCTGATCACGAACACCAGCCAAAACCTGGTGTTAGATTTGCCAATGAAAAGTCGAGAAGGATGAGCAAGAAGAAGTTCCAGCGGGTTTGAGATCTGACCAGTATCTTTATGTGTTTTGGAGTTTTTGTCTATAGATTCGAAGAATTGAGGTTGACCACTTGCATCTTCTCATTTGACTCATTGAGGGGTTTGAACTTGTCGCTTGAGCCACATATTTTTGAGGTAGCTGTTCCCGTTGATCAATAGTCGAAGGGCTCGGACCAAAACAAAGACATCTTTTGGAGGCCGAAAACGGATTGTGTATGACTGAGAATCAGAAGCGTTCCTTCCATCTGATTTCTTTGTTTACTTCGCACATAATGATGAGCCACAGATCATCCCGTCAGATCCGTCCATTTGTCACCATATAATCCAACATGACCAGACCTACACCCATTGACACGCAGTCTTCCAACGCGTTGAAGCGTGTTGGAACCAAGATTGTCCAGTTCCTCTCGCCGAGGAGATCGAGCTTCTCTCCTACAAGTCCGAAGAAGTCTCAGAAACCCTTGCCTCCATTCGAGCCCCAGAAGTTACTGGCTTCGGCGGTTGTACTTCCTGAATCATCTGATCATGGACTGCAGCGAGTCTCCTCGCGAAGATCACTGCATCCATCTGATTCTCGACGGTCTCTTCGTTCAGCTGGGCCTTCCCATGCGCGTACCTGCTCTCGGGACTCTCGACACCATCGAGACAGATCTAGAGACTCTCGGCCCTCTCACGGTCGATCTATGTCGAAAGCATCAATGCGCTCATTCGACTCTAGATTGACGCGTGACGAGCCTTACAGAGACCCAGAAGACCGCAACCTTTATCTGAAGAAAGATATCGGAGTAGACACAGTTGATGGCATCAAACATTTGTGGACAAACCTCTACCACGATGGCAATTATATTGGCCACTTTTACTGCCGTCAAGAACCACGTCTGTATCCCGATTGTTTCTTTCCGGGTATGATAATCTGGGCGACACATAGTGTGTTCCAGAACAATTATAATGCTATACCCGGAGATCCCATGATTGGGATTACCAAGCAGGCACCATTGTATGCAAAGATGCGGCCCATGGTAGTGCTGTATCCTACGAACACCGGCCTTTGCTGCGCACCAATGTTCAGTCTGAATAACAGAAAAGACTGGGGTGGTGAGAAGCAATATGAGTGTATCAGCATTACTGAAGAGGGTGATGACTGGGAAGGTGAAACAACATACTATGGTGTTCTCCAATTTCGACCTCACCCCGGGCGACGAAGGGAGTTAAAACCAAGGACCTTCGTCAGCTTGCACCAAACGATGTATGTCAGTACACGAGAGTACATCGAGACAGATTTGGGATACCTTCCAGGAGATCAGTACAACCGCCTGATGATTGCTCTTGACTTCTATCAGGAGACGCGCAAGCACATTGCCTACAACTACTTCCAGGAACAATACAAGAATCGAGGTATGAAGTTGCTCACTGGTGGTGATGTAGGCAAGCATGAGCAGAAGGAGGTGGATACGCAGAATAGCAGAATGCGCGACTATCAACCCGTGAGAGATGACCACACAATGGTCTGGTCCCTCCTTGGCAAGAAGAAGGAGCTGATGGCCTCCAAGTCAAAAAGTGCAGACTGGGGACGACTGGAGCTAGAGGAGGGGGAGATATTAGAGTAGTGGTAGTCAATGAAAAGACTTTGTATGGTTCGTGTAGATTTTCCCTTCCGGCGGCGATAATCAATCCTACCGCAAAGTTGGCGGACTCTTGTGTTGCGATGCAACTATACCGAATCAGGTACATATGGCACCACGCAGCTCACATCAATGTACGGTAGGCAGTCGAGTTATGTAGTCATCGTATCAATTTTCACTCGGTATCAGACGTAACGGAGCGAAGATCCCTCGCACGCACGATAGGAAGGAAGGAGATGTCGTCGTGAAAGCTCCACCAAAAATGCCGAGTTTCTGCCATGGATTCTGCACCGAGGACAAGTCAATCTCGCGACCATCTTCTCAAATTACAGACATGGGTCGTCTTCTTGAAATAATCAGTAATTGCAAGTCAATTCTGCAATAGCATGAAGACTATCGCATGAATCTGATGTCTAACCTGCACGCCATGCTTGATTGACCAATCGTGCCTTGAGCTGTGGTTTCGATAAACGCCTGCTAAATACACCATCACCAGTCTGGAGGACGTCTCCGGCGTCAAACCAATCGACAAATCGATGGGCGGCTACGATATAGGTCGTCTTGATTTTTTATTAGACTAAGTACCAAGACAAGTGATTGGCACACATGCACGAGGTGCACAGCATGCGGCACGGACTTCTGACAAGGACTTCGGCGCGTAACAAGCAGAAGTTCGAAAGGTATGAATGGTAGGTCGAGACGCGACTTCCTGCTTCGTATCTTGCTATTCAATTTTTAATGTTATCTGTTCCTTCCGCTTTTTGTTGTTTTGCGTATCGCGATTGAACTTTTATTGTTTACACGAGCTGGTTCTCTCGTCTTCAGTGTCTTGCGATTGTCTGCCTTTGACTGTTGTCCTTCGCAACCTCTTTTCAGACCTCCAACCAGAGAGACCATCAAACTTTCTTTCAAGTCAAGCCAACAAACAAAACTAGAATGCGGTTCCCTTCTTTTGCCTTCGCTGCCGTGGCCGGCCTATGGCAGCAGCCACTCGCTCCCGAGGAAGAAACAGTCACAAGCACACGCCACATACATATCACTAAAACTGTCACCAACTCAGCCAGCACTATCTATGCTGTTCGTATGGGCACATCCACCGTATACATGGAGTACTTGCCTGCTACGATGATGGCTCAATCAGTTCCCTGGCAAGCACTACCCACAACACATCTCGAGCTGCGGTCTGAAGCAACCAGTACGATGCACATCGAAGTCACACAAACCGTAGCCCAAGTTCAGGCTACAGTATTTGCAAGCAAAGTTGGGACCTCGATCTCGACCATCACGGATGCTCCTCAATCTCTGATTGATGAGGCTGCAAAGGATGCAGCAGAACTGTCATCCTCGCAATTGGCAGCGGCGATCTCATCCGCTGAAGCTGATGCACTGGCACACTCCACTGTTGCATTCCTGACAGGCACTGATACATCTCTTGTCTCGGCATCTGCTTCATCAACCCAACCCGATTCTGCACTGTACACCAATTCGAGCTCTGCATCGACTTTGGCCCAGCCTTTGGCTGCCAACCCGAGCGCTAACGGTGGTAATGCTGACGCGTTGCCACCGATCGGACTTGAGCTTCGATCTAATGCAGAAACGACTACAACTGTTCAGCAACAAGCAACAACCACAGAGGCGTCAGCTACTGTGGTTGTTGTAATCTATGGCTCTTCAACATCAATCATGACGTCGGTCCCTCCCAGCTTGCTGGCGGGCATTGCCTCCTCGCAAGTATCAGACACATCAGTATCAAGTGTGTCCCAGCAGGCTGAAGGCTCCGCAGAGCTCACACAGCCCACCCAGACTAGCGACGCAGCCGTAGCCATCGACACCAATGCTGCTCAAATCAAGAGCTCTCAAACAGCTCTGATCCAATCTTCTTCCTACAGCGACAAAGCAACTGCTATCAGCTCAGCTGCATCTTCTTCGACGACAACGAATCATTTCAGCACATCGAGCTCACAAATAATGTCAACGAGTTCTGCATCGTCTACCAGTAACAAAGTCTACACTATTCCCGTCACTGTGACCAGTGCAACTTCTACCTCCTCTGTTGATAACACTGTTGTACCGTCGGTGGCAGAGACTTCTGACTCGGGTCCATCGCTCACAGTATACGGAACTCAAAGCAGCAGTTCGTCCTCGGCAGCAGACATTGCCGCGGACAATGCAGCCGGAGCTTCAGGCGGCGACTCTGGTAGTTTCCAACTCAGCAAAGGAGCCTTTGCAGCAATCATCAGCGTCGTCTCTATTGGTGTTGGTCTAGGCAGTAAGTCACCCATACCTCTTCTATCGAACGAAACACCAAACCGAATGCTGACAATGCTCTAGTAATCTTCTTAGTCCTCTTCGTCATTGCCAGACGCCGTCAATGGAAAATCCGTGAATCTATCGTCCGCGCCTCTCGTCGTATTACCGGCCGCTTCTCTTCTCACCCAAACAAGACAACTCTGCGTTCGGAGAAGGAACCGACATTGCCGATCATTGAGCCTCGCCAGCCCATGGGTCCTCGTCCTGCACCGTCTAGCAGACGTGAAGGCTTTGCCAATATTGATGCTACGCTGCACACCAACTACCGAGGTGTGGAGACGGCAGGGAGAAGTGCATCTAGAGGGCCAGAGGCGTGGAGAAAAGCGATGGCACAGGAGAGGTTGCAACCGAGTAAGAGTCAGAGAAAGAAGCCTGAGTTGAGGGTTGATACCGGCGTGGCATACAGGCTGGAAGAAGGAAGAGATGCGCAAGGAGGACAGAAGAAAAGAGGGAACTGGACAGATTTGTTCAGATCCTTGTGAGTGAGAACCAGAGAGACGCTTGATGCAGCCACAGACAAGGAGGTGATAGAATGTTTATATGTGCAGTCTTGCAAGAGCTTAATGGTATCTGAATGTTTTGCTGCTTGCGCCTTTTGCGTAGACCCTGCTTCCTCTAAACGGTTAATTCATTGACTCATTCATCCTCGTCATCATCGTCTATACTCAACACAGCAGCTCTGCCTCTGCGCTGACTCGCAGCCGGCGCAGCAGACGGACCAGGCGTCCTGCCACTCAGCCTCTCTTTTTTCAATCTCTGCACAGGCGTCTGGTCGACATCCATAGCATCATCATCATCGTCACTGGCGATACTATGTGGTCGATTGCCTCCTTCCTCATCACTATCTTCCTCAGCATCCCTCATAGCCTTTTGTAACCTGGCAATCTTGCGTTTGATGACAGGATCGCTGTGTATATCATTCAGCGTCAGCAGTTTCTGACATCCGCCAACTGGACACTGAACAGCAGCAGCACCCTCGGATCGCACATGATTGTTAGGCATCTGGATCATCGAGGTGATGGCTTCGCGCTCAAACGAGTGGGGACATTTGATGCTGGTAACTGGATCGACGAATTCTCGCAGTGTCAAGGGACACCTTGTGCTCACTGTTTCTTTTGCGATTTGCAGATCGTCGTCGCTGTCTTCGGCACCAAGGGCGGTTTGTCCAGCATCGGGCCGGTCTTCCTTGAACCAGAGGTGGGCGGGTGGAAGTGGGTCTTCATTGTTACGAGCATCGTGGGTGATTTGTTTGAAGCCCTTGTAGTGATTGCTTCTGCTGTAGCGATCGGTCAAACTCTGTGCCGTGTAGCGATCTTTGGCACGAGCAACGCGGTCATTGAAGAGTTCGGAGACGGCGAGTGGTCGTTGTGTGGCGTTTGTAGGGTCGGTAGGATCAAAGTCGGAGTATTCTTCTTCGTCATCGCCTCGTTGAGTGCGTTGTGTTCGTTGTGTAGAAGCATTCGAGACGTCTTTGACGAGGTCGGAAAGGGTGTGTTGCATGTCTTCGATGTTGTTGTCGACATCAATCATCTTCCGTACGTCCTTGTCCATCTGAGCAGTCATGCTGTCCACCTTTGCCTGTAGCTCCTCAAATTGAGCCTCCATCTCTTGTACACGCTGCTGGGTTGCGGCGGGGTCGTCATTGTTCCTAGCCTTATTACGAGCACGCTCCAGAGCTTGTTCTTTGTTGGTCAAGGCTTCATTTGTTTCGGCGGCAGCCTCGCCCAGGCATGCGATGACTTCGGCAAGCAGCTGGTGGTTCTGCTGAAACTTGAGAGGTTGTGATAGTTGGCGCAGTTTGTCGCGGCCGGCAGCGCTGAGCGGATGTTGTAGAGGTTGGTAAGGTGGAAGTTCGTTCGTGGAGGCTCGTTGGGTTGAGGCAGCGGTGCTAGCTCGACCTGGAGTACCTCGCGCCGGTGTTGATGCGACCGTAGAATGTCTTGTCCTGAGCGACATATTGATTGTGTTCTTGATTGGGCAGATGCTCGAAGCTCTCGAGAAACTCGTTTGGGGAAGACGCGTTGTGAGGCGCGTTCGCTCGCGCCAAGCCCGATGCGCTCCTTCCCATTTCTCCACTCACAGTGACACAGTCGCTCATACCTTCCTACACACTGGTCGACATTCGGACCCATTCAATTTTGATCAATGCTGTTTGGCATACTGAATCTACTATCTGCTTATGTCCGTCTCTAGGCAACCAGGCCTTGGGTCTTAATCATATCAAAAGTTCTCGTGGGTATTACTGTCTCTCAGGTCTTCTCTTCGTGCTTCATCGTACTTCACTCATTCTTCATCAATCACCGGCCTCACTTACTTGGTGATGAAGCCAAGGTAGTCGGCAACAATCAGTGTCACCATTCTGTCATACATGTCAGCCATTGTCATGGTATGTGGTTTTGTTCAAACTTACGCGTGAGGCGCGATGCGCACATAGTAGGTCGAGAATCCTCTGTAGAATCTCAACGGACCTTCCTCGGCTGCGACCTTCTTGAAGCAGTCAAACATGCCCTTATACTGCACCTCGCCGTTGGGTCCCTTGACCTGCTTCTGCAGTCTGGTCTTGACAAAGTCGAATGGTAGACTGAAGAAGGATGCAAAGAATCCTGCCGCAGCTGATGCCGCCAATGTCTGGGTGCGAGGCGACAGAGAAGTATCCTTGAGTTGGTTCTTGGCCTCTGAGAAGAAGGCAAGTTGTCCGAAATTGAGAGCCATGGCTCGGACTACGGTTGGTCCAGCACCCGACCAGAGAGCAGCAACGCCTTCCTTCTGAGAGATGCGAGTAAGGGCGTCAAAGACTGATTTATAGTTCGCACGCTGGGCGACAGGCTTCAAGCCATCACTCTGCATGCGGATGAGTGCGAGATCTGCAGGATTTCCGACCATGGCTGCCAAACCACCTGCAGAAAGACCAGCTACTGCACGCTCGGCGAAGCCAATCTGTTTGCCCTGGTCCTTTGCTCTCTTGGTCAAGGTACCCATGAATGTGTCGAAGAAGCCGAGACGAGCTGTCGTGTAGACGGCCTGTCTGAGGAGACCTGCGCTGAGTCCGGTGTATAGATCGCGAGCCTTGCCACTAGCGATGATATCGCGAGTCACTGAGAGGGGTGTGGGCTTGGGTCCAGTCTTGACACCTTCGCCAGCAAGCTGAAGGCGCACCTTGATCATGTCAATTGGCTGGATGACGGTGGTAGCAACCATGCCAGCAACTCCACCATTGACGAATGGCAAGGCAGCGCGCACGAATGGTGTGTGCAAAAGGTCCTGAGTAGCCTTTCTAGGGTTCTCGGCTGCTGCCTTCATTGCTTGAGGTGCTTCTTTGGCTGCGCTGCGGGCAGCAGCCGCTGCTTCAGAAATACTCGATGTGGTGCTCATGTTGGGCAGACAAAAATGTTCGATGAAAGATCCTATCTTGCTCGATCGAAGTTATACACTGATAAAGGTTGCTCTGACCTCGGCTATGCGATGATCGAGGCGTGACTCAGGGAGGGTGAGCCGTCTTCGTTCTATGTTGAGTAGCACACAAGATGTCAGCCGATAACCCTAGCCAGAGTATGTGCGAATAGCATGCGTTTGGAGTGCATCAATGTGGTTTCTCGAAACGTCTTCATATCGGGACGGGTGGAGAGAGCTTGCAAGCCAACCGGCATCCATCGCCGCGAGATCTTCCGTCCACACAATCGGCCCCCTTGAGCGTCGTGAAGTCGAAGCCGCGATAGGTTGCATCGCTAGCCGTGGTGGCCATGGCTCATCCCGGCAACCCATAGAGGACATAACGGGACTTTTTGGTGGAGACGAAGTCAACTGCTTACCTTGATATCCACTGTCCAGATACCCGTCCGCTACTGCTCGTTGAGCTGGCGTATTCTGTGATCGGGATGGCTTGTACGGTCGACAACGTCTGAACTATCTTGTTCGCAAGAAAAGAGACAACACAAATCAACAGCGGATGTGGTTGTTGTTGTTGGAGAAGACGATCGAGGTGAAAGCAGATAAAGCTATATATATCGGAATTGCGGATGTCGCTCAAGTCTTGGGAAGAAGGATCTTGTTCGTCCGGAATTCTACGGTTTCGTTCAAGAGACGAACCTTGTGGACAGAAGAGGGAAGACCTGCTTTTGCGCAGGGAAGTCACTCTGTTACTCGCTCCTTCTTACAAGGCTACGAACGAGATGCGGGGTTGATCACAAGTCAATTGTATCAGGCTTCAGCAGTTGGCAGCACCTAACCTTTGCCCCGCGGCCAATGGCAGAGACCGTTGTCTGCCCTCGAACCAATCAGTCGAGCTCCAGGTAAAGCTGGCGTATCGCCATTCGCTCGCCCAAGAGATACACAAGGGTAGCTACGTACGTTGCGCCTGCGAAGGGTTGGCTTGTTTCATGAGCTGCCGTGTCGACAACCTAACCCAGCGACCAGGTCGCTCCGGAAAATCAGGCACGCTTTTCATCAAGGGTCTGTTGTTCCTGGTTCCTATACATTGTCGCTTCTGCCCATCTCACGACACCAACGAGTTCTTGCGTGGAGACGAGGAGTTGATGATGTTGTTGTCTGACCATTCAGGTGGGGAAACAGCGATCCCCGCACTAAGTGTGTGGGGGATCGCTGCCGGAGGCAGGCGTGAGGAGAGCCGCTTCCCGATCTCTCCCGGATCGGGACTGGACGGATGGAACGAGGGAGCTTGCTTGAGCTCCTCCAAAACGCAAGTATCGAGAGCTGCTCTTCCGTTCGCCGCTGCCTTCGAGTCTATGGGCATCAACTCTCCAACACTTTACAGACGCCACCAGGACACTAATTCTGATTGCTGCGTCATGTTCTTTGTTCATGATAGCAAGCCATCTGGACATTGTCTTGACTCTTGACTGCTTGTTCTTAGAAACAACTTGCAATGCCGTGCTATGATTAAATGACAAGTACACACTCTGGATCTCCCTTGTTGTCATCCTATATCCTTCAACCTCTTATACATGTGATATCTATGGAAGCCACAGATACGACGCAGCCAAATGTCCTTCCTCATACCAAAGTATACTTGCCAGTATTGTCGATTATCTTTGGCAACTTCTTACTCATACGAGCTTCTATTTGCTTCCAGTCTTCCGGGGCCTCACCTGACCATAGCATGTCTCCTGACTTCTGCGACTGCCATGCCTCAAAAAGATTCTCAAGTCCATTCCCTTCGCCATACTCAGCAAAAGCACTTTCGAGGAACTTGTGTTGTCTGAACATGAAGGCATTCATCAATCTGCAGTATTGGTCACCAGCCAAGCGACCCATTCTCACATGTAACTCCTCATGAAAAGAGATATGTACTAGGGTTGCAAGGTTGATGAAGCATTTCCCGTGCAGTGGCTGTCCCTTTTCGATTTCGTAAGCCTCGAAGATCAGTGGCTTTCCTGCCCAAGGTGTCTTTCCTGGCCAGGACTCATCACCGACTGTTGTGGCGCTCACAAGCTCGTCCCATCTCTTTGACTCATCGAACATGCCCACGGCGCTGAGTGAATTCATTGGTGCACACACAAGCCCCATTAGAGTCTTCCAGAGTACGACCATAGGTCGTTTCTTGGCGTATATTGGGCCGTCTTTGTGTACCATGACGTCCAGATCCTTGCGTTTTATGTCATCCAGCTCATCAACAGAATCTCTGAAACTGGTTTGATAGTTGGATGCGGTTGCGCGAATGATCATGCCAGGGTAGAAGTGTTCAAGACCTCGATCGGCACGGTAAGCAACCAACTCGTCATCACCCGTTTCCTTTTCTCTTCTGAATCGCTTCTTGATAGGGGCACCTTCGCGCGTTTTATCCTTGGTACCGACCACCAGAACAAAGTTCTCGTTCTCGAACTTGGTTTTGGCAGGAGATGGGCCGATCTCTGGAGGTTTGCCTTCGAGCCTCAAGGAGTGTCTAGTTGCTGATATCAGTCCCGTAGATGCTGATGGCGGTTTTTTGGGGGCCGAGACTGGCTTCTTGGGTGCTGGTGACGACTTCTTGGTGTTGGAATGGGTAGGAGAAGTCTTTGGTTTTGAGACACCTCCACCAACAACGCCTGTTGTTACCACTGGATCTATACCAGCTTTCTTAGCTGCGGATGCATAGGTCATTGGCGCCATCGTTGCAAGAAGGTTGACCAGGATATCTTTCTTTAGCCGAAGATGTGGCATGAACTCATAACTCAACAGGTAGTCGAGGAGCACTCGAGCAGAATACCACAGTTTGAGGTTGATTCTGTGTGTACACAAAGAAACTGTATTGGTCCGAAAGCAGAAAATAACAAAAATCTCGCATTGTTCAAGGTTTGACTTCGTCCGGATGCGGTATTCATGATATGGGATGACTTGATCATTTCTTTGTGTCCAATGAAGAAATGGCACCATTATTGCAAAGGGATTTGGTAGACTTGATGACCTTTGTTTGGGTGAGACAAGGATAAACAACAAGGTTCCTGCCGTGGTCGACAAGAAGGCCATGACCTACAGGCTAGAATGAGGGTAGATGACACAAGGAGGCTCAAAACGTGAGTGCTGATATCAGATTGTGTCTGTCTATCTTCAAGTCCTACTTCAGTAAGATACAAATATTACATTCAAACACGTGATGAACACAACACCATCCGCTCTGAATTGTGTATTCCAAAAAGTGAGCTAGATAGCCCCTGAATCCAATCCAGAAGCCCAAGTGCACCAGATTCTCCGTCACACTGATCAATGGATTGACTATATGTTACCCCTAATCAGGAGCCAAAATGTGCTCAGTGGTGTAGGGGTCTTGCAACATATGCCAAGTTTAAAACCCGAAACACGAGTGCAACGGGAGTAAGTACTCCAGGTCGACCCCCAGGCCGATCCCTGGGGCTTCGGCCAAATCTTTTTGCACTTTTTGCACTCTCCGTTGCAAGTCGCTTTGGTGACGATAGACGCATTGATGGTTCCATGGATGTTGCTTGCCTCTGGCGCTGTCGAGCGTTCGCGGTGTTCCTTGAGTTGATCTCGGACTTGATCTATCCTTACAGTCGATCGCAGCTTCCTTTTTCATTGCACATGAGTCATGCTTGATACTTTGATGATTACAGACCACAGTAGAGCGAGTTGTGTGGGTTAGTACTGCATTCTTATACTTAACTATGAACTGGAGAAATCAAATCGAACAAACATATATCACCCGCCAGTACTGCACGCCGAAGGTATCCTTTGCTATTGGTTCAAAAGCACAATGTTGCTACTCGGTTGCCGTCACTTAGATGCAATCAATGACTCACTACTTTGCTTCCTCCTCTGCCTCCACCTCTGCTATATTTTCCGCCCCGACCACCACCCCGACCATGACCACTACCAGGAGACTTTTTGACTCCAGAGCTTGTACTTCCAGATCCGCTCTTAGACTTGGGTTTGGATTCTTCAAACTTTCTGCTCTTTGCTTGCTTCGACTTGAACTGTCCGGGAAACTCTGTATCCGCCATTTTCTTTTTCCAATCCTCAAAAGCCTCATAGGATTGCCTTGAAGCCGTCGGCATGGCGTTGGGGATCACAAGCATGCCCTCATCGTACTCAGGACTACCCTCAAACATCTTGAAAGACTTGTTGAGCCATCTATCAATTTGGATCTTGAAGAGACTGATTAGTCGAACATATTCGTCTCCGTCGATTGAGCCCGCGTTTTCTTCAAGGTATTCGAAGGAGTTGATGGTCATGGGGCGGCTCAAGTCGACGTAGCAGAGATTTGAGTACTGGGTTTTGAGTTCTGGGTTGACATTCATGATGATGGGATGACCATGCCATGGTGTCAGCTTACCAGATTCGGGAGTTGTGCCTTCAGTGACCATAGCAACATACTCTCGACGGCGTTCATCAGTCAATTCTTTAAGGCCTGTCTTTCCCTTCAGGGTGAACATACTGTAAGCAAAGGATGTTAGCACAACTCTCGACGAATGCAGGCACAGTGCTGTGAGAGCGGTCTCTCCTGACTTACGGTAAAGTGAATATTCCGAAATCAGTAGTCCACAACACGACGGCCCAGCGCATCTTGATAACCACAGGTTCAACATCCGTCATAGCAATCTCCCCGATATTAGGGTTGTACTTCGCATCAAGATTGGTGTGCGGATGACTGTGTAAAATCCTCAAGATCTGGCCAGGATAAAAGTTCGAAGGTTGCCAGTATGCTCTGGTTGCCCAGGTACCAATCTTGACATCGTCTTCTGTTCGCCACACCTCTTGACGATCATAAGCGAAAGACCTGTCCTTGTATCCGAACATTTTGAAAATGAGGGAGCCATCCTCCGGCAGACCTTTCGCAATCCGAGATGCCTTTTCCTTTTCCTCTAATTCAAGTCTTGCCTTCTCTTGTTTGTCTAATTCCTCCTTGGCTTTCTTCTGCAAGTTTTCCTTCTCTTTCTGTGCTGCAATGCGGTCCGAATGTCGTTTGGCTTCCGAACTCGTCATTGTTGCAAATAGGGATTAGTCTTTTTCGAGAGAATGGTGTTGTTCTAGATACCTTGATGATTCTGTGTGTTTGGATAATTTTCGAAAGGGCCGATATGTCGTGTTTTGTGCGTTGCTCTCTCCATGCCTTCCCATTATCCTTGTGTGTCGTGTTCTTTGTCGACATTTTTCCGCTTCCGGACCACTAAGAGCAGATCTATGAAAAAGAGCGAGAGCATCGTCTTTGTTTGTATCTGTGGCTGACTCTAGATTAGCATGATGATCGGAAATACGTCTGTAAACACAGTGCGCGTGGTGCAGGGGGAAAGTATCCAGAAGCGGTATGCAGCAGGACAAAACTGTGCTGAGGCTGGGTCTTTGTTCTGAACACGAGCACCTCATTTGCGGCCAACTCTGGAGGAATGTCACCTCCGAATGACATGTTTGGTGATTTGCAATGGTTGCTGCGATGATTGCATGATGTTGAGATTATAGCTGGTGTCAAAGCAAGCATGAGAAGAGCAGGTGAGTTCAATTGCAGCACCAAACAAAGACGACGGAAGAGGCAGATTCCGGAAGGAGTCGAGTTGTTGTGCACTTGGTGAATCATTCGGCGGTCGTTCCTGCCTGAATTGCATGAAAAAAGAATGCACGGTCAAGAGTGCGTTGAGGTCTCGCCTCAACAGTACTTTTGCAAGCTAACTGAACAAGCATATGCACAACATCCTTCACGTTGACGTGTTCAAGAACCTCAAAAGATGAGAGTCAGCCACTGTACATTTGACTTAGGCAAAAATTTGCATGTAAAGAAAGGAAAGGAAAAATACGAAATACAAGCTTCTTCAGATATTTTGGACCCATCCAAAAACACATCATCTAGATGGTGCACTGTCGCTTTTGTTGCAAATGCCCTGTGACTCCGACGCACCCATGCGAACACAAAACACTAATATCCTAATCATCTACTTTTAACCCTGAATCGCGTTCAGGATCATCTCCTTGGCATTCTCAACACCGTCCTGGGTACCGGTGATTTCGATAGCCTCATCGCCGCTTTGGGCTTTGGGGACCTGAATCTTGGTGCCAGTCTTGGCACGGATGTCGTTGATGGTGCTACCCTGAGGACCGACGACTCTTCTGTAAGAGCTGGGGTCGGGAAGGACAAGGAAACCGGCGTGAGTCAGTTTCTCGGCGTCGGCGAGAGCCTTCTTGACGCGAGCGCTGGCCTTCTCGAGGCTCTCGGGGGAAGATCCTGACAAGGCCCAGGTGATCTCGCCCTCGGGAGCGCTCTCATGCAGGTTGTGCACGATCCACGAGATGTTATCATCAGAAGCACCGCCAGTAGCATCATCAGTGATCAATGGCATACCAGAGCCAGCCTTACGAGTAGAGAGTGCCTCGGGACGCTGAGGAGGACGCTGTCCCTTGTGGTCAACGGAAACCTTCAGGTCGCTACGAAGACGGCGGAAAAATTGGCCGTTATCAGCGATAGCGTGGTGGAACTTGAGAGGGATCTGGATATCGGTGCTCTCAGCATCCTTGGTGAGAGTAGCGATGTGCTCCTTGGCCTTCTCGATGTTCTCGGCACGTCCAATAAGCTTAACCTTCGAGCGGTCGGCACCAGTGACAGACTGTCTGGGGATATCAAGCTGAACACCGAAGTCTGACTCAATCTTCTTTCTGATGTCACCACCACGACCAATCAGCTTGGGGTGCTTCTCGGGAGAGATCTCGATGATCTGTGTTGTTTGGCTCTCAAGCTCGGAAACCTGTGCCTGGATGGCCTCGATGATCTTGTCAGCAATGGCCTGGTTGGCTTCAACACGGATGGTGTTGCCCTCAGCCTCGGCACGAGGGAAGCGCACCATACGGGCAAGCTTCTGTCTGTCATCAGGGCCGCCAGCCTGGATAACGATGTTGCGGATGTTAGCACCGCCACCACCGATGATGTTGCGGTGGTGCTTCTTCTCGACGTCCAGAGTGCGGGTAACGGTTGAGTCGAAGACCTTAGCAGCTTCTTCGATCTGCTTCTTGGCGTCTTCGACAGCCTTCTTGGAGCCCTTGATCTTGATTTCAACACGTCCAGAAGCATCAGCAGCCTCGCGATTGTTGGGAACGTCAACGTGAGCGCCGGTGGCAAGACGGAGAGCATCGAGCTCACGACCGCCAGAACCAATCAAAGATGGCAACTGGCTCTGCTGGACCGAGACAGTAGCAGTGTGAGACGTGTCCATGGTGTATTGCAGAAGGTTGAGAAGTTCTTCTCTGGCTTCATCAGCACCTCTCTTGGGGCCCTTGATGATGACTTCATCAGGAGCCTGGTTTGACTTGCGCGAGGTCTCTCCGTCAGCGGCATCGTCATCCTCGGTGTTGTTTGAGCGAGGGAAGTTGATTCTGACGTTGTATCTGTCCTGAAGACGGTTGACCATGCTGCCCTTAGTGCCGATCAGGTCCTTGTGGTACTGAGGCTTGACCTTGATGACGTGTGTAGCTTCGTCCTCGAGCTTCTTGCCGAGAGCAAGAATGTGGGCCTTGCAAGCATTTGCCTTGGCTTGAGGGCCCTTGAGCTCGACCTTACCATCGTTGACTTGAATATCGACATCGAACTCCTCACGAAGTTTTCTGATGTTCTCGCCCTTCTTTCCGATCAGAATGTTGGCGAACTTCTGGGGGAAGTCGAAAGTGAGAGTGAAGCCACGCTCAAGTTCGTCTTGCTTCTCTTGCTCGATGAAAGCGAGCAGGCTTTCGACAAGAGCATCGGCACGGTCACTGGGACCACGGACGGAGAGGCCTTGAGCAGGTGCTTTACGAGCCTGTCCACCATACAGAACCTGGACAGGAATTTGACCTGAAGGAAGGTTTGACTGCTCACGCTCGACGTGTCTTTTGATTTTGTCGTGGAACTTGGACGGAGCATCAACGTCGCGGGAGACGATTTCTTGCTGTCCACTGAGCAGACCAAGAAGGTGCTGCTGAGCCTCCTTCAAGGCGCGCTCGAAGTCCTGAGCCTCGTTGGCAGCAGGCTGACGTCTTGGCAGCTGGTATTCAGAGGCCGAAGAAGGTCCCTCGTAAACGAGCAGAATCTCATCATCGCTATCCGATTCGTCGGGGACAACCATGTGCACGCCAAACTGGTCGCGGATCTGAGGACCAGCTGATTGGCGCAGGTGCTGGTGGTAGAAGGGGTGAACCTGAACAGGGTTGAGACGGGTAGGAGGGTGACCACTGATAAGGTTCATGATGTCAGAGCGAGCCTTCATGGTGTTCTTACCATCACGGGAGTAGACCTCCCAAGCAGTAGGGCCGTTGCGAGCGGTGCTGGCAACAATGCGAGCATTGTACAAGCGCTCCAAATCCTGGATAGCGCGTCTCTGTTGTAGGTACTTGGTGACGTTGCGAGCGTGGGCCTGAGCACCAAGAGGAGCGTTGGGGAAAGAGCGAGAGATGTCGACACTAGCCATGGCCATGCTGGATGCAAGCTCCATAACCTTGTTCAGACCCTCGTCGAGTCTGTCGGCAGGACCGACGATGGTCAGGTTCTCGTCATCCTCGGCATCGGGAGGCATGATAACAGCGCAGCCAGTCTCGGCAAGGAAATCGTGAAGAGAAGTGCCTCTGTTGCCGACAATGAATTGGTGACGGCCACGCTCGATGGCGACTTGGTCAGAGACAAGCTCGCGTCTGAGCTGCTCAACTTGACGTTCGAGCTGAGCGCGGGCTTCGTTGGCTGCCAAGCGATCGCCAGCAATCTGGATGGGGAGGCTGGCCTGAGGCACGAAAGCAGGAGGTTGGCGGTATGCGGCGGGCTGGGGAGGAGCCTGCTCGACCCAGGTGTGGTAGTGAGGAATTTGGACCTTCAAGTCACGGCCGTTCTCGAGGTCACCAACACGCGAGTTGTGGGCACCTGCAAGGAAGGGGTAGAATTCGGCAGGGATATCCTTCAAACGGAGGTTGATGGATGAAGTGCGCTCGTTGACGATCTTCTCAATCTCCTGACGGGCCATCTCGGCAGCAACAGCATCACCCTCAATAAGGACATCGATGGTGGCAGAGTCGTCATCGTCAAAGGTGTCGTTGTCGTCCTGGCGGGGAACCTGGATTTTGGCACCAGTCTTTTGGCTGAGAGCGGTGATGTTGGCGCCACCACGGCCGATGATGTGAGGACGAACGGAGAGCGGCACGGGAACCTTGACGCTTTGCTGCTTGTTGTTAGCACTGGCAGATGGACGTCGAGGCCTAGCGAAGACTTACTCTGGAGCCGAGCTGACGGGCAACCTCCTTCAGAGTCTCGCGTACATCATTGGGAGTAGAACCGGTGGCTCTGAAAGCGTAGGAGCCCCCAGCACCTTGGCTCATCTCAACCTTGGCCTTTGAGCGCTTGTTGATGTCGCGGAGGATCTCAGAGACAGGCTTCTTGAGGTCCTTTGATTGAGCAAGCTGCGAAGGAGCGAAGGAGATGGCCTCGGTGTGACGACCTGGCAGAGAGACACCACGGAAACCAGCAGTGGATGCGGGGGTAGCAAGGCCCGAGGCAGGGGTGGAGCTGCGCGAGGGAGCGTTGTTGGCGACCTGACCATTGTGAAGACCGTTGGCGTTGGCGACAGCGGCAGGCTTCTTGGACCATGGCGAGGGACCGGCAGAAGAGCGAGGCTTGGAGGCACCGAGCGAGGGGAAGAGCTCCTCGGATTGAGTGTCGAGAACCGAAGACTTCTTGGGGGCAGGAGCGGGAGCGGACCCGGGAGCGGGAGTAGGAGCGGCAGTCGAAGGACCAGCCGACGACGAAGCAGTGACAGAGGCAGAAGGAGGAGGGTGGATAATGTCCTCCTCGTCAACAACCTCCTCAACTGTGGGCTTGTGGTCGTCGTGCTTCTCGGCCAGACGCTGGGCGGGCGTCAGGTTGTCGGCAGAAGAGCCAGAGAGGGTGGGAGCCTCAGAAGCCATGATGATACCAGTTCCGATAAGAAAACCGTCGAAGATGCTGCAAGGTGCGTGTCAGAATGTGGTCTGTTATGAGCGTTGGTGGAGGCACGGGGGATGCACCTACAGCTGAAACCGTTACTGACGAGCGGCTCAACCGAGTGTGAGAGGCAGGATTAGAATCTGTGCTTGTGTTAGGAAACTGCTTGATGAACTGTACAAGAGGACTCACATGAGATTGGACGTCTTGTGGATGACCAGAGGTGACAAAAGCTAAAAGGAGACTCGATCCGAATCGACTCTAGAGTTAGGAGACACTGGAGCTTCCAGCAACTTCCTTCCCCACATTCATGAATGAGCCAAGATTTGGAGGACACCTGGCGGTTGTGCTGCTGCCTGTAAGAGCTTGGGTATTTTCCATCATGCCATCTCAATTGTGCATCTTTGCTCTTGTTTTGTTCCTACTCCTCCAACAAAGCTACCCATAGTGTATGACCAAATGCCTCTACATCCACAAACAAGATGAGCACCTTCACATCTCAGCTCCCCCGCCTGCCCGACATACCACAGCTGGTTGTTTCCGCTTCGACGTCTTGGACTTAAGAACGTGCATTCAAATGTTCTCCCGTAGCTCGACCTCTAAACATATAGCGAGACCCTACAGCATTACCAAGTGCGCCACCGTGTCTTTTCCCCAATCTTTGGCTTCATCTCCTCGTTTATGTAACGAGGACCTTGTTTGTGTTTACTTGCAGTCAGTGATGAGGTCTGTATATGCTTCTTATGCAATTTTCATGCACCCTCCGGTTATTCTTCACCGAAGGCTACTATGGCGTACCTAGTCTCGGGTTCTGGCCGATTTGAGGGCTGGATACGCGCTCTGGAACAGTCAGTCGTAGGTCGCGCTTCTATACAATCTGCCCGACTTACTCTGCCATCGGCAAGGTCTTGGAGTCAGCATAGATCTAAACAATCTGGGAACTAGATGTCAGGATATCCTGTTGCTCTGGACGTGGTGCCGATGTGCTTGTGTCAACATTGGTCCAACCCATCGGCATTCGTGGTGCCGGTTTACCTGTATTGACATTGGTCCAAGGTAATTCCAGATCCAGGTCTCAAAAGATGCCGTCGCTCTGTTGGTGCTGCTGCCGATGTAGTTGAATCAACATCAGTCTAAACAATGTTAGAACTTGGTGTCAGGAAACGCCGTTGCTCAGATGGAATATGGTTAGCATTGTTCATGCTGAAGGTGTTCTTGAGATCGCTGATACGGATGTGCCAGACGAGAGAGAAGAGAGGAAAGATCTCGAATATGGACGACACAAATTTGCCAGACGATGAAGATGGTCCGACAGAACGACAAGACTTTGAACAAGTACCAATGAGTTAGCAATCAATCGAAGCGGGTGGAAGGGAGCGCGAGAAATTTGGCACTAAACATGAAGTGTGGACTCCGCTGTAAACAGGCTTCCAAACGAAAACGATCACTCGCTGCAGTGTCTCTTCCTTGGCTCTGTGTATCGTGTACAGCAAGCGCAAAACATTCTTTTCGTCCCATCAAAGGCTCGAACATGCGACCTTACGACTCTTTTGGTCCCTCATATTTGTTAAAGTTGAATTAGATTCCAACAGAAGCAGCGATGGTCTAGTGGTCAAGACGCTACACAAATATGTCTTGCAAACACAAGCATGATGGTGTGCTATTCTTCTGCACATCCGTGTCGGAGATCATAGTGGCGCACTGGAGTTGTAGAAACGTGGGTTCGAATCTCACTCGCTGCATTTGATAACTTTCTAATTGCAAATGCACTGATCGAATACTTTCCTCGCCCCGATAAATTAGATATTGCTTGACTCGAGGTGGACTACCTGGACGTCTATGTGGGTACGTGCTTCAAGACCACGCAGCAAACCACTAACACAAGCCATGAAGTTTATTAGTCTTCTCTATGTGCGAGACTATTCTCTATGCCGGGACGCAAGGGTCATTGTAAGCTATCGCAACGCACATTTGCGGTTCGAACATGAGTCCGGCCAGTAAAATGGCTTTTAAAGGGCTCACTTCAAAGACCACATTCTTTACAGAAAACTGTGCACTTCTGCAGTTATACTGCGACTATCTTTAGCAGTAGAGAATGCTTAAGTGGTAGAAACAACTCTTATCAATTTTGTCAAGCCGCTCATACTTCGTACATTGATATCAGGATAACGCATGTGGCAGCAGCAACGACTATGAGGCCTTTAAACTGACACATAAGTATGACAATGGAGGCTTCGTTGCTCTAGCGAGTATCTTGAGGTATAGTTTTGATCATGGACAGAATCAATCAAACATGATACACCACGAGACGCAAAAACTGCCTCCCTCGTCTTGGTCAAAATGTTGCTTGAAGACTAAGTCAATGAGAATGGTTATTTGACCTCTGAGATTTATATACGCCAACGACCAGCCTATTCTAAACAAGATCCTGGTGAGATATGCAGTCGAGGCAGTATAGCATCATTATAATCGTACGTAGAATGCTGATATTGTGTGATTGCATTTATCGGTAATGATAAACCTGGTTATGAATGGAGCCACAAGTAAGAGCTAGACAACGTGTTCTACTGTAAGCTATGCATGCTTCTTTGCCCTTTAGTCGGACATCGAGAATTACCAGCAAAGCGGTGTGCTCGGCTAGGACGCATGAACGAGCCGGTCAAAGCCGCTTAAGCAGTTGCTGTATTTCTTTGTTCTTGCTTCAAGGACTTGCTGAAAAATGTCTCGAGCTCGGCAGTCGGCCTGCAGCATTCACCTGTTTGATCTTGACATCTGCCGAACGGACCGAGCTCCAAGCAGTTGGGCGCAGTCTTTAAGATACGAGTACGCATTATTATCTTCGTTCGTCGTAAAAGCGTGCCTGAGTCGGGTTGGCCGGTCATGCTGGTTAGAGTGATGGAAATAACATGGAACTTCACGGCTCCTCTGACGTGGCCTTTCATGCACATCAGGCATGCAGCATGCCAGGAAAGGGAAAAGAACGACATGCCAGAAAAAGGAAAGGAACGGTCGCTTCTTCAAACCCCCTGTGTTTGCTTTGCTCACGACGAGTCGTGCGATGACGATGCTACCCCAGCCACAGATAGCGTCATTCATCTGTTCTTGTGGCTTGGTGGAGTGTGGCTCGTGAGAAGCCTTCGTCTGAGGGGCCAGATGCGCTGCACTGTGGAAGCATGCAGGAACTAGATAAAAACAAGACAAAGGGCGTAGTCGTTCTGGTGAGCTGGCTTGCAGCTCAGTCTAAATTCGAGACGCATCCTAAAATCGTTCGGTCAAAGCGAATGTACTGGAGCACAAGTAGGTCAACTCCGAGATCCGGCTGACAGGGTCGTGTGGCTTCTGCATGCTTCATGCAGGCTACAGCCTTAGCCGTCAAGACCCTGAGACTAACGTTCGATTACCAAGATTTGCTATGGCCTTCTTTACCTATCCATCCGTGCAAGTTGCAAGGGATTTGAACGTGCTACAAGGAACCGAAAGTAGAACATGGTTGGCGAGTACGGGAAACCAAGCGTACGGCTCTAGGCACCAAGAAAGTCGCAAGTGCAGCGGTGACTCTGACAAGTCACGCGGTGTAGTGCGACGAGTCGACCATCGCAGGCAGCCGGAATGAGAGCAATTGCGGCGGAGATCATGAAAGAGGGTTACGAGACAGAACTTACACAGCATAGGTATACCAACCACTAGGACCCGTACGGTAAATGCTCTTCCAGTATAGATCACTGTCGAAGCAGTAGTAGATGTAGATATTTTTGGAGGTGATGAAGTCTAGACCGCGGGAGGTGCGTCTCTCGGGCTCGGCACGCAACTTCTCGTGGCGCAGCACTCATTCGGCCAGGATTACCGATTCGCAAAGAACTGTGAATGGAGACGAAGATTTTTCTATCGAGTATTAAATCCATCGCGTCCCTCTCCGATTCTCAAGGAACCCTAAACAACCCACCTACCACGAGATCCAGCCTTTCAAGAGAAAAAGAGGACAGATTAAGTTACCAATTCAACGGATACATGACCATTCATGACGTCATCTATCGAGCCTATGACGAAGCATGCCATCTCGACAGTTCGATCCCGTTCGACTTCCAACACTAAGAGCTCATCACCGATTCGATCTTCCTTCGACACATCTCTTCCGACCAGAAGATACCCTACATCGATCAACTACCCACACCAATCCACACCGGATCAATCATTCCCCTATTCTTTCGACACGGATTCAATCACATCGACATACGACTGGCATATGTTTCCAGTCCAGAATCACACCACCGGACTGCTGCGAAAAGGTCAAGGCCATCAGAGAAACGACTCTCTAAACTCGACCAGTTCTTCATCGCCATTCATGCAGGGCAGCACATATCCTTATATTGCGAACGCCGACCAGTCTCCTACCACGTCGTATTTCAGCGACAACGATCAGACATTCAACAACGTCGGCTACGCACCATCAAAGCTCTCCCACACGCCTGCGGCTCATCTGGCCATGCAAAATATGGCCATCGACCAGCACAACTCAACTTACAACGAGGACATTCCAGACTTTGCACACTCGTCACGGCATTCAGTGTCAAGCAGGGGTCAGGACTCACCGTCTACTCCTCAGCCGAGGTCGAGTTCTGACCATGACAATGACGAGAGGCCGCCTCTCTTCAAGATGCCAACCAATGGTGAGGATGTACCAGATCTGGAACTGTTTGAGCGATACTTATATATGAGCTCGCAACCAGACTACAAAGCCAATGCCCCTCGCGTCGAGCTCAACCGCACAGAGTCTGCTGCTTTTGCCGATGAGCTCTTCAACCCAAACAACTCTGATTCCCTTCAGCCACCAACGATACACACCAACAACAACAACAAAATGCTCTCGCCACACCGCAACTTGATTGACGAAAGGTTACGCACCGCAAACAGCATCCGCTCTCACTCGCCAGTCGGAGAAATGTCGCGCGAGCGTTCACCTTTCAGACAAAATTCACCCTTTGCAGCCCCAGCTTCCTCGAACTTCAAATCACCTGGGCCATTCTTGGCTACAGCTGCAGATTCAAGGCGCCAGCAGAGGGAAGAGGCCAGTGCTAGAGAATGGATGTCACACCAACCCAAGCTTCGACGGGAGACCACAAAGACCATGTCACCAAAGGATGCCCTCCTCGATTTCAACGACACCGAGGGTGCAGATATGCCTCTGTTCGCTGACACGCTGCCTTCGGGTTACAACTTTACTGCAAGCATGGCAGCTCCTCCAACAAACGTTGCTGGCTTCCGTGCTTCATCCTCAGACCAATCATCCATCGGTTCCACTACATTCAACTTCTTGCCGCCTCAGCAACCAGTAATGCCGAGCAATCCTTATGCTCCTGCGCATTATCGCCCAACTGACTTCAATGCTGAACCCACACCAGACTTCCCTGCTCACCTAGCTACTATGGAGTCATCCATGAGTGAGGGACCTGGCGCTTCTTCTCAAGGTAGCATGACTGCTCCTTCTACTTCGAGGCCCCAGCACACTACTGCTGATACTGGCAGCTACACATGTACTGCTGATGGCTGTTACCAGCGCTTTGACTCAGCTGTTAAGCTGCAGAAGCACAGACGTGATGCACACCCAGCTCGCCAATCTTTGTCATCGACAGGCACTGCCACTTCATCCCCCGAGGAAGACCGTCGCTCGAGTTCACCTGCTGCGGCCAATCTTGGTAGCTCAATGACCGCTGCTGCCCTTGCCGAGCGTAATTCACAGCAAGGCCCTCACAAGTGTACACGTATCAATCCCTCAACTGGCAAGCCCTGCAACAGCATCTTCAGCAGACCATACGATCTCACTCGTCATGAGGATACTATCCACAACCGCCAGAAGCAAAAGGTTCGTTGTCAGTACTGTCGCGAGGAGAAGACCTTCTCTCGTGCAGATGCACTCACGCGTCACATGAGAGTTGTTCACCCCGAGATCGACTTCCACGGTAAGCGTGGACGCAAGGGCGATCATTTCTAAGATGATGATCCCACCTCCTAATGTTTTGTTTCGTTGTTATGATTTCATTTTTGTGTTCATGACTGCGCGGCGTTCTTGCTTTCACTCTTTATTTGTACGATAATGATGACGAAACTGTTTCGGCGTTCTTTCTGTTATGGTGTCGGAAGAGGAGCGACATCTCGTTTAGTCACCCATGTACAATTATGCTATGATATTGCTTGACGAAAAAAGCTATGCTTCTTGCTTGATTCTCCAAGTTGTTCTATTTCGGTGCTTAGATGAAAGTGTGCATGCTTTAACCATACTGCAATTGGCAATGACCTCCACGCATATTCTACCTTCACTTTTCTTGGTATGTTTGTAGATCTACTCCAAAAGATTATGTTTTCGAGTTCCATATGTCAAGGGTTTACTCTTTTGCTCTGGATCCTTTGGTCACTGCACCGTCGTGTTGTAAAAACTAAGCAGAAATGTTGCATTCCGCCATGGGTTTTGGACATCGCGAGTTCCTATCTTGATTTGATCGCTACGAGCCACTGGCAGCCCTTTGGGAACAACCAGAGTCCACAGATTGGATCACAGAGTATCCTGCAAGGCTTCCTCAGTTTACGAGCATCTGGAGGGCCGCTACGCATAGATATCGTCGTCGTCGATTTGTGACAGGGTGATATCCTAGACTACAAGACATGGCCAAAGCGTCAGAGTGGACGATAAATGGCATGGAATAAGTAGAATATTAGAATATTCCACTAATTTTGAGTGGAATATTCCACTACTTTGGCATGGAATAGAATCGTCAATTTAAGTGGAATATTGAAATATTCCACTCCTTAGTAGGAAGGTTGATATTACTACTAGATCATACGGTAATTCCTCTTAGTAAGGAGGTGACCCTGTGAATATGCTTACATAATCGTGCCAAGGCTCATGATTACTAATCACATAACAGGGTGACCCCTAATCTGGACAGGGTGACGATAACAACAACAGCAAGATTGGAATTAGCATGATTCCACTAGAAAATTGGCATAGAATGGAATAATAGCTAGAAGTGGTGGAATGGAATGGCAT